GGGGGGGGCAAAGCGAAGCGAAGCGAGGGGGGGCGCATCACCCCGAGCTGGCGCGCGCGTCGCAGGGCAGGGCAGGGCAGGGCAGGGCAGGGCAGGATAACCTGTCCCCGAATCTATGCGCAAACCAAAAAAAAGGATGCCCAACGCTGTCTCCCGGGGCACTAGCCTGGCTTGGAGGCGATGCTGCCCCCTCATCCTCTCTTGCCCGCGCTGACCCCGCACGTGCCGCAGGGGGCAAGGGCAGGGCCAAAGAACCGGCGAGAGTTCTGCCCGCCTCTGCCCCCCCCCCTCCCCCTCCCTCCCGTGCGCGCGAGGGCGTTGCGAGGTGGGCGCGCCTCTGTGGCCGAGAGATAGGCACCAGGCGAGCTGCCTTCTCTGCCCCGCCCGCCTGAGCATGTCCTGCCATGCGCCCACCGCACTATTACTCGTCGTGCGGCCTGCGAGTGAGCAGTAGAGCCCAAGTGGCGGAGTCTACGCTGCCGCCCCTGCGACGCATCCTCTCCGAGCCATACACTGCACCTCGACGGAGCGGCACCACTCACTTCTCAGTCGTCTCGCGCAGGTTCTTCTCCGCGGCGTCGAGCTCCTCCTCGAGGAGGCCCACCTTGCGCGCGAGGTCGTCTGCGTTGGCGCGGCTGCCCTCGTGTTCGGCATTGCTGCTCTTGTGCTCCTGCAGGCGCGCCTCGGCCTTCTCCAGGTCTTGCTCGACGAGCGAAAGCTTGTGCTGCAGACTGGCAATCTCCTGCTCCTTTGTCAGATTCTCCTGCTCAAGTCGCTTCGTCGCCGCCTCGGCTGCCTCGGCACGCTCGATGGACTTGTCGGCCTCGATGCGCAGCGAGTTGAGTTTCTGTGCCAGAGTGTGAGTGGCGCGCATCAGGGTGAGGAGGAGAGGAGAGAGAAGCGTACCTCGCGGATGCGGTCCTGCGCAGCAGCGGGCCAAAGGCGTCAGTGCAGGAGGTAGGGGCCGAGGCTGCGGCGGCAGACTGACCATGGTGGGCGATGTGACTGTTGTGTGAAGAGGTGAGTTGGAAGAGCGAGAGGCGGCCGTGCGAGGTGGTGGTGGTGGTGGTGGTGGTGGTGGTGGTGGTGGTGGTGGTGGTGGTGGTGGTGGATGGCGAGCAAGGCGCCTCGCTCACGGCGGCGAGGCCGGCGGCCGCGTGCAGCGGCCGTGCGCCCGCTGCGCCGTGGCTGGCGCGCGCGCCACACAGCGAGGCGCGCCGCGCCGCCGGCGATGCCAGTGCTGTGCTGGCGCTGGCGCTGCCTCTGCGCCCCCCGCGCGGCGCCGATGTAACACAAAGACATCGAGACGCGCCGGCGCCCCTGAGCCGCGGCGTGCGTGGTGCACGTGACGTCGACGCGTCTCGCCGTGCGCTTCGCCCGCCGCTCCACTTGCTTGTCTCTCTCCTTCTCCTTCTCCACCTTCCTCGCCTCGCCAGCCATGACGCGGCTCTGGTTCCGGCCTCCCGCCGTGCAGCTCTACATCTCCTCCTTTCTCGGGCTGCTCGATCTCAAGACGGGCGCGCTCATCATCTCGCTCTTTGCGCTGTTCAACAAGACGGCCGGCGTCTTTGGCCTGCTCGCCGTCTTCCAGGGCGGCTCAGTGGCGCAGATTTCCCTCTATCTCTACTCCTGCGCCTCCATCCTCCTCTTCCTCTGGGCGCTGCGCGGCATCGCAGACGAAGACGCCGCGCGCACCATGCGCTACGCACACGCCTTTCTCGCAGACCACATGCTCTCCTCGGCATGGACGCTGCTCTTCGGCATCGGCTGGTTTGTGTACACGCCGCACGACGGCGGGCGCCCGCAGCTGGCGCCGCACCAGGCGGGCCTCATGGCGCTTATTGAGGGCATCGAGAAGAGCTACGAGGTGCCGGGCAGCATCAAGCACCACGTGCCCCTCGAGGGCGAGGCAAGGAGAAAGGCGGCGCAGCAGGTCTGGAGCGACGAGAGGGGCTTCAGTGCCGCCGTGCTCGCAGGCGGCTTCATGCTCAAGGTGAGTTCGACGCGGCAAACGACAAGAGGCGGGCCAAAGGAGAGAGACCGAGGAAGCGAGGCAGCGAGAAAGCGAGAAGCGGGAGGAGCTGCTAGGAGGCCATGTCCCTGTGGCAGTCACGCACGTCGCAGGCCGAGGGCAGTGAGCTGAGGGGCACTCGGCCAGCGCTGGATGAGGCAAGCAGAGAGAGAGAGAGGCGTTCTGGAGTGAATAGGGCAGAGGGTTCTTCGTTTCTCGTGTGGAGAGACGGCGCGGGCGCTGTTCACGCACCCGAGCGTGTGCGACGTTTTGCCCCCCCCATGCGTCAGCTGACGGGCCTGCCCATTCCTCTCTCTCTCTCTCTCTCTTTGTCCCCTAGCTCTACTTCGCCCTCATCCTCTATTCCTTCGCGCTCCATCTGCGGCACGGCACCTACCGCGCCCTGCCTCTGACGCGCGCCGCCGCCGCCGCCTCGCCCTCCGCCGCCGGCGCCACTGCTGCGTCGGCGGGCGGCGGCGGCGGCGGCGCCGAGGGCGCGTACGCGGCGCTGGCGCGCGAGGAGCACGAGGAGGAGGAGATGGAGCCTTGGAGTGACGATGAGGAGGAAGAAGAGGGAAAGCAGAGGAGGAGAGAGAGACAATAGTAAGAAGGTTTTTGCGGAGCAGCACACGCCCCAAGCGTATGGTGCTTTCTCTGCCTTGAAAGTAGATTGCAGGTGGGGTGTGAGGATTTGCAGACCTTGTGCCAAAAGGGAGCGAAGCTAGGGCTTAGCCGTACGGTCCCGTGATACAGCCGTGGAACGCATCAAGAGCTGGTTAAGGAGGCGCATAGAAGGATGGGTGGGAATGGGGCTGGGACAAGCGCCGGAGACACTCCAGGTCTCTCTCTCCCTCTCTCTTGCAGTCTCTGTGTCCCCCCTCTGCCTTCTTCGCCTCCTTCTCTCTCGCCGCGCGTCTTTGCCCTATCTTCCCTTTGTCCGAGCGAGTAGCAGTGGCAGAAGGCAGCTCATGCGTGTGTTTCTCGGGCCAATCGCCGTTCTCCTGCCCCCCACCGGGCCCGGCTGCACACGCCAAAGATGGGCAAGGTGGGGCAAGGGGGCATATGAGAGGGCAAGGGACGGACGGAGAGGCACGCATCCGCCCGCCAGGCTTAGGCTGTTCTCTGCGCCCGTGCATTCCGAATCTGATTGGGCCGCATTGGAAGCACGAGGCGTCCTTCGCCCCCCCCCCCCCCCCCCCCCCCCCGCCCGCCCTTAACGCAGAAATCACCTACTCTCGGTACCCCTTGCTGCCTAGTTCCCATGACTGACACCTGCTCAGCCAGCGCAAAGGCAGCGCGCCTCGCTGAGCTTCCACACACGTGCGCGCGCGCTTCACAGAGAGAGGGACCACGTAAACTGGGCAGAGTGCACCGAGCCATTGCTCGCCCCCTGCCCCTCGCCTTCACCGACCCGTCGAGGAGCGCCGTTGCAGCGCGGGCGCGCGCGCGTCCAAAAGGCTGGGCCACGCATGGCGCAGAGCGCTCTGCGTGTCTGCCAAGAAGCAAAGGCGGGGGGGGGGGGCATGCCATGCCAGCATGCAGCGATCAGGCCGCTGGGCACGGCGAGGGCATGCAGCGATGGGCCGGCGCGCGCGGCGTCTGCGCTGAGAGAGGCTGCACCGACCGTACGCTCGCTCACCCCGCGCAACGTGGCAGAGCAGGCTGGGCGAAGAGCAGCGAGCGGCCACACCCTCAGAGGCGCAGACTTACAGCTGGCTGCCACACGACGCGGGTGCGGCAAACGCGTGCAGCGCGCGCCGCGCGCCGTCGATCAACACCCTTTCTGCGACACGGCGGAGTCCGAGTTTGCGCTCGCAGCGTGCACAGCACGGCGCCGGCGGTTCGCGGCCGCGCCCGCATGCCGCCCCCAATGAGCATGCGGTGCGCCCGCGAGGCGAGAGCGAGAGAAGGGCAACAAGATCCGAAGGCTCGCGGCTGCCTCCTGCTGCAGCTCAAAAGCCAAGCCCCAAGGGAGCGCGGGCAGCTGAGGTGCCTCGCAACGCAGACTCTTACTGTCAGGCACGCCCTCGAGGTGCAGACGGCAGCATCAGACGCCAGCCGCCATGCCGTTGCCGCCGGTGCCGCTGCGGCTGCCGCTGCGCTGCCGCTGCAACCGCGTGCGCGTGCAGCGCCCGGCAGCGCCGCGGCATGGCGCTCGCATGCAGATGGCCTCTCCTGCGCCTGATGGGGCAGCGATATGCCATGCCAGATCTGCCGTCTCTGCCTTGGCGGCGTTCTGCGGCAGAAGCGGCGTGCAGCACAGGCGCATGCAGATCTGTGCAGCAGCAGCGGGCAGAGCTTCGGCACTCAGACTTCCACCGCGAGCGCCTGCAGACACAGCTGCGCTCCTCCTGCAGGCGAAAGCTTCTCTCGGTCCGCTCCGCCATCCCGGCGCTCAGCGCCTGCAACGCCGCTGCCGCTCTCCGTTGCGAGCGGCCCTTCCTGCGTGTGCGCCTGCGGCTGCACGCTGCACCCTGGACGAGCTGCGAGCTTGGGTTGCGCATGCAGGCACCCTGTCGGCTAGGCCAGGCCGTTGGCACCAGCCAAGACGCTGAGGCCGTCCAGCAGTGCGATGGCATCGGCAGCTGGCAACGACACACACACACACACACACACACACACACACACACACACACACACACACATACACACACACGCCCTCGCCGGACGCGGCCTCCGACAGGGGAGACCCTGATCAACGCTCCTCTTTGCCCCTCTCCCATCTTCCCGATCCCCCCACATCCCGCCCACCATGGTCCGTCTCTCGCTGCTCCTCGTGCTCTCCCTCTCGCTCGGCGCGCTCGGCGCCAAGACGGGCGCCAAGGGCAGCACCAAGGCCGCCGCCAAGAAGGCCGACGACGGCCGCTGTTCGGCGTCGAAGCTCTGCCCCAAGACGGCGCCGTGCTGCAGCAGCGCCGGCTACTGCGGCAGCGGCGCCGAGCACTGTCTCGCCGGCTGCAATCCCACGTCGTCCTTCTCGCCCCTCTCGTGCAGGGCGCTGCCGCGCTGCAATGCCCGCGCCATCGACTTCACCAACAGCCGCAACCCCACCGTGCCGCTCGCGCAGTACAATGGCGACCCCAGCACCGCCCAGATGACGCTCGACAGCGGCGTGCTGCGCACCGGCGCACAGGGCCTCTATGCCACCGTCGGCCAGAGCGGCGAGGCAGCGGCGGGCGCGACGATCAGCACCACGGACTACATCATGTATGGCCGGTGAGTGGGGTCGCGTGGAGCGGAGACGAGCGGGCAGAAGCAGCAGGGGACTGATGCGACTCTCTCCCTCTCTCTCTCTCTCGCAGAGTGACGGCGACGATGCGCCACAAGAACGACAAGGGCGTCGTCGGCACCTTCATCTTCTTCTCGCCCACGGGCGACGAGATTGACTTTGAGATTACGGCGGGCAAGGCGCGGCAGGTGCAGCTCAACATGTTCTGGCAGGGCCAGTCGCTGCACGGCGCCGACGGCAACAGCCAGATCATCACGATGCCCCAAGGCTTCGACACGGCCGACTGGCACGCCTACACGCTCGACTGGAACGCGCAGCGCATCGTGTACAGCATCGATGGGCAGGCGGTAAAGACGATCTACAGGAAGGACTTCAAGGACGATAAGGGCCGCTTCCAGTACCCCGCCACACCCATGCGCGCCCAGGTCAGCGTCTGGGACTCGAGCAGGATGGCAAAGGGCACGCAGAAGTGGACCGGCGGCAAGCCGGACTACGCCAATGCGGATCAGTACGGCACGTTCACGACGCAGCTCAAGTGTGAGTTGCCCCCCTGCGCCCCCTCTGCAGCTCCCCTTGCTCTCTGTCGCTGCCCACGTCCTGACCCTATCATCGCTCGCTCGCCAGCGCTCACCATCGAATGCAACGACCCGAGCTCCCTCTCCGCGGGCCGCAACTACGGCTTCTCCAAGAAGCTCGACGCCAAGTCGGGCGAGCCGGCCGTCATCGGCACCGACCGCGCCTCGACCGTCTAAAGGTGTCATCCCTGCCCTCGAACTGCATTCGCTGCGACCTCCGCCAAACCCCCCACCCTCACACTCTTTTGCCATCCCTCCTCTCGCCCTCGTGCCCGCCTCCCCCCCGCTAACTGCTCGCTTGCTTTGCACTTGCTCCTTTTCCCCTCCTAGTCACCGGCTCTACCATTTCCCTCCCAGCGAGCCTGCCCACCGCGCCGCACTTTCTCCGCTCTTCTTGCCTCGTCAGCTTGCCGGCCGCTAATCTGATATCCCATTTGCTCCGTCCTCGGCTCCTCTTCCTGAGCGCAGGCGCTGGCCCCTTACTCGTCCGGCAGCTCATCCACCGACGCCACGCTCACCACAGGCACGCCACCGTTGAGGCGTCGCCGATGTGCGCTCGAGGCGGCATACACGCCCTTGCGCAGCCGGTTCACGCTGCCCAGCGGCTGCAGCGACGCGAGGCCGTACCAGGGATCCAGACGCATTTGGTCGCGCCAAAAGTTGACTGTGCAAGAGCCGCAGTCAGAGTGACCGAAATGCGCTCGAGGTGCCAGCCACGCCGGCCTCAGCGACTCAGACTCACCTCGCTGGGGCAGGAAGCACTCCTGAGGCGGCACGCTCAGCCGCGCAATCGTCTGGTACGGGAACTTGTCCTGCGGCCATTCGACGCGCGCATCCTCGACGGGCTGCTGCTCGAGATCCTCGAGCAGTTGCGCTTGCAGCTGAGTTTGGCAGATGAAAGGTCAGCAAAGTGAGAAGGGGCCAGAGCAGCTCCGGTCGGCCGCAAAACGCTCACCTCCCACGTCGCCGTGTTCTGCTGCAGGAACTGCTCTAGATTTTGCCGCAGGCCCGTCTTCTCGTTGGTCTCCTCTGGCAGCTCCTTGGCCTCGAGCGCCTTCTGTGTGTCGCCTACAGGCACGAGGGCCAGCTTTGCCACATAGTCGCCAAAGCGCATCGCCGCCTGGCTGTACTGGCGGTGCGCCACGAGCGGCGTGTTGGGGATCTCGTCGCGCGCCTTTTGCACTGCGTAGTCGTCGCGCTTCTTCAGCTCGGCTTGCAGCGCCGAGGCGTCGTCGCTGTGCTTCAGACGCAGGCCGATCTGGCAAAAAGGCCGTGTCAGCTGGCTGACGCGCGCGAGGAGTAGTCGGCGCTGCCACGCGACTCACGATGTCACGCGTGACGCGGGCGTTGCCAAGCTCTGTATTGAGAGACAGACGTCGTGCTCAGCCAAGTGACAACGGTGCTCTGCGTGCATGGCAGCGGCAGCTCACCGATCGCGGTTGCATTGTTGAACTCGAGGTCCTGTGCCAGAAGGCTGTTGTCAGCACTCGTTCAACACCTCAGCCCAAGCAGGACACGCGCCTCACCTGCGTGCGCGGATCCTTGCCGTCCTGGCGCAGCTTCTCGCCGTCGACGTTGAAGACCTTGATTGCCATGCCTCTCGGCGCACGCTGCGTGTCCGGCACGAGGTCCGTTGGCTCTGAACTGAAGCGAATGGCGACGGGGTACGTCGCTTGCTTGGCGAACATGCTCTGTGCGAGGTGCGCCGGCAGGTTCGGCAGCACCTCCAGCGAGCCCTTGACGACGCCGTGCGTCTTGACGTGCGTGCCGGTAAACGCATGGTGGTGCGCATCGCGCACGCGTGTCTGCGACTCGTTGATCTGCGCACACACCTCGGCAATCAGCGCATCCTCCTCTGCGCCTGCGCCGTGCTCGACGCCCGCAGCGTCCCAGCGCATGTACTTGTCGGCTGTCATGCTTGTTCCGTGGTGATGTGGTGTGCTGCAGAGAAGCGACGGTGAGCGCCTTCCGCCTTGTGTTGTGGAGAGGCCTCCTCATCCGCCCAATGCTGCCTCTCCTCCACACGTCACCGCGAGATGCGGCTTAGCGCCGCGTCGGACGCCGATCGAGGCGCGAGATGCCGCAGGGTGCGCGTCCGATCCGGCGGTGCGGTACCGCGTGCCACAGCGGCAGCGTCTTGATGTGGAGCTGCAGGAGAGCTCCTCCTCCCTCAGAGACTGCCGCACAGCCAGTGAGCGTGGTCCTGTTGCGATGCCGCCGGTGGGGACTGCCCGCGCTTGATTGGGCTGCGGCGGCCGCATGGTCCATGCTTGTCGAGGGAGGCTTGGTGTCAATCGTGCTCCACCCTTGTCCCAGCTGCGACCCCTCTGCTCAGCGTCACAGCGCCACGAGCGGCAGGGTGACCTCTTCGCACGCCGCATCCAGCCGCAGCGTCTCGAGCCACGCCAGCAGCTCATCGTCGTCGTCGTCGTTGTCGTTGAGCGTCGCGGGTGCCGCGGCGCGCAGCTGCGCCAGGGCACGCTGCTGGCGAGCTTGCAGGCGCCGTCGAATGAGCGCCAGCAGCGTCTCGCGACATGTGCGCTCATCTGCCGCCGCAGAAGCGACGCCAGCATCATCGCCCTCGAGCTTGGCGGCAACTTCGGCCAGCGCAGCGTGCGGCACGCTGAAGGCATACAGCACCGCTTCCTCGCGCTGTGCCGTGGCAGTGGCCGGCGCAGTCTGGAGCAGCAGCGCCTGGAAGAGCACCAGCGGCGCATCGCTGAGATTGTTGGGCGCCGCTGCGTCCCATTGCGTCTCCTGCGGCGCAGTCGGCAGTGGCACTTGAGCCACGAGCTCTGCGGAAGGCGTGGCGGCGCAGTCGAAGTCGTGTGGCCCGAGACAGTAGAGCACGCTGTAGCCTAGCAGCCAGCCCGCCAGCGCCACGCCAGCTTCGCGCGGGCCGCCTCGCAGGAAGAGTAGCCGGCCTGCTGCTTGCTGCTGCTGCTGCTGCTCGGCCGACGCAAGGCGCTGGCAGGCAGCGAGAAGAGCGTCGAGCAGCGCTCGGGACGAGGCAGGTAGCGCCGGCTGGTGTGCGAGGTGATGCGCTTCAGCTTACGCCTCAAGTGCGAGAGAACAATCGGGACAAGTCTCTCTCACCAGCACAGATCCAACGCTGCTCTCGGCACGCACATCGACGCAGACTGGCTGTTGTGTCGGCTGAGCGGCGCAACGCAGCACCTCGTCGACGTTGAGCACGCCCAGTGCGCCGCTCGGCTGATGCAGCCAGACGAGTAGATGGGCATTGAGCGGCGCAGTCCAGCGGCGCAATGCTGCAGCCAGAGCGTGCGCTGCGCTGCTGGGCAGCGAGAGAAGGATGGCAGAGCGCAGCCCGAGGGAGAGGAGGAGCAGCTCGTCAAGGAGCGCAGCGCGAGCTGGAGCACTCAGCAGACTGCGACTGCGAGCGGGGAAGTGCGCCTTGAGCAGCGCGTCGAGCGCGGCGCGCGTGCGTGAGGGGACACGCATGGCTTGAATGAGCGCTGTGTGCTGCGATCTCTGCGGGAAAGGCTCGCTGGTGAAGGCCGAGAGAGGTGATGGACGTCGGGAAGCAAGGATGCGCGGGCGCGTCGGCTGCTCGGCACGTCCGCGCCTGAGCCGACACCCGCCCGCCCCTGCTGGAGGAGCTCGGCATTGCGTCTGATGCTCAGACAGGACGCAGCCGATGCAGAACGGCAGAGCGTGCGCTTCTGCAAATCTGTGATGGCTCACGAAGCCTGCACGAGGCGCGTATGGTGCCCCAGCAACCCCCACTGCGCACTTGCCGGCAGGCTGCTCAGGCGACGAGAGGGTCATCATGACGATTACAGCAACAAGTGAACACGGAGGGCGTAGGGAGCACAGAGAATCATCGAAGGACAAGGAGGGAGCATGACTGCCCTGCTTGCCGCTGCCATTCTCAGCACTTTGCGCCCCCGCACACGCGCGCTCCCTCGGGCAAGTCCTGTGCCTCCTTGTGCGCCACGCCTGCCTTGCCCGCCATGCGCTCGATGATGGCTCTGAAGCACTGTGCGTCTTGCGCGCCGGGGATCTCGGCGACGGCACGCAGCGCCTCGGGCTCGCCGGCCTCCAGCTCGAAGAAGGGCACGCCGGTGATGCCCTTGCTGCGCGCGCGCTCGAAGCCCGACGTCACCTCTGCAGCCTGCTCTGAGCCGCGCAGCCAGGACAGGGCGGCGTCGACGGAGGGGAAGAGATGGGCGTCGGTGGCGAGCTTGGCGAGCTCCTCGTGCGATCTGGGACGCAGTGCGTGTCAGCACTGCGGGGACAGCGGCACAGGCTCTGATCCAGCTAGCCGCCCAACTCACCCAGGGTCGCCTCGTCGCTCAAAGTAGTGCGGAAAGAGCTCCTCGAGCAGCCGGAGCTGCGCCTCCCACCCACCCTGGGCATAGGCGTGCGAGAGCAGGCGGTGCGAGTCAAACGTGTTGCGCAGCGGGCCGTCATAGTCGCTGTGGAGGCGAGTGTGGGGGTCAGCTAGGCAGCGCACGGCGGCAAGCAGCAGAGGCACTACCGGCCTCGGGGCTGGCATTCGAGTCGTCCACCCATGCCGCCCCCAAGACGGCAGCGGCGTTGCCTGGCAGGCAAGGGACTCACAAATGAATGCCCTCCTCTGCGCCGCGCTCCTTCATCATGCTCTCCATCTGCACGAAGCGCGGGCCAAACTTGCGCATGTAGCGCTCGCGCTTGTCGACGGCCTGCGCCTTCGGCAGCGTCGGGTCGAGCTGGTATGGCAGGAAGTGCAGCTGTGGCGCAAATACGGCCTCGGCGCCGGAGGTGTAGGGCGAGGTACGCAGCGCGGCTTGCAGCTTGCGCAGACCGATGAAGCAGAACGGACAGACTGTGCGAGGTGAGTGAGTGGACGAAGCGGGAGAAGGAACGTGCCACGCACTGTTGTCCGACGTCACGGCGATGCGCAGCGGGATGAGCGAGGCGGCGGGCATGGCGGGGCGCAGCGACGGCGAGGCGAGGACGAGGCGAGAAGGAGGTGCAGGAGGCGCGCCACGGCAAGCGAGCGCAGGTGACGAGAGCAGCGCCGAGAGAGCAGGCGTCAGGGGCGTTGTGCGGAGAGAGCGGCAACACGTGAACACAGAAGGCAAGATGAAGCGATAGGAGGGAGTGGCGATGTGGTGGATGCGGAGGTGGACTGAAGAGGGCCGGAGAGAGGCAAGGGCAACGAGCCATCATCAGACGAGCGCCGCTCCGGCCGAGAGCGCCCTCGCCGTGCCGGGCGGCGGCACGCCTTGGCAGCCCGGCACGCGAGCGTGTGGAGCGGCGCGGCGCGCGCCTCGGCCACCGCCGGATGCGCCCGGCACGCTTTCCCGGCGTCCGGGCGTGGGCCCCTCTCCTTCTCCTCTCGGCCGCAGCAGCAGCCGTCTCGTCCGCAGCCGCCTGCCCCTCTCCGCGCTCCGCCGGTCGCTGCAGCCGTTGCTCGTCGAGTGGCGGCCTCGACAGGACAGCTGCGGCGCAGAGCCTTGCCTCCATCTCGGCAGCGCTCTGCCGAGAGCGTCGTACGTGCCTCTCATTGACTGGCCGGAGCTCGCGGCAACTCCAGCCGTAACGATGTGCTGCTGCGCCTGTCGCATCCTGGCGTGCCTGGCGCAGACGCGGGAGCTCGCAGCCTAGCTTGCGCAAGAGACGAGATTGCGCCGTCGTCCGAGCTGCGCCTGCATCTGGATGGACGGCAGCACACCGACAGGCCCACCCGAGCTGCCAACGGCCGCGGGTTCGCCGGCCGGACTTAAGCGCTGGCGCCGCTGATCCTTGGCGTGCTGCTCCCACGCCCTGCTGGCGCACATCACGCACTGGTACGCGCCGCGCGCCCGTGCGCTCCGCTCCGCTCCGAGCCGCTCCGCCGTCCTGGCACCATCCCCGCCTCTCAGCAGACATGAGCGCAACACCGGCACCTGCACCTGACACGAGCGTTTTCGGCGGCGGGCCCGCGTCCAGTCTGGGCGCCTTTGCCCAGCTCGCGAGCCGCGCCGACGTGGCTGGTCTCGTGGCCGTCGTCACGGGTGGCTCGTAAGTCGAGCTTGGCCCCTGCCCTGCCGTGTCGTGCGACTGATGACCCATGCGATGCGCGCTTGACCAGTGCTGGACTGGGCCTGTATGCCGCGCAGGCATTGGCACTCAGGTCAGCCGCCCGGCCGGCTCAGCGCGCAAAAGCCAAGTCTCTGCTGACGCGCTTGTCTCGCTGCCTGGCCCGCTCAGCGGCGCACAAGTGTACATCCTTGGCCGGCGAGCCGAGGTGCTCGAGGCGGCAGTAGCTAGCATTCCAGTTGTACGTCGAGAGCCTGCGGTGGGATCATGTCCGTGGCTGAGTGTGTCTTCTGACCCCCTCCCCCCCCTCAGGACTCGCCGGGCAAGCTGGTGGCTGTTCAAGGTGCGTCGTGTGCTCTTCCACGTGCGAGGACTCTCTGCGTAGCCTAGTAGCGCTGACGACTGCCTGAATGCGCAAGCCGACGTCACGTCAAAGGCGTCAATCGCTAGTGCTGTACAGACCATCAGTGCAGCGCAGGGCGAGCGAGGCATCGACCTTCTCCTTTGCAACGCCGGTGCGTCCTTTGCTCCTTTCTCGAGGCGCGGCTTCTGCGTGAGTTGCAACCTCGCTGATTGACACTTCCCCACAAGGCATCGCCGGACGCTTCATGGTGCGTCATGCTCGCTACATCACACTCCTGCCTAGTCTCTCAACTAGCATGCGTATGCTCTTGCAGGACAACTACGGCAAAGGCGGCTTCGACACGACCAACTTTGAGCAGATGCAGTCGGAGCTCGACTCGTTCACCGAGGAAGAGTTCAGCGAGATGTGCGTTGTCCTTTGCCGCGTTGACCTCCGTTCCTCCGCACCGGCTGACGCCTGCTACGCAGCTTCAAAGGCGAGCCGCGCCTCAGACTCGACGCCTCATCATTGGGCCCCCGCCGACAGTCTCGCTCACGCGGGCACCACAGTCAACACGCTCGGCCCCTACCTCTGCTCAACGGCCTTCCTACCGCTGCTCAAGCAGGGCACGGCGTGGCATGCCACGCAAGCGGCGGGCGCATGGCCGCGCTACACGAGCCAGGTCATGCTCGTCAGTTCCAATGCGGCGGTGATCAAGTGAGAGATAGAGAGCGCGTGTCTAGCAATGCTGACTCTCGCAGCTGACACACCTCTGCGCAACCAGGCTCCCGTATGTTGTGCTTTCGGCTTGACTCTGACAGTCTTGACTCATGCCTCTGCCCTCGGCTCGCGATCTAGCATCATCAATGCTCTCTAGTACGTCCTCTGCTCTCTCCGCATTCTCTGTTCTGACGCCATTGCTGTCCCACAGCAACATGTCCAAAGCAGCGACGTCGCACTTTGGCGCCATGCTCTCGACGATGCTGGCCGAGAGCGGCATCCGCTGCAACACGCTCGAGCCCGGCCTCTACCCTTCCGACATGACGGCCGCCCAGGGCGCACGGCACGCGGCGACGGGACATCGAGAGCTCGAGGGCACTAACGGTGCTGCGATTCCTGCGGGCCGCGCGGGTTGGCCACACGAGTGAGGCAGCAGACTCAACTCGGGGCGCACGCCGGGACTGAAACACTTCGACTGACGCCCGCCCGACAGACACGCAGCCTCGGTGCTCTACCTCGCCTCGCGCGCCTCGATCTTTGCCAACGGCACGCGCCTGCGCGTGGATGGCGGCGCCGTGCAGAAGGTGCGTCTGTGCCGTACTTGGTGCCAGCCGAAGAGGCATGAAGCTGATGAATACACCTCGGCGCAGGTGCCGGCGACGGACTGAGCGGCGCAGCACGAGAGCCGAGCGGACAGCGAGAAGCTGCTGCGATGGGCAGTGGCGATGAAATAGAAAGATGCGTGCTGAGGCGACGTCTGCGGGCAGAGACGGTGGTGGTGGTGGTGTGAGAGTCAGACGAGCTCGAGGCGGCCGATCGAGCTGGGCGCGCCTCACGCACGGGCCGCCGCCGCGGTGGGCAACTTCAAGGCGCGCCGGCGAGCGGCTTTCCTTCCTGCATTCATCTCCTCTCGAGTCGCCCATCGCACCCCACGCCGCGGCCTGGCCCCCGCTCTCGCGCCCTTCCGGGCCAGCTCATCTGCTGCGGCTCAGCGTCCGCGTGTCGGCGCGCCGGCGGCCATGGCCAGTCCGCCGTCGCTCGTGACGCCGCGGCGCTCGCCGCAGCGCTCCCTCACCGCCCTCACCGCCACGTCCGACCCACGCGCGCCGCACAGCGATGCCGGCGGCAGCAGCAGCGCCGGCTATCTGCCGCAGCGCACCAGTCTCTCGAGCCTCGATGCCCTTCAGACGGCCCGCCCTGCCGCGGCGCCGCCGTCGCAGGGACGCTCGGCCCTGACGCACACACAGCAGCACGGCGCGCCCACGCGCGAGGCCACGCCCGAGGAGGAGGAGCGCAACTCGACAACGTTCTATCGCAGCTGCCAAATCAGCCTCATGGAGCCCGTCGGCAGCATGAGCATCAGTCCGGGTGAGTGCGGCAGCCGAGCGTGGGCAGCGCCATGCCCGGCGCTCTGGACTCTGATGCCTGCCCGGCAGCGAACCGCGACGTGGTGCTGGCGGCGCGCAAGGGCCTCTTCATCGTCGACCTGGAGAATCCGTACGACACGCCGCGCTTCCTGGCGCACTCGAGCCGCTGGGAGGTGGCCGACTGCCAGTGGAACCCGCACCCGGCGCGCGCGCACTGGGTCGCGAGCACGTCGAACCAGAAGCTGCTCGTCTGGAACTTGGACCGCCCCGAGTCGCAGCTGCATCCGCCGGCGGCAGCGCAGCCCGTGCATCTTCCCTCTGCTGCCTCTCTGCGCGGCATGTCAGGCGCCACGGCCGCCAGCATGCCCTCGTTGCCGTCGTATCGGCAGCCTGCGACGGCAGCGGCGGCGCCGCGCATCTCGCGCTCGTCGGCGGTGGAGCATGTGCTGCATGCACATGGCCGCGGCATCACGGACATCAATTGGTCGCCCTTCCACCCCGACGTGCTGGCGTCGTGCGGCATTGACAGCTGGACGTGGGCGTGGGACATGCGCGATCCGGGCCGCCCAAAGCAGGGCTACAGCGCGTGGAACGCGGCGGCGACGCAGGTCAAGGTGAGTTTGCCTCGAGCGTCGCTGCCGCCGAGCGCTGGCAAGCTCAGTGTGGTCGCTTCCTCAGTGGAACCGAGCGTCGCCGCATCGCCTCGCTACCTCGTGCGACAACAAGGTGCTCATCTGGGACGACCGCAAGGGCGCGTTGCCGCTGGCGACGATCGAGGCGCACGAGTCCAAGATCTATGGCATCGACTGGTCGCGCGACACGTCGCTGGGGCTGGATCGGCTCATCACCTGCTCGCTCGACGGCTCGGTCAAGTACTGGGACCTGGCGAGTCCTGCAGCACAGCGAGCCGTCGGACATCGCGAGCTCGTGACGGAGCCGGAGGCGGTCATTGAGACGCCTACGCCTGTCTGGCGAGCCCGGCATCTGCCCTTTGGCAGCGGCATCATGACGCTGCCGCAGCGAGGCGACACGTCGCTCAGCATGTGGTCCAAGGAGCGGCCCGATGCGCCCGTCGAGCGCTTCGTGGGACATCGCGACATCGTCAAGGAGTACCTCTTCCGCACGCGCGGCGGCAACAACCGCGACAACGACGACCGCGAGTGGCAGCTGCTGACGTGGAGCAAGGACCAGACGCTGCGGCTCTGGCCCGTCAGCGAAGAGGCCACGAGAGTGAGTCGCAGCAAAGCGTCTGCGCCGGGCCGATCACTGATCCCTTGCGAGCACAGGCAGTCGGACACAAGCCGGGCGGCCGCATCAACGTGCTCCACACGCGCGCCAACGCTCGCGACATCTCGTTCCGCAACCCTCCGTCCGATGCGCAAGCACACACGCGCATGGAGTCGGCCGATCAGACGCCAGCGACAGCATCGTCGATTCTGCCGCCCACCGACGCCACCTGGTCGCTGCTGAGCGGCCGAGGCAGCGGCACACGTCTGAGCGGCACGTCGCCGTACGGCTCGTCTGCGATGGGCGGCGCCGGCGGCAATGGCAGTCCTAGCGGGCCGCTCAGCTCCAGCCTGGGCCACACCGCGGCGGCCAGCTTCAGCAAGCATGCCCGCAGCTTCTCCGACCTCGCCGGCGCAGAGGGCAACTGGCAGCTGCCGCTCTCGCGCTCCGCCGGCGCCCAGGCTCCGGGCAGCAGTCTGGCGGCACCCGTGCCGGCCACTCGCACACTGCGCCACAGCAGCTCGTACCAGCGCCCCGCCGTGGGCTCGGCGACGATGTCTGCCGGCTCGCATGTGCTGGGCCAGTCGCAGCGCAGCTCGCTGCATCGCATGGACACCAACGAGCGCCAGCGCGAGGCGCTGCGGCGCAAGCAGGGCAAAGAGCCGGAGCGCGAGCGCGACAAGGAGCGCCGGCAGCGGCGCCGCGAGCAGGGACGGCATAGGCAGCAGCAGGAAGAGCACGCTGCGGCCGCCTCGGCGGGCTTCATGACGCGCGGCGCCGGCGGACAGGCAGAACAGTGGGGCATGGGCTCTGCGCGCATGCGCCCAAAGCGAGGCGCTGGCTTTGACGCCGTAGGCTGGATCTCGGGCATCCGCATGCAGCCCGAGACGCGGCGGCCGCGCAGGACGGAGCGAGAGGAGGGCAATGGCTCGTCGTCGGCGCGAGGCATGTCGGGCTCGCGCGCCACGCTCACCGGCAATGCCGAGGCGCAGCTCTCCGAGAGCGAGGCGGGCGCCACGACGGACCATGAGCTTGATGCGCCCGATGCGGCGCAGACACTCGGCGAAGAGGTCATGGCGATCAGCAAGTACCTCAGTCGCGTGACCTTTGAGCGGGTGAGTTGCGCCTCTCTCTACGCGTGCGTGGAGCACTCAAGTTGCTCACACCGCCCGCCCTTGCAGATCGAGATCGCACAGCGCACTTGCACTTGCAGTCTGTACGGGCCGTGGGGCATCGAGCGGGGCATGCCTGCGTTTCTGCGCGTCACATTCGTCTATCCCTCGGCCTACCCCGCCAAGGCGCCGCGCTTCGAGCTGGAGCACAACGCCTCGGTGCCGCTCAAGACGCGAGCCTTCCTGCTGCGCAACCTGTCGGCCATCCTCGGCACGCACGCGCGGCAGCAGGTGGCGCATGCGATGGAGGAGGAGCTCGAGTCGCTGGCGGGCACGGCGAGCGTCAGCGAGGCGGCCACGGCGCCGCTGTACACGGGCGTGCCGAGCATGGAGGCGTGCCTGCGCTTCTTGCTCGGCGAGTCGCTGGCGGCGGATACGGTGCCAGGCACGCCGGGAGTCGCTCCGCCGCTTGTCAATGACACGGAGGACGAGTCGGAGGATGAGGAGGCGGTGCTGCAGCTGCGCCTGCCGCCACAGACATGCGGCGCCTCCTTTGGGCCCAACGGTGAGCTGATCGTGGCGCCGGCGCTCCGCAGCGCCTTGCCGGGCCAGAGCTGACGCGCTTGCAAACTCAGGCGAGCTCGTCACGTTCTCCTCACACCACATCTCGCCGCGCCTCGTGGGCAGCGTGCCTCTGGCGGCACTGGCCGGCTCGACGACGGGCAGTGTGCTCGGCTCCGTCACCGACGCCAGTGCGGCCGGCGCCGCCGACGGCGCGCGCTTCCTGCACTCCTACGGCGCCCTCTCGAGCGCCATGGCGAGCCTGGCGCGCCTGGCGACACACGATGGCGCCGACGGCGTTGGCGATCTCGACGTGGTGCAGCTCATCAACTCGGAGTTTCTGCGTCGTCGCGTGAGTTGCTCATCGTTGCTCGCCGCCGAGTCGCGCCTCCTACTGACGGGCCCACACTTGCGTGCACAGCTGCAAAGGTCCGAGAGCAAGAGCCGCAGCTCCAAGGGGCGCAGCCGCAGCAAGATGCGCGCCAACATGGGCCTGCTCGACTCGGGCAGCGTGCAGCCGCGGCGCTCGCGCTCCACGAGTCCCTTTCCGCGCTCGATGCCCGCGCTGGGCAGTGGTGGCATGATGCGACCTTCGACGAGCGCTCGCATCTCGCCGCACACACGAGCTCCTCCAGGCAGCAACGGCAGCGCAGGAGGCTGCACGGTGCGCATCTACGACCTGCGGCAGCTCGAGCCGATGCGTCCCATGCTGCTCGGCTCGCCGCACGTGCCGCGCCGCCGCTCCAACTTGCTGCCCGGCTCGCCCACGACGACGCCGACCAACGAGCGGCGCGACCCGCTCGCCTCGGTGCTGCTGATGCGCGGCGCCTCGAGCAGCAGCCATGCCAGCAACGGCAGCAGAGCAGCAGCAGTGCGCCCCGCCTCGCCGCGCTCGACGACGATCCGCGCGCCGGCGCCCCTGCCGCGCCCGTCGTCGTCGCTGCAGCGCGCGGCGGCCGCCGAGCTCATGAAGCCTTCCTCCGATCCCTCTGCATAGAACTTGCCCCCACCCCATCACTGCTGCCTGCTCCTCCCATGCCGCTCTCCCGTGCTGCTCTCACATACCAATTCGCATATCGCACCCGCTGCTGCGCGCAGCACAGCTCCAGGACGATCAAGATTCAGGGGGAAGGGAGGGGTGACACGCAGGCTTGCTAGGCGCGAGAAGACGTCCGTCCGTCGGCGGAAGCGAGGCCCTCTCACATGAGAGCCTCGCGCACGCGCTGCTGGTTCGTCCGCAGCCTGTGGGGGAGAGAGACAGACATCAGCGATCTGCAGCGCGCCGCGGGGCGAAGCGCTGGAGAGTCGGAGTGAAAGAAGGGGCGGGGGTGGAGGGTGGGGAAGAAGCACTCACCGCTCATTCTCCACCTCGAGCTCCCGGATCCGCGCATCGCGCTCCGCCAGCTGGCGCTTGAGCTTCTCGAGCTCCTTGCGCGCCTCTGCGTCGCCTGCTCCGCTCGCTGCCGCAGCCGACGCGGGCGCAGAGGCAGCCGCCGCAGACGCAGCGTGGCCATTCTCGCGCAGCGCCGCAAAGGTGCTCTTCTGCGGCGAGGCGGCGCGCTGCTGCGTGGCCGGCTCGGGCGCCTTGGGCGCGGGCGCAGGCGCAGGCTGCGCAGCCGGCGCGGCAGCTGCAGACGCAGGAGCGGGCGCGGCGGCGGCAGACGTGCTGTTCGACGGCGCAGAGGCGAAGGAGGCCGTGGCAGCTGGTGCGGAGGCGGGAGCAGGCGCACTGCGCGGCGCACCAGCAGAGGCAGCCGAGGGAGCGGCGCCGCTGCTCTTGACGCCGCTGCCATCCTCCAGACTGACAAGGTTGGGCTGGGCCGTCTTGCCCGCGAAGAACTCGGCGGCGCTGAGAGCGGGCTTACTCGAGGGCGCTGTGGGAGGCGAGATCACACGCTGTTGTTCAGCACACTGGCTGCCTTGGAAGTGAGAGGAGAGGAAACACAAACAGACGCACCAGGAGGGAAGATGTCGCTCTGGAAGCTCTCGGCTCGTCGCGGCACGAGGAAGCTGATCGGCTGCACCATGTTGCCCGTCACCTTGTACGCGCGTGCGATCTGGTTGGCAGATGAGCATCGTCAGCTGCTGCCATCTTCTCGCCGCCTGATCCCCTCCATCCCTCCTCTCCGCGCCAGCGGCCACGCCCACTCACCTCGTTCTCATCCGCGTTGAGCGCCCTCCGCGGCACAAACGTCAGGCCCCGCTGCGGCTCCGTGCTCTTGTACTCCGTCAGGTAGTGCAGCTCGTCATTCTCCAGCTCGTAGTAGCGGATGTTGCCGTCGCCCTTGCCGGCGAGGAAGCAGATGTTGTTGTCCGACCAGAAGGGCATGATGACGCCGGAGGAGGAGTCCAGGACAATTTGCTCTGGAGGAGCGCGGGCGTGAGAGGAGAGAGAGAGAGCAATGAGGAGGAGACGTACTGAGCGGCTTGCTGATGTTGGTGGAATCCCAGAGGAACAGTTGCCGGTCACTCATCTTGCTGAAGCCTGCAAAGCGCGCGCGTATGTGAGCCTCTTCTGTCCCACTTTCCCCCCCCCCCCACCCCACCCCATCCCTCTCCCGCTTTGCATCGCCCTCCCTGCCACCTCTCTCGACTCACCCGTCGTGATGAAGCGATCCAGCTGTCCGCACCAAGCGACGCGTGCGCCCTTGATGCCGCCATGGCTCTCGGCCTCCTGCACCGCCTTGCCTCCTTTGCGCGTGTCAAACGTGCGCAGCTTGCGGTCTCTGCACGTCGCCACCAGCGTCGTGCCCGTCCAGTCAAACGCCAGCGACTGGATCGAGTCGCTGAAGCCCGTCATCTCGACTTGGGCGCCGTCGCCGCCCGCCTCGACGTCGTACAGCTTGATGACGTGGTCGCCCGTCGCGGCGGCCAGCACGTGGTTGGCGACGGGGTGGAAGAGGACTTGGCCGACTTTGCTGCGAGCGAGGATAGATGCAATCAGCATCCTGCCTCTTCCTCCAGGCCTCATCGACATTGTTTCTGCCCCCCCTCTGGCCGTGCCTCGCCGTGCCTCACTCACCGACCTCCGCCATGCAGCTTCCTCAGCGGCTGCAGATCCTTGACTCCGCCGGCCTTCTCCCTCTCCTTCTCACTCAGATCCAGCACACTCCAGTCCTCCTCGTTGGCGCGCCAGAGGCCCACGGTGCCGTCGTCGCTGGCACTGGCGACAAAGGCATCGTCAAAGGGCGAGAAGGCCGTGTCGAGCACCGAGGCGCTGTGGCCGCGGCAGAGCGGGTAGATGTCGGGCAGCTTGCCCGTGCGCGCCACGGGGATGAGGGCAAAGGCGCCGCCGCCCGACGCGGCCCAATTGACGGAGACGAAGCGCCCGTTGCCGGCGACGAGGTTGGTGTCCCATGCCTGGCGGCGCACAGCAAGGCATCAGCAGCAGCGCTCAGCGCAGCGCAAAGTTGCTGAGTGGCAGCAAGCGAGGCAGACTTACATTGTTCGACACCTGCGCGCGACAGCCACACATGAGAGAGAGAGAGGGAGAGCAACGTCAGCGCAATGTGGGCGCCAGCGCATGCTCGGCGCCCGCACCTTGATGTTGTCGTAGAAGTCCTCCTTGCGCGCCGCCGTGCCGTACACGTGGCGGTACTTGGAGGGCCGTACGAAGCGGCTCATGGTGTGAGTGGGCGTGAGGGCGCGATGGGGCTGGATGGGCAGAGTCGGTGGATGGGTGAGAAGGAGAAGGAGGCGGAGAAGGAGGCGGCAAAGGAGCCGTGCGCGCGCGCGCGAGACGACGCGGCCAGCGCATGCACCGCCGCTTGCTGCTCCACCCTGCACCATCAGGCACACTGGCGCAGTGCCCGACGCCCGACGCCCGCCTCATCGCGTGCCTGGCGCGGCGCCATCTCCGCACTGCCACGCGCGCGCGCCGCGCGTGCTCTGCTGCCCCTGCGCCCGCATGCGTCCGCACCCAGCACGCAGCCCAGCATGCACACCGCACATCTGCGCTACGCACCTCAACGCAGCCAACGTCTCGCGAGAGAGAGAGAGAGAGAGAGAGAGAGAGAGAGAGAGAGAGAGAGATCTCGCGGCAGCTTCGCGCACGGCACAGTCCTGGCGCTGCTCGGCTGCCCTCGCGCGCCGCGCCGCGCACATCCACTCGACTGACGCCCGCGCCCGTGCTCCCTCGCGCGCGTGCACGTGACGCACCCTCACCTCCGCGGAAATCGCCGCCTGACAGCTCCCACGCCCGTCGGACGCCCGGACCACCGTCTCTTCTAGCCCGCCTCGCTCGCCGTCTGTGCTGACCGTGTCTGTGCTACAGTCGCACAAAGGCTGCGCAGATGCTCCAGAGTGTCGTTCTAGCTGGCAGCTCGCAAGCAGGTGCGGCCGTTGGCGCTGCAGCACGGCCGCTCGCGTGCCGCGACGCAGGCAGGCCGCGGCGCGGCGGCGGCGGCGAAGCTCATCGCGCGCGCTGCAGCGGCGGCACTCGACTTCGGCTGCTGCTGGCAGCTCGCCGGGCCTGCGTCCCTCCACCACTTGCTCACCCTCACACACACCCACCTGCCTCACTCCTCAGCCGCACCTCTCGTCGCTGCGCGCAGCCGCTGCACTGCCTCTCACCTCGACCCGTCGCTGTATCTTTCCCCGCCTGCCCGCCGGCTCGGCGCCGCATGGGCACTCCCGTGCTGAGCTCGGCCGACATGCCGCCGCTGCCCGGCAGCAGCGGCGGCGGCGGCGGCGGCTATGCCGCGGTGCGGCCGACGTCGGTGCTGCTGCTGCGCACGCCCGTGCCGCCCAGTGCCGGCACCGATCCGTACCACGACGTCTTTGGGCCCTTCTGCCTGCCCTCCTTTCCCCTCAGCGCCCTCGAGTCCGGCTCCTCGACGCCGCTGCCGCCGCCCGTGAACCCGCACGCGCTGGGCCGCGAGGGCGCCGACATCCTCAAGTCGGCGCTGCAGAGCTCCGCCACGGGCCGCCGCCGCGGGCGCTGGATCGCCGACGACGACAGCCTCACGACGACGCACCTGGCGCGCGACGGCGACGACGAGCGCGAGTGGTGCGTGTCCAGCATCCCGATTCTCGGACACCGCCTCGTCGAGACGCACGAGCTGGCGCGCCGCATTCTTGCCGGGCCCGTCGACGCGGCAGGCCAGCAGGCGGCGGGCGCCAAGTATCGCGGCGTGGTGGTGACGTCGCAGCGGGCCGTCGACGCTTGGGGCGAGGCGGCGCAGGAGGTCTCCCAGGAGCTGCGGGATCGGGCCGCAAGGGAAGGCCGGCCGGCTGCGCCTACGACATTGTGGCAGCGCACGCCCTTCTTTGCCGTCGGCCCGGCGACTGCGACAGCGCTGCGGCAACTCGGGCCCAGTCTTCCACAGCAGCTGCGGCCGGCACTGGTGATGGGCGGCGGCGCGACGGGCACGGGCGAGGCGCTCGCCAACTACGTGACGCGGCATTTCGGGCCGCTCGACAGCGAGGCCGAGGCACCCGCGCCCATCCTCGTGCTCGTGGGCGACAAGAACGCACCGACGATTCCGGACATGCTGCGCGCCAAGGGCTACCCGCTCGAGGTGCAGCAGGTGTACGAGACGTGTCTCGACGAGGGCTTCGATGCTTACTGCGAGGCGCTGAGCCGCACGCTGCCCGCCATCAGCTCGCGGCCGGGCTCGCGCAGACCAAGCCGCTCCGGCAGCTTTGGCTCGGGCCGGCGGCCGAGCTTCGGCGTCTGGGCCGAGCGGCGCGGCTCTGGTGCAGGCACGCCCAGCGACAACGGCCCGACGGCTGCTCTGGGTGCGCTCGGCGGCGGCACCACGCCGCTCGGCGGCATGACGCCCTTCTCCTCCATCGCCGGCGGCGTGCGACGCTCGGGCAGTCCGCAGCAGATGGCGCCGGGCGGCAGTGTCGTCGAGGATGAAGATGCGCTGCCGCTGGACTCGGACATCGGCCTGAGCACCGGCACAGGCACCAAGCCCGACTGGCTCGTCTTCTTCTCGCCCTCGGGCCTGCAGTACGCGCTGCCGACTCTGCGAGCGCGGCGCTGGCTGCCGCCGGCCGATGCCCCGGCACATCCGGCACTCTCGGCAGGCGCGCCGGATGGCTTCCCACGCGTCGCCTGCCTGGGCCCGACGACGAAGCGCGCCGTCAAGGAGCTGCTCGGCTTCGCGGCCGATGCCGTGGCCTCGGCGCCCGAGCCCGTCGAGCTGCGCGAGGCGATCCGCGGCGCCGAGAGCCGCATTCGGCGGGAGCGCGAGCGCTGGGCTGAGAAGCAACGGGCGGAGCGCGAGGAGCGCGAGGAGCGCCGCAACAACCCGGACCCGGACAATCTCATCGAAATGGACACGAGCGCCTAGCGTGCTTGCGCTTGCTGTCCGCCCGATGCTCCACCACTACCCTGCTCCTCACTCGCCCTCATCTCTCTCCTCCATCTCCGCTTTGGCGCCGGGCCCGATGCATGCTCGATGCCCTCCCGCCTCTCCGCCAACTCTGCTCCCATGTTCTTGCGCGTTCGGATCACATCCCCCCTTTTCCTCTCACGCCCATCTCATGTCACGTTCTTCCGGTCACGAAGCACACACCATCGATTCTGCATCGCTGCTGAAGCGCGCTGCGCTGCACCACTGCCGGCCCGTGGGCACCGACGGCGAGGCGGCGTCCGACGCAGCCGTCCTGGCACGGCGCCGCCTGGGCACGTCGCACGTGCTCGTGATCAAGGACAGCAGTGTCGCACGCAGGGCACAGCACGCTCCCAGCGCCTGCTGCTCCGTCCTTTGCGCCTGTCTCCGGACAAGCGGCGCTGCCGAGGTAGTTCTTGGCGCTGCGTTCCTGACCGGCATCTACCTCTGACGAGTGTGGCGCCGCCAGTTGGCTGCTTAGCCGGCCCGGCAATCTGGCACGATGCTTCACGGCGCAAGCGCGCAACATAACCTCCATCCGCGCGCCGTTGCCGAGCCGCATGGGTTTTGTCGTCACGGAGATGGCGCCGGATCAGGCACGAGCTTGATGGGCCTGCTGCATTGGCACAGCCGTCGGCTGCCGCGCGACGAGCCATCCGGACACAAGAGTCAGGGCACTTTTGAGCCCAGCCGGCGAAGGCGCCGACCTCGGAGCGTGGGAACGGCACGGCTGGCGCTAACGCGCTGGCGGATGTCGTGCTCGACCCCGCAGCAAGCACGCGATGCTCTCCTGCGCACGCCCACGTCCGCCTGGCCCGTCCGCTTGAGCAGCACCACAGCCGCACAGCAGTGAGAGGCCGGTCCTTCTCGGGTCATCAAACGGGCGCTGCATCACTGCAAGCACTGCACCTGCATGGCTCGCCAAGTGGCCGTGCCTGCAGCATGCAGGCCGAGCGTCCGCACGGCTCCGGTGCCGGCGCAGGTGGAGAAGCCGGCCATGGTGCAAGTCGGAGTCGAGTGGCAGCAGCGACGCTCTGAGCGCCTCTTATACGCTGCTCCACTCCGGTGATGCCTTCTTCTCCCGACCCATCACTCCAACGAATCACCGCTGCACCAACGAACATGCTCGCCGCCCAAGCCCCAGCCACGCACCACGCCGCGTCGCCCGCCCAGGCGTCTGCCGGCTCGCGCGTGCCCTCGATCCGCAATGTGCTCACCTCGGGCCAGCACGATGTCGACGTCTCGGTGAGCACTGCCTCTGTGTGCTCGAGCCTTCTCCAATGCTCTCGCTGACCGCTTCTCCCGCAGCGCCTGACGGCGTACAGCGAGATGCCGACGCACATCCCTGAGTCGGCGCCGACGATCTGGCGCGCCGAGGACTACCGCGGTGACGAGAATCGGCACAAGTGGATCCGCATCTGGACGGCGCAGGAGATCGAGTGGCTCGAGACGGCAGCCAAGGCGTGGAAGGCGAGCGGGCGCTCGCTGACTGAGATTGAGCGGGTGCGTGGCGCCGAGGGTGCTGCGACGCAGCGGCTCGCTGACTTTGCTTGCAGGCTTCCTTCGACCTGCCGGCTCAGCTGGCGGAGGACCTGACTCGTCTGCGCTACGACGTACTGCTCAACGGTGTGTGCAGGCGCCACACCTCGCTCACTCGCTGCTGACTTGGTCCAATGCGCGCAGGCAAGGGCTTCTACATGTTCAAGGGCCTGCCCGTGCAGCGCTGGGGCACGGAGCTCACCGCCATTGCGTACCTCGGCATCGGCGCGTACCTCGGCAACGCCGTGTCGCAGAACGGCAAGGGCCACCTGCTCGGCCACGTCAAGCAGCTCGACGGTGCCGACCCCACGCAGATCGCGACGACGCGCATCTACAAGGTGAGAGCTGCAGCCGCGAGTGCGACCGAGACCCACGCTGACATATCCGCTTCAGACCACGGCCCGCCAGTACTTTCACACCGACTCTTCGTGAGTAGAGATACTTGCTGTACAGGAACGGCTGCCTTGCTCACCCATGCACTCTTAGCGGCGGCCTCATCGGCCTCGTGTGCCTGCAGACGGCGCAGACGGGCGGCGAGTCGGACATTGTCAGCACGCAGGCAGTGTGGAACGACCTGCAGGAGAAGCGTCCGGACCTGGCCGAGGAGCTGGCGTCGCCGACGTGGCACTTTGACCGCAAGGGCGAGGTGTCGGAGGGCCAGCGCCCCTTCTTCCAGAAGCCCATCTTCTACCTCGTCAAGGGCCAGCCGGCGGAGCGTGTGGCGGCCCACTGGGACCCCTACTACGTCTGGAGTCTCGGCCGCCACGTCGAGGCCGGCCTCATCCCTGAGCTGTCGGAGCGCAAGAAGGAGGCCATGACGGTGCTCGAGGAGACGGCGCAGCGCCTCAGCCTGCACATGGAGCTCGAGATTGGCGACCTGCAGGTGAGCACGGGCTGGGCGTCTGCTATCACCTTGCATCTGCTGAGCCGTCTGTATACAGCTCGTGTCGGACCAGCATGTCCTGCACGCCCGCACCGCATACCAGGAGCGCCCATACCCGGAGCCGCGGCGGCGTGAGTGGCTTGTGCTCGCCGAGCAAGGCCACGTCGCTGATAGCACTCGCAGACCTGCTGCGTCTCTGGCTCTCGACGCCCTCGTCCGAGGGCGGCTGGCTCCTGCCCAACGAGCACAGCAACCACCCGCGGCGTGAGTGTGGCTGCTCGGGCAGCTCAACATGTGACCTCGCTGACGTCTGGTCAAATCTGCAGGCGGCGGCATCCAGGTCAACCAGCAGCCGGCAACGTGCCCGCTTGACGCCGAGTAGGGGAGCAGAAGCGTGGTGAACGGACATGCCATGATTGCAGTGCTTGCTGCCCACAGGTGCGGGCGCCGTGAGCCAGGCGTTGCGCCTCGCGTCGGCAGTGTGGGGTATGCGGCACGGCAAGCCGTGTCAGCGCTCCCTGAGGCGCCGGATGACGCTCCTCCTTGTGCCCTCGATACATGGACACAAGCCAGACGAATGCGTTGAGCAGCCTGAAGCGACACGGCATGTCTTGTGAAGTGCACTGCTCGCCCGAGCTGATGGCAGGGGGCCTGCACTGATGCGCGCGGTCGTGTGCTGCGGCGCGGCGCGGCAGTTTAGCCGCGGGTGCTCGGCCGCCAGCACCGCGCCGCGTCGATCTTGCGCCTTGGCGGGGAGAGCGAGGGGCAGAGGTGCTCCTCTGCTCCACCACCTCTCCACAGCACCACACTGCTCGTCGCTGTGTCCGACATCTCACCCACTGCCACCTGCGCCGCGCCTGCCCAGCACAGTGCGCCGCCTGGCGCCCGCTGCCCATGCTCCTCTCGCATGGAGGCGGCGTCGTGGAGCAGCTGCTCGGCAGCGTCGGGCATGCCATCGTCGCCTGGTGGCAGGCCTGGGACCGCCAGGCCGTCTCTGATGCCGCCGGGCGCGCCAGCTTCGTCGTCTGGCTCTTTGCGCAGAGTCCGTGAGTGCGCGCGTGCTTCTGCGGCACAACCGGCGCAGCGCTCATCGCATGCCGGCGCGCGCCTCACAGGCAGCTGTATGAGAACTATGCACGCTCGTCCGTCGACGGCCTCAGCCCCATCTTCCTGGCGCAGTGGATGGGCGGCGACGTGACGAATCTGTGAGTCGCTGGCGCAGTCTCAGGCTCGCGAATGCTGTCTGCTGATGCGTGCCCGCCCGCCAGCGTGGGCTGCCTCCTCACGCACCAGCTCGGCTTCCAGATCGCAGTGGCCACCTACTTCTGCGTGGTCGACGCGTGTATCTGCGCGCAGTTCTACTGTGAGTGCACGGGCTGGTGAGGGGCGGCAGGCTTGGGACGAGCTCGGCTGCGCAGCTGGCAGAAAGGCGCGACTGGTGCTGACCGAGTGCTCGTGCGCGTCCAGACTACTGGTCACGAGGCGCCAAACTTGCCCCTGTGTCGCACCCACACTACGCCAGCACAGTGTCGCGGGTACGGCCCGAGGAGTTTCGCTCTCTGCCGACCTCTCCGACCTCGTCACGCGGCGCACTGCCGCGCTGGGGCTCCAACGACACGCTCTCGCACAGCGGCCAGCTGCCAGACCTGGCGCGAACACGCGACGGGCATCGCGGCGTGAGCCACTCGCCGGTGCTCTCTTCACGCTCCCGTGCTTGGCGCGTCGAGGTGCCAGCTCGCGATGCGGCAATCGAGCCGGCGCCGCTTAGCGCCTCGGGTCTCAGTGTGGCCGAGTACGCCGCACTGCGCCGTGCGGCCGCTGAGGAGTACGCAGCGAGGGCCATGGCACAGCGGCAGAGAAGCGGCGCTGGCAGTCAGCGGAGACGCTTCGACCACTGGGAGCCGGCGCCGCTCAGCCCGACGCGCGAGCGCAGTGGCAGCGGCGATGAGGATCGCTCCGCCTCGCGGGTCACTCGCGCAAAGGACCAGGGCGCACCAGCGGCCATGGTGGACAGCTTCACGAGCGAGCGCAGCAGCGGCAGCGAGCGGTACGGCTATGGCTTTGGCATCGCGAGCACACCAGCCCTGCGCGGGCCTGGGCCATCAGTGCCCCGCACGCGCACACGCTCGGAGCCACAGCCGGCAAACAGAGCGGAGACGGACGAGTCCGACGACGAGACGGAGCAGGAGCGGCGCGGGCGAGGCATGCAGCGCACCGCCGAGCGCGTGGCCAACAGCTCGGCCATTGCCGAAGCGGCGTCGCGCAGCTCTGGCGTACAAGCTGCGGCCGGCGAGCAGGAGGAGGCGACGTGCTACTTCGAGCGCTCTCACTCCTCGCACGCGCCCGTTGCGTCAGGTCGGACAAGTCCCGTCGCGGAGCGCGGCGCACCCGCCGCACCAGCTACGTCTGTGTCGCCGTCGCGACGGCGAAGAGCAGGCCGCGGTGTGGGCGCCTTCTTCCTCGGCCTGGGGGCGCTGTGGGGCCTGGGGCCATCGACTGGCACCAGCGAGCTGATCCGGCTGCCGCCGGCGCTGCAGCGCTCCTGGACGCCGCTCGAGCAGCTGCGGCATCCTGCCATGCTCTATGCTGTGCCGGAGGCTGCCGTGCCGCACGAGCACCGACACCGCGGCTATCACCGGTGGTCTGTGCCGCTCCGGTACGAGCCAAATGCGACAGAGCACGCAATGTCTGTGGCATTGTCGCAGCTGCACTTCGTTCCATCCAGCGCGCCGATGCGGAGGACGGGAACGGCGGACGCAGCGTCGTCCTCGCCCCGACCACGACCTGCCAGCGAGGACGACTGGGACCGCATCATCGGGCGCATCTTTGCGTGGACGTGCTGCGTGCTCTACATGACGTCGCGCATCCCGCAGATCTGGTCCAACTACGTGCGCCGCAGCGTCGAGGGTGTGAGTAGACGTCTTGCCCGAGTTGGAGCGGCTCATTGACGTGGCGTCACACAGCTCTCGATCCTCCTCTTCATCGCAGCAGCCGGCGGCAACACGCTGTACTCCATCAGCGTGCTGAGCTCGCCGCTGTCATCCGGGCCGGGCGCACGGGAGTACCTGCTGGACTGCTTGCCCTTCCTGCTCGGCTCGGGCGGCACACTGGTCTTCGACGCCATCATCGTGGCGCAGTTCCTGGCCTGGCGACACGTGCCGCTCGAGGTCGAGCTGCTGCGCATCGAGGAGGAGGAAGAGGACCCGCTGGCGCCCGAGCCCGGCTCCTTCTCGGCGCGCCCCGGCTTCAGCCGCCGCTCCAGCATCGCCAGTGCGCGCGAGGACGTCGAGCGCGTGCGCAGCATCAGCCGGCCGCGCGGGGCGGCCGAGTCGCTGCGTCGCAGTGGCAGCAGCAGCATGCCGCGTCCGCGCAGACAGCTGCGCTCCGTGCCGCCTCGCATGACGCCGATGGCTCGCACCGCGGCAGATGTCGAACCTGAGCCTTCGTCGACGGCGCCGCGGCGCAGCCGGACGCCTGGCGAGCGCACGCCGCTGCTGTCCTGAGCGCGCCTTGCCGCACCCTATCGTTACCGAGTCACCTAGAGCGTCCGCGGTCACACACACCTACACACATCACCCGAGCAACACATCACATGGCAGATCGATGACAGGATGGAATTGCGGACCGGCACAAAGACAGAGGAGAGAACGGACGAGCAGCGGCAGGCGGAGGCGACAGGATCAGAGCTTGTTGGCCGGCTCGTTGGGCATGCCCACGGCCGTCGAGAGGCGCTCGTAGATCTGCGCCTGGTTGCTCTCGGGCACGACGTTGACGTGCGTGCTCAGCGCGCGCACGTCGACCATGTTGGGCTCGAGGTCCTTGAGCGTCGGCGCGCCAATGAGCCGCATGTTCATCTCCATCTCGGCCTTGAGCAGCTGGATGGCGCGCTGCACGCCCTCGGGGCCGTACGCCGAGTAGGCGTACAGGAACGGCCGGCCAATGCCGCACGCCGTGGCGCCCATGGCGACGGCCTTGAGCACGTCCGACGCGCGGCGCACGCCGCCGTCGACGAAGATCTGGAACATCGGGTTCGGGAAGAGGCCGCGCTGCTTGAGCGCCTCGACGACCTCGCCGAGCACCTCGATGCCGCTGCGCGCAAAGTCGAGCTGCCGGCCGCCGTGGTTGGAGAGCACAACTCCCGAGAGGCCGAGCTCGGCCGCCTTGACGGCATCCTCCCACGTCTGCACACCCTTGAGCACGATGGGCATGCGCGTCACTGAGCGCAGCCAGTTGAGGTCGTCCCAGTTGAGGCTGGGGTCGATGAACGAGGAGATGGCGCGTGCCGCGCCCTGGCTGCGGTCCACGTCGTCCTTGCCGTCGTTCTGCACGCGCGAGCCGACGTCCTCGAACTTGATGCGCATGTCCTTCTCGCGGCGGCCGAGCTGCGGCGCGTCGACAGTGACGAAGAGGCCCTTGACGCCGCGCTCCTCGGCGCGCCGGATGAGCTTCTCGGTGATGGCGCGGTTGCTGTTGACGTAGAGCTGGAAGAACTGCGGCTGCTGGTCGTGCACGCGCGCGTCGACAATCTCCTCGAAGGAGCACGACGCGAGCGTGGGGATCATCTGGATGATGCCCTCGCGGCCCGCAGCGATCGTCAGGTTCTTCTCGCCGTCGGGGTGGCCGAGCTTGCCGAGCGCGGTGGCGGTAATGTAGATCGGCAGCGTGCTCTTGCAGCCGAGCAGCGACGTCGAGTAGTTGATGTTGCTCACGTCGCGCAGGATGCGCGGGCGGAACCAGATGCGCCCAAAGGCGTTGTTGTTCTCGCGCATCGTCACCTCGTCGTCGGCGCCCGACGAGTAGTAGGCCCACGCCGTGCCCTTGAGCACTTTCCGTGCCACCACCTGAAGAGCGTGTGAGCGCCGCACCCAGCAGCGCCACTCGCGCGCACGCAGACTCACCTCAAAGTCGTACAGGTTCAGACACAGGTCGAGCGGCGGCAGCTCGTCCTTGTTGCGCGCAATCTGCTTCTCCTCCTGGCTCTCTTCCTTCTTCGCCTCTGCCTTCATCGTCGCCGGGTCGACCTCGCCGAGGCACTTGTCCTTGGGCAGGTTCTCCTCGAGCGTGCCCGGCGGGTGGATAGGGTCGTACTCCTCGCTGGGCGCGTGTCAGCGCCAGCACTGGCAGAGTCGCGCCGTCGCCACTCACGTCGCATCCTTGCCGGCGTACTTGAGGATGATCTTGCTGCCGCCTGCGCAGAGAGTCAGCCGCGCGCCACAGCGCTGCCGGCGCACAGAGACGCACCCGGGTGCTCGGGCAGGAACTCGGTGACGTCGTACACCTTGCCGTGCACGATCACGTAGCACGACTCGCTGTTGTTGTGCTTGGCAACCTCGTCGTAGGAGATGAGACCCATGGTGTGCAGCGTTGTGGTGGTGTGACGGGAGGCAGAACGAGCCGGTGTGGTGCGGGGAAGAGTGGCGGGTGATGCGGGGAAGCACGTCGGTGCGCGCGTCGCCGCCGGCCAATCGCGGCGCGCTCGTTGGCACAGATTTCGCACCTCTCGGTGGCCGGCCTGCGCATCGACGCTTGCTTGCTTGGCCGGCCAAGGCACAGCGCACCGCGCTGGCTCGCCCTCGCTCCTCTCCCACGATGGCAGCGGCGGACACCCGGCTTTTCCGTCGCCCAGCCGCTGGGCAGGAGGCGCTGGCCGCCGCACGGCCTCCACCTCGTCCGCCTACGCCGAGCGGGCGGCGCTGGCGGCGCGCAAGGAGCGCCGATGCGCGAGGCGGTCGGCCGGGACGGAGCTAGCTCGGCCTTCTGGTCAGAGTCGCGCTCGTCGAGGCAGCAGCTCAATCCGGCGGCCCTAGTACTCTCGAATATTCCGTCCGGACATAAGGTGACTGCTGCGCCCGAGCCGCCACTTTGCGCTTTTTGCGCCAAGCTGCCGCAAAGTGCCGGCGCAGACGCCGGCAGTGGAAGCGAGCCGCCGCGCCGGTGCGGCACTGCCGCGAGGGGTACACCGGGCGTGCGCCGAGCGCGTGGTGCCGGGCACGAGGCGACTCTTCGCCGGACCCCAGGGTGTAGGCGCGCATCTGCCGCTCCGCCGCTCCGATGGTGCGCGTGCATCGCCGCGTCTTGCTCGCGGCCGCCACGAGCGCGTGTCTGACCTGAGAGGCGGCGGGCCGCTGCTCTGGTGCGGGCCGCGCTGCGTCCGGAGTCCGGCACGGGGCAAGCGCACAGGGCGGCCGGCCGTCAGCTCCGCCGCTCCGCTTCGCCCTCAATCGAAGAGGCTCACGCAGAGAATGCAGCGCGAGCGCACCCCCAGAGCGCGGCACCGACGCTGTGGCATGCCCAGCCTGCAGCTGAGTGTGCGGCAGCTGCCCTGCGAGCGGGGCTGCGTGCTGTTCACCGCCGCAGGAGCCCGTCTCGCGGGCTTCGCTGCGGGACGCTCGCAATGCGGAGCCGCATCTGCAAGCGAGCGTGGCTGTCGAGACGAGCGACGGCGTCGACAGCGGCGCCGCGAGGCTGCTCGCATCGATTCTACGGGCGACAGCACGTCGCTTCGGCGTGCCGCACCCGCACCGCAACGCGCGAGCTCCCGCATCAGTCGGCCCGCGCGCCGTGCCTGCGTCTGAATGCTGCTCTCGGCGGCGCGATCCGCAGCACTCTTCGGGCTGACGGCCTGTCGCAGGGGGCGCTAGCGCAGAGGCAGAGGCCGGCTTCGGCGCGGCGGCCGAGGTGCGAGTGCGGTGCGTGCACCGGAGCAGTGCGGCGCCTTGCTGTGCGCGCGTGCGACCGGCAGCGGGGCCCTGCGCTGGGCCCTGCTGCCGCGCTGCAGGGTACGGCCACAGACTCTGCTGTGGTGCAGTCGCCACCACGCGCCACGCCGGCAAGGTGAGCTGATGCCGGCGCTGCCGCGTGTGCGCTCCTCTGCCTTGCTCTTGCTGCGCGTGCGCCGATCCGGGAGGACGCACTCCTTCGCCTTGGTATGGCCGTTGGGCCTGCTCCTGGCACAAGCGCAGCCACGCCCCTCCGCCCGCTTTTGCCACCGCTCGCGCTCGTCGCTGCCACCTGACTCACGCGGCGTGGCTTGGCCTGCGCGGGCGATGGCTGCCTGCTGCTGACTGCGCGTCCCACAAATCGACGTCGCCGGGCGCAACCATCTCTCTGCACCTCGACCATCAACCCATCCCGCGTCCTCCTCTCTCTCTCTCAACCTCTCGCGCTTCCTCTCTCGTCTCAGCGGCACTACTCTGCCCTCGCATCCCGTCCTGTTCTCGTCGTCCACGCGTCTCGTCTCTTCTCACCCTCCGACCTCGCACACGCCTCGTCGAATCGTGATCTGAGCATCGCACCGCTCTCCGCCCGCAGACCAGCGCACCCAGCGACGAACCACATAGGTCGGCCTTGCGCCCACACCTGGACATCCTTCAGAGACCCTCTGCGTAAGCGTCGTCCCATTGGCTACGACCAGCACGTCTCTCGGCGCGTCCCACCTTCTCCCTCTCTTCTGCCGATCTCTCCCGTGTATGGCTACACTGCTCTGCAGCGGCTTGCACGTCGACATCGCTCTCCCGACCTGCTACATGACCTCGAAGCTCATCGCTCCGTCCATGCCGGCCACACCCGCGCCGCACAAGCTCCGCATCCTTCTCGTCGACGACAACTCCCTCAACCTCAAGCTCCTCTCGCGCTTGCTGACGCGCAAGTTCGCGCACCGCCTGGATGGCGTGCCGATTTGCGTCGATGATGGGTTGAAGGCAATCCAGGCCTTGAGCCAGGATGGTGAGTTTTGGCGTCAATCGCACGGTGGAGCATCGCGTTGACACCACATTCAGTGTTCGACGTCATCTTCCTCGACATCCAGATGCCGTTCGTGAGCGGCATCGACGTCGCGCAGCGCATCCGTGCTGGCGAGGACGGCATCCTGCCTGCCAACCAGAGCGTCAAGATCTACGCCACCACGACGGCGGTCGGTCCGGCGCCGGAGCTGCTCTACCGCTCCGTCGGCATGGACGGTCTGCTGCCGAAGCCGGTGCAGCTCAAGCACCTTGGCGAGCTGCTCGCACCGCTCGACTCGGGCGTCGACTTCGCACACGTCCGCCGCGGCGATGGCTCATTCGTTCGGCCACCGATCGCGTCGCCCATCGATGCGCTCTTCTACATGACGCCGAGCATGGACGCCACCATCGGCCAGCCTCCGTCCATCGTCCACTCGGGCCACTTCGCCGACGACCTGCGCGAGCAGACACGTGCATCGCTCCGCCGCAGTGGAGTGGGTGCTGCGCGCTGTGCATCCATCTCGGGCGGCGAGTGCATGAGTCGTCGTGGCGCCGCCGCCGAGCCTCTCGCCCGCAACCTCGAGCAGACCGACGTGACGCTGCCCGGCGACGGTTCGCACCGTCGCGGCAACAGCGTCACCATCAGCTCGCGCATCCTCACGGCGCAGATCGCTCGCGAGGTCGCGCGCCTCGAGGAGAGCGACCGTGACATGCAGCTGCTGTCGCCGACGACATCCACCCGCTCGTCGCTGGCAAGCGTGTGCGACGCCGACGAGGTGACGAGCAACTCGTCCGTCACCGACCGTGCGGTGGATGCACCGTCGCCAGCGGCCAGTGCACTGCCCATCGCGCTGCCTGCACGGCTCGACCGTGCCTTCACCCGCGAAATCTCGCCGGCACTGACCTACCGGCCGATCTCACCGGTGTCGCCACGGTCGCCGCCTTCCTGGTTGCCGTCGGCACTAGCCGGCGATGCCAAGCTGTCGCTCGCACCGGCCCGTCCGATCCTCTCGCGCAGCGACTCGTCATCTCGTGTGCTGTCCTTCTTCCACGGTCTCATGGAAGCCGAGGCGGCCGGCGAGAGTCCGACGTCGTCCAACGACTCGTCGTCAGCATCGTCCCGTCCGTCGCTCGCACTCAGCTCGGCGCTGCTGTCGAGTCCATCCTTCGGCAAGAGCTTTGGCTTCGGCCACGACCGCTGGCCGAGCCGCCGTACGAGTCACACGGCATCAAATAGCAGCGCTCCGTCGTCACCTCTCCTCACACCCGTCGAAGAAGGCCCGACGGTGCCTCGCACGGCACACTCGGCCAAGCCCTCTCCTGAGTTCCTGAGTCCGCGCGACGACACGTGCGCGCGCCTCGCCCGTTCTACGCTGGCGTAGCTCGTGTGCACCACCATCCGTCCCGGACGTCCCGTTCCCGCCTCGTTTCCCTCGAATATCTGCCTCTCCTCGGTCATCCAAGCACACGGGCCGCTGGCGTCTACTCCGCTAGCTCGTTTCCATAGGTCCTCGCGCCCGCTCTCGCGTGTCGTCTCCATTCGACTTCGCCGGCCGGCCGTCTCTCGTCACCCTCTTCTCCGGGAACCGCCCGCACGCCCTCTTCTCTCTGCAGCAACGTGCCATACCGCACCTTCGCACTTCGGGTCACACACACAAACACGACCGCCTCGCAAGCGCTGCTATAGGTCAATAATCTTCTCAGTCCCTCGGAACTCAGCTCGCAAACGTCACCTCTCCTGGAACTTCTCTCGCACCCCTTCCCGCAGCACATACGCACGGTCCAGGGTCGACGGCCACAGCCTCCCTTGCCTCGTCTCGCCCTTCTTGTAGCTTCACATCTGCTGCCTCCTGCGCGGAGCCGAACGCACCCCCCTCTCCTCTCTGTACATCCGTCTTTCCGGGCCGCTGGCTGATCGCCAAGCCAAATATGATCGACCGCTTTCTCAGTCTCTTCGTGTGATTGCCTGTCTGCGCTCTCTCCGTGCCTTCTTGCGCGCCCACACCTCACGGAGCACGGTGCGCACCGCCGGTGCCACATACTCCTCGACGCACGCCCGCGATGTGCGTGCCAGCACGTCGACCTGCTCGGGCTTCCAGACCAGATTGTACGAGTTGCTGAAGCTCGAGCGCTGCCGAGCTCGGCAGTGCGTCAGCGCGAAGGTCAGCATCGAGAGCGCACAGGCCCGCTCACCGAGGGGTCAAAGCCACGCTGCGAGCGATGCGGCAGCAGCGGACAGTACACGATGCACATGTGCGGCTCGCCGCTCGGACGTTCGTGCTGCAACCCTGCATCGTCCGGACGCTCGGCCCGCCAGACATCGATGATCTGAGCGTAGCGGCCGGCGAAGCGCGTCTCGATGCTGCCGTCCTCATCGGCTGCGAGCGGCTCGAGCGCGGCAAAGGGCTCGAGCCGCTGCCGTGGCACCAACGTGAGGCTGCGCTGCTGGCCGAACGTGGACAGACGAGCAAAGGCGGCGTCGTTCTGCACGTCGGAGCTGTAGTCGAAGGCGAGCACGATGTCCGCCTGCCGGCTCTCGGTGGTGAGGATGTCTAGCAGCCAGGTCAGCGCGGTCCTGGCGGGCGCTTCTTGTATCGCTCACGGCTAGGAAGATTGTTGGCTAGCCCCGCGTCGAAGAGCTTGAGCCGCCGCTTGCGCTCCCAGCCGACGGCTTCCTCGCCGACGAGCGGGTTCGGCTCGTCGGCGGCGCGAATGAGGTTGCCCCAGCGGCGCTCGAAGCGGCGGTGCTGAATGAAGGTGTTGAGCTTGCCGAGGGCAATGCTTGCCCACGTGTCGACAGGGAGACTTGCGATGAGCGCAGAGACGTAGCCGGTTCTGTAGGTGCATCGAGTCAGCGCACACAGCTTTCGTGCTGCTAGCGCACATGGACGCACAGGGGTCCAGCTGGTGCACTCGTGCAGTAACCAAGCAGCAGCGCGAGAGATGTCTCTGGGATGCGCTGCGTGGAGGCGCCGTTGCGGAACGTGCGTCCGAATGACCAGGTCGGCACCCATCTGCCAGCCTCGGGGCTGCCGACCTCGAGCGGCGTCGCCTCCCACCACTGATACGGCGGCGTGCCCTCCGTATGATCTCTACGCACGGCCGTGAGGATCGGCAGTGGTGTTTGTCCTGCCGCGATGCCCGTCCGCTCAAATACTTGTGCCCAGGAGAAAGTGGAGCGCGAGAGCCGAGGCCGAGCGTGCGGGCTGCGAGATAGGAACTGATAGCACTGCATCGAGGATCAGCGACTTGATGGCAAGCTGTCGAGCGACACTCACAGTCGTCATCGTCGCGTACAGATCCTGTTCGGCGCAGATCAGAACGGGTTCGCATCCATGTGCAGCGTCACCCACCATCAAGCCTAGTCCGACGACGCCAGAACGAGCCTTGGCAAGCAGCGGCGCGAGCAGGAAGTAGGTGCCTTGCTTCGAGCGTGCTACCACATCAAGAACGCCACGGCTGAGCGGATGCAAGCCCTCATGTGCGACCGTCACGTAGTGTGCCATGAGCGCCGTCGGACAGAGATTCGCTACTGTGTAAAGCGCTGCACGAACGTGAGCTCGGCGAACTTGGGCGACCAGCAGTCGACCCACCTGCTATTGACCAGCAACTCCCACTGACGCCGGCAGTCCATGTCGCCACATCCCACACGCCTTGGCGCTTCAGCACCTCGAGCGCAGCTGTGAAGCCGAACTTGGCACGGTAGCCTCCTCCGGAGCCACAAAGCGCGACCTGTGAGGGGCTCAGTGTCGTTGATGGGCACACGAATGCGGCATGCTCACCAATGGCACATCGTCAGGGTGCACCTTCGTGCCCTCAGGCAAGCCGAGCAGTTTTGACAGGGCTGCAGACTCAGCGATCGCGACTCGACGTTGCGCGACGAAGGCCGTCTCTTGAGGATGCATCGTCAATCCGACACTGAGCGCGTGCATTCAGGCATGCGGTCACAGCTGGTCGCTTGTCCGCGCTCACCGAACAGCAGCATCTCGCTCGAGCTCAGGACAGCGTCTAGCTTCGCGTTCATCGAGGCGCATCCGCCGTCGCACCTGAGCGAGATCTTGAATTCTCAGCAGCCAGCGTCGCGGCAGCTCGGAAAGTAGCTTGAGGCTACGCTGCATCCGCTCCGCTAGGCCCTGTGGCGAAGGCAAGGCGAAGGAGGGAGCATCGTGCGCGAGGGACTTGAGCGCCCAGGAGAAGGACGGAGCTCGCTTTGGCGCTTTGCGAATGACCTGGTGAGCATGCTGGGTCCCATGAATCTGCAGAGCTTCACTGCTACCTGATGTCGTTGCTCTACGATGCGACAGCGCAGGCGCAGCATGGCTCCCTCGAGGCACGAGATGCGCCGGCATCTGCAAGTGCGGCACGAGGCTGTGCAGCCTCTGCAGTTGTGCCAGCTGTTCGGGCGACAGCCGACGCGAGATGGGTCTTGCCGAGAAGAGCGAGACGGCCAGGGCCAGACAATACATCTTAGCGTACAGATAGCCGGGCGAGCGCCGGAGCGCCTTGGCGATCGGCATGGCTGCCGCAGCTGCTCGACGGCGGCAGCATGCAGCGCCTGACACTGCTCTTCGCCGGCTGAGGAGCTCGAGTGCCCTGTGCACTGATGCTGCGACGATCAGTTGAGTTGCTGACTTGCTGCTTGGGAATGAGGAGCATGGCGAAGTCGTGACAGCAGCCTGCCATCCCCCTGGCGCCACGCGCACGCCGCGGCAGTCGCGCGCTCGGGCGCACGTGCGCTCTGCTCATGTACTGCTGGCGCGCACCATCGTTCGGCCCTCAGCGATGTGTGAGGCTACATTCTGCCAGCTGGCATTTGGCCGGCGAGCGTAGAGGAAGGCGAGATCGGACGATGCGATGGTGAGAAGAGCATGGCGCTTGATGTGAAGGCGCGAAGGAGCGGTGCAAGCAGGCAGCAGCGCGCGTGCAACGCGAGCGCGGGCTGCGTCACGCCTCGGCCGTGCGTGTCAAGGGCCTGCCAGGCCGACGCCGACGGCGCCTTGCATGCACTCTCGCGTCTCCTCGCTTCGACAGCCAGTCGCTCTTTGGCCCCAAATGCAGACCGCCGGCAACAGGAGCCGGTTGATCGACGTCGCATGCGAGCGCTGAGCCCCGGACGCAAGGAGAACGCGCACGGTACGGGCCCGCGGCGGCCGGCGGCTCGGCGCGCCGCGGGCAAGCACAGAGCCTGCCGAGCGGACCACGCACGGAGCTCTCTTCGAAGAACGAGTCGTCGCTGTGAGATCCAGAGCTCCGAGCGTCGAAGTGTGAGACGCTGTCAATGCCCAGCATGGCCGCAAAGAGGACCAGCGAGCGCTGCGCGGAGCACCGGGCGTCGTCAGCCGCTCGAGGCCGCTGTGAGACGTGCCGGACAGAGATGCGCTCTCGAGACGGCTTCACGGCTCTCAGCGCGAGCATTGCGCGCCAAATTCGCAAGCTTCGCAAAGCGAGAGCGAGGGACGACCGGCAGGCTCGGAAGAATGCGCCCATCCTGCCGCCTTGGCGCTGGCATGCCGCAGCCGCTCAAGGGTGCCGGCGGCCGGCGGCCCAGCAGCATCTTGCCGCCTTCCGCCTTGAGATGCAGGACAGGTGTCGATCTGGAAGCTTGCGCGAGCTTCGTGCTTGCTCTTGCTCGCTCGCTTGCATCTGCGGCTGGCGGGTGCTGCGCGGGGCCGGCGCAGGCGGGGCAAGCAAGCGGCGGATCTGCGCGCCGAGCCGTTGGCGTGGGCGCGGCGCGTGGGCGAGCGAGGCGAAGCGTGTGTGCCGCACCCACAGCGCAGCGCAGCCGCACCGCTGAAGACGAGCGAGCAGCTCTCACCCTGCCTCTGCCTGCTGAGCGGCTGAGAAGCGCAACAGCGCTTCTCGGAGCCTGCGCGGAGGTGGCGTCTCCATGAAGGAGGTGAGGAGCTTTGACAGCGGACATGCAGGAGCAGCCGCAGTGAGAGGATGCGGACGCCGCAGCATCGCCAGATACACCTTGGCTGCTGCGTCTGCACGCCGCGCAGGAGAGCTGCTGCCGCAGAATGCCCCGATGTGCCGATCCGCCGCCTCTTGGCTCGACGCTGGCGTGCCGCACCAAGCGTAGGCGCGACTGCAAGGGTTGGCGTGCAGCACAGCGTCCGAGCTGCGAGCGCTCGCTGCGAAGGCACGAACAGGCGCACCGCAACAGGCCGGCACCCACATGCTTGATCTGGCGAAGCTCAAGCTTGCTGGCCAGAGGTGATCCGAGCGGGCGTGCTTTCCGCAAAGGAAGGTGTGCGGCAAGGGCTCTCACGCCGCTGCCGGCTGACCTGGGGCGCGCAGCCCCCCTGGGCAGAGACACACGCGCGCCGAATACGGCAGGCCCCGCCTCGTCGAGCGCTGCGTCGAGCATGCAGCTCGCCTCGCATGCCCGGATGAAGCAGCGCAGCAAGAACTCGGACGCAGGGTGCGACGCAGGGCGGCGGCGCAGCACGAGCAGCAGCAAGCGCGCGCTGGAGCGGCAGCGCGGTGGCACGGCCGCTGCGGCTGCGTGGGCCCCTTGCGCTGCGCCCGCTGCTCTCTGCCGCAGCCGCCCAAGCCGCGACGCGCCAGGCGCAACGGCCGACCGCGCACACCAGCCGCACCATCGACGGGCACCTTCCTGCTTGGGAGCGCCGTCGTCGCCATGGAAGCATGCTGCGCCCAACATGCAAACACCGCCGCCGGCGCTGCACCTGCCCAGCTGGGCCCAGCACAGCTCAGCCCAGCGGTCGGCGCGCCGTCGTCGCCCGCCAGCACGCAGCGTCTGCGTCGCAGGAGCAGAAGCACTCGCATTGGCGCCGACCGAACGGGCCTCGCTGGTCGCCGTGCAGAAGGTACAAGAGACGGCGCCTCTCGCTCGCTCCTTCCCGCTTCCCTCCATCCCACTCCAGTCCGTCTCCTCCCACCCAGCGTCTTCTCCCACCACCCGAGCTCGCCCTCCTCACTCTTTACTCCCACCCTCACTCGCTTCCAAGCTCCACGCTCGTCGACTTCGCCACGATGCAGCTCCTCAACGTCATCACTCTCGCCGCTGCGCTCGTGTCGGCCGTGTCGGGCGCCTCGCTCGAGGCTCGCCGCACCTGCACCAAGCAGAACAAGCGCGTCGCCAACGTGAGCCACTCTCCGCTCTTTGGCCCTCCGCATGCCGTGCTGACCCGCGCCGTCACAGTTCGAGGACGTCAAGTACAACATCCTCGCGCCCCTCGCGCCCGTGCTCAACGAGGTGGGCACGTACAAGGGCCTCAAGTTCAACAACTTCGGCGGCCTCAAATTCGTCGGCCTGCCCGCCGGCATCGTGCCTAGCTCGGGCGACCAGGCGGTGATGAGTGCGTTGCTCGCTGGCATGTGCTGCATCGCAGGGCCTTGCACTGACGCTTCACCCGCAGCCGGCCTCGTCGGCGACATCCTCCACGGCACCGCCTCCATCCAGCCCACCGGCTCGATGACGTACTTTGACCTCAAGTCGTTCCACTACGGCTGCGCCATCGGCGTCGGTCTCAAGGACCTCATCCCCACGGCGTGCACGGTTCGGGTGAGTCGTCTCCGCCCCACTGCCGCACCTCACATTGACTGACGCTCTCCCTCCACAGGTCAAGGCCTACTATCAGGGCAAGCTGCAGGTGCAGCGCGCGTACAAGTACTCGCCCAACGGCCTGCTGCTCGCCGACGGCAAGAAGGCGCTCGCCCAGAAGGCCGAGTGCCACACGGACCTCATGGGCGTCGACCGCGTCGAGTTCACGACGGACAACCCGCTGCTCAACGTGCTCGTGCTCGACGACATCACGTTCGTGCCGTCCAAGTGCACGCAGTGAGCGTCGCCTCTGGCCGATCTTGCGCGTGCGCGGCACCTCAGCGTCGGCTGCGCCGACTGCTCTCCGAGCCGCACCGTCCCCGGTCTCTCGCCTCCGTCGTCGTCCCGTCTCCGTCCCGTCTCGCACCTCCCTGGTTTCTCTACGCCTCTCCGTTCCTCACTGTACCCACTAGTCGTGCGCGCGTCCCTCTCGCTATCTCCACACTCCTCTCTTCCCAGCAGCTCGGGTGCCCCCACTCGCCATGCCTATACCTCCCCTCCCCCTTTTCGCCATCTTCCTGGCTTCGTCAGACACCCGCTCTTGGCTTGGCCGCTCTGGAAATGCGCATGCGTCACCTCTCCCTCTTCCGTGTGCCCGCTCGTGTGTTCGAGCAAGCCATCGTGCCGGCGCGCCAGGCACGCCGGCGTGCGTGCCAAGTGCACGCCGTCGGTTGAGTGGCATGTGGCACCGCGCCTCTGGCACGCTTTACATACCTGCCCAAAGCAAATCGAAGCGCGGCGGCGAGCGCGCTGCGCCCAGCGGCCGGCGTGCGCCGCAGCTTCGCCGGCATCAGGCCGTTGGCAACGGTCCTTGCACGTTCCGACGCTCGCACAGCCGCGTTCGCAGCGCATAGCCTCAGACACGCACTCTTTCGTCTTACGTCCATGCTATTGCGGCACCTCGACGGCACGCAGCTTTGCATCGCGCTCCAGCTCCTCCTCGACGATCTTTGCCAGCTCTCGCACGCGACGGCGTGCGATGTCGACGGCGCGTTCAAGCGTGTCTGCACTGAGCGGCGAGCCGCCTGCCTTGTCGACGGCGCACACCTCGCCTTGTGGCGTGCAGACGACGTTGACGCTGGCGCTTGCTTGTGCTGCCTCGAGCGGCGTGGCGTCGAGGAGGATGGCTTCGGAATCGCTGCCGCCGCTGCCGCCGGCACTGCCTTCTGCATCCAGCTCAAACACGGCCAGCGACACGCTGAGCGGCGTGTGATGCAGCGCCAGAGGCACCGCAGCTCGCTCGTCGGGATCGTGCAGCACGACGCGCGCTCGATCGGCATGCGCTATTGGTGGTGCGGCTGCGGCTGCGGGACCTCGACGTGGCCGAGGTGCCGGTCCACCCTCGACCGTGGCGTCTGGCCGCCGGAAATGCCGCAGAGAGAGCAGCGAGGCGAGCACAGCGCAGTCGAGCGAGGCGAGTGGGCCGCCAGAGGAGAGCAGGTGCACATTGAGCGTCACGCTCCAGACCTGCTCAGCTGCGTCAGCACACCGCAGAAAGCCAGGCGCGGCGGCGCACGCACCTTCTGTCCAGCGACGACGCAGAGCGCCTCGCGATCGATGGCCTCGCTTCTGCGAATGGCGCGGTCGATGCCGCGCTCAAAGCGCACCTCCTCCTCTCCCGCACGTCCACGCTCGAACTGCGGCCCCGCGATGGGCTGCACCTCTGCGCGCACATCGACGAAGCCCTCGTAGGGGCGCTCGGGGCGCGGCGCCACGAGCTCGGCGTGCGTGTGAGCGAGCACGAGGGCGTCGCCGAGCCGCACTGTGGCGCTGCCGGGCGTGGCGCCGAGAGAGATGGAGAGTGGCAGTGGCTCAAGCAGGGAGCGGCCGTCGGGACGAAGCTTGGCGCGCAGAGCACCGAGCAGGAAGGCGGCCTCGGTCAGCGATGCCTCGAGCGGCACGCCGGGTGCCATGGTGGGCGCAGGCGAGAGTGGGCTGCGGAGAGAAGCTGATTATGCGAGATTTGGTGACCGGGTGTTAGAAGCGCGTGCGAGACTGGCAGGCAGAGGAATCGAATGGGATGGGATGGGAGAGCAGCCGAAGGAGGGCGGCCAGCCTCCACAGCGGCGTCTGCCGCACGGCACTTTTACTAGGCACGGCCGCGCGCACGTGACAAGCGCAGCTGAAGGGCTTTCTGCGCTGCCGCTGCCGCGACGCGAAGGAAGCCTTAAGGCTCGGCCCGCCGCGCCCCCCTTCTCTTCTCTCCACCACGGCGCCGGTGCATCCCGACTGCGCACCTCGCACAGCAGCCGCACGTCCTCTGGCGTGTCGCGCTCGCTGTGCGGCTTGCGCAGCTCGCGCACGACCTCGTCTGCTCGGGGGCGCTGAACCCGCGGACGGGCCTCACGGCCTGGCCCGGACCTGTGCGCTACAACCCTGTCGGCGGCGACCCAGACCAACGGCCGCTTCGCATCTGCCTCGAGCCTGTCCCAAAGCGGGCCGTTGATCGCGCCTGTGCCTACTCGGCCGGGCGCCGATCCGGCCTGTTGGGCCCGCAGCGCCGGGATGCGCGCGGCGGACCCCTGATTTCATGGCGTAGGAGGGAGCCGCTAGCCGGCCATGCCTCGGCTCGTCACAACCCAGGGTGCCTACATTTCCTCGCTCTCTTGTATGCTGTCTCTGCAATGCATCTCTGCCTGTGCCTGCTGTGTGCTGAGCGTGGCTGGGACTGAGCTCGCTGCGGCGCTGTTGCGGCGGCGGCGTCGCCGCGTCTTCTTGTCCGAGGCTGCCGCACGCTAAAAGCGCGCGCGCGTCAGCCAGGCGCGCCGCGGCGGTGGCGCGAGCATTCTTGTTCTCGACCTCGCCCTCGCACCCCGCCGCCAAGAGCCACCTCCAACGTCGCAGGCCTCGCAGCTTGCCTCCCGCACGCACACTTGCGCACGCCGGGCCTCCAGCATGGGCCCACAATGAGCTCCTCCGGCCCCTTCGCCGCCTCTTCCTCCGCCTCTGCCTCTGCCTCGACGCCGGCCGCAGCCTCCACATTTACTGCACCCGACACCTCGCTGCTGCCGACGCACTTTGTGCGCCTCAACTACCTCGACCCGTCGCCCAAGAAAGGCTGGGTGAAGCAATTGCTCGCCACGCCTCGCGGCGCCTCTGCCCTCCCGCCGCTGCGGCCCGCCGAGCTTGCGCCGCTGCAGGAGCTGCTGCGCTGCGGCGCCTGGTTCGACGCCGGCCACCCGTTCCGCGAGCTCGACGCCGCCGGCGCGCCGCACGTACAGCTCTACCTGGCGCGCACCGCCGAACGGCTCGTGCCCATGCTCTTCATCTCGCGCGCTCACGTCGAGCGCCTCGCGCTGCACGCCTCGGCGGCGATGCGTGCGCGCCAGCCGGGCGCATGGGCGCGCGAGCTGCACATCCCTGCCTCGCGGCCGGGCACCTGGGCGCGCGAGGAGCTCGTCGGCATCGTGCCTGTGACGCCACGCCGAGCCAGAGAAGTCTCTCAGCTGCGCTCCAACATCACGCAGGAGCTCGAGGACATCGAGGCGGCCATGCCGCAGCGCAGCTACGTCAGCTGGCCGGCGGCGTACGAGTCGCTGCGCGCGCTCTGGCAGCGCTCGACGCTGCCCTCGGCGCCCGCCGTGCCGCTGCTGCTGGCCGTCGACGTCGAGACGTGGGAGATGAGCCATCAGGGCAATCAGAAAGAGGCGCAGAATCCCAGCGGCTGGGCCCTCGAGATCGGCTGGTCCCTCATCTCGCCCTCGACGCCGCGCGCCGGCGCAGCGCCGACACCTTGGTCTGAACGTGGAGGCAGCAGACGTCCGATGAAGGACGCGGCTAGGCTGCCACAGCCCGGCTCGTGGATGCAAGAGACGCACCACTACCTCGTGGACCGCCACTACCCCGCGCGCAAGAATGGCCGCTACTGTGCCGATCAGCGGCACAACTTTCTCTTCGGCCCGCCGTCCGAGCGCTCGGGTGCCGGCCAAGAGGCGCCGTACAAGAACGGCTCGCGCATCGCCTCGATGGAGGATATCACGCGCGAGCTCAACGCCACGCTGCTGCTGGCGCGCGAGACGGACACGCCCGTCTTTGTCACGTTCCACGATGCCGATGGCGGTGAGTCGGACGAGAATCTGTGCGTTGGGCTGCGCTTACCTGCCTCGTCATACTAGATCTGCCAACGCTTCAAGGTATGGGCATCCTGACGAACACGTGGCTGCGCGGCCCGGAGGGCATCCACACGGTGTGTAACTGGCTGCCCGGCTCGGGCCGTGCGCCCATCTGCGTACTCGACACGTCTGCGCTCATCGCTGCGGTACGCGGCGACGACTACAGCGCCCAGCACAGTCTCGGCACCGTCGCGCTGGCGCTCAACGTCAATGACGGCGTCATCGAAGGCATGCACAACGCCGCCAATGACGCCTTCTACACGGCTGCCGTCGGCGCCACCTTGGCTGCTGGTCCGCCGCTGCCGCAGATGCGCGCACTGCTGCAGCCGCGCTGGGAGGCGGCCAAGGAGCAAGGCAAGAAGCGCACGCCGGCACAGCACAGCGCGATGCTGGCGAAGCAGAACGAGGAGCTACCCGAGGAGATCTGGCTTTCGCCGTGGGCCATGGGCGAGCCGTCGCCGGCTAGCGCAGTCACGGACAAGCTCACTTTCATGAACGAGGTGCGAGCCGTCGCGGCCCGCAGCGTGCCGCCGCCGGATGCTGCGCAACAGGAGCAGGAGCATGAGAGCACAGCCACGTCGGCCGCGGCTGAGAGCAGCAAGAGCAACGGCGCTTCAAAGCAGGCTACGGTCGCAGCAACAGTCTCGACGCCCACGGCCAAAAAGAGCGAGCCCGTTGACCCGCTCGTGCTGGCCGCGGCGCAGCAAGCTGCCGAGCAGGCGCAAGACGGTGCTCGTGCTCAGCTCGTGGCGCAGGCCAGGACTGCTTCGCAGCTCAGGTCTCCTTCGCAGCTCAAGGTCGCTTCGCAACCACAAGCAGGATCCACAGTCGCCGCGCCAGCGCCGGCTTCGCCATCGCCCAGAGCAGTCGCCCAGGCGTCACTCGTGCCTCAGTCGAGGATCGCTCAGGGCAAGCTGTACGCGCGCGACGCAGAGTCGCATTCGCTGCCTCCGCGCCAGCCGCCTTCGCAGTCGTCGTCGCTCGGTGTTCCGCTTCGCAGCGCCAGGGTGCAGGCTGCCATATCGGCACCTGCCGCCAGCAGCAAAGCCGCGCCTACTCTTTCATCGTCGCCGCCGCCGAGACCGCTTACTCAGGGCAGGACGGTGCAGGTGCCCGTCTCAGGCGTGGCCGCACGCACTTCCGTTGCGGCTAAACCGGCGCCCATCGCTCAAGGAGTACATGTGCCGACAACGACACCATCTCTGGCTGCGCGGGCTGCTGCAAGCCAAGCCAGCACTCCTCGCGAGGCGCCAGCGACGCATGCCTCCTCGAGCGCAACTACACAGCCGGCCACTGCATCAGTCGCAAGCAACTCGACTTCGAAGCTGAAGACTTGGCCCGCGCCTACCTCTCGCACCACTCAGACGCTCGCCGAAGTGCTGCTCAACGAGCAACGCCGAGAGGCCGCAGAGCTGGCGAAGAGCATGGCGTCGCAGACGCAGTCGACAGCACAGCTGGAAGAGAGCTCGCGCGGCACCAAGCGCGACGCCCCTTCCTCGCCGCCGGGCAGCCCGTCGAAGCAGCGGGCCAAGGCTCCGCAGGCTTCTGGTGGATACATCGAGCCGGTGGGCTTTGGCCCTGAGCGCTTCGGCTACATTGCGAGCACGAGGTGGCCAGCAGCCAGCGACGAGAGGGCTCGGCGCTGGTCTGGCGAGGGTCAGGATCAGGTCTCCATCAAGGATGCATTGGATGCGTACCACGAATATCGAGACATCTGTAAGAACATGGTGCTCGCTGCCACCAAGGAGCTAGGCTATCAGCCCGTCGTCTTCTTCCGCGGCGAGGCACTTCACCCTCTTCGCAGCCTGGCTTCCTACCGCCAGTACTTTAGGACGGACGACCTGGAGATGCGCGACTCGTTCCGCGCCGCTTGGAAAGAGGCCATGAATCACTTCGAGCTGCAGCCAGTCGCAGTCGCTGCGGTCGACAAGCTGCGGGAGCTCAAGCGGGCGCAAGGCGATGTCTTCTGGGCCTCTGCCTGTGGCCAGCGCTTGCTACCGACATTTCGATACATGCGCTCCACGCACGCCCGATCAGTCTTCGGTACCGGCTCTGTGCGGCGGCACGAACGCTCGGTGCGCGAGGTCGACGAAGCTCGCCTGCGCGCCGAGAGGCTCGGCGAGTGGCGCATGGACGATGCGGACAACGACGTGTCGGAGATAGAGCTGTACGACGGCAGCGATGATGACACGGACTGAATGAGAAGCAAGCCAGGCCATCTGTTTGTCCTCTCTATGTATATATACCCTCCCTACCCTACATGGATACGCTCGACGTGACCGAGTGACAAGTGTCGGCCTCTCCGGAGGCCGAGCGGGCCGCCGACCCAACCAAATCTGGTCCGAGCGAGCGACCAAGCAGTCATCTGTCGCTCACTCCGGTGAGCGCACGATGAGGCACACGCCGCCTGAAGGCAAAAAGCGAATACCTGCTGGTGCAAGAGCATGCCCATGCAACATGCGAGGTGCGAGATGGAGCTCTTGACGTCTGTGCGAGCTGCACACGCATGCACCCCGCAAGTGTGGCAGCCGGCGGCAGAGGCTCTGCCGCCGGCCACGCGACCTTGCAGCGCCCAGAGGGGGCAGAAGCAGCAGCGCAGCACGACCGAGCACCTCGATGGTCCACGCAGCTGCGCGCCACGCTCCGCGCTAAAAATGGACACGGAGCTCTCTCTCTCTCGCGCGCTCATGCCAGCGCAGCAGGGATGCTCTGACGTGCTCTTCAGGGCCTCGGACACCGGAGTGAGCTCAGGAGGCGTCCCACTGCCACACCGCCGCAAAGTGAGGCGGCTATGAGCTGCAATTAGCAGACGCCGGAGAGGGAGAGAGGCCGCCGGCCGGCGACGCGGAGCGCAGATCTCGCTCAGATCGGCGCGCGGGAAGCGCGCCGTGGCGCACGCCGCGCGTTGAAACGCTGCAGCTGCTGCTTCCGCGCTCGCTCCTCTTTGCTCTCCAGATCCTGTGGCTGCTGCTGCACCCTGCGTCTGGACCTGCTCTTGCCTTGCTGATCTGCTCTCCTTCTTTCTGTGCTGCCTCTTGCCTGCGCTCGCTGCTGTGCGGGAGCTTGGAGCGTCTAGCCTGCCCGGCCGGCGCCCTGGCATGAAGAGGCGAGACGCGCAAGCCGCATAGCGCATGCGCAGGCGGCGTGCAGAAGATCTCTGCGCTCTGTCACGCGTGCCTCGCAGGGCCCGCCTGCGCGCTGCCGCGGCAGCCCAGCGCAGCGGCTAAGCCTCCTTCGGGGCCGAGACTCGTGGGCTGCCTGCGCGGAGGGGTCACGCGCTGCGCTGCCGCTGCAGGCCTGCCGCTGCCGCTCTGCGCGCGTTGATGTGTGCCTCGGCCGGCCGGCGGCGAGCGTCTGCGCCTCTCCGCACTTTGTGCTGACCGCTCTCGCACAGCCGCTCCTCTCGCGGCCCTGTCTCCTCTCCACAACCCTTCTCCCCTGGTCCAAGTCGCCGCCGCCGTCTCCGCCGTCTCCTCTTTATCGCTCCCTCACGACTCCAGGGCTCACGTCACTCGCCACGTCTCACGCCGCTGCAGCGCAGCGCACCACCCGCCGCCGTCCCATACCCGCGCCTCTGCGCCTCTCTGTGCCTCTCGGTGCCGCACCGCCCCTCGCCGCCGCCCTCTCGCTGCTCGTGGCTTCTTCGCAGAGCCTCAAGTCTTGTCTGCTCTCACCTGCACCACTTGCACCCGGCGCCTCTCGTCTGCGACCCGCTCTCCGCAGCGGCGCCTCTCTCGCCGCACACCATCATCTCCATGGTCATGGTCCACCCGGCGCCGCCGCCCGCCGAGCCGCGGCGCCGCTCGCTCTTCGGCCTGCGTCGTGGCAAGCCTGCCTCGTCTGCCACCGCTGCTGCCGAGCCATCGGCTTCGCAGCATGGCGGCATGCACATGGGCAGTGGCGCATTTGCCGCTGCTGGCAGCATCCCGCAGATCCGCGCGCCGCAGCCAAAGGCGCAGCAGCATGCGCACCACCAGCAGCAGCAGCAGCAGCAGCCAGCATACCGCCAGACGCAGTACGCCTACGAACAGCCGCGCTCGCAGAGCCCTGCGCCGCGGCAGCAGCGCCGCAGCTCCGAGTCGCAGCCGAGCACCTCGGGGCCGTCTCGGAGTGCCCAGGCTGCCTCGTCACAGCCATTCCCGGGTGATGCCGGTCTCGACGAAGGCGAGTATTCCGCCTCTGCCTCGTACGAGTCCTCACTGGGCAGTGCGGGCCAGAAGAGTTCGTCTGCGACGTCGCGCGAGGGCCACACTCGGACACGCTCGCACTTTAGCATCCCGGATGTCGTCGTCACTGCGGCGGAGGAGGATGGACAGACGCAGCACTTCGAGCACCAGGTGCCGGACCAGAAGCGGCGCTCCTTCGTCTTTGCCAGCACGTCTGCTTCCGCGCAGCAGAGCGCCTATGGCGAGCCGCCGCTGAGTCCAACGAGCCCCACGTCGCCGACGCGCAAGCGCATTCCAAGGCCCAAGCCGCTCATCCGCCTCGACTCGGACGGCAACGGCGGCACCATCCAAAAGGCCGCACCCGATGCCGCGTCGAGCCCGACGTCGCCCACGTCTCCCACCTCGACTTCCTCGGGCACGGCGAAGCGGACGCGCAAGAGTAGCTTTCCCGTGCTGTTCGGGCGGCGAGGCAGTGATCCCGAGAGTGCCGGCGAAGCGTCGACCAATGACTCTGCCTTCTCCCTGCCCGCCTCTTCTTCGCGCGACGACATCTACCGCACTGCCGACAGCTTTGCCGGGCCCTCGAGTCCGCCCAGCTCGCCGCGGCGCACCGAGCGGGCGCCAGCACCCGCACTGCCGGCTCTGTCGCCTGCGCCAGCGCTGGCTCCGCGTGCGCCGCTGACGAAGAAGCAGGTGCGCGCGCGCGAGAAGGAGGAGGCGACACTCATGAAGGACCTGGAGAAGGTCGATCGCATGGTGCGCGCACATGATCGCAAGGCGGCAAAGGAGGCCGAGCGCGCCTCGAAGCGAGAGCGCAAGCTCCGCGAGGCAGCGGCCGTCGAGAAGCCGCTGGGCTCGCTGCAGCAGGAGAGCAAGACGACGAAGGCACTGCGACGCATGACGATCTTCAGCACTGGGCCCAAGACGGTTCGACGAAGACCTAGCTCAGCGCGTCGCGATGGCCGACCTCTCTCGGGACACACAGCCGTTGCGGCTGAGGCGCATCGACAGGTGCAGCAAGCGCAGGCGCCGCCAAAGGACAGCGACGACTCGTCACGCAGTGCGGCGTGGTCATCGCGCGAGTGGACAGACGTTAAGCTGGCAGCGCCGTCCGCGCAGATGCCTAGTCTTGTGCACCCTCTCGACGCCGCAGCCGCACAGCAGGCGCAGGCGCCTCTCGCGCGCAGCGGCAGCGTGCAGCGAGCGCGTGCGCGTGCTGAGGCAGAGGGAGTAGCGCGGCAGCGCAACAGCCTGCGGCGCACCGGCTCGCAGACGCGCATGAGCGGTGGCGGACCGACGAAGCGACGCTCGTTCATTGCGGCGAGCCAGCGGAGCAGTCGCAATGAGGATGAGATGCTGGGATGGGAAGAAGAGGTCGAGGCGGACCTACAGCGCGTGGAGCGCAACAATGCGGGCGATGAGACGCCAAGACCGAAGGAGACAAGGCAGCGGGACGCGCAGCCGCAGCAACAGCAACAGCGAGCAGCGCCACCACCAAGAGCCGATGGTCGCGCCTCGCCAAACGTCTCCTACTCGCGTCCCTTCCGCACTTCTTCCGAGTCCGAGCGCGATGCACGCGCCGTCGAGGTCGCTCTGCCCACGCACTCTTCTCCACCAGCGGCGCCAAGCACGCCTCCGCTCTCCTCGGCGGCGCAGATGCAAGCGCGCTCACAGTCGAGTCCTCCTCGCCCTAGCGGGGCTACTGCAACCCAGGCCCGCGCCCCTGTCGTCTCCAAGAGCAGCCCTCCGCGCCCCGCACGAGCACCTCGCGGCGCAGGCGCCAACCCGCCGGGCTTCTCGTTCCCGCCGCGGCAGCCGCCGCAGCAGCGCGCCGACACGCTCCCGCTCGCTGCCACGCGCCCGGCACACGCCGCCTCGGAGCCGCAGAGCATGGTGCGCAGTGCGTCGGACCCGCGCTTTGTGTGAGGTGCTCGGCACCAGATGCCAGCAATGTATTTGTAGAGTGCCTTGCTGCGCCTGTGCCCGCGCGAGAGGAATGGTGAGGCTGCGAGCTCAAGGCCCGATGCAAGGAAGACTCTCGCACGAGATCGGGCGCGCGCGTGTTGGTGTTGGGTGATGCTCTACAACGCGGCGTGCTTCTTCCGCCCCACTTGCGCCACGTGTGATGCCGATGCCGCACGCCGCGAGAGCGCTCGCAGAGGCGGAGCACTGCAGCAGCGGAGAGGCATGTGGTCAGGCACCCTATCTGAGAGTGCAGCAGCCTCGAGCGGGCGCCGTGCTTTGCCCTGCAGCAGCTGCCGGCCCGCGTGCCTTGTGACGCCCGCCGCAAAGTCGCCGGCGCCTGCCTTTCCTGGCGTCCGCGCCCTTTGCTCCTTCTTCACCCACCACCAGCCCTCACCCACTCCTACAGGATCACGCCTCAAGTCATGCCGCTCCCGCCAACACGCAGCAGCCGGCGGCTGGCACCTTCCTCGCCGCCGCCACAGCAGTTGTCCTCGGGCTCGTCCAGCTCGCTCGCCTCGACGTCGAGCGCACAAAGCGCCTCGGCTATCCTGCTGCACCCCGACGCGCTGCCCTGCCTCAAGCGCCGCCAGCTCGTCAGCCTCTGTGGCCGCTTTGGGCTCAAGGCGTCCGGCAAGGTGCGTTTGCCGCATCCCCATCCTCGCCTTGGGCATTGCTGATGCGTACGCCGCAGAACGTCGAGCTCGTCGCTCGCCTGCAGGAGTTTGCCAAGCGCAACGTCGACGCTGCGGGACCCACTGCCGGCTGCTTTGCCGTGCTGCGTCCTGTGAAGCCCGACGAGATGCGCGAGGGCAGCGAAGAGCCGGCGCAGATGCCGCAGCGTCCCGAGACACCGGCGATGGAGGAGATGCAGCAGCAGAGTGAGGCGGCAGGTGAGGACGTGGACATGGAGGACGCGCGGCAGGAGGCCAGCCGGTCTTCGCAGGCCGATGTGCAAGAGGAGAGCATGGTGTCGACTGCGCCGCCCTCTCCGGCTCCCGCTCCCTCGCCGTCGCCGTCGCCGTCGCCGTCTCCATCGCCGGCCGTGCGCCGCACTCGCCGCGCCACGCGCGCAACGGTGCTTCCTGCTGCAGCTGCCCCTTCGCGAGCAGTCGCAGCAGACGTCTCGTACCCGGCGCTGCCTTCGCTTCGCGCTGCTCCTACTGCTGTAGCGCCCGAGGTTGTCGCGCCCGCCGTGCCCGGCAGCTGGCAGCACGCCATCTCTGCGCAAGGCGAGATGAGCTTGCCAAGTCTCGATCCGCTGCAGCCTTCGATCCGACCGGTGGCTCACATGCCGTCAGATGGAGCATCCGACTATGGCTCCAGCTCCATCTCCTTTCCCGGGCCCGCCTCGCCCATCGCACCGGCGCCGCAAGACTTTGCGCCTGCGCCGCTCTTTGGCGCCCACAAGCGCACCACGAGCGCGACGAGCAGTCTGCTGGGCTCGCTGCGCGGCCTGCGCGCAAAGGGCAAGGTGCTGGGCGAGGCGCTCAAGGGCAAGCGCAAGCGCGCTGCCAGTGATGACGACGTGCTTGCGAACGCAACGCCGCAGCGCCGCAGGGCCAACGATGACGCCGAAATGAGCTTCGTGCTCGTCTCGCCGGCCCCGCGCTCCGCAGCACAAGCAGAGCAGGAGGCCGACATTGGCGATGCAAGCACCATTGGCGCCTCGTCTCGCCGCGGCAGCACCGTCGGCGCCTCATCGTTGCGCTCGCTCTTCGATCCGCCAGCTCCCTCGCCGCGCTCGTGCATTGCACAGACGGCGCCGCTGCGCATCATCAAGGCGCAGCCTCGGCCTTCGCGGGCCCTGCAGCAGGCTCGCAGCTCCATGCTGCCTCCGGCGTCGCCTGCCGCCTCTCCTGCCTCTTCTCTGCCCGCAGCTTCGCCAGTGCCGAACCCGCCACTGCCGCCGTCTGCTTCCGCCTCCGCCTTCTCCGCAGCGGGCGCCGCCGTGCTGGCCGAGATGAATGCGCGTCTCGTAGCAGCCGGTCGTGCGCCGCTCGTCTCGTTCCCCGACGCCTCGACGTGGGCAGCTCGCCGTGCTGCAGCGCCAAAGATGCCGCCGCTCGACCCGCAGGACCGCTTCGAGAGCACACATCAGCGCGGCTTTGGCAGCATGCGCAGCATCACTGAGCACTACGCTGCGCGTCGGACGGCAGCACGCAAGAGCGGAGGCGGCGCAGCCAAGGCGCCGCTGCGTCCGAACGCTCGAGCGGCGGCAGCAGCGGCAGCAGCGAAGCCTGCGGCTATTCCGGCACGAGCGCAGAGCAACGAGGATGGAGAGGCGCCGTCGAAGCGCAGTCGACTCGTGTCGGGCACCAAGATGCGCAGTGCCAGCGCAGCCAGCAGTGCGGCACAGGTGCTTGCGGCCGCAAAGGCGCGGCAGCAGGCCGTCTTCGGCTCGACGGCTTCGAAGACCAAGGATGCGCCTGCCGCTTCGCTCTCTTCGTCGACGGCGACTGCGCCGGCAGGCGGAGCCACGCTTGGCGGTCGCATCAAGGGCGCTGTACGCGGCTTCGTCGGAAGCAGTGGGACGCGCGTCGCCAGCGTCTCGAAGCCCGTGCTGCCAGCCAAGGCCTCGACTATCAGCGGCACCCCTCGTCCAACGTCTGTGCGCAGCGCAAGCACGCTGTCGCAGCCTCGCCCTGCCGCCATGGGTAGCTCGAGCCTCGGCTTCTCTCAACGCGCTCCTTCCTCCAACGCCACTGCGCGACCCGCAGCAGCGCAGCGCACCGCCTCTGCCGCGTCGACGAGCAGCAGCGCCGGCGCGAGTGGCAGTATCTCCAAGCGGCCCGTCTTCGATCTGGCTGCCAGTCTGGCGCGCAAGCCCACGTACAAGCCCTACTCTGCCGCCGAGGCACTCGCGGGCCTCTCTGCGCCGACTACGCTGCCCGGCAGCATCTCGACTTCTCGCGTGACATCGCCCGTCGCGGCTGCGTCTCGTCCCGCTCGCGGCGCCGCCTCGCGCACCGGCGACAGAGAGCGCAAGGTGCGCTCCTCGATGCACCCTACAGCCCGCGGTGTCGCCGGCGCAAAGAAGCCGCGCCTCAGCGCTCAGGGCAAGGCCATTGTGCGTTCGGCGCGCGAGGCTCAGCTTGGCCGACAGCCGGTCGGCGCAGCGAGTGCCGCAGGCATCAAGAGGACGCCTGCGGCAACGGCAGCGCTCAAGAGCAAGACCCTGCCGCCGCTGCCTTCGATGCAGAGCCAGGCGACGCTGCAGAAGCGTGCGCTCGCTCCACTTCGCAATGCTGCGCCTGCACCTGCGCGCCCAGCGCTCTCCTCTGCTTGATGCCCAACGCACCAGCACATGCTCGCTCCTTCTTCGCCTGCCCTCTCGCCTACTCTTCCAGGCCGCACGCACACTGACCTATGCTTCACCTCTCTGCTCTCATACTTCCTCCCGCCGCCGCTGCCACCAGCGCTGCCGCCTAGAGACCTGCTTCTCGATGTATTTGCCATACTCACCCTCGTCTTGCCCTGTCCCTCATGCCGAATCCATAGCGATCACCGCGCGCCCTCGCGAGAGAGTCTGACTCAGGCAGATCCATCTGCTCTGCTCTAGCCTGAGCGATCGCCGTCTCGCCGTCTGCGCTTACGCCGCAGCCCTCTGTACCTCGCCACGCCCAGCGACACTCGCATCAGGACAGGCTCACAGATGTCTCGCAATGGAGTCAGAGTCCAGATTCTCGCTCGCGCGGCCCTATTCGGTACAGTAGTGTTGTGGTCGGTCATTCACCCCCCTTCCCGCGCTCCTCGATGCGCCGTCCTCGCCTCTCAGGCGCCCGCTTACGCAGATGACGTTGCCTCAGCGCGACGCCGCTTAGGAGTCGCGCATGTCGATGGCCTGCTGTCTGATTTTCCGCCTGGGGAGATAGTACGGCGTCAGTCGAACGCGCTCGGGTCGCGAGAGCGCAGCGTGCGTGCACGGAGGAGCTACGCACTCGTACTGGACCTTGTCCTTCCTGCGAGATCACGCGCGGTGGTCAGTGAGAGCGAGCAGCGTGAGAGACAAGCGCGATGCGCACTGGAAGAGACCGAAGGCGTCCGACTGTGCCGGGTCCGCGGCGTTCGGCTCCGTCAGAAGCGTCTGGATGCCCTGCAGGATCTTCACTCCAGCAAGCGCACGGAGCAAAGCATCAGCTGTGCCGTTCCAGCCACCTGGAGATGTAAGAGCGGCACGCACCGTCTTGAGGTTCAAACTCGGCTTCCAGCCCTTCTCCTCATCGAGAATCGAGAGGCAGACAGTGCCGCTCGGGAAGACGTTGGGGTGGAAGAGCGGCGGCGTGAACTTGCCTGTGCGAGGGTAGCGGGCATCAGCAGGAGAGATACGCAGAGTCGGGGTAGAGAGAGAAGGACGCACACTTCGGCGGCTTCGCCGGGTACTCCTCCGGGAACGTCATCTTCAGCTTGTACATGCCTCCCGCCCACGGCGTCTAGCCAGCGCAGGAGAGGAGCGTGAGCGCTTGGACTCCCGAACGCACAGCGCCGCCACTGCCCGCTGCCGCCGAAGCAGCACCAGCAGCAGGCATAGCACACAGAGCTCTACTCACGCCCGCCTTTCCCGGAATGCCCACGTCCCACACCAGCAGGTTGAGCGAGCCATCTGCGGCCTTCTCCGGGCGTGCATAGAAGCCCTGCGAGCAACACTGGCGTCAGTGCGTGCGGCCTCCACGCGCAGACAGACGACGCACGAAGATGCCGTTCTTCTTCCACTGCTTGCGCTCCTCTGCGAGGCTGTAAAGGCATACTTCGGCGTGAGCCGGCGCGCCGCAATGCGCCAGGCGAAGAGGCTTAGACGCACCGCATCCTGCAGAGCGCCGACATGCCGGGCGAAGCTAGTCTCGGGAGCTGTGTATTCTACGGGCAACGAGCGGTCGCAGAGGAGAGGCGCAGAGTGCTGCCGCTTGATGAGACGGACGGCGCGGCGACGAGGAGAGGCGAGGGAGCAGGACAGAGGAGCGGGGGATGTGGAGCGAAGGTGAGCAGCGCCGCCACTATGCACGCCTCATCAACGCGCGGCCGCGGCGGCAAGCGGAGGCAGCGGCCTTGGGCCAGACGCGTGCATGTCACGTGCCACTCCCGCGCCCGCTCTTCTCAAGGGCCGCCGCGGCCGTGCACGCTCTGCTTGCTTCTCACCACCATCTCGGCGCACCATGTCCTACCCGACGCTGTGGTCGCGGGCAGCGCCCTTCGCACTGCTGTCCGTCGTCACCTCGCTGGCGCTCAACCGCGCCCTCTTCGCGCGCGCCCGGGCCGAGGAGGCACAGGCGCACCTCAACCGCGTCGCCTTTCTGCGCTCGCTCCTCGACTCGCCTGCGCTGCTCACGCGCGAGCCGGCCGAGGAGCTGCGGCTGGCGCGCCAGGCGAGAGCGGCGGGCGTCGAGCCGACGAGCATTGCGCTGCCGGCCGTCGAGGGCGTGCCGATGCTGCAGCATGAGGTCACCTGGAGCGAGATCCTCTGGGGCAAGGAGGGCGTCGCAAAGGAGAGCATCCTCAAGGCCGCTGGCCGCGTGCGGGATCGCCTGAAGGGCAACGCGCCGCAGATTGACTCGACCGCGAGCGATGATGGGTCTGCTGCGAAGTGGAACAAGGGTGAGTCGAAAGTCAAGGCGAAGGGAGCATCCGTCGAGCTGCAGGCAGATGCTGCGCTGCGAAGCGCATCGGTCGCCTTTGACGCTAATGTGCCTCGCCTCCTACGCTGACGCATGCTTCTGGTACAGACTGGGAGGAAGCGCAGGGCACCTCGCGTGCAGCGAAGGAGAGTCAAGAACGGCGCGATGCAGCGGCCGCACAGGCGCAAGCCGACGCACGGGCAGCGCAGGCAGCTGCTGCCGCACCGGCAGAGCCCGCAGCACCCGTGCGGCCACCGAAGCGCTTCATCATCTAGCGCGGCGTCTTTTCGGCTGCCTCGGCCTGTCTGCCTGGCGGTCTACGATACCATGAAGCTACGATACCACTGCGCCTCGGCGTGCGGGGCAGCGCCTTGCCCTGCACTTGGCGAGGTCGTCATCTGCAGCTGTCAGCGCCTCGAGGAACTCTTGGCTCGCGACGACCAAAGCCGCTTCAGCACTGCAGCTGCCTGCGCCGCATCGTTCTCGGTTCTGCATGCCCTCTGGCAGAGGCCCCGCTGCTTCGAGAGCACGTTGAACACGACAGACTGCGAGCTAGCCAGGCTCTCCAAGGACGCACGGCTCCTTCTCGGTCGTTCTCTCTTCGCGAGGAGACAGGCTGTGAATCGCCGAGGATGCCAGGTCAGGGCTGTCAGGAGAGAGCTCAGCCCCTCTGCCTATCGTTCGGCGACTTGCACGGCACATCTTCGCTCATCGCCGGCAAGAGCCCCTCACACCGCCGAGGCGGGCCCTGCGTCGCACCGTGGGCCGAGCCACCGCGCAAGCATGTGGGGGTACGGATGTCTCGGCTCACGCACCGCGGGAAGAATGCCGCCAACAATGTCCACACGATCTCTTGCATCTGCGCCCTGTCGTGTCTTTTCGCTTGACCAGGCACACGTGGCTGGAATCTGAACGTCAGGCACTGCGGCCGTGGGCGGATGGTGGCCTCTCTCTTCCGAAAGCAGGGTGCAGGCACCTGCTCGGCCGGCGGCCGATAGCGTGGACCGTTCGGGAGGACATCGTGCTCCTCGCCCCTCTCTGCACGCACTCAGAGTCAAGGTCCGGGCGTCCGGAGGGGCGCGGATGTACAGTGGTTCCGAGCTGAACTTCACTGCGTGTACCCTCACGGTCCCGGCCAGGCACGGCCGGCCGTGCATGCCGACGTTTGCAGCATGTACGCTTGCCGCCGGCCCAGCATCCCGTAGCTCCCGTAGCTGCCGCAGCGGCAGTGCCTGGCCGAACTCATGGACCGCCGGAACCCCTCTCGGCAACGAATGGGGTTCGCGTCGTCGTCATCACGGCTCTCGACGCCCGATGATCTCGCGGCTGGAGGGGCCCCTTGTACCTGCGCGGTCGTTCGCACGCGTTGATGTTGCGGCCAGGAAAGATGTGCCGGCCACGCCGTGCGCCGGAACCTGAGAGGTCCACCTGCGTCCATCCCTCCGGCTACTCTTCGAGGCCTGAGCGCGGTCGAGACCCATGGGACGACCGACACGCACAAGTCGTGAGCTTGTCGCAGGACAACGCCCGGCGGCATTGCACGAGGGCCGGCGAACGCCTTCGTTGGCGTGCAAATGCGCTGCCTATCGAGCGGACAGAGGGGTGCAGCAGAAGGACGAGTGAGGCCTCTGAGGTGCCGGCGCTGCCCCTCTGGTGCTGCGATGGCGCCGAGCGCTGCGTTGCGACTCCGCGCGCGGGCGAAGACTGCTCTGGTGCCGCTGTCTTGAGTTGGTGCGTCCTGCGTGGCGCTCAGGCCCTCGGCGCGTGCGCCGCCGCGGCGCTTCTTCCTCTCGCCATCACCGCGAGGGTCGCTCCATCAAACAAAGCCGAGGCTGCAGAGAGCGCGGCGCAGGCAGAGGGGCAGCGCCGCACGCGCTGCTGTGCTGCTGCCATCCGCGAGCTGCCTGCGCCTGCACGATGCTGCAGCATGTGCATGTGCCTCTCGACAGGCCGCAAGCGCGGCCGCCGGAGCCGGCCGCCGCCGGCGGCAGAGGGCATGATTTGTGCGCGCAGAGCAAGGCACGACGAGACGATTGCCGACGAGGAGCCCTATATGTGCCCGGCCGTTCCTCCATCCGCCGCTCCCTTTCACCCCTCCTCATCCTCATCCCGTCACCGCACCCTCCGCTGCCATGGCCGACGCCGAGATCAACTGCAGCAATGCGCGCCTCGAGCCGTTCGAGGACGGCATCGGCCTGCGCGTCGGCGCCATCTTCATCCTCCTTGTCTCGTCGGGCGCCATGACGCTCTTCCCCATCGTCACGCGCCGTGTCGCGCGCTTCGCCGTGCCGGCGGCCGTGTTCGACTTTGCCAAGTTCTTCGGCTCCGGCGTCATCATCGCCACGGCCTTCATCCACCTCCTCGCGCCCGGCGTCGAGGCGCTCTCGAGCCCGTGCCTCAACGAGAACTTCCAGAACTACCCGTTCGCCTTTGCCTTTGCCATGATCACCATGTTGTGAGTGACAGCGGTCCGCAGTGTGATGACTGGCGGAGGGTATCGGAGGGCCGCGAGCGGACGTCGCGCCGTCTAGAGAGGTTGTGCTCGTCACATGGGCTGGACCAGCCGCTGCTCTGCTATCGCTGGCAACTGCGCTCCGGCCGTGCTCGCGCTGACACCTCTCCAGCCTCACCTTCATCGTCGAGCTGCTCGCGTTCCGCATCGGCGCCGCCAAGGCTGCCTCGCTGGCGTACGACCCGCACACGGGCGGCCACCACCACGCCGCCGAGCACGGCAACCTGGCGCGCGTCGTCAGCACCGGCGCCGTGCCGCACACGCTCGTCGAGAAGAACGTCAGCGACTCGGACGAGGCGCTCGTCAAGGTGCCGCTCTCGGCTGCTGCCTCTGAGATCCTCGGCGTGGCCATTCTCGAGTTCGGCGTCATCTTCCACAGCGTCATCATCGGTGAGCATGCTGGCAGCCTCTTGTCCTCGACCTGTGCTGACTCTGCGGCACAGGCATCACGCTCGGCACAATTGGCGACCGCTCGTCGTTCGTCACGCTCTTTGTCGTCATCATCTGTGAGTAGGGCTGGCCAGGCTTCTTCGAATCGTGGCTGACCACGCCGCCTGCAGTCCATCAGATGTTCGAGGGTCTCGGTCTCGGCTCGCGGCTGGCCCTGCTGCCGCTGGGCCCGGGCAGCGCGATCCCGTTCCTCGGTGCCGTGGCCTACTCGCTCGTCACGCCGATTGGCCTGGCCATCGGCCTGGGCGTGCGGCACACGTACAACGAGGACTCGGCCAAGGCCTCGTACGTCACGGGCACGTTCGACAGTGCCAGTGCCGGCATCCTGCTGTACACGGGCCTCGTCGAGCTGCTGGCGCACGAGTTCATCTGTGAGTTCACGCTGCAGCAGTCGCATGCTCGCCGCCTCACTGACCACGTCCTCTGTGCAGTCAACGAGAAGATGCGCACCGACCCGCTCGGCAAGGTGCTCGTCCACGTCTGCACGATGCTCCTCGGCGCCGGCATCATGGCTCTTCTCGGCCGCTGGGCCTAAGCGGCTCCGTCGTCTCGGCGCATGCGATACCCTCTCTGCACATAGCTGCTTGCTCCCTCTCTTGGTCTAGATTATTGTCACTTGCCTGCCTTGCTCTGTATGCGCCTCGTGCCGCAGCCGGCCCCGTGCACCGACGCACTGCTGCGTCGGTCCGCGAGTGGCCCTGCGGCTAATCCACGTCATGCACACACTGCGCGCCGTGACGACGAAAGCTTGACTCGAGCGTGATGCGTAGTGGTACATTGCGTGCTGATACAATAGGGCGAGGAGAGGGAAGGCGTTCAGTAGCCTCCGCCGCCGCCATCGCCGCGCGAGAAGCCGGCCGTCTGCCGGCGCTGGTTGTCCTCGAGCTTGGGGCTGTGAGGGGACGACGCATCAGCAAGGTGCTCGGCCGCAGCGACACGTGTGGGACGCACCAGTCTTTGACGCTGTGACCGAGACCACCGCAGACCGCACAGCCAGTGAGCGAGGCACCCTGCCCGGCGCGAGGATCGTCGAGCGCTGCGAGGAAGGGCGGGATTCTGCAAGGCACCGAGGCGGTGAGCGATGATCGCCAGAGAGGCACACAAGAGCAGCGCTCACCTTTGCTTGGCCTCCATCAGGAGATACTTCAGGTCGAGCAGCGTCTGCTCGGCCGTGTTCATGTTGACAAACGTCGTGGCGATACCAGTGTTGCCGCTGCGGCCGGTACGACCCTGCAAAGCGTGTCAGTCGAGGCACTAAGCTGTCGCGCGCGTGAGTGCTCACGATCTGATGCTGTGAGCGCAGTGAGGCGTCAGCGTCTGCACGTGAGGGACATGACGCGTGCGACTCACGACGTAGTCCTCGATCTCCTTGGGCATCGTGTAGTTGACCACGTGCTGGATCTCGTTGAAGTCAAGACCCTTCGAGGCGACGCCCGAGGCGACCATGACGTCCTTCTTGCCGCTCTTGAAGCTCTTGATGGCGTACTCGCGCTCGTCCTGCGTCTTTGAGCCGTGGATGGCGACGGCCTCGACGCCCTTGAGCAGCAGGTATTCCTGGATGTCGTCGACCTCGTTCTTGTTGTCGCTGAACACGACGACGGGCGGCGCCGTCTTCTGCAGGCACTCGAGCAGATACACCATCTTGGCCTCTTGCTTTACGTACTCGACCTCCTGGATGATGTCCAGGTTCGCTGCACCCGCACGGCCAACGTTGATGACGACGGGCTGGATGAGCGACTGCTCTGCAAAGTCTTGAATCTTCTTGGGCATCGTGGCCGAGAAGAGCAGCGTTTGCCGTTGTTGCTGGATGGTGGCACGAGCGTCAGCATCACGTAGGAGCTGGAGCGCCGGGGCGCCTCACCTTGAAGAAGCTCATGATGTTGCGCACGTCGTCCTCGAAGCCCATGTCGATCATGCGGTCCGCCTCGTCGAGGCACAGGTACTTGCACGCCTCGAGCGTGAACTTCTTCTTCTCCAGCATGTCCTGCAGGCGGCCCGGCGTGGCGACGACAATGTGGAAGCCCTTGCCCATGACGTGCGACTGCTCGGCCATGCTGATGCCGCCGATGCAGAGCAGCACGCCGATCTCGGGATAGCCTGCCTGCGCCAGCACGTCGGCCATCACCTTGATGCCCTCGTACGTCTGTCGGGCAAGCTCACGCTGCAGGACCAAGGAGTCAGTCCTGTTTCACAGGGCACGAGAGCGCGACACGCACCGATGGGCAGACGATCATGCCAGTCGGGCCCTCGCCGCGCACGTATGGCAGCTTGCGCTGCTCCTCGAGCGCGAACATGACAATCGGCAGGCTGAACGCCAGCGTCTTGCCCGAGCCGGTGAAGGCGATGCCGATCATGTCGCGTCCGCTGAAGGCAGTCGGCAGGCCCTGCATCTGAATCGGCGTCGGCCGCTTGATGCCCTTCGACTCGAGGTGCGCCAGAAGCGGCGGAGGGAGCTTCATGTCCTGCGGTGACACGCATCAGCGGCCGATCTCAGGCGACGAACGGGCCCGGCCCGAGCACCGCGAAGAACGTAGCAAGCCCTTGCTGCAGCCACCGGCCCCTTCCAGCAAGTCCGCCAGCCCTCACTCACTCTAAAGTTGGTGATCAGCGGCGGGATGTCCTTGCCTTCCGCCAGCACATGGTGCTTGTCGCGCAGCTCCTCATTCTCCTGCTCTGTCCGCCGCCGCACGAACGCCGGTGCGCGCCAGCTCGTCTTCAGCGGCTCCTCGTAGGAGATGCCCTTTGCCAGCTCCATGTCGCTGGCAAGCTTGCGGCGCGCGGCGTGGGCGTCGAGGATCTTGCGCTCCTCCTCTGCAGCCTTCTCCGCCTCGCTCTTCTGCTCCTTGGCCTGCAGCGCCTTGAGCTCGCGCGCGGCGTGCAGCAGTGCCGTCTTGCTCTGCCGCACGCCCATGTCGTCGTCGTCGCCGCCCTTGTCGGCGCCCGTCTCGACGGCCGTGCCAGCGCCCGGCGCCGCCACTGCGACACGGCCGCGCCCTGCGATGCGCTGCAGCTCCATCTGCTTGCGCTTCGAGGCGGGAATGTAGGCCTCGTACGTGTCGTCGTCGTCTTCGTACGACATGAGGTCCGGCTCCTCCTCAACGACGCGCCGCCGCTTGTACGCCGGCGCACTGGCCGAAGCCGCGGCCGCGCCCGAGGCCGACGATTCGGCAGAGGGTGCCATCTGAGCGAGTGTGCTGGGAATGGAGCTGGCGAAAGAGCGCAGGCAGTGCAGAGAGGATGGTGGAGGTCAAGAGGATCGCGCCACTCTACTTGCTGCGCGTTCCGCGGCCGCTCCAGCCGCCGCCGCACGGCAAGGCGCCACGCAGACGGGTGCGGCAGGTGCAGGCGCCGCCGATGTTGCTCTCTTCCCACCACACCAATCCTCACACCGCACATCCGCCTCGGCCGTTCCGTATCGAGCCGAGATCGAAAATTGCATCACGCTTCGAACATAAGAATGCAATCTGCCAGCATTGCTGGCGGCGCCGGGCTCAGTCGCCCTGAGCCAGTGTGCGAGATGAGGAGACGTCCGCGAGGCCGAGAGAGACCGTGCTCCAGCTGTGTCGCACGCCTCAGTGCGTAGCACTCAGATTGCGCGCCTAGACTGACCCGAGCGTGACAAAGACGAGCCAGGCGCAGCACTAATGAGGAAAGCTGCCTCGAGCTCGCTTTGGGGCAGCCTGACAGGGCTGAAGCAGTGGGCTTGCAGCATGTCTCTCGACGGCCGTCCGCAGCGCGAGGTGCTCAGCATCCGCCGAGCTCAAGTCCTAGTGACGAAATCCTGCTCACGCGAGGTCACTGATTGAGCGCTCCTGTCTTCAGCGTGCAGCACATGCACATGGGTCTGTCTGCTGTGTCTGCGAAGCGGGTGCGGTTTGTCCGTGCCCGAGGAGGGGCAGGACGCACGGGCGCGGAAGTCGCGGCAGCGGGTGCGGGCAGCGACAGCGAGGCGCTTTCCGGGGTAGCCGGCGCCTTCTCAAGCGACCACCACCATCGGCTACATCGTCTCAGCTGCAAGATGTCCTCCACAGCTGCCCGTGTCGACCCCGACGTCGCCAACAAGGACGGCTCGCGCCCGGCCTTCGAGCCTTCGCCCTTCTCTCGCACCGCGCCGCCAGACGCCGAGTGGGTGCCGGGGCGCGGCCTCAATGCCCACCCCGAGGCCGGACGCTTCGCCTTCACGGATCAGACGAGCTTCCGCTCCGTGCACGTCGGCAAGACCAAGATTGCGCCGGCGGCCATGTACAAGCTGATGCTGGGCGGCATCGTGAGCAGGCACAGGCGTTGCTCAGGCATGTGACGCTGACTGCCGCTCGCTTGCTGCAGGCGCCTCGCCCGATCGCCCTTTGCGGTACGCTGTCGCCCGACGGTGTGCCGAACCTCGGTGAGTCTAGCAGCAGCTCGCATGCATGGCTGCCGCACTGACGTTCAATGCCGTGTGGCAGCGCCGATCAGCTGGTTCCAGATGGGTGCGTGCCTCGTCTGCTTGAGCCAGACGGCGCGCTGACGAAGGTCGATGCAGTCTCGCACAACCCGCCGCTCGTGATGATCTCGTTCGGCGGCGACTCGGCACGCCGCAAGGACAGCGAGCGCAACCTCAAGGAGTCTGGCGTGTGAGCAAGCCGAATGATGCGCGCGACACTGCTGCTGACCCGTCTCTCAGCTTCTGCATCTCTTCGTCGTCCGAGCCATTTGTGGAGGCGCTCAACAGTCAGTAGAATGGCATGACGCTTCGGCCAGCGCTGATCCTCGAATGCTTCAGGCGCAAGCGTCGACGCACCACGCGGCGTCTCTGAGTTCTTCTACTCGCACCTCACGCCCGTTCTCGGCGATGTCGTCAAGGCGCCGCGAGTTGGCGTGCGTCGCTCTCTGCTGCAGTTCTCTGTTCTCAGCTGAAGCCCTCGCTCCCACAGGAGAGCCCATTCTCGATGGAGTGCGAAGTCGACTTCACGCGCGAGTGGAACGTGCGTGCTCAGAGGCCTCGCAGCGCTACGCTGAAGCTGACGCGAGGCTTGCACAGAACGCGGAGGGCCAGCACACGACGACGATGGTCGTGGGCCGCGTCAAGGCGCTGCACATGCGCGAGGACTGCCTCACGCCCGAGGGCACGCTGGTGAGCTCACTGTCTCGATGCGGCTCCGTGCTGGACCTCACGCTCTCTCGCCTCAGGACCCCGCCAAGACGCTGCCAGTCTCGCGCATGGGCGGCCTCACCTACGGTCGCAGCACTACGTGAGTGCAGTGGGCATGACCCTGCGACTCTCGCTGACCGCGCCGTCCCGCAGCGGCTTCGACCTCTCGCGGCCCAAGTGGGAGGAGACGCAGAACACACCCGAGGTGCAGGCTGCGCTCAAGGAAGAGCGATGGGGCAGCTCGACGTCCAAGGTGGCCGAGAGCTGGCCGTGAGCTGGCCAGTCGCTCGCGGGTATGCTATACTATTACGTGGCCGCTGAAGCGCTGCTGGACGCTTCCGAAGTCTAGTCGAGCTTGAAGGTCTGCTCGGCAAAGTGGCGCAGCACCGACACGCCGAGGCGGTGGAAGGCGATCGACGGCGTGCGGACGATGATGATGGCGTGCGTGTTGATGACGTCCTCGGCGTACACGCGGTGCTTGACAAGGCGCGGCAGTACTGCTCGGCTGTTCAGGCGCTCGCAGATGCGCAGCTGTGCTTCCGACAGCGGCGGCGCCTTGCGCTTGCCCGGGGGCAACGGGACGCTCATGTGCTCTGCTGCGGGAGTGCCAGAGGCGTGCGTACCGACAGATGCGTGGGCGGGAGCCGGCGCGCTGTCAGGCGCCTTGACGTGGTCCTCGGTCGCGCTCTCGACTGCCGTGCGCAGCAGCGTCTCGGCGCGGGTGCGGTGCGGGTCCGAGCCTGGCTCCTTGCCCTCGCGCCAGGCCACGTGCATGGCTTCGATGCGCCTTTTCGATGCGCGGCTCTCCTTGGCGAAGCGCACGAGCACGAGCGGGATGAAGACGAGAGGAAAGACGACGGGCGAGAGCACCACTAGCAAGAGCGACACTGGGTAGGAGAAAGGCAGGCGTGACGGCGACATGAACCAAGGCAAACGCGGCAGGCGCGAGCGCAGCGACTTCGGCTTGGCGTGCTCTGGCGCGTCGATGCCGGTGATGATTGATGGGTAGTCGGGGTCCAGGGTGCTAGAGCAGGCGTGTTCAGCATGGAGGCAGAAGCGCAACGCTACGGATGCGACTCACACATTTGCATCGCCAGCCCACTCCTCAAGCGCATCCCACGGCTCCACAAGACCTGTCCTCGCCGGGACGGTGAGGTCGAGCACGGCGTTGGCGTAGAGGTCACACCTCTCGAAGCGCTGCAGGCCCGTGATGAAGGCGCTGCCCGGTTGGCTCATTGCCTCGATCAGGCCTCGCTTCTCGCGGCCCTTGGCGCCGGCAGACAGCTCCTCGTGCTCCCAGCCACTGTCGCGCATGTACTGAGGACAGATGTTCAGCCGCTTGCGCTTCCGAAAGTGATCAGACAGCGCCTCACAAGCTGCGCGCCTGTTCGGCTGAGGATGCGGCCTCCTATGAAGCTGACGATCCGACCGAACGAGCTGGCGGGAGGCGGCATGCCAAGATGCGGAGATGCAAATGTCTGTGCGAGCTCTGCGTCAGCTTTGAGAACCATCTTGCCTGGCGTATAGCGCCCACCGTGAAGTTGGTCGCGATCGGAGCGTCCTCTCCAGAAAAGAAGCCCGAAGCTTGCAGCTGGCCGACGACGAAGCGAGCTGTCAGGCCGCCGAGGGAGTAGCCAAGCTGTCGGAGCGATCAGCGCACAGACTATACGCCATATGAGGTCAGCTCACGATGCTGAAGCGAACGATTGTGTTGCCTGCTGATCGCAGACGTTTGACCTCGGCGGTGACCTGTCGGTGGCGCGTCAGAGCTTCGAACGCCGTGCAAGAGCCGCAGCGCGCCTCACCTCGGCAACTGCACGCTCGCCGATCCAGTCGATGCCGTCATACGTCCCGGCGCCCTCAGAGGTGCACGTGTTGAGTACGACGAGCTCCAGCGCATCGGGCTTGCGCTGCGCAGCGGCAGCCGCCTCCTGCTCTTGGACCACGCCTGCGAACCAGGCGCGCCCGCTGTCGTTCGTGCGCACGTCCTTCAGTGGCTCGCCGGGCGTGTCTGTTCTGTCGGAGCGCGGCGAGAGGGTACCGCCGTGCTGCGCCATGAGCACCGAGAGCAGGCTCGACAGGTGCGTCGGACTGCCCCAGAGGCCGTGCACGGCCACGAGCAGGTGCACCCGCGCAGCAGCCGACGTGCCAGCCTGGCTGTGCGACGCCGAGGCGCCGGCCGGGCTGGCGCTGCCGCTGTGCGACGTGCTTGCGGTGTCGGCCATGGCGGTCGCTTGCTGCAGCTTGAGGATGGAGCGGTGCGGAGGCAACCTGCGCTGACGCATGCGCGCGAAGCGCAGTGCTGACGCGAGACCCTGAGGTGGAGCGCGAGCGCGTAAGTCCGCGTCTCCGCACGTGCCACGCGCTGCAGCCGGCCGGCTCGGCGGTCCGGCGCAGCGTCAAAAGGAAGCCCAGACTGTGCTCCGCGTGGCCAGAGCATTCGTCATCCGTTGACCCTGACTACGTCCTGTTGCTAAGCGAGACACGTTGTGCTGGCCATCAGCTGCCCGAGACTGAGGAGCTGCTCCCACGCGCGCGCGGTGGCAGCGAGGGCGCCAGCCGAGGCGCCGAGGTGCGCGCCACGCCTGCGTCCCTTGGCGCACCAGGCAGCCATCAGGCAGATGCAAACTCAGTCAGGACGCACGTCTATTCAGCACTCCGGACGTCTCTCAGCGTAGGAGCGCGGCTTAAGTGGAAGCTGGGACGACCCAATGCCGCGCCTCACTCGTTGCCTCGTTCTCGACTTACGACGCCTGGGAGCCTCTCGATGTGGCGGCGGCGTAGGAGCTCCGCCCGCCGAGCGCATCGCAGATGCTGTCGAGGTCTAGCACGTCGCCGGCTGCTCTCCCATCTCCAGGCACGCACTTGCGCGCCCAGCTCAGCCCGACGAGGCGTACGTCGAGCCGGCCCAGATGATGCGCAGCTGTCGAGATCTCCGCCGAGCCTGCAGGGGTAGCTTGATCAATTGTTGGGTGACGCTGAACGCACACGTTGCTGAGGGCTATGTTGCCGTGACTCCATCCTGCGGCGTGCAGCTTCTCCAGCTGTCGTGAGAGCGCATCGCACACAGCCTGCCCTCCTTGAGGATCCGTCGCTAGCTCGTCGCATAGAGCGGACAGCGATGAGCCAACGTCCTCGAAGATGTGTGTCAGCCGCGAGGCGTCGTCGTCGCTACGCCCATAGCAGCAGGGGATAGCCGTGCCTTGCAGGTGCGATAGCTCCCGGTAGACGCGCAACTCGCGCTCGAGGTCCTTGTTCCAACGCACACGGCGGCTGCGCTTGCCAACGATCGCGATGTGGCCGGGTGTGGAGCACGTCTGTCGGCTCAGCTCGGGGTACCGCTTGCTGCCGCGCTGGATGAGGTCGAGGCAGGAGAAGGCCTCCGGAGAAGCTGGTTCGCGTCCGATACAGCCTCGATGCGCCACGGACGTGCTGCCAATGGCAAAGAGAGCGCAGCAGAGCTGGACGCATTCTGCTGTTGCGCCGTCGTCCGCTAGTGTGTGGCCCAGGTCCGCTCCTCGCACACCAGCATCCACTGCCCCTGTTGATTTGTTTTGCGCTGTCAGGGCGACCTGATCCTTCAGGAGCTCATGCAAGTTGAAGCCTGCGCGAGGCGCCGAGGCCAACGCAGCATGGCGGGCCTTGAGAGCAATCGCAGTCAGAACGAAGGTGAGGTTGCCTGCTCAGTGTGTCAGCCGTGGCAGGCGTCTTTGCGGACCATCCGACTCACGATCCTTGACCTGTGTGAAGCGCATCGCCGAGGGCTTGCTGTCCAGTTGGTCCGTTTCCTTCGCCGAGTGTGTGAAGAGCGCGCGGTTCACCGCCAGATCGAAGTTGAGAAAAAGAGGCCGGGTCTGATCCTCCTCGGCCATCGGCGTTACATCGATGTGCGCCAGCTCTTCGCCTGTCATTACGCTTGCCGACACGGCCTCGCTCATGCAGATGCTCTTCACCACTCGGAGGTAGAGGTCCAGTTGTGCAACGGAGTGCCGCGCTTGCAGGAAAGTGCGCTCGAGGAAGCCAAGTGTGACAAAGGGCTACAAGCGGAGCCATGTCAGTCAGCGAGGCGATGGCAGAAGGCGGGGGGGGACGCCAGGTGGCCGCGCGATCAGCTGCGACTGAGAGGGTGCCACACACCTGGAGCACAATCACATGCACGATTCGCCATCGCGAGTCAGGGCAGCCTAGAGTCGAAGTGGTAAAGCCGGATGTCAGCGCATGTGGCGATGCACGGCAAGAAGCACGACAGAGGCAGGACACCAGCCTGGAAAGCTCGGGCCTGACTCACGAGACAGCAGATAGAAGTTTGGACCGTCCCCAACATCGACCTCAAGCTCGGTCTTCCCAATCAGCGTTTATGCTCGGATGTCATCGTTGTGCACCCAGAGAAGGCCCGCCGTTGATTTTATCGTCTCCGAGTTGCGAGCCCAGACGTCGAGGAGTAGATTCGACGCAGTGAAGACTCCTTGAGCGAGCCTCTCCTGCAGCCTCGTCTCAGTTGACCAGCGCTGAGTACAAGGCCGGAGAACAGAACCCTGCGGCGCGCGTTCCTCGTGGCAGGAGGTATCGGACGCTGTGGCATCCCCGAGAGACGAGCGACTTCTGGCGAGCGAGTGCGCGTGAAGGCGTGCTGCACCGTGGCTCCGACGCTCAGCCTCGGACGGAGCAAAAGCGCCGGAATAGTCGAGAGGACCCGCTGCTGCAAAGGGCTGGAGCTCTGAACAGGCGCTCCACAAGTCGTACTCGAGGAGAGCTGATGTCCGAAGCGAGGTCCATTGAGGGAGGTCGTCCTGGACGTGCCGTGCTTCTTGTCTCAGCGCAGGATCTAGCTCACAGAGCATGACGGCGTCCAACTCCGAGCCTAGGCTTGTCTCGGCGGCCGGAAGGAAGCTCGCAGGCTCATCAGCAGACGAGAGACTAGCTACGATGGGGCTGAGACTTGGCAGTCATTTCGGATCGGCGCCGTCGTGCTTGAAGAGCTGGGTGGTCTCTTCGGGCGTCACGACTTGCTGCTGCCGGTGGCGCCGATATGCCGCTGCACCCTCCTCGCTGAACGGCCAATGCCTCTGGTCTTGATACGTCAAACTCGGATGCAGCGTCTCGAGCGCAACGGAGCGTCCGATGGCGCGGCTGTCGAGAGCTGTGTGCAGATGTAGCACACCGTTGGCCATGCGCACGAACGGGTGCACGAGTGACGAGGGTGCCATGGCAGAAGAAGCGCAATCGGGAGGCTTCGGCGGCGAGAAGATGAGAAGAAGGGCGAGAGGATGCAGCCTGCTTGTGCAGGAGAGCGTACTTGAGGCATCCGCAGCAGGGCCGCTGGCGTCTGCCGTCAGGCTGCCGCTGCATCTGGTTGCTGCGGCACACCGCTTGCGGCCCACGCGTGCGCACGTCTCACCTCAACGGCCACCCAACAGAGCGCTGCGGCTCCCGAGTCGACGCTTGCTCGCCCTCAGCAGCACGCGACAGCGAGCGTGAAGCATGTCTCTTTCCAGCGCAGATCCGCCATCAGGGGCTGCGCTATCAGCCTAGGGTTATCGTCGAAATCGAATTGCCTTTGAGTGCGGCGCCAAAGGCGGCGACATCGGCGCGGCATACGCTGCGCGCCGCCTGTGATGCTGCAAGTGGAGCCTCTGCCGCATCTCGAGGCTGCGCCGCAGCGAGAGCGTGCCCCATGAGGGCCGGCCTTGATAGCGCCTGGATCTACGCTTGAGAACTGCTTCGTTCCTTCCGCTTCAGCTGCAGATCAGGTGAGAAGCGGCGGGCTGAACGACGGATCGAGCAGCAGTGTTGCGGCGCGCTCTCGTGCGGGAGCGCCGTCGGCGCAGTGGCGCGCGCGCGTGGCTTGGGCCACATACGGCGTGGTGCGCGTTGCGGCCAGCGTGGCCCCTGCCTCTCACCAACCAACACCTCCCTGGCCTTGACTGGCGCGTCGCCCGGTCCCGTTTCTTTCGTGCTTGCCACGCCTCTCTGGCAGAGCCGCTGTTGCGCAGCTTCTTCCTCGGCACGCTCTCCGGCGGCGATGTCCTCGCGCGGCCTCGGCGCCGGGGCGAGCACGCCGCAGCGACGCGCGCCCTCGCCGCTCAGCTTCGCACCGGCCGCCTCAGCCGGGACCGGCGAGACGCTCAAACCAGACGGCAGCCCGTCTTCGGCACACTGGTTCACCTCGCCGCCGCCCTCGGGTCCGTCGGTAGCGCACGCATATGGCGCCTCGCCGCGCTATCCGCCCTCTGGCGGCTTTCCGTACGCACATGGGCATCCTCCGCCGAGTCCAGGCGGCACGGCGCCCGAGCAGTTTGCCTTCTCGACCACGCTGCGCAAGGGTGAGCAGCACTGACCGGTGCTGTCTGCTTGATACTCACCCTTTGTGCAGCATCCTCCGCAGCCGACGATCACCACTTCCTGCCCAGCCTAGCCCACGCCCCGACACCGGTGCACCCTCAGGCGCCTTCTTCCTCGCCCTCGGCGTACTTCACGCACGTGTCCGTTGCGGAGGTGCTGCGGCACCTTGGGACGTCACTTCAGGCCGGCCTCTCATCAGCCGCTGTGCCACAAGCGCGCAATGCGGCAGGTGGGCCGAATGAGTTCAGCGTCAAGGGCGGCGATCCAGCGTGGAGGAAATTCGCGGGGCAGTTTGCAGAACCGCTCATTCTCCTGCTCATGGGCAGCGCAGCAGTGAGCGCGCTGCTGGGCGAGTGGGACGACGCCATCAGCATCACAGTGGCCGTCGTGATTGTCATCTCAGGTGAGTGTCGCAACGGGCGGCGCAGCGCGGCTCCCCTCGGAGGATCGAGGCTCGCGCCAGCATCTTACGCGACGCCCGACCCGTCTGTCAGTCGGCTTTGTCCAGGAGCAACGCTCAGAACAGAGCCTCGAGGCGCTCAACAAGCTCGTGCCCCACTTCTGTCATCTGGTGCGCGATGGCGCGACTACGACGGTCCTCGCCAACGAGCTCGTGCCGGGCGACGTCGTGACGTTCTCCACGGGCGACCGCATCCCGGCCGATGTGCGCGTTGCAGAGGCTGTGGCGCTGGAGATCGACGAGAGCACATTGACCGGCGAGATCAAGCCACGTCGCAAGACCGCTGACGTCGTCGAGCGCGCCGCCGACCACAGCGAGTCGGCCATCGCAGAGCGCGACAACATTGCATTCATGGGCACGCTGGTCAAGAGCGGTGAGTCGCCGTGGGAGCCTGTGCTCGTACTCTGGTGTCTCACGGCGTTCCACAGGCTACGGCTGCGGCATTGTCGTCGGCACTGGCGTGCGCACAGAGTTTGGCATGATCTTTTCGATGGTCGACGAGGTGACAGAGCGGCGCACGCCGCTGCAGCTCAGCATGGACCAGCTGGCGCAGCGCCTGAGCATGATCAGCTTCGCGATCATCGGCGTCATCTGCCTGATGGGCGTGCTGCAGAACAAGCCGTGGCTGGAGATGTTCACCATCGGAGGTGAGTATGCGCACATGCAGCGCGCAGCCTTGCGGACGTCTGACCCTATGGCCGTTGGCAGTGTCGCTCGCCGTTGCGGCCATCCCTGAGGGCCTGCCCATCGTCGTCACGGTGACGCTGGCGCTCGGTGTGCTGCGCATGTCGAACCGCAAGGCGATCGTCAAGCGGCTTCCTTCGGTCGAGACGCTCGGCTGCGTGTCCGTCATCTGCTCCGACAAGACCGGCACGCTGACTTCGAACCAGATGACCGTCGTGCGCGCCTTCACCTTCGAAGACGGCAGCATCGACTTCACGTCGCAGCAGGCTCCGCACCGGCCGTCCGAGGCCCTGTCGCGCAGCCTGTTCGTCGGCAACATCTGCAACAACTCGCACCGGGACGCCAGCGGCGCCAACGTCGGCCAGGCCACCGACGTCGCCATGGCAGATGCGCTGCGCCTCTTTGGCCTGGAGGACAAGCGGCCGTACTTCAAGCGCTCCAACGAGGTGCCCTTCGACTCGGACACCAAGCTGATGGCCGTGACGGGCTCTCTCAGCACGGGCAGCGCCAAGTCGGAGGAGCAGGTGTACGTCAAGGGCGCCTTCGAGATCATTCTCGAGCGCTGCAGTGCGTACGTCGGCCCGGAAGGGCGCCGTGTGCAGCTGGACGATGCCGCGCGAAAGCGTGTCTCGGACGTCGCGCTCGAGTTCTCCAGCAGCGGCCTGCGCGTGCTCGCTACTGCGTCGGGAGCGCCCAACGCTCTCGACTCTCGGACTCTCGTCTTCAGCGGCTTGCAGGCGATGCAGGATCCGCCTCGGCCGGGTGTCGAGGAGGCCATCGCCGCGCTTGGTCGCGGCGGCGTCCAAGTCGTGATGATCACGGGTGACGCCGAGACGACGGCCTTGTCCATCGCGCGCCAGCTCGGCATCGTCAAGGGCACAGGGCGGACGGGCGTCATGACCGGCAAGCAGCTCGACGGGCTGAGCGAGCGACAGCTGCAAGAGCGCATCGGCGGCATCAGCGTCTTCGCACGGACGACGCCGCGACACAAGATGTCGATCATCGCAGCCTTTCAGGCCAATGGAGCAGTGGTGGCCATGACGGGCGACGGAGGTGAGCCAGCCAGCGGCGCATGCGCAGCCATCGCACTCCCACTGACATCGCCGAAAGTGAACGACGCTCCGGCCCTGAAGATGGCCGACATCGGCATCTCGATGGGCCGCGGCGGCACGGACGTGGCCAAGGAGGCAGCCGACGTGATCTTGGTCGACGACAACTTCGCGACCATTCTGCCTGCCGTCGAGGAAGGTGTGTGGTGACGTGCGCCGCCTCGTACACAGCTGGCTGACACCGCGCCCCAGGCAAGGGCATCTTCTACAACATCCAGAACTTCCTCTCCTTCCAGCTCAGCACGGCCGTCGCTGCGCTGACGCTGATCACGCTGTGCACGGCGTTCGGGCTCAAGCTGCCGCTGAACCCGATGCAGATCCTCTTCATCAACATCCTCATGGACGGGCCGCCGAGCCAGAGCCTCGGCGTCGACCCGGTCGACCACAGCGTGATGCGAAGGCCGCCGCGCGGCAAGACGGCGCCGATTATCACGCAGCGCCTCATCTACCGCATTCTGTTCTCGGCCTCCGTCATCGTCGTCGGCACGCTCTACATCTACATCCACGAGTTGCGCGACGGCTTCGCGGACCAGCGGGACCAGACGATGGTGAGTGCGCAGCGGCGTCGTACAGCGTGGCTGCGGGCTGACACCCGCTGCTCGCAGACCTTCACATGCTTCGTCTTCCTCGACCTCACATCCGCGATCCAGAACCGCGGCCTGGCGACGCCGCTGCTGGGCAACCGCATGCTCATCACGACCGTCTCGGCCAGTCTGGTGACGCAGCTGGCGCTCGTCTACTTTCCGCTGCTGCAGGGCGTGTTCCAGACGACGGGGCTGGACCTCGGCGATCTCTTCCTGCTCGTCTTTATTGCCGGGCTGGCGTTCGGCGCGCACGAGCTGCGTCGCCGCTACGAGCGGCGGCTCGGCCTAGAGGAGGCAGACTGGGAAGGCAGCATGGCGTGAAGACGGAGGAGCGCGGACACTTGCACGACCTAATAGAAGAACTTATTGTAGCCCCGGTTGCCGTGACCACCGTCTTGCACGGCGTGTGTGAGTGTGCACCGCTTGCTGCGCCAGCCTCGGCGAAGCCTAGAGAGCTTCGCCCTCTCGTCGTGGTCGCTCGGCAGCGACCACGTCGACCGTACCGGCGCCTCGGAGCCCACAGCTTCTCTGCTCTGTCTTCAGCCGAGCACGTCTCGCCTCATCCGAGCTGCTTCCTTCAGCCACGTTTCAGCGCTCAGAGCGCCCATGAGACGGCGCGCAAGGAACAGCGGCTCAGGGGAGCTAGATGCTTGCGAGCCGGCGGTGATGTCGTCGCCACCTACGCGCCGCTGCTGCCTGCTGCTGGCTGGGCAGACGCAGCACACAGCAGGGCGCTCTCGAGCTCTGGCTGGCGGCACGGCGCCGCTGCATCGCTGTCACAGCGCCTGCGCTGCGCCGCGCTCTGCCGTGCTGCGCGCTGGCGCGTGCAGGCGCTGGCCGCATGCCGCCGCGCTCGCGGCGAGGGCGCGCGCGGCGGATGCGGGCACGTCGGCCGCCATCGCCGTGCGCGCGTCGCGAGCGCAGCGCGTCGCGCCTCGCTCCCGACCACGACCTCGCCTCTCCCTCCAACCTCGCACCCTGCCTTGCCCCGCCTCTCGGCCGCACCGCTCCTCGCTCATCCAGGGACCCGCACGTATCTCTGGCGCCGGCGTTTGCGTCTCGGACAGCCCGCTTGGCCCGCCTCTGCAGCGCGTTCTCCGGGCACTTCGGCCGCCTGCCGCGGCCTCGTCCTCTTGCTCGCTCGATGCAGCTGCGTCGCGCATAGCCTCTCTGTCTCACCGCACCGGCCTTGAGAGTGCACTCGGCCAGTCTCACACCGCGCCGCTTCCTTCTGAGCACGCGCTCGCTCTCTTCCACGGCACGCCCCGACATCTCTCGCGTCGTCGGGCTTGCAGCGCGCATCGGCGCCTCGCCTCTGAACGACCCGAGCTGTGCGGAGCGCCGCCTCAACGCCGCATGGCATGTTCGACGGCGGGCAATACCCAGGGATCGCTGGCTCGGTGCAGGGCCTCGGCGGCTTCGGCGCGGATGCCCAGTCGCAAGGCGCCGCGCTGCAGCCGGGCGCCCAGCAGCACACGCAGCAGAACCAGCTCGGCATGAATCCTGCGCAATTCGCAGCCATGTCGCAGATGGGCCCGGACCTCTCCTCGGCGGCGGGCAACGGCCTCACGCCGGCCATGCTCGCCATGCTGCAGCAGACGCAGCAGCAGGGCGGCGCGTCAGGCTCTCGCTGGCCGGCAGGCCAGAGCTTCAATCCGAGCATGTTCAACCAAACAGCTCAGCAAGCGGCGCCATCGCACTCCGGCGCGCCCGGCTATGCCTCGCAGCCGGCCTACAACTTTGGCGCGCTCCAGGGCGGCGGCGGAGGCTTGAGCAGCGAGGCGGGCGCTGGAGCGATGTTCGGCCAAGGAGCGCAGAACTCCAGCATGCAGTACTCGCAATTCGCCGGCGCCTCCGCCATGCCGCAGACGAGCGGCGCGATCGAGCCGAACGCTCTGATGAACGGCTTGAACGGCTTCGCGGAAACGTCGACCGACGGCGCTGGGTCGAGCTACGGCTCCATGCAGCACGCAGGCTCGGCAGCCGCCAACGCCGGGATGCAGCCCTTCATGTACGCGTCTGCGTCGTCGCCCGGTGCCTCGGACGTGGGTGAGTTCAAGAAGCCCGGCACCAGTCAGGGCGGCCGGAGGAGTCGAGGCACGCCGACAAGCACACCCGGCCCGAAGTTTGGACCGCCCGGAGCACATCAAGGATCGTCGCCTGGGCACGCTGTGCCTCACGCCGGCGGCATCCAAGCTTTCGCGCGCGACCGCTCCAGGAGCCATACGCGGAGTCCGTCCGTCTCTGGCGCGCAGCTGCCGCAGCAGCCCGGCCACCGACCGCCTGGCACGCCGCTGCAGACGCAGCAGCCGCACCCGAGCGCGGCAGGAACGCCGCGCGGCGCGCACGCATCGCAGCCGCAGATGGCGATGCCGAGCTTCCCACCTGGGTGGCAGCCGGCGATGCCGCCAGCGCAGCAGCAGCAGATGATGAGCCAGGCGATGCAGCTCTCGAAGCAGCGCGCCAACCAGGGCCAGGCCATGTCGCCTGCTCAGGCGCTGCAGCAGATGGGCTTCGTCTTCGTCAAGGCTGCCCTACTCCCGCCTCAGGCGCAGGAAGCCTTGGTCGCGGGCGGCGCAGTCATCAGCATCAACGAGGCGCGCGCTCTCGGCTTCTTGCCGCAGCATGGGCAGGCGCACGCAGGACAGGGCGCCGGAGCCGGACAGGCGCCCGCTGCGCACTCGCCGCACCCGTCATCGCTCAATCCGCAGGCGCAGCAGCAGTTCATGATGCAGCAGCAGCAGCATGCACGGCAACAGTCGCAGCAGCCGCAGCAGCAGCAACAGTATCCGTCGCATGCTCCGTCTACTCCGCAGCAGCAGGCCGGCATGCCGCCGCCGCAGGTCTTCAGGCCGTCGCCAGGCGCTCACGCCGCGTCTCCAGCGCATGGACCGCAAAGTCCGAGCGCAGGCGCAGGCGGGATGTCTGCGCCAAACGGCTCGGCACGAGTGCGCCAGGGCACGAACCCTCCGCGGCCTCAGTCTCGAAGCAGCGCACGGGGAGGATCACGCCCGCCAACGACTGACGGGCTGAGCGGGTCAAATCCCTTCGCTCCCTCGGACATGTCGGAGAGTGCGTCGCGGCGACCTAGCTCGGCCTTGGCGCTGGACGGCGCGCCGCCAGGACCCTCGCGATCGTTCTCTGTGGCCTCCGCCGACGGCGTGTCCGGCGGCCCGCCTGATGCGCTCGCCACAATCGAGCAGCAAGCGCAGGCGCAGGCGGCACAGCTGCGTGCGCATCGCTTCAGCGTCGCATCCTTGCCGCCCTCTCAGGGCGGGCCGCTGCCCAAGTTCACGAAGAGCGGCTTCGCTGTCGCCGACTACAACTCGCGCGTCACGCCGCTGCCTCCGCTTCCAGACGGCGACGAGGTGCCCGAAGAGGACGCCAAGGCGCTCGAGAAGCTCTGGCAGCCGCTGACGAAGGAAGAGGAAGGCCATTTGGCGGTGATCATGCAGAGAGACCACGACTACACGCAGATGATCAACACGCACGGGCACCGCAGCCTCAACGCTCTCCGGGCCCGCGCCGACGAGCTGCGGCCTGCGCCGCACAACCTGCACTGGTGGGAGCGGCCGGACGTCGCAGACGACCCGCACTACATCAACAAGGCCTACGAGGCATTACACGTGCTCCTCCCGCAGCAGAAGCGGCACGAGCAGCTGCGCAAGGGCGGGCGCAGCGCGGGCACGCTTGCGTCGAACCTGTCTGCGTACGAGGATCGGCGGTTGTCGCGCGCTGCCGCAGGCAAGGTCGAGGATCTGGTGCCAATCCGGCTCGAGATCGACTACGAGGCGTGGCGACTGCGCGAGACGTTCACATGGAACGCCACCGATGCACACGTCGGCCTCGACTCCTTTGCCCAGACGCTGTGCGACGACTTTGCTCTGCCGCACGCCGGCTTCGTGGCTGCCATCAAGCAGTCTGTGCAGGCGCAGGTGCAGGAGCACGTTGCCGCTCGCGCGCTCTATGTGCGACGAGGCGAGGATGCAGACGACGCGCGCCGAGGAAAGCTGGATGCAGAAGAGCAACAGTGGTGGAAGAGGCAGAGGGACAGTCTTGCCGATGAGGCGTCGCCCGCCTCGCGGAAGCGCGCGCTCAGCGCCGAGGCGGAGGACGAGCGTGCGACAGCGAAGAGCGAGAGCCCAGTCGTTGTTGCGCGTCCGCGGGCGGAGCTCCGAATCGACATTCGAGTGAGTACAGTTGCGCATCGCGCCCTGCGCATACAGCACTGACCGTCTTGACAGCTCGACATCACGGTGGGCGCGATGAACCTCGTCGACCGCTTCGAGTGGGACCTTGGCGAAGACGAGACTACCTCGCCGGAGCAGTTCGCAGAGGTCTTCGCCGCCGATCTCGGCCTGTCGGGCGAGTTCCGGACTGCGATCGCGCACTCCATTCGCGAGCAGGTCGACGTGCACAAGCGCTCCCTCGCGCTGCTCGGCTACGCGTTCGACGGCGCAGACGTGTACGACGAGGAGCTGCGCACGTGCTTCCTGCCGTCCGTGTCGGGCGCTGCGCGCAACGAGGCGGATGCGGACAGCCACACGCCGCGCCTGCACCAGCTGAGCGAGGCTGACATCGACTTGCTGGAGAAGGAGCGGGAACGGGACGCGCGGCGAAAGAGGCGCCAGACGCGCGGACGGCGAGGCATCAACCTGCCCGATCGCGAGCCTCAGAAGACGCAGCGAACGCCGGCCGTCTCCGGACTCCAGGCTGCCAACATCGCGGCCATGCTGGCGAGCAACGGCGGCGAGATGGCTGGCGGAGAGTGGAATGGGCTCGTTGGCCCGGGCGGACGCTCGGACCGTGGAGCAGGCATTTCGACGAGACGTGCTGCAGCGGCCGCCACCGCCTCGATCGCGCCGTCGCTGGGCCTGCCGGATCGCGACACACCTGCACCCGTACCCGAGGCGCCGCAAGCTGCAGCCAAGCGGGCACGCCTGGAGAGCCACGCCGTGCACTTTGTGCACCCCGGCGGTCTTGGCGGCCTCAACGAGGCCACGGGTCCGAGCTTCGTCGGCGCAAACGGAGGCGAGCTGCACAAGCACAGACCTGTCGCGCAGTCCGGCGCTGCCGTCTCGGCCTCCGCACAGGACACGCCGCAGTCGCACATGTCGGCGAAGGCTGCCGCTGCCGCTGCAGTCGCTGCGAAGATCCGGGCTGAGGACGTCAAGACGCAGCACGAATGCTTCCACGACGGGCAGTGGCACTGCTCCAACTGCGGCATTCCAGGCACGCTTGCTCCGGGCCGCCGCAAAGGCCCACTCGGCGACAAGACGCTCTGCGGCCCGTGCGGCAAGTACTACCATCGCCACCGCCGGATCCAGAACGTGCACTACACTCGCGACGAGGGATTCCATCGCGGCCTCTACGGCCACAGCAAGATTCCGCGGCCGGAGCACGGCGACTCGACACAACCGACGTCTGCTGCAGACACGCCCGCCTCGGGGGCGAACGGTTCATCTGGCGCACGTGCAGACAAGCGCCGTGCGGACCGCGAGGCCGGCGAAGGCCAGCACTCGAGCAGCGATGACGACGACGATGACGATGACGAAGATGACGACGACAACGATGAGGCCGTCGACGACAAGAGCAAGGTCGTGCGCAATGCTCACGCGCTGCAGGCCGGCTCCCTCGTCAGTCAGCCGCAGTCGACGCGCGGCAACTCGCCCGACCTGCCGTTCCAGCAAGTCGGCTCGCCCGACGAGGACTCGGACTCGGCGGAGTCCTCTCCCGGCTCGTCACGCCGTCCGAGCGCATCGCCGTCGAAGAACGGCGTCCAGGCGCGGCTCTCGCAGACGCCGGCGATGCATGCTGGCTCGCCGCTCAAGCAGGAGCAAGGCGTCGCCCAGGACACACACAGAGTCCCGTCGGAAAGCCCCGCGCTCGCGCCGTCAGGCGCCCAGCAAGCACCGCCGGTGGCTCCGGATTGGCTCAGCGAGGCAGCAGACTCGCTGCGCCAGCAGTATCCCGACGACCGCTTCGAGCTGCTGCTCCGCGCGCGGCCGCCGGCTGCTGCCAGCTTGCCAGAGGTCCCAGGGCAAACGGACTGGCGCGTGCGCTGCCAGGACTGTCCCGGCAAGGTGAGTTCGCTGATGCGCGGCGTCGTGGCCTTTACGGCTGCTGACACGCTCCCGCAGCTCTATACCCCCGGCCCTGGCGAGTCGCTGGACAACTTCCTGATTCACCTTCGCAACCGTCTGCATCGTAACAATGTGGGTGTGCTGGCGTGCTGTGCGGTCTGACCAGCATCTGACTGCCGGCTCTCCAGGTCGCCGCCCGACTCTCGCTCGAACAGTAGCGCCGTGGAGCGAGCGGCTCCTCTGGCACTCTGCCGCTGCCCTTGCGCCTCTCTCCGCAGCTGTCCGCACACACGTACTCGTGTGCCGTGCTCCGAAACGCTCAAGCGCTGAATACATCGTGCTTGCATCTGCTGCTGGTGAAGCGAGGTCCACCTGAGGCAGAGATGTGTCCCTTGCTGCGGCGGCGCACCTGACAGCTTGAGGGTGCATTCGATGGCTCGGCGAAGCGTCCTGCGGTCATTCCGTACGAGAATGGCCCGCGCTCTGGCTTGAAGAATTGGCTGCCAGAGGCATCGTGCCTGTGCATCCGAGGCTCCGGACGGGCGCCACAAACAAACGGGAGCGGGAGGCGGAGGCGGAGCGGTGCGGCGTCGCCATCAGGCACGCGCCTGCGCAAGGCGTGCGCAACGGTCGGCGCGCATGCATCGCCGCAGCGCAGGCAGAGCTCCTTGCGCAGCGGCCGTGCCGCAGGCGTGAGGCAGCGCCCTTGCTTGCTGCGGTCATCGCTCGGACATAAGCCAGCGGCTCGGACACTTTTGGCGCTATGCTCCGAGCATGGGCCAGCGAGGCGGCTGCGGCTGCGGTGCCGTCGGAGGCGCGCGCCTGCCATCATGCGCGGCCCGCCATCGCACCTCCGAGCATCCTTCTCCGCCGCCACTATCAACGAGCACCAGCAAGGGTCGCTGCTCCGTCGGACCCCGAGCATCACGCATGCTCCACTGCGCCGGATCAGCTATCCTGCTGCTTGTCCCTGGCAGCAATGGTGATGCGCGCTGCACGTGGCCGCCCCTCGACACCTCGGGTGCCTCCATGTACTGCACACGCCCGACGAACGGTCAATGACGCTGCTGTGCAGGCGTTATGACGGGTGCTCCAGAGCCTCAGTCTCGGAGACTTGGCGATGGGCCCGAGATTCGCCAGTCCGCGGATGTCGGGCGTCTTGCAGCCAGACCAACGTAGCCTGCAAGGGTGCCCTTGCCCATCCTCAATGCGCGCTCACCGCCCTCTGCGCAGGCCCCTGCGCTCGCTTGAGCTCTCCGCCCTTACAGCCGCGATATTAGCCAGGCTCTCGCCAAGAATTGTGATGGGTACCCAGACGAGGCTCGAGTACCTGACGGAGAAGGTCGGGAGCCGTGATCTTGCCTTCAAGGCTGCGCGCTGTCTCGCGCGACTGCGGTGTCCGCAGTGCCGCGCGATGCCTCGTCTCGAGCACGACCGTCCGTGCCCGTGAGAAGTCGCACTGACTGAGTCTGTGCGCCGTATCGTCCCCATTGCAGCGCCGCCGCCTCCGCATCGCTGGACCCTAGCGCAGAGCCGACGTATGCGACCCGGCCGTTGCGCCTGGGAGGCGCCCAAGGCGCGCATTCCGGCGGCCTGGTGACAGCTGCAGCGACAGGGGTCTTCGCCGCGCAATCGACCATTCTCGGCCTCGGACATGACCTAGCTTTTGCACCTCCGTATTCTCTGAGATCTCATACCTCGACTCGACTCGAGGTTACTCGAGACAGCGTGCAGCTTCGAAGGAGTCTGCTGTGCCGTCTGTGAGGCTCGCCTCGCTCGCGAAGCGGATGGCGAGGGCACGGCAGCTGTCTGTGCTGTCAACCCCCTCTTCTAGCGTGGCCGCCTGCCGGCGCAGCACCCAGCATCTCGTCCATCGATCTCGCAGAGCGGGCCAACGCCGGCGCCCTCAGCGCAGGAGCAGCGCGAGAGCAGGGCAGGAGAGGGCATGGCGCCCGAGCTCTGCTCTGAGCGGGACGCAGCTGTTTCACCTGCTGCACGAGCCGGCTGCGGCGCTGCGGCTGTGCATGCCCATGCTCATGCCGTGCCGCTGAGCTCGTCTCGTCGTCTCCGCCCGCGCCGTGCCGCGGCTGCGCCGCCTCAAGCGAGGTGCCGGTGCGCTTAAAAAGTTGCAGGCAGAACGGTCAGCGCGCATGCAGCGGGCGGCATGGACAGGGATCTGCAGGGCGGGCGCAGGAGCAGCGGGGCGCGAGGGCGTTAGCGTGGCGCCGGATGCGTCTCAGAGAAGCGTCGGCGCTCGCCGCTCCGCCCCCCAGGCGCCTCGAGCGCCTCGAGCAGCGTCGAGGCTGGAGCGGCCCTCGGCGCAGCGGCAGCGCAAGAGGGAAGAAGGCAAGCGTCACGCATCGTGGCAGCGGCAGCGGCGGCATGGCCGAGCGCAGAGAGAGCCGCTGCGGTAGACTCGCGCCGGGGCCGCCGCTGCGCCGGAGCGGAGCCTGAGAGGCGCCGCACTCTGCCCGCCTGCCGCTTGCTGCTTGCGCTGCTGCTGCCGCTCGGCGTCTCTCCTGAGAGCGCCTCGCTCGCATCCATCCAGCCCGCTCAGGGCTGCCTTCCGCTCCATCACCCCGATCCCTCTCTCGATACCTGGCGTCGCCGCACGCTCGCCGCTCCGCCTCTGGCGTGCCCCTCTGCGCGTCTCTTTCGCTCCTCCTGCTGCGGCCGCGCTCCGTCTTTCGTTCTCTGCTCCACGACGCTCCTTCGACTGTGCCTTACGTGCGGCGGCTTGCTCTTCGTCACTGCCGCACCTTCTACCTGTCCGACTTTGCCTGCTGTTCAGCATCTCTCCGTTCCCTTAATCCTCGTCCTCCGTGCTCGTGCCTCGCAGCTCCTCGCCGATCTATGCGCCGGCGCATCTCGACGGCAGCCTCCAGCCTATAAGTGCCCGGCTGCACCGCGGCCCCTCGCTCTGGTGCGCCTCGGCTGCGGGACCGTGCTGCCGGCATGATGTCTGCTCTGCACACCACGCCCGACCCGGCCATGGGCGGCAGCACGAGCGAGGCTCGCGCCGCAGCCCAGGAGTCGATCCGCGCACGCATCCTGGCAATGCGCCAGGCCAAGCAGGCGCAGATCCGCGCCATGCAGCCCGAGTCCGACGAGGACGGCATCGCCGGGCTGCGTGCGCACGAGACGCAGGTGCCTGCCGCATCGCTGCTGTCCGTGCCCAGGTCGACGGCGCGTGGGCGCGCCCTCGTCAGCGACGCCCGCCTCGGCGGCAACGCGGCGCTCCACTCCTGGTACGCCGAGTCTGACGCCGACGACGACGCCGAAGACGACGAAGAGGTGCTTGCTGAAAGACGCGCTCTCTTCGAGGCGGCGGACGAAGAGAGCACCATTCACGGGCACCAGCCTGCGCCGAGCCAGATGCGGGCGCCTGCCGCACGCCCGCGCAACGTCTGCTCGCCGCCGGTAGACTCGGGTCTGAGCGACTATCCGCTCTCCTCCTCGACTGCCTCTCGCTCCGACACCTCGGCCAGTGCGCGCTCGTCGTACGCTCAGCCTGCAGAGGCGCGCTTCTCGCGCGAGCGCGCCTCGACTCTGCTCGACGAGCTTGCTGCAGAGCTGCAGGCCCAGCGAGCGTACTCACCCGCGCCCGCCGCGCCGGCCGGACGTCCGCCGGCGTCTCCTCTGCCAGACGTTCCCGGTGCCAGGTCGCTCGGCCGGTCATCTACTGCAGGCTCGAGCTCCGGCCCGAAAGGTCTGAATAGCGCGCGGTCCAGTCTGACGTCTCAGTCATCTGATGGCGCCGCATCTGGCTCCCGTCCGCGTCCAGCGGCGTTGGCAAACTCCAGCGCGAAACGCTCCAGTACCGCGTCGGGCATCAGCACGCCGCTATCTCCGGCACTCTCGAACCGGACCTCGTTCAATGGCGGCCTCTCGCGGCAAGCATCGAGCGCCGGCAGCTTGTCGCGGCGCGCATCCAGCATTGGCCCGCCCTCGGCGCCTCCGCCCTGCATCGCCCTGCCCTCTCTGCCGCCCGGATCTGCAGATCGGCGCATCTCCACCGCATCCTCGGCTACTTCGGCAGTGTCGCGCTGGTCCGTCCGCTCGGAGCTTCCGCCGACGAGCGAGGCCGGCACAGTAGAGCCGAGTGGCATTGCAGCACTGCCGCCTCAGTGGGTCGAGGAGCTGCAAGAGGACAGCGACGAGGCCCTCTCGGACGTGCTGAACATCAGTCCGCGAGACTCGCCCGTTCCAAGCCGCGTGGCTCTTTCGTCGGGCCAAGCGCAAGACGACGACGACTTCGACCAGGGCGCACTCAGCCCGCCGATGAGCGAGGACGAGAGACGGCGGCAGAGTCTCCTGCGCAAGAGCATGGGCGGTCTCGTCGCTGCACTGGCCAACGAGGCTGCTGGCTGGAAGCAAGAGTCACACGCTGTAGTGCTTCCGTCAAGAGACAGTCCGGTTGCACGCGGAGGCAAGGCGGAGGGTACAGGTTCAGCCTCTGATGAAGGACCTGCTGGCGCCCTGACTGAGCAGAGCGGCGCTTCAGGTACACCTGAGCGTCCGCTGCTGACGCCCGAGCCGTACACGCGGCCCGGATCTGGCGCTACCGCGATTGTCGAGATGTATCAGAACTCTCAAGCGAGCGCGCCTTCGAGCGACAGCGGACGGAACGCTGATGCGCAGGCGCCGCGCGGGAGCGAGAGAGTCGGAGCAGCAGCGGCAGCTCCGGTGGTCCCAGCCATCTCCATCGACGAGGCAGACAGCGACACGCTCTCCGAAGGCTCGAGTCGCGGCACTCCTCGCAAGCGGCGGAAGCAAAAGAAAAGCAAGGTCGGCCTTGCTTTCGACGACCAGCGCGTGCAGGCACCCGGCTCGTCTTGTCGCGGGCAGGCGGGCCCCACTGCAGCGCAGGAGGCGGCGCAGTGGGCCTACTACGCCTTCTCGCCCGACCTGCCGCCGTTCGTGCCGCCAGGCATGCGCCCGACAGATCTCACTGGGCGCGGCACGTGGCGCAGCATCGCCGCTCGTGCCGGCACACTCGACACGATGTCGAGCCGCGGCTCCACGCTGACGCTGGGCTCCATCGTCTCGATGGACGAGCAGCTTGGACGACAGCCGAGCACCTCGGGCCCTGTGTCGATGCGCGAGCTGGCTGCACAGGCCCGCGCGAAGGCCGAGCGTGCCAACGCGCTGCGCGAGCGGCAGCACACTCTGCTCGCTCAACGGAGCTTCCTGCCGATCGACATCCACACACACGCAGCGGAGCATGCTCTCAGCGAGCGTGGAAGCTTCGTCGGCTCGTCGGCTTCCTCGGTCTTCTCCTTCGACTCGTCTCTTCGGCCGCGCGACTCTGACCTGTACAGCGTTGCGTCGGACGAGACGCTCGGCATTCGCTCGGCCCCAGTCTTTCCGCAGCCGCCTGCGCGCACGGAGTCGGGCGCCGGTACCGATGCGCACCCCGATGCTGACGCACTAGTCGGCCTGGGCATTGGGCCCTCGGCCAGACAGGCGCCGACCAAGCAGTATGTCGAGTTCAGCATGCAGACCTCGCCGCCAAGCTCGCGGACATCTACGCCTGTCGCCTCGCCTGTGCTTGGCCCATCGCGCGTGGATATGGGCGTCGGAGTGGATGGGCCCGAAGCAAGACGAGCACGCCGTAACGCAAATCTTCTCAGCGCCTCGCACGCCTTGGAGGGCTGGAGAGACAATGACAGCGATGCTGCAGCTGGCGGTGAGGCTCGCGGCTCGAGACCGACACAGCAGCCCTCCCGTCACGACCAGGTCGTACGGAGGAGCAAGTCCTTTGGCCTTGCGCCGCGGCGCGCAGGCTCTCGGAGCCGCTTTGATGCGCTCGACCTCGACTCTCCCGGCGCGTGGCCGCCCGTGCTCAGCGCTCCGCGCCTGTCCACGCGCAGCAGCGTTGCGACGTTCGATCGCTCGTCGGCTCGCCTCTCTCGCGCGCCCAGCATCGCCAGCTTCACATCCGGCGCGATCTCCGAGTCGACGATCGGGCCCGAGTCGGACGCGGAGAGCGACGAGTCCGACCTGGATGTGGCGGTCTCGCTCGATCTTCTTGCGGACCGCTCTGGAGCACTGGACGCGAGCCCGCCTCGCGGCGAAAAGCGGAAGCATCAGCAGCACCACGGAGCAAGCACGATCGAGGCACTCGGCGAGCGCAGGATTGCTGCTGCTCCACGCAAGACCGGAGCACCCCGTCACGCGGCGCGTCTCCACCTGGCACGCTCGAGCGGCTGGAGCAGCGCCGAGAGCGAGGACGAGCTGCCCGCGGGCGGACGCTTTGCCGACAGCGGAGAGCGAGCCCGTGCGCGTCCGTCTGCTCCTGCTGCATTTGCTGCTGGCTCATCGACTCCTCAAACCACGCGGACGTCTGCGTCGATGCGACACGCCGCCTCTGCAGTGGATCTGCGCGAGAATGCTCGAGCTCGTGTCAGCCACGCAGCGGTCTCGCCTCTTCGGGCGGCGAGCCCTGTCCTCGATCTGTCCTTCAGCGACGGCGACTCGCTGCTCCACTCAGACATCGAGGTGAGTTTCGAGTCTGGCGATGAACGCTCGGCGATCGTAGTCTGACATTTCCATCCTTAGGCGATGCCTGACCTCGACGAGGACGAGTTCATGCTGCAGTCGCGCGCACGTGCTGCGCGTGGTGACGTGGGCTCGAAGCCAGACACCAGCAGCCGAGCCTCCAGCTCTGTCAGTCCTGACGCTCTGGCCGCCAAGCTCGATCTCGTGCAGGTCAACAGCAGCGAGACCGAGACGCCATCCACAGACTCGACTGCGAACGCTGTGACGGCTCGCGAGGCGCCCTTCTCTCCGCTTTGCCCGCTGCGTCCCGACTCTGCCGATCTCGAAGACACGCCGAACACACTGCTCGGCTCTGATGTCTGGTCGGCTGTGGGCGACCGCCGCAGCACTGCCACCACCGCCACGACTTGCTCTGAAGGCAGCGAAGGCGACGAGCGCGGCGCGCCTGGCGCCAAACCGGTCGGTGAGCCGGAAGCGCAGACCGCTGTGCCTCTTCCCGCTGCTTCTGGGCAAGACGGCAGCAAGGAGCTCGAAGTCGCTGCGCCGCCTTCTGGTCCAGCGGTCGAAGACAGCGAGCACGCGCTGGCTGTCGATGATCCCAATGCGCCCAGTGAACTCGCGAAGGCACGCCCCTCAGTGTCCAGCTCCGTCCCTCAGCCACGAGCTCCCGCTGCGAAGCCCTCTGGCATTCGCCCGCCAACGACACCAGCGCGGCGCGGCAGCCAGGCTGCCAGCATTGCGTCTCCCTCGCCGGCCCTCTCGACCGCGGGCGCGGACAAGGAGAAGGCCATCGCTGTGCGCGCGGCGTCGGGCATCCCGGCGCCGTCTGGCATCCGCCGGGCGAAGAGCTTCGGCAGCCATGCGCCTTCGTCCTACACGTCGCCGCCGCTCAGCACGCTGCCGACGCTCGCCGGACGCAAGTCCTCCATCCGTCTCAGCTCCTCGCCGACTGCACAGCCGAGCGCGGCCTCGCCTGCGCCTGCTCCCACACGCTCGGCGTCGCCGCTGGCGGCGTCGGCGCCGAAGCCCCGCTCGCACGACTCGCCCATGCTCGTCAAGCGCAAGCCGGTGCCGACGCTGGCTGCTGTCGCTGCACCGAGCACACCTTCCGCGCTGCCGCGCCCTGCTGTGACCCGGCGCGGCACCGGCAGCTCCTCGGCCTCGTCGCCGGCGCCGTCGCTGCTGCCGCGTCCCTCGACCGGCGCTCTGTCGCGCAAGGCCTCCTAGCCGAGCGGGCCGCGCCTCTCCCTTCCCTCCTCTACCTCGAGCGTGCCTGGCTCACTGTGCTGCATCTGTATCCCCTGCATACCCACCACCTATTTATTCATGCGCATCTCTCCGGCCCTGTGTGCACATGAGCGGCGTTGCAGAGGCTCGCTGGCGCCACGTGTTGTTCCGTGGCAGGGCGGGGTAGCGTGCGGGGCGCAGGAGCTGCGCCGCGCGCGGCGTGTGTCTTTGCCGGCGGCTCGGCAGCGCCGACGGGGTTCACACGCGCTTGCTCTCGCGCCTGCTCCTTCTCGCCCCATCACACCCACGCCTCGTCTCTCCTGGTCCTCCTTTGCTGCACGTCGTCTCGGTTTCCGGTGCATCTCACGACGCTGCGGCTGCTGCGCGCACCTCGGGCCAGTCCTCGCCGCAGCCTCGCCCGCGGGCAGCAGCCGACGGCCGACGCACCGCCCGCGCGCCCCTCGTGGCGGCACATTTTTGCCTCGTCTGAGGTGCGCTGGCCGCTATCATGCTGCCCACCTCGTCGAAGGAGCGCGCTGCGGCACTCGCTGCTGCCGCGCGGAGGCGAGCCGGCTCGTCGAACGCACACGTGTCGCCCCTGCGGGCACGTTTGGGCGCGGCGCTGCCCTCGTCGTCGCTGGCCACCTTCTGCGCCGCCTGCGTTGCCTGGTATTTGGCGAGTGCGCTGAGCAGCAACACCTCTAAGGTCAGTCCATTGCGAAGCGTTCAGTCCTGCGCTGGCTGCTGGCTCACCTCCTGCTGCCGTGGCACGCCAGGCCCTACTTTCTTCGCCTCGCGTGCGACTCGCCGATGGCAGCAAGCTGCCGCCGCCCTTTCCGTACCCCGTGTCGCTCACGCTGGTGCAGTTTGTCTTCGTGCACATCTTCTGCGCACTGGCATGCAGCTCGACCGTCATGGCGCGCGTGCCGGGCATCGGGCGTCCGCTTGGAAAGCTGCAGGCGCCGACGCTGGGCCGGGTCAAGGAGATGAGCGTGCTGAGCTTCTTCAACGCGCTGGGACATGCGCTCAGCAGCCTGGCGATCTCGAGAGTGCCCGTGAGCACGGTGCATACCATCAAGGTGCGTGAGCGTCATGTCCAGTGGGTCGGAGTGGTGTCAGCGTGGGGCTCGAGCTGGCATGAGGCACAGCAGCAACACGATGCCGCATCCTCAGCCGCGCTGTCCTGCTCCATGGCCGCGTGCTGCGGCCGTGCGGCACCTGTCTGACTCTCATCTGTCCCCGCACAGGCACTCACGCCGCTGTTCACTGTGCTGTCCTTCCGCGTTCTATTCTCCGTGTCGTACCCGATGCGCACATATGCCGCCCTCGCGCCTCTGACGCTCGGCGTCATGATGGCATGCACCGGCATGGCGTTCAGTCCGGACGACCTGCTGGGTCTCTCCGCTGCGCTCGCCTCTACGCTCGTGTTCGTCGCCAACAACATCTTCTCGAAGAAGGTGCTCAGTAAGGGCGGCAGCCGCGGCGACGGCGAGAAGAGCGACAAGTACAGCGTGCTCTACTACTCGTCTGGCATCTCCGTCATCGTGCGTGTGCGCGCCAGTCTCTTGCTCGCGTGCTGCTGACGCTCCACCCAGATCATGTTGCCCTTCGCCTTGTACACGGACGTGCCGCGCATGCTGGCGGCGAGTGCGCCGAGTCTGCTTGAGGCGAGTCTGCAGCGGCAGGTGGATGCGACGCGCTCGGCTCCCCACGTGCTGTGGGGCCTGCTCGTCAATGGCGTGGTGCACTTCGCCCAGAACGTGCTGGCCTTCAGTGAGTGCTCTGCGCTTCTGCGGCTGCGTGCTGCATGAGCCACGCTCATACCCGCACCCAGGCGTGCTGGCCCTCGTTTCGCCGGTGACGTACAGCATTGCCGGGCTGTGCAAGCGCATCTTCGTCATCGTGGTGGCCATCGTCTGGTTCGGGCAGAAGGTCTCCTTCCTGCAGTGCACCGGCATCGTGCTGACCTTTGTCGGACTGTGAGCGAAAGCTGAGAGGGCGTAGCCGCCAGAGCCGCGCTGACACCCGTGCTAGGTACATGTACAACGACGCAAAGACGCGCTCCAGCAACGCTGCCATCGACGCCAAGATTCGCAGAGACGACCGCTCGTCGCTGCCCACGACCAGAGCCGACCTGCTCGAAGGCTCAATCACGCTGCCGCGGCAGTTCCACGCCGTCTCGTCGTCGCAGCAGCTTGGCCACGCATACACGAGCTCCTCTGCAGTGCCGCCAAGCAGCGCTCGGGGCACGTCCAGTGCGTGGGCCGCACCAGGTGGCGGCTTCGACGCACACCGCGAGGGCAAGTCGTCGTTCGCGCGACCAGCCGTGCTGCCCTTCGATCCACGAGTCTCGCTGCCCAGCCCGCCGCCGAGCGGCAGCAACAGCGAGGACGGCGTCGACACGCGCCACCGAGACTAGACTGTGCCTCTGCAGAACGCCATAGACCTTGCTGCGACATATGTACACTTGCCATGCTGGGCCAAACTGCGGCGGTGTGGCGTGACATGTGCTCTGCGGCCGCCAGCCGCTGCCTGCTCACGACACCCATGACGCTGGGCGATCATCTGCTTCGCCGGACGCAGAGCCCTGTGGCAGAGGCATCTGCCTCGCTCGTCCTTGCCTCTAGACACAGCTGCACGAGTTTTGAGGGTGACGACGCAAGAGAGAGATCAGTGTCTGAGTCTTGCGGCCGACGGAGGCGTTCGCGCGGGCCGCAAGAAAGACGGCGCTTGCAGAAGGTTCAGCTCACTTCCCGGCACGGCCGGGAGGAAAAGCAGCCGGCCGCTACTCCCGCTGTGGTCTGCAGGAGAGCAGACATCCTCTCGCTGCAGTGCTGCCGGACCGGCCGCTCGTGGGAGTGCAGCAGCCGTGGCACACGACGACTTGCCCACACATCCCCTGCGCAGTTGCAGACTGGAGGGCCTGCGATTGCTCCTCGGCCCTTCTCCGCTTGTTTGTTTGCGCGCGGAGCAGCGCGTTCTCCAGGAGCCAGGCGCCAGTCGAGTGCAGCACGGCCTGTCGGAGCCGACAGCCATGTCTCACCGCTGAGCTATCATGCGCCGCGCCATGAGACTCGAGAGCTTGCCTCGCATCTCGCTCTGGCGCTCCACGCTCGCAGTTGCTGCGCGTCGGACGCTGAGGCGGGAGCAATCTTTGCTTAGCGCAAAGGTGCAGCGCGGGAGGAGCAGTGGGAGATCCGCCTCGGAAGAAGGGATCAAGACCTTCCAGCCTTCTCACGCCATGCCTCGTGGCGGCGGTGCGACGGCGCCGAGTGCGGCGCAGCATGCCGCTCAGACATCCTCCGCCCATCCTCCACCTCTCGCGCTTCGAGCCCTTCTGATGCGACTGCGGTGTCCGACGAAGAGCGGGCTGGAGCGATGCAGCAGCGCGAACGCCATCTGTAGGGCTCGGGCGGAGGCAGACCGCGCCGCTCAAGCAGGCTCCTCCCGCGGGCGCGGCGGCGGTGGACCGAGAGTCTCATGCGCGGGGCAGTTCAGCAGCAGAGGTGCGATCATCGGGGAGCAGGCGCAGCGCAGGGCGGGTGCGGCGTGCTCTGTGGCTGTCCGCCTGAAAAAGTGTGAGACATGGTGCCTGGAGGCGCAGCGCACAAGACAGGCCCGCATGCGGGCGCGCTGCCCGCCGCGGCGCCGCAGCGTCAGAGGCAGCGGCAGCGCCGAGCAACGCAGCGCCGCCGATGCAGCACGCAGATGCAGCATCACAGCGTCGACGCTCTCTGCATCTCGCCGCCCATGCTCTGCATCCTGCCGCTGCGCATGCTGCAGCTGCGTCGCCGTGGCAGCCACGTCGCATCTCGCGGACGCTGCGTCGGCGGCAGCGCGGCGTGCTCGCACGCCCGCCGCCGCGCGGCGCGGGGTTTCAGCGTGCTGCAGCCGCGTCTCGCGGGCGCTGCCCTGCGCCCCGATGGCGGATGCGGTGCGCCTCTTCTTGCTGTGTGAACCCGACCGAGCGTCTGCCGGGGCTGCGCAGGCGCCGTGCCGGTGCCGATCCCGAGCCGAGACGCTGCGTCTGGCGCCTGGCGGCTCGAGGCCAAGGCAACGCCGCGAGACCCTCCTTCCTCCTTCCCTGCGGTAGCGCAGATGCGCCCGCTCGGCACCGCACCCACCGCAGCGTCAGTAGCGAGCGCCGAGCTCCGCATGGCTCCTCGGCCAAAGCAAGGCGCAGCCTTGGGAACGCAGACGCAGTGCCTCAGCGGCGCTGGCAGCACCAGCGGCACACGACGGCGTGGGAAGGACGCCGCCGGCCGGCCCGGGGGCGAGTTCACGGGCCGCTTTCGCAGCTGGAGTTGCAGCAGAAGATGCTCCTCTTGCCCTCCGCTGGCTGTTTCGCCGGCCGCGAGCCACACCCGCAAGGCGCGACGGCGCAGCATCAGCGGCGCAGCGCGGGCGTCGATGTCTCGATCGCGGACACTTCCCACACTCGCCCGTCGCCTCCTCTCACCCTGCGGCTGCTCGGGCTGCTGAGAGCTGATGGCTGCTGCTCTCTTTCTGCTGTGCTTGCTCCCTAGCCGGGCGATCTATATCGGAGCCGCGCAGGCGCAGCACGCCGGCAGTTGAGTGCCTGGATGCTGTGTCGAGGCATAGGAGGCGCATCTGCGCGGCTCTGCCCCTCGGTGCCTTCCGAGCGAGTGGTACATGCTGATTCTGCTCCTCGGCTGCCGCCCGCGAGAGGGCACCGGCGCTGCAGTGCAGCACAGCAGCAGCAGCGCCCGTACCAACAGCAGCATCTGCCCAGCGGCTGCGGCTGCCTGGGCGCCGCTGGCCCGCTGCCGTCGCGGCGTCGCGGCGCCTCGCCGCCGCTGTCTCGCAGCTGACAGCAAGGGCCGGCAGCGGCACGCTCCGTCTCCTCGGCCGTCTTGGCTCCGACGCTGCTGTGCCCGAGCGACTTGCCAGAGCGCACGCCGCTGCCTCGTTTGCGAGCCACCACCACTCCTGCTCCCTGCTCGCAAGGCCGTGCGCGCCCGCGTCCGCTGCTCCCCGTCGCCTGTCCCTCGCTGCGCCGTCCGGCAGCCGCTGCTCTCGCTCTCATCTCTGCGTCGGCGTGCGCCCCTCGATCGGGACGCACTTCAACATCTCTCTGCTCGGCGCTTGTCCCACACACGTTCATCTGCGGCGCTGCACGGCCGCCTCTCGGCTGCTCCTTCTCTTTGCGGCACCGCTGCCGCGGACACAGGCTGTCTGAGCAGGCGACGAAGCCGTGCTCGAAGCAGTCTGCACGCACAAGACACTCCTGAGAAGCTCGCAGGTCTGAAGTCGCCTCTTGGGACGTCCCGAGGTCCGTGCCGCACGCACGGTCTCGTGGGCCAATGGATCGGCACGGCATGACGACGGAGAGAGAGCAGACAGCCACGGAGAGTCAGCCAGGCTCTGCTGCTTCCTCAACGCGACACAGTGCGAGAGCCACCCGTCGCGCATCGCCGTCGCCACCTCCCCGGCAGCGGCGACGCAGTCGATCCAGGGATCCGGCTGTCAGCGAGTCTGGACAGAGCGGAGAGGAGCACCGTCCTCGCGTAGCCTCGCCGAGCCGGCTGCGCAGCAGCCTTGATGCAGCTGCGCCAGAGGCCAACGAGGCGTGGGCCGCCTTGGTTGCCTCAGGCAAAGTTCCCTCGGCAGCCCGCCTACCGGGCTCGTCCAGCTGGTCGACTTTGCCTAGCTCATCGAGCTTGGCCAGCATCGTTTCGGCATCCGCAATCGAATCGCACGACGTCGTTGACACGACACGACTGCAGCGCCCAACTTCTGCGGCAGAGGCTGATGGAAGCTTGCCATCCGCTCTTCTCAGCCGTGCCACCGCTGCTGAGATACCGGATCGGAAGCGCAAAAGCAACGTGATCCACTCTGGTCGCGCGTCTCCGTCCACAAAAGAGACCTCGTCGCCTCTCAACGCCTCCAGACATGCCTCGGGCACGCCTGAAGAGACACAAGGAGGCGCATCTCTTTCCAATTCGACAGCAGCGCGTCTCGCATCTTCTCAAGGGCAGCGAGTCGTGTCCGCTCCGAACCCGGCCAGAGGACAAGCTGCACCCGCCAGCCGCTCCGCGCGAAGATCAGCGAGCCCGGGACAGCAACGAGGTTCAGGTCGGACTAGTGAAGACTCCGGTCCCTCACGCGGGCTCCTCAATCCAGAACAGCAAGAGCGCGGCAAGCAGCGAGAAGCGCCTCCTGCAGCAGAGCACAAGTACGTGTCATGGCTCTTCCGGGTGCTGAGCTGTGCGCGTGCTGACGCCAACCTCTCGCAGGACATACGCTCTCACGATACTGCAGCAGCCTCAGACAGGCTGCGCGTTCGGGAGCAACCTGCTCTCTCGAATCGCGGTGGGCCCGCCTCTGATCCTGCAGGTGTCTGCGCGAGACGAAAGGGGTGCTGACGTGTCGATGTGAGTGGACAGGCTGCCCCTGCTGCTTCGCTCAAAGTTCCAAGACTGACGAGTCCTGACGCCAGCCTGGAAGAGCTGCCACTCTTGACTTGTCAGGTCCGCCTCTTGACTGAACACGGGCAGACAGCCGACATGCTCTCTCCTACTCCGTCGCCTCGCCGCTCGGGCGCCACGACCAGTCGCGGCGCATCAAGTGCCGCGACGCCTGAGGGGTCCGAGGAAAGCAGCCCGGAGAACCGATCTTCTGCTCCGAGCCTGCCGGTCGAAGGAGCGGTCCGCATGCTCTACGGCACTCTGGCAAGCAATCCGCAGGCCCTGCTTCTGCCCGTCGAACCGGACGCTTCAGTCACTGCGTCGCCCCTGCTGCGCGCAGTGTGCATCTTTCCTGAGATCTGCGTCCGCTCGCGCGGCCTGTTCAGGCTGGAAGTGTCGCTGCTGCGCACTCCGCTGTGAGTGGCGCATTCCGCAGATGCTCCGGCAGTCTTCACTCGCTCACACGCAGCTGCAGAGGAGCGCCTGCGACGCAAAGGCTCGCGCAAGCAACCACTGAGGTCTTCGAAGTGGTACTGGCCGGAAATTTCCAGGCGCCCCGTACGTGTGGCAGCCTTCTTCCTCTGCTACTTCGACAACTCACACGAGCCCTGCAGCGATCACCGACCTCACGCGCCACTTTGCTCGACAAGGTGCGAGCCTGCTGCTGCCACCCGGCGCAGCGTCGGAGTGAAGGCGCTCTCGCCGCGCTTCCGAGATGCTTCGCCGACGGATTTGCTTCTCTAAGCTCCTCGTCCTTCCTGCCTCTGCCGAGTCTCGCCTTCGGCACCCTAATCCTGCGACGTGAGGCAGGCGCTGCCTCGCTGTCGCTTGGCCTCTGCTCAGTCTGTCCGCGATACCCTAATCTCTGGCCTCTTCACCCCATATCGCACGCCGGCTTTCGACCTCATCACGGTACTCATCTGTAGCCTAGCCTCTCACCGCACCAGCACCCCTAATTCTCTCGTTCTTCATCCAACTGGCAGCTTGCCTCCGTATGCAATTGCATGCGCACGCAGAGCGCACAGTGGGCGCGGCCTCGGCAGGACGGCGCCCAGCTCATTGGGGAGATCCGGGTGTAGAAGTGTCGTGTGACGGAGAGTAATTTTGACGAAGCCGGGCGCGCGGCGCTGCTCAGTGGGAGCAGGCGGGCCCGAGATCTTAATGCGGGGTGCGGCGTGACATCAAATGGCGTGGATCGGGTGACTTGAGGCAAGAGGAACGGACGCGGCTGGTCTAGTCCAGGGCAGAGGCACCGGGACGGCTCTGGTTGCGGATGGGCACCGCGACACCCTGAGCTGCGAGGCACTTTGCCAGCTCGGTCGATTCTGTGGCCGTGCACCGGCAGTCAGCGTCGTGGTATCCTCGTGCTCCTGATCGAGACTCACCGCTGAGGCCCGGAAAGGTCCGCGAGCTGTGCACCACGAACGGATCAGAGTCGATCTCTGCAACGACAGAGCCGGCGTGTGAGGAGAGACCTGGTTGCCATCTGGACCAAGCAGTCAGCGCATGACACCGCTGATCCAGCGCGGGCCGCGACTCACCGCGTCCCGCCTAGCCGCACGAGAGAGAAGCGCAGGCGGACAGTCGCCTCGACCCGCACACTCAGGTCGGTGAAGACAAAGAGGCAAACACGTGTGCCGTCCAGGTCCTTGACGTTGTGCCCACTGGACGTGAGCTTGCCTTCGAGCAAGCGGCTGTAGGGCAGCGCTGTGCTGGGATTGGCACTAGAGGTGACGAGCTCTCTGTCGCCCGAGTGCTCTGTGGACAACGACACCTGCATGAGCAAATCTGGGCTTGTGTGTGCGCTGCTCGACGGAGTGAAGTGCATCAGCTATGCCACGATGCTGAGCGGCTGTGCTACTTACACATGATCGACGCGGCCGTCTCTGTCGCGCACGACCAGCTCCACGATCGGGAGCGGATCAAGCGGCCGCCGGTCCTTTGTGCGGAAGCCGAACATGCGGCCGTGCGCGGGCTGCTGCCGTATGTGCAAGGTATAGGTGCTGAAGGACACGGTCAGCCAGGCATCAAGCAGTGGAAAGCGTCGCAGTACCCACCGTGGCTCGCCATGTTCACTGAGCAAGGGATGCGACTGCAGTGTCGGCAGAGGCGCGTCTACGGCTCCCACTCTGTCAGACGAGCGGTGCATGGAAGGCAGAGCAGAGGCGTCGCTCCAGCTCGAAGGTGCATCGTCCTGCACTGTGTATGCACGCTGTCGATGTGATCCGTAGTGCTGCTCGCCGGTGTAGACGGGCGAAGGAGCCATCGCAGGAGGCATGGCCGCGGGCGCTGGGCCTGAGGTGCTCGCACTTCGCGACAACCGTCCTGTGGGCGACGTCGTCGGCTGCAGCACCGACGATGATGCGGAGTGGTCGCGCTGGTGGTACGGTGCGTTTGAGCCCCGAGGCAGCCAACTTCGGCCTTCACCAGAACTTGGCCCGCCGTCGTTCCTCAGCGATCGCGTGGGTCCACTTGCTGCCTCGTACGGCCCGCCGTGCATGTGCGGCTCGTCGTAGTGGCCTCGATGCAGCGGCGATGAGTGAGGCACTTCGGCGCTCCGCCATGCGGCTGGAGGTGCTGCATGGCGAGCGTGTGTCGAGCTGCTGGGCGGGTCGTTGGAAGCGTCCGCCGTCCTGAGGTGCGACATGATTGGCGGCAGCTCGTTCCGCCGGGAGGACAGCTCGGGCGATGGGCTCTGGCGGCCTTCTGGCGTGCGGCGTTCCAAGGTCATGCTGCGCAAAATCGGGCAGGCGCTTGCCTAGGCGAGCGATGCGTCGAGGGAAACGACGAAGAGAGGAAGAAGAGGGATCCGTTCCGATGGCGCGCCGGCCGGCGATGCAGCGCTTGCGAGCGCTCTTGGCAAGTTCAGCAAGGGCGACAGTCAGTATCTAGAGGACCGATGAGCCTAGCGCTACGACCGAGGCTCTGATGTGCTTGCTGCGTCGACACTGATACTGAGAGGCGCGCCGATCGGCAAGCGTTGCAGCAGTGGGCTTCTGGAAGTGTTGCCGGCGGTGGGAGCGCAGATGCTGCTAAGCGCGTGCGGGACCTCGGAAGAAAGCGATCGGGCGAACAGTGCGAGGAATGGGCGAGCTCAGCAGATGCTGAACCGGCAGGCTGAGGCGGCGAGACTGGTGTGCAGAGCGCCTCGTGGCATGGGGCAGAGGATGTGGGGTATGTGCGGCGGTGCGTGCCACGGCGCGAGGCAGGCGAAGGCGAGGAACGGCGAGACGCAGCGGCGGAGGTCCAGCGAGAGTGCGAGGGAGCGGCAGCCCAGAGACGGAGCGGCCCAGCGACGAGGTGGTGGAGAGGAGAGAGACAGAGAAAGAGAGCGAGACCGGCGGTGCGGAGGAGACGATCTCCGGCAGCGCGACGGCGGCACTCGTCGTGGTGGTGCGGTGTCAAGGAGCGAGGCGAGTGCGAGGCGAGAGTGTGGCCGAGGCAAGCACAAGGCGCGCCGCGGCGGCGCGTGCAGCCGCGCCAGCACCAGCGCCTCTCAGGTGCAGCATCAGATGGGCAGCCTCCAGGCAGCGCCCTTGCCCTCCAGCGTCCATGCTGCGGCGGGTCTGTGTGTGCTGCGCTGCTGCTGCGTCTCGGACCCGCAGGCGCTGGAGGCCGCCTCGCAGCAGCCTCGCAGGCCCACACAGCTGCAGGGGAGCGGCAACGCAGCCAGGGCAGCGGAAGACCAATGCCAATGCGCGCCGGCCTTCCGAGCGCGAAGGCCGTCCGTCGCGCGGCCTGCTGCATCTCGTGCGTCAGGAGCCAGCGCAGCGGCGCTTCGATCGGGCAGAAAGTGGGCAGAAAAGGCGCCGACGGCTCGCGCAGAGGGGCAGATGCTGCGCTGTGCTGCCCCTGGAGCTGCCCCTGCTGCTGCACGCCGAGCAGAGTGCTGCTGCTGCATCAGCACCCACATCCAGCAGGCCGGCTGCGAGCGGTGTCCCGGCGGGCCATCAGCGAGCGCCAGCAGCCGCCGTGCAGCCTGATGCGTCCGAGGCCGAGCGTGCCTTCGCGCGCTTCCCGCCGTGGCGGGCGGCGTTACCAGATGCGCGAGCGTGAGTGCGGCCGGCAAGCGCGTGCGACCATGCGCATGGCATCGGCACCGCCCTGCAGTAGCGCGTACGGCCGTGCTGCCGCCGCCGCAGCGTCAGAGCGGCCGCACCTCGTCTGCGTGCGGCTGCTCCTTGCTCCGCAGCGGCGCAGGCGGCGTACGTGGCGGTGAGCGGGAGACGAACGAATTGAGTGAGGCGCTGCGCCCTCACCGCGCCACGCCGCGCGCGCGCAATCGCCATGGGGCCGCCGTGGCGTGCCGCGCGCGCAGCAGGCAGGCGGGAGGCACGCCGCGGCGCACGGCACTTCCGCGCCTCTCTGCCCGTTCTTGCTCGCTGGCGCTGGCGGCGACCGGTACGCGTCCCACGGCGCGCCGGGACGCCGCTTCACCTGCGGCGTGTCGCAGCCGGCCCACCGCCAAGCGCAGAGCAGGCTTGTGAGGCGGCTCCTCGGCAGCGGCAGTGGGGCACCGGCCAGCTGGGCTGGGCGAGCGCCTCGTCGCCACCGCGAGGGCGTCTCTGGAGCGGCAGCGGGCGGGGCACGGGGACGCTTTGGCGGCTGCACGCGGGTGCGCCGCGCGGATGCTGCGCACTTGGCACGGTTGGCCCGCTGGGAGTGCTGCGGCCTGCCGCCGCTGCCGCGCGCCGTCTTCGCACCGCAAGCGAAGCGAAGCCGAGCAGCAGAGCTGCATGCTGCTCCCTGCGCTCTGCAGCCGCCAGCGCAGACGCATCACCTGCACGCACACGCAGGACGCATGCACGCACGCAGCTGCAGCAGCGTGCAGGCGCCCGGCACAGCGGTGCAGCCAAGCGAAAGGCGCCGAAGCCGCGCCGGTGCCGGCCCGGGTGGGAAAAGCGCCGCTGCCGCTGAGCGGCTGCTGCGTCTTGCTGCGCTCCCATGGCACCAGGAGCAGCACTGCGTGGGTGGTGCCGCCGAGGGGCGCAAAGGCCGCTGCTGCTGTCTCGCCGCTCCTTGCTCCCAGCGCGCAGAGGCGCGATGCCCCGCCTCGGCATTCTTCTGTCCAATGCAGGGTGCTGTGAAGGCGGCACCTCTGCGAGCTGATGCCGAGGACTGCACGGCCGCAGTTGCAGCGCCGGCGGAGAAGGTGATGCGGTGGCGGCGCGCGGGCACGTCGCTGCATCTGCGCTGCCACACGACTGCCCTCCGCCGCTGCCGCCGCAGCACACGCCCGCACGCCCGCACGCCCGCTGAGTCTGCTGGGTGCCACGTCGGATGATCCGGCAGCGATAGCTCAGCGCGCAGCAAGCGCTCGCCGAGCGGCAGCAGCAGAGGACGAACGGCATGCGCAACGCCTCCCATGGCCCGTCGCGAGCGGCAAAACGCAGCGTCGGAGTCACGAAGTCGCTGGCCAGTGGGAAGTGCGGTCGGAGCGATTATGCCTCCTCGCGACGGACCCGACGCTCGTTGCCGCTGCCGCTGGCAGACAGGCCACTCGCTCCGACGTCCTCGCCGTGCCGTCGGCTCGCCCCGCTTCTATCTCCCAGCGAGCGCACGTGGGTGTGATATGACGGACGGCCATCTCATGGACCCGCACCCGATGCCGCCTCGGAGCCGCGCAACGAGGGCGAGCAGGAGCGCTGCGACGGCGGCGCTGCTCTGCCCACCGCGGCATCACGGCCGAAACGGTGGAATTTGGACCCCGTTGCCCGGGCACGCAGCATTCCAATCGGCCTTCTTTCCTGCGAGCTGATGAAGCGCATGGCCGATGCTGCGACTGCGCGCTCGGCCACGAGCATGCTCTTCCAGCGGCAGCGGCGCAGGAAAGCCCGGCTGCGGTGCAAGGCGGCGCTGCACCTCATCGGCATCGCTCCCTCTCCTCCTCCTGACCCGGCCGTCATTACCAATTCGCGTCCAAGCTCGACGTTGCGCGAGGGTGCTGCGAGCCCTTGCACATCGGCATTTGAGCGCTGGCACTAGCCGTAGTGTGCTACCTGCCCTCGGGCCGGCCTCGGAGCGCATCCGGGTGCCGGCTCGGGCATCGTCGCGTGTGCTTCTTCCTAGCGTCGTCTCTCCCCGTCCCTCAGTCGCACGGCTGTCGCGGTACCGTCGAGTAGCGCGCCGATGATGCACCATGCCCGCCGGCCTTTGCCTTTCGCGCGAGGAATGGCAGCACTCCCGCTCGGCGCCAAGGCAGCCTGAGGCATCGCTTCCCGCTCTGCCTGCTGAGGTCTGACCGCCGCCGCCAGAGAGGCGCCAAAGCAAGCCACGAGCGAGCAGGCTGCGTCCGCACCCTGCATAGGCACCTCAGGTCTCATGCGGAAGGGGCATGAGGGAATGGTTCGCCGACGCAGAGGAGCATGCAGAATGCAGAACGCAGCACGCAGAATCAACAATGCAGGGGACTGCAGCGCCAGGCACGCCCATGGTCCGCCTCGGTACACGACAGAGCCGACACTCTCTTGCGTAAGCATGCTGTTGGCCGACATCTCTTGGCTCTGCGCTGCGCTCTGGCAAGCGTGCGCTCGGCGTCACTGTATGGCGGGAGCCGAAGAAGCGACAAGGCGGGGCGCGGCAAGCAGCGCAGCAGCACACGCAGCCTCCGAGGGAACCGGGCGGCGGGAGGAGGGCGGCACTCGCGCTAGCGCGGATGAAGAGTGGTACGCCGCCAGCAGCTTCAGGCACGCCGGAGCCGCCGTGCAGCAGCGGCTACTGCTCGTATCTCGCCTGGGCGCTCGCAGCGGCAGCAGCCGTGCAGGTCAGTCAGTCGTATCATAATCCTGTCGAGGTGCGAGAGGCGGAGAGCACCGCGAGATGCAGCACGTATTGACCGTCTGCAGACGCTGAGGCAGCGCTGCCGATGCCGCAGCACTCGACTCAAGCTCCGCAGATGCAGCGCGCAACAGACGCAGACGCAGCACCAGAGTCTTGTGCAGCACCCAGCATGTGGGCATCGTCGTGCGCAGAACCCGCGATCTGCGACGATGAGTCTTCCCGCAGGCCGGCAGGTGCGGTGGAGCAAGTCTGGGCGCCTCAGACACGGGTGCGGGGACATGTACCACGAGCTGCTCGCAGAAGCAGGCCCGGCGGGCGATCCCTCCTCACCTGAGCGCTCCTCTCTCGCTCTGCCTACGGACGCTGACGATTGGCAGCTCGGTGACTGGTGGAGCGGCGCTCAGGCAGCCTTGCCAACTTCATCCGGCAGTAGGCCCGCGGCGCGAGGCAGCGTCTCGCCAAGCACGCCTCGCATGCACGCCACGCACAGCCCAGCATCAGAATCAGGACCGGGATGCAGCGTCAGCGACAGAGCTGCGAAGACGCCATCGCAAGGTATGGGCCGCGGCACGAGCGCAGCGGAGCCGGCGAAGGCGCAGCATGCGCGTGGGCGGAGTCGCAGAGTGATGTGAGCGCCCGAGTTCGAGAGCAAGCCCAGCACGACGGGCATCTCACTGCCTGCGCAACAGATTCCCGAGAAGCGCCTCACGTGCTCAGGCCGGCCGGCCCGAGTCGTGAGCTCGGCAGCCCGGGCTGTCTCTTCTTGGACTCAGGCGCAGGATCACCATGCAGCAGCCCAGAGAATGCAGCAGCAGAGCGGCAGGAAGAGGATGTCGGCTCGGCGGCCCTGGCTTCTGGCCGCGGACGCCGCGGCGTCCTCCAACCTTGACCGTGGGACCCGAGCGCAAGCGGCACGTGATCGTCACGGTGCGCCTCCACATGATCTCATCAGCGACGAGCGGCTGCGCTGGCTGAACCTCGAGCAGCGCAGGAGAGCAGGCTGGGATGGGCCCGAGAAGCTGGCCGGCGCCAGAAGATCGTATGCGTCGTCGAGGCGCAGCAGGCCAGGCGTCGCCCGTGCGGCACAGCTGATGCTGCAACTTGCTTCATCACCACCAATTCCAGCACCCACACGCACACGCACAGCCATGGCGTCCACCATCGACCAGTGAGTGCTGCCACAGCGCGCTCGTCGCTCTCGCCCCTACTGACGCTGGCACAGGAAGTACCCCAACCCCATGGGCGACAAGATCGAGGGCCCCGAGCCGACGCCCGAGAACCCGGGCGGCGTGCACCCGCACACGGCCGACAACGTGCCCGACCCCAACCCGCCGCAGCAGGTCGGCGCCTCGATCGGCCGCAGCATCGAGAACCCGTATGCGCTGGGCGAGAAGCTCGACCGCCTCGAGGCGGCGCTCGACGACGTCGTCGCCATGTTCGAGGCCGAGCGCGAGACGCTCGCGCGCGAGGGCAGCTTTGAGAAGGGCAAGGAGGGGTGAGTGGCTGCGGCGAGAGAGCTCCTGCGTCCCGTAGGGTCGTCGCACAGCACGTGTGGCCTGCCGCGTCTCGTGCTCTGTAACGAGAGCCTGAGCTCGTCCGCGACGCACCCGCCGTGCGGCCTTCATGAGCAAGCTCTTCACGACTGACACCACTCGCTCTCTCAGCATCCAGCTCTTCAAGTCGTGGAAGCTCGAGCTCGAGAAGATCAAGGCCGGCAAGCGCTGAGCGCCGGTGCCTCATGCCACGAGGGCATCACCCGCAGGGACGCGCACCCCTGCCACTCGCACGCATTGACGAACCTCTAATGACATCAAATCCAAGCGCGCAGCAAGCCTCATGCCAGCCGAGGTTCAGCAGACAGGCTCGCGGTGACAGCGGTCTCCTCTAGATGTGGTATTGCGCCATGTCATGGGGTGGCATGCTGGTGTGGTGTGTGCGGCTCTCGTCGAGCGATGCGGCGCGGCGTACCTAGTCAGAGCGGGAGCAGACGGCGAGGAGCTGCTGGCGACGATGCACGTCTGCAGGCAGACTGCTTCAGTCAGACTCCACCTCAAATTCCTCGTCGTCCAGGCTGGGACCGGGACCGTGCGGCCGGGAGTCAAAGCTCGAGCGCCGGCTTGAGTCGATGTTCGGCGAGCCGGGCGAAGAGTCGTACGCTGCCTCGGCGCTGGCGGTGCTGGCCTGCGAGTTGCGACGCGGCGCAAACGTGCTCGCCGCCCAGGGCACGCGGCTGGCATCGCCGGGTGCGTCAGAGTCGTAGGCCGCCGGCGTCGGTGGCTGCGCCGGGCCGTATAGGTCGTACTCGTCGTCGGGGTAGAGGCCGTCGTTCGGACCGCTCGAGACGTACAGCGACGAGGGCATCGTCGCAAAGGGCGCCGGCGTCGCGCCGCGCACGTCGCGCATCGTCGCGTCGGTGCCGCTCGAGAAGGGCGTGTAGGCCTCGTCGCTCGAGGCCTCATTGAGCGTGGCCGTGCTGCCGCGGCTGACGGCCACGTCCGTCTTCTCGCGCGACTTGCCGCCGATCGGCCGGGTAGTGCGGCGGCGGTAGAAGAGCAGATAGGCCGCCTTGGTCTTGACGCGCTCGGGCTCGGCGACCAGGCTGACGCTCGAGTCGTCGTAGTTGTGCCAGAGGCCGTCCTCGGCGTTCTTGGCAAAGGCCGTGTAGTGGCCGCCGCCGAGGCCGCCAAAGTGGTTGTCGACGGCGTACAGATCGTAGATCGGTGCATCGGCAGCCACGGCGTCGTCATTGAGGTCGCTTGCGACGCTGCCGACGGAGTCAGCCAGGTTGAAGACCGACGGCACCTCCTCGCCGCGCGCCTGCAGGTTGGCGACGGCCTTGGCGCCCTCGACACGGCGCGTCAGGTCGAGGCCCTCGATCGGGAAGTCGATGAGGTCTTCGATCTTGTCGCGCGACTGCATGCGCCCGCCGCTGAAGCGCTTCAGGTGCACGACGAGGATGTCGGGCGCCTTCCAGAGATCGAACTTCTTGGTCGCCTGCCGGAACTCCTTGCACGTCGGGCAGTACCACGGGTCGTCGGCGCCGAGCTTCTCCTCCTTTGTGAACTCGTCCAGGCAGTCGTCGATTGAGAGCTGCGGAGCGCGGTAGCCCGCGCCGCGGTTTGCTGCATCTTCGCGCTCGCGCACGAGGTCGGGATCGACGACCTTCTCGCTCGCGCCCCATGGGTGCTTGGTCGGAATGTCGGACCCAAACACAGCAGTGCTTGCGTTGTGCGACCATGTGCAGACCAGGGCTCCGCCAGTGTACACCAGCGGCCACGGCTCCGCTCCGGCGGCGTCAGCCATGATCGTCTCGTCTGCATCTTGCGGAGGCGACGCGGTGCCAGCAGCGGAAGACAGAGCCGCTTGACGTCTTGCGCTGCGCTCCGCGAGAGGCTCGCCGACGTTGTCGCCACTCCGAGGGAAGGTTGAATCGCGCTCACGCCGCGCTGTGAACGAGACGGTGAAGAGTGCTTTCTGACGCCGCGGCTGCGACGCGTTCTCCAGCGGCTGGAAGGCCGACACCGCATTGGCGTCCTCGGCAATCGCCTGGGCGCCGTCGAAGCCGTTCGCATCCCGTGAGGGAGCTTGGTTTGCGCTGCCACTTGCGTCAAAGGAGCCAGGCACAGGCGGCGTGCTCTCCTCGCTCGAGGGAAGATCGGCGACACTCGGGTCGGCTTGCGGTGGAGTCGCGTGCGGCGCCGCATCAGCGTCAACCATCTCCCAGTCACCGGCCGGCGGCGCGGCCTGCTCTTGCTGCTGACCGGCTGCAGCGGCCGAGCTGCTCGTGCGGTACTCCTCGAGGATCTCTGCGCCCTCGCTGGTGGCGTGCCGCATGAACTTGGAGATGAGCACATCGCGAATGTAGGCCTCGTCGCTCACGTGGGCACGAGGTACGGAAATGAAGAACGGCACGCCGATGGTGTCCTTGCGACCGTAGTCCTTGCCAAGCACGCTGAACACCGGCAGCGTTGCGTACTCCTCGACTGGCGGCTTGCCGTCCTCGCCGCCGTGGTCGCGCATGACCTCGGCAGTTGGAGGCGTGTACTCGCCCTCCAGCTCGTAAAGGCAGATGTAGTCGTTCTGGGCGATGCTTGCCAGCGCCTCGTAGTCCGGAATTGCCGCGTAGATCTGTCCGCTGAAGATATCGCAGGCAGGTGCAAACTGCTCGGGCGCGAGCGTCAGCAGAGCAGAGGCACGGAGGCCTGATGTGCTCACCCTCTTTGGGTCGATATCGAGCCAGCCTCCGATCCGCTCCTTCGCCTGCGCGTACGTGGTCTCTGCCGAGCCGCCGACCTCGAGCTGTGACGCATCGAGTCAGTGCTCGTCGGGCCGACAAAGAAGCAGCGCAGCTCACCTCGTAAGTTGGGCGCGTCGGATCCGCGGGCTGCACGTGCACCTTGCGCGAGATCTTCTTGCGGTTGGGCACGGGCAGCGTGAGGTACATGAAGGGGTCAAACTTGACCGACACCTGCATCGAGTGTCATCAGCATGCGGCAGATCGAGCTGCTGCGGGAGTCCTCACCTTGTCGCACTCGGGGCACACGAGCGTGCTGCGGTACTGGCCCTGGAACAGATCGACAATGACGGAGTCGTTGCGCATCTTGTAGATCTCCCACTGGCGCTTGGCGAACGCGACCATCTCACGCTCGTCGCCGCCCTCCCAGTCCGGCGCCTCGACGTACGGCTTCTTGCGGATGCGGTTCAGGTCTTCGTGCAGGCCGTCGAGCAGGAAGGCAAGCAGCTCCTGCGTGTCCTGCTGCGCATAGCCGGAGAACTGCGGCGCGAAGCGCGAGAGCGTCTGCTTGAACTCGCGCGGATGCACGGCACCATTGCCGCCGGCCCAGAGCTTCTCAAGCAGCTCGCCGAAGCGCATCGCGACCTGGCCGCCCATGCCGAGCGGGTTGTCGGCGTTGATCTCGCCGCGGTACACGCCCGTCACGAAGTACTGGCGCAGCTCGACGGTGTTCGAGAGGCACTGCAGCGCGCTCGCCATGAAGCACGTGTTGCCGAGGTTGTACAGGCCGGTAAGGCCGCGCGGGCCCGAGTGGCGCTCCTGGCTCGTCTGCGAGCGCGTTACGCGCCCTGCGCCAAAGGCACTCTGACCTGAGCCGCTCGCGGAGCCGAGTGTGTTGACGTTGGACATGAGAGGCCTGGGCGGCGGCGGCGGAGCCGTCGTGCTCTGGAAGCGTGAGGCGAGGTAGTCTCCGCCGGGAGCCTGGGCGAAGATGCCTTTGACGGAAGGGAGAGCCGCGCGGCCGCTCTGGTCGTAGAGCCAACCGCTCGGGCCCCGACGCTCGACCGCGAGGTGAATGACGGGCTCGTCCAGCTGCAGCTCGCGCAGCGTGTCTCTCCGCTTCACGCCATCGTCTTCGCCGCACTTGATGAGCTCCACAGCGTCATGCACAAGCACGTCGGCACCGAGAGGCAGCGGCAGGAAGCCGTTGCCCACGGAGTCATCAGCTGGCAAACGCCAGAAGCGTACGTCTGCGTCCGCGATACTCTCGTCGAGGAGCAGAGTACGCTTCGCTGCGAACTTGAGAGCGTTGATGGGCGTGGTGATGGAGAAGTCGGCGCGCACGGGCGCCCGCACTGGCGCATCGGGGCCGCTGTTCGGCTTCGGCAGCTGGTAGAGGCGGAAGCTCGGCGGGTAGAGCTCGACTCGCAGCTCGCCGCCAAAGCCCTTGATGACGCTGCGCACAATTTCAGGCTGCTTCTCGCCGAGTCTATGAGGGAGAGAGAGGCTGACGTGAGCAAGCGCGGCTGCCATATTCACCTCCACTACTCACTGAATGCTGAGGCTTGCGTAGGCCACTTCAGGCAGCAGCACAAAGTCTTCGTCCTCGACGAGGTTCAGGCGCAGCTGCGCTCGGTCGTCCTGCAGATCCAGCGACGAGATGGGCCCGGGTGCAGCGATGTCGACCTCGTCCGTGAGCTTCTTCGCGTCGGCAGAGCCTTCGCCAGCGGCCGCACAGGCCTTCTCGAAGGCGGCGTACCAGCGAGCAGAGACGACGTACCAGCGCTGGTCCAGCGCCAGCGGCTCGTTGCACAGCGCCTTGATACGTGCCGCCAGCTCGGGACTCAGACCAGGTGCGACGCCTGCGCCATCAGCCGAGCCGTCGGGCAGCGCAGGCGTGAGCGAGCCGGGCGTGTGGCAGCTGACAGACTGCTGCATGGCGTCGCTGTACGAGGGCAGCGCGCCCAAGCTGCCCGGCGCAGCACTTGCGCCAAAGCTTGGCGGCTCCGCGGAGATGGATTTGTATGCATCGGCCATGCTGGCGTCAGCGGCGGGCGCCTCGGCCGCTGCAGAGTTGTCGAGGCTCTGCTGCGCGAAGCTGAGGCGCAGCGGCGTGGGCAGTGCCGAGGCTTGGCTCTGCCCAGGCGCTGCTGCCGCAGCATCGCCGTCTGCGACCGACTCAGACGACTCGGAGTAGGCGCGGCCGAAGGTGGTGCGGCGCTCTACGTCGGGCTCGCTGCTGCTGGCGTCGTCTGTCGCAGGACTGGCGGTGCGTGCACGCTTGAAGGAGGCGCCGGCAGTGCCGCCGCTGCCGCCGCTGCTGCTGCCGGCATGCTCGAGCTGCTGCAGCTGTGCCAGTACCGGGAGCGTCGCACTGCTGCTGCCTGAGGCACCGCCAGGCAGAGGCCGGCTGCTGCCAGACGTGCTGCTACTGCTGCCGCTGCCGCTGGGCATGGCCTCGGCGGCCGGCATGGGCGCTGCGGGGTCTGGGCTCGAGGGATAGGGTCGGCGCGCCGACGAGCGCGGCGGCGAGACGGTCATGTGCGTGGAGCAAGCGTCGAAGGCCGACGGCACAGACGATCGCACTGGCGGGCGGCCGCGAGGAGGTGGAGCTCCGGAACGTGAGCGCGCCAACCAAGCGCGACGCGTCCCAAGACAAGCTCGAGCTGGCGCAGAAGTGCGCGAGTCGCAGGCAACGGCGTAGGCAGCGCACAGAAGAAGCCGGCAGCGAGTGCGATGGGTGCCGGCGGCGGCAGAGAGGAGATGAGCGGCGGAGAGGGTGTGAGGAGCGAAGGAACAGCGCGGCAATCGGCACACGACGCAAAGGCAGCACGAGCAGCACGCGGCTCGAGGCGCGCCTCTTGTGCTGGCGCGCCTCGGCGCAGCGCGTCGCAAGCGCACCAAAATCCTGCGGCCTACATCTTCGCTCAACGCCCGTCTGCCGGGTAAAGGCCGCTCTTGGTTGCTCCGCTCCACAGAGCCAAGGCCGCCAGCCTGCTCATGTTGCTCCACACTCTCGAGAGAGCGCTGTCGTGGGTTGCGTCTAGAGGCCGGTGGTGCTGTCTGCGGCGGGTGCGCACGTGGAGGCGCGAGATGAGCTTCTGCGCGCGCCGCGCCGTGCCTGCCGCCGTCGTCTTCCAGAGGCGATGCCGCGCCAGGGGGTTGAGCAGGCTGCGGGTGCTGCGTGACCGAGAATTGACATCCTCCAGAATGAGCATGCTGCATTCCCCTGGATGCATGTCTTCGGCTGCCTGCGCAGGGCCGGCAGTCTGAATAAGAATGGGCTGTCCCGGCGCAGCGCAGAGGGCGAAGAAGGGCCACGTGGCGCGACGCTGTGGCTTCAGGTCGCACGCCGCCGCGCAAAAATCTCTCGTACGGCGGCGGCCTCTCTGCGAGGGCGCGCCTCCGGCGAAAGTCGTCCTGAAGCGGCCCTCGCGAAGACTCGACTGCGACGCCGCTGCTGCTCCAGCTCCTCATCATCGGGCACGCCGCACACTCAGCGCCAACACACTCACCCGCACACTCTCCGGCACGCTCGCACCGCCGCAGCACCCGCCGACGCCGCGCCGCGCCGAGCCCGCTTCCGCCTGCTCCGACCCTCTTCTCTCTCTTCTCTTGCCATGTCCTTCCGCGGCGCTCCTCGCGGCGGCCGCGGCGGCTTCGGCGGTGACCGGGGTGGCCGCGGCGGCGGTCGTGGAGGCTACGGCGGCGGCGGCCGCGGCGGCTACGCCAACGCCGGCCCGCCGGAGCATGTGCTGCCCATGGGCAGCTTCGTGCACGCCGTCGAGGGCGAGATGCTGTGCCAGAGCACCGACGCCAAGGTGGTGCCGTACTTCAACGCACCCATCTAGTGAGTGTCAGGTCTCGCATGGCATAGCTGGAGCGGCTGCGATGCGGTGGCAGGCGGTGCGGAGAGGAGCGAGAGGCTGCCGCGAAGATTGCGGTGTCAGGCAAGGCGGGAGATGAATAGCAGCGCGACTGCCAGACTGGCGCAGAGGACCAGCACCAGACAGCTGCTGATGCGCCGTGTGTGTGTGCAGCCTTGCGAACAAGTCGCAGATCGGCAAGGTCGACGAGATTCTCGGCCCGATCAACGAGGTGTACTTCACCATCAAGATGGACGCCGGCATGGTCGCCTCGAGCTTCAAGAAGGACGACGCCGTGTACATTGCGCCCGACAAGCTGCTGCCCATCGAGCGCTTCCTGCCGAAGCCGAAGAGCGCAACACGGGGTGAGTGGGATGTCATGCGCTGCTGCAACCGCTGCGTAGAGGCGTCGTTGCCTGCAGCAGCAGGCGGCTTCCAGATTCGCAGCTCACACTCCTCCGCAGGTGCCAAGCGCGGCGGTGCTCGCGGCGGAGCAGCACGGGGCGGACGGGGCGGCTTCGGTGCGCCGCGCGGCCGTGGAGGCTTCGGTGCCGGGCGGGGCGCACCTCGCGGCGGGCGTGGTGGCTTCGGCGACCGCGGCGGGCGCGGCGGCGGTGGGCGAGGTGGCTTTGGCGGTGGCCGGGGTGCCCCGCGGGGCGGCGGTGGCTTCCGTGGTGGACGCGGCGGCTACTAGAGTGCTGCAGGTGTCTCTGTGTCCCGTTTCCGTGCTCTCTGTTCTGCCATGTATACTTGATGCGCCGTTCGTTCACGCCGGTGGCTGCACGCGAGGACGGTGAGATGGCTTCGATTACAGGAGCGAGCACAGTGAGGTAGGATGCAGGGGCGTGGGCGAGCTTCGGGGTGATGAGCAAGGGATGTGGCACGGCGCAGCTCGCCGAAGAATGACGGAGCAGACGCCGAGGCGAGGTTGAACAAGGGTGTGAAGGGAAGAAGCGGACTGCGCAGTAGCGCAGCAAGACTAGTGAGCTGCAGACGGAGCGAGCAGGTGGTTGCGCAAGGACCTGTCCAGGGCGGGCGTGTCTGAACGAGCGTGTGACGCGCTGTGGAGACGGAGCGCGGCGGAGCCGGCGAGCGTGAAGAAGGGAGCAAGGAGCATGCAAGGTATGCCGCGGTGTCGGAGGGAGAGAGGATGCGATGGTGTGAGAAGGCGCGGTACGGCGAAGCAGAGGCATGCGGCAGATGCAGCGGACGAAAGGAAGGTAGGATGAGGCCGCAGCGACGTAGTCCGCTCAACGCCGACAAGGCCATTCAAGAAGTGCAGGTCGCAGCGCGCTCAGGCATCGCGCATCGCCACGTCGCGCCCTGCTGCCGGTGACGTGGCGCGGGCGTCCTGCTGAGGTGTCCGGCCGGGAGTCACTGCCGCCGAGCGTGTGTCGGCAGGGCCAAGCTCGCGCGGCAGCGTCGGGCTCTGGCCGACGCCGTAGCGCAGCAGCTCGTCCGCGTACCTGTGGATGCTGTCAGACGCGGTACGTGGCAGCTCTGGCTCCGGCACTCACCGTTGCATCTCCTCCAGCGGCACGACGAGGCGGAAGTCGTTGAGCAGAAGGAACTGCAGCTCGAGCTGGTTGAGCTCGTGCACGGGCAGGCCGCCGACCTTGGCGTAGCGCGAGTTGGTGTAGAAGACGTCGGAGAAGAACTTGCTCGCCACCGTCACGCCGGCAATGACGAGGCGGTGCACGTTGTAGCTGTCGATGGCAAAGCCACGCATGCCCGGGTGCGGCTCGGCGTCGCCCGCGCGCTCCTCTTCTGCCGAGCGGCGGGACTGCGCCGCGGCCTCGTCGCCATCTGCCGGCGGCAGGCCCGCCGCCGCGCCAGCCGGACTGCCAGTGCCGCTGCTGCCGGGCCCGGCACCAAGGCCCATGCGGCTCATGCGGTCAAAGTAGACGAGCAGCGAGAGAAAGACCTCGTTCGTCGTCGGACAGTACTTGAGGATGCGCAGCAGGTACGACTCGATGCTGATGCTCGGCACGTTGCGCGCGTGGAAGCAGAGCGTGCTGCTCGGCGTGCCGAGCGCGCCCAGCGACGCCGTCGTGATGGACGGCCGCTCTGCGCGCACGTTTGAGCTGCGTGATGCTGCTTGGCCGTCTTCGACGCGCAGCGTCGCAGCTGAAGCGGCCGAGGTCGAGGCACTGGATGGCGGACGCTCCAGACCGGGCGCTGCGGGCGCGCCGTCGCTCTCTGCGCCGCTGCCAGCCAGCGCGGCGCCTGGCCGCTCCTTGCCCTTCTGCGTGCCTAGTCGCGAGCCTGAGCGGCGCCGGGCATCGTCTGCGCTGCCTGTGCCGCCCGTACTGGGCCGCAGCTCGTCATTCGCCGTCGCGATCTGGTGCAGCAGCGTGGCGAGCACGCGCAGCAGGTCCTGCGCGGGATAGTGCGCTAAGTCGAGGCGCGGCGAGGTGCGCGCAGACGACGCTGCGCCGTTGGCCAGCCGCGGAGAGGAGCGCGCCGAAGACGGAGCGACGTCGTACGAGGCTGCACTACGCGGCGAGCTGCGCGCGAGAGCCGTGGCCTCTGCAGCGATGGGGTCCATGGGCGCAGCAGCGGCGTGGCGCGGCGATGTTCGCGAAGAGCCTGCACCTGCCTCAGGCGCGTACAGGACCGAGCCACTGGCGCTGCGTCTCGGCATCGTCGCGTCGCTCTCGTGTGAGGACCAATTGTGCGCGTACGCAGCATCGAGACCTGCCTCCGCCGCTGGACTGGCAGTGCGCCGCGCCTTTGCCGCTGGCGCCGCGCTCGAAGAGCGGGACTGTTCTGGCGACGTGCCGCTCATGTCGTCGTCCTGCGAGCCAGAGCGGTGGGCACGCCAGTCTGCTGCGTTGCGGCTGCTGGACGCGGCGCTCGGGTGCGCGCTGCTATAGCTGGGCTGCGGGCTGCGCATCGCTGCGTCGCCTGGATGTGACTGTGAGAAGGGCGGGCTGGCGGGCACGCTGCGCGCCAGCATACCTGCGTCGGCAGAGGCGTAGCTGTGGTGCGGCTGCGGCTGCTGCGTCACGCGTGCCGTCGCGGCGCTACCTGCGGCTGAGCCGGAGTACATGCTCTCGCCCGCCTTTGTGAAGTGCGGCAGGCGTGCGTGTGTGGGCTGCGCGGCGGCGGCGTCGGACGAGTGTGCGAGCGCGGCGGGCGGGCTGGTGTTGCCGCTCGACGTGCCAGAGGCGCCGCTGCTGCCGGGCAGGCTGCTGTAGCGCGACGACGACGGCGACGAGCGCACGGAGCCGAGAGAGGAGGACTGCGACGAGTAGCCCGAGCGCACGGGCGGCGAGCTGGCGGGAGCAGAGAGAGCGGCGGCGACGGCGTGCTGCGACGCCGGCATGGTCCGCTGCGCCACGCGTGCGAGGACGAGGCCTGCTGCAGGTCAGGCGCTCTGCGCTGGGCGTCAGCGGCAGGCTCAGCGAAGCAGAGAGGGTGCGCTGACGTCTCTGGGCGCAGGCGTGCGTGCCGTACAGCTCGAAGCACGGCGAATGGCCGAGCAGCCAGGCAAAGGCAACTCACCACGTCAGGCCGGCGCACACGCAAGAGACGCAGACGAGCTCGGCACAGAGTGCGGCTGCAGGCGTCGAGCAGCGGTGCGAGCGCGGCACCGAGCAGAGAAGGCGGGCAGGGCCGTCTGGCTGCGAACACGGTCGCACTGGCAGAGCGGCGCAGCAGCGCAGGAGGCGCAGCGCAGGCGTGGAGGCGCGCGTCCAGAGAGGCCAGCGGCGAGCACAGCGGCGAGCTCGGTGCGGCGGGCGCTGCGGTGCGCGAGAGAGAGGGTGAGAGAGCGCGCGAGGGGGAGCGGCGCTGCAGCGGTGCGGCGGGTGCGAGCGGTGCGGAGGCGAGGAGCGAGGAGCGAGGAGCGTGTGCTGCGTCTGGGCTGCGTCCTTGCTCTGCTCTGGCGCGCGCTGCTGCCGCGGATGGAGGAGCGCTTGCGCTTGCCTTTGCGGTGCGCACGCTCGCTCGTGCAGAGAACGCAGCTGCAGCCGCTGCCCGCCTGCCTGCTTCTCGCGACGGCACGGCAGCCGTGTCCTCGTCGCGCGGCGCAACACGCCGCCGCGTACGACGGCGGCCGCGCGCCGCCGGTGCCGCCGCCGCCTCCGCCCGCCGCGCGCGTTCGTTGCGCAGCCACCATGCACCGGCCGCAGAGGCGCATCAGCGGCGCCGGCACCGAGCCCGTCCGGCCCAGCAAAATGCTCCTTGCCCCGAGAAGGCGCTCAAGGATGGGCAAAGAGGCATCGAGACTGTGAGGCTGACAGCGAGGGTCGAGTCTCGCGGTAGAGTAGAGCTTTGAGTTCGTTCGTGTGGCTGCGCCGTGCTGCCGCTTCACCACGGCCTCGCGGCGCGCTGAAGGGGCTCCGCAGCGCAGGCAAAGGAGACCTGGGCTGGCTCGAGGCCATCGCACAGCAGACGGAAGCCGAGAGCCCTGCGTGAGGGTGCTCTGCCTCCGAGCGCTGCAGCCACGGCGTCCTCGGGGCACCCGCCGGCTGCTGTTGCTGCTCTGACGCTTGTTCGGCGCATGCCTGCATGCATGAACGATGCTCGATGGCCGGGCAGGACGGGCCGCCGGTAGCACAGCAGGACGAGCTCGACATGGCCGGGCTGCCGCAGCAGAGAGTCAGAGTGGAAGAGAGAAGCGAGGGCCAGTTTCAAGGGACTCGTTTGCCAGCACGGCACCTGGCGCTCGAGTGCTCGCAAGAGCTCCGAGCTGCAGCGCACACAAGGGTCCTGAGAGCTAACCCTTGCTCTAGGCGTCAAGAGTCACAGTGCCAGCGACGCGATCTCCTCATCGTCTTGCCGGCCTGCTCTGTCTGAGCCAAATCGCTCAGCGGGATGGCGAGCCCACCTCGTACAAACCTTGGCAGCGCGCCTGATCCGCAGCCCGCAGCCGCCCGAGCGCCATCGGCCCTCGTGTTCGGACCGCCTGCAGCTGCAAGCTCGATAGCCGTACCATCATATTCCGCTTGAACGGCGAATTCTGAGCCCCACAAAGTCCTCGCTTTGAGCGAGCCAAGGCGCGGAAGACCCGTTCGAGAGCACACCAGCCCAAGGGCCACGCGGTGCAGGCGGTGCTGCCGCTACGCCTCAGCCTCGTGCTCGGGCCTCTCCTCGCATGCCCCGCGGGGAGCGCCGATGCAGGATTCTGATCGCCGTGGAGAGCATGAAGCGCTCCTGGACGGCGCAAGAGGCCAATGCGGCGCACACGGATTCGAGCAGGCACGCTGCTGTTGTGCGTGTGATGTCCAAGAAGGGTCCATCACTGTTGCTTCAAGGCAGGCTTGGGCGTCACGGCGGCAGGGCCGTGACAGTTGTCTCATGGATGACATATCAAAGGAGTCGTGCGAGCGCGAGAAACGGGACAGCGGGATATTAGAGTGCGCTACATCTACTGCTCCGAGACGATGACCGAGGCCATGCCCATGCTGAGGAGGCACCCGGCGTGAGCAAAAGCATGGCAGAGCAGGCACGGCCACGCAAGACTCACCCGCTGCCGACACACATGCTCGTGACGATGAGCTGCTGCTTCTCGCGCTTGGCCTGTGCGAGCGCCGTGGCGATCTGGCGCGCGCCCGTGCAGCCGAGCGGGTGGCCCATGGCAATGGCACCGCCGACGGGGTTGACTGCGCGCAGAAGCAGTCAGCCAGGCGGTCTGCAAGCCTCTGCAAGCGCGCGACTCACCCTTCTTGGGGTCGAGGCCGAGCTTCTCGACCGAATACACGGCCTGCGAGGCGAAGGCCTCGTTGATCTCGTAGATCTCAATGTCGTCCTTGCTCAGACCCGTGAGCTCGAGCACCTTGGGGATGGCAAAGGCCGGGCCGATGCTGCAGGGGCGCGTCAGCCAGCGGGTCGCACCGCATACACGCGCTCTACTCACCCCATGACGTTGGGCGCGACACCGACGGCGGCAGCCGTGACGAACTTGCCGATGATCGGCAGGCCGAGCTTCTTGGCGACCGAGCGGCGCGCCAGCAGCACGGCGGCGGCGCCGTCGGAGATCTGCGAGGCGTTGCCGGCGTGCGTCGAGCCGTTCTTGTCGAACGCCGGCTTCAGCTTAGCCAGCGACTCGGCCGTGACGCCCTCGCGGATGCCGTCGTCGGACGAGATGCTGCGCTCGTTGCCCTCGTCATCCCGGTACGTGACCGTGACGATCTCGCTGTGGGGTGAGAGGGTCAGCTCTGCCGCCACGCCTGCGCAATCAGATTCTGCGCACCTCTTGAACTTGCCCGCCTTCTGCGCGGCCACAGCCTTGGCGTACGACTCGGCAGCGAACTTGTCCTGCTTCTCGCGCGAGACGCCGAACTGCTTGGCGACGTTCTCGGACGTGATGCCCATGGGCATCAGGCAGTCGGCGGCCTCCTCGTTCTCCATGACAGTGTCGGACATCCTGTCGCGGCGACTGTCAGCGCAGCCACAAAGCTCGAACGAGCGCAGTAGCTCACTTCTCGGGCATGACACCGGCGCCGTAGCCCATCGTCATGCTCTCAACACCGGCACCTAGACAGCACTGTCAGCTCACGCGCAGCGCGCAGACGAGCCGTTGCTGCTCACCGATGCCGATGTCGATCTGGCCCATGGCAATCTGGTTGGCGATCTGGTTGCAGGTGGCGAGGCCGGACGAGCACTGGCGGTTGAGCGTGTTCACAGCCGTCGTGTTGGGCAGGCCGGCCCAGAGGGCACCCATGCGCGCAACAGTTGCGCCGCCGCCGGGCGGGAGCACGTTGCCTGAAGGCAGCCGCAGGTGAGCACCGGGCTTGGGCATGCAGCAGGTGTGCAGTGCAGCACTCACCGACGGCGACATCCTCGACGAGCTTGGGGTCGAGCTTGGACTGCGCCAGCACGCCCTTGATGGCGTTGCCGAGCAGCTCCTCGGGGCACGCCTGGGCGAGGCCGCCCTTCTTGGCCTTGGTGATGGGCGTGCGCAGCGCCGAGACGATGACGACTGTGTGCGGAAGGGTGAGCGAGGCTGCGGGGCATGGCTAGTGCGCAGGGCACGCACCGTCGTCGTCGTGCTTGGCGAGCACGGCGTTCTTTCCCTTGGGCAGAGCAGGCATGGTGGCAGGTGGGATGGGGTTTGGTGAGGTTGGTGGTGTGGTGGTGGTGGTGGCTGAGAAGGAGGCGAGGCAGCGCCGTGCACATGTGCAGGCCACGGCCACGGCGGGCCGGCGCACGCCGAAGGCACAGCAGACGTCTAGACGTTCGCGGGGTACGGCGCGGGTCGCACGGGCACGGCGCCAGTGTGCGGCCGCTGCCGAACAGAGCACGGAGAGGCGCGTGAGTGAGGAGGCGTCAGGCACCAGCCCAGCCAGCGCGCACAACGTCACTCGCTGCACGCGTGGAGGCCGGGCAACGCAGAGGCGCGCCGCCAGTCGAGTGTCCGCACGCTGCGGAGGAGGCGCTGCGATCAGCGGCCCTCGAGCTGCTTGCGGCGCCAGCGCAGCACAGCGCCACGGCGCCGGGCGCGGCTGCGAAGCGCGCCGGAGGCCGGAGGAGCACCCTGCCCTGCCATACTCCGCGGACACCGAGCGGCGACCGCTGCTCAGGGGTGCAGCGGCAGCAACGAGGAGGGAGTGTCACGTGTGGCATTGCAGCGACGAGGCCTCGAGTATAGACAAGGTGGAGCCGACGAGGGAGCGAAGGGTCGCTCGGTCGTGGCAACCTGCCGGCGCAGCTAGAGGAGCGCACACGGCCATGCAGAATCTGGAAGGAGGAAGAGACGAAACGGACGGAGGAGGGCCTAAGACGATGGGAAGGGGCAAAGAGGCAGATGTGCGCGACATGGAGCAGACGAGGTGGAAAAGGATGCGGAGCCTGTGCGAGAGGGAACAGCGGGATGCGAGGTGAGAGGGCGGAGAGAGAGAGGCGAGGCGAGGTCGACGTCGATGGCAAAGATCAAGCACGAGCACCCGGGCTGGGCCGGTAGCTGCCCAGCGCCTGCGTGCTCATCGGCCGCGGGCGAGGCTGCGTGGGTCGCTGCGGCGTGTTGGCCTCCTCACTGACCGTCGTCGGCACATTGCGTGCGGCGTCGCGGCTGGCCGACACCTTGCGCGTGGGCGGCGCCGTGGTGTCGCTGGGCGGCGAGGCGACGGCGGCGGCCGCGGCGTTCGTCTGCGCGCTGTGGATGAGCTCGAGGGCGACCTGCGCCCACATGGGGTTCGGCGGCACGTCGCGCTCGATGATGGAGCGGAAGCACTTCATCCACGCCTCCTTCTGCTCGTCCGTGTCGGCAAAGAAGCTGATGCGCTCGCCGTCGGCAAACGTGATGCGGAAGGAGCGCTCGACGTGGTACGTCTCGTCGAGCTCCTCGTCGTCGTACGCCGAGCGCGCAGTGATGCGCGAGGCGCGTCCGTCCGAGGGCGTCGCCTCGCTAGGGCCCGCCGGGCTGCCGACTGGGTCCCAGCTGTCCTCGACGGCGATCGCCTTCGAGAGGTCGATCTTAATCGTGGGCCGCTTCGTGATCTCATTGTAGCCAATGAGGTGCGCGCCCTGCGCCTTGACAGGCCGTCTGCGCCAGCTCTGTGGGTGGAAGGTCAGCTTCGACATCCTCGCACGGCTCTCTGCTGGCACTCACCCGGCAGTCGCCGCCAAGCTGCGTCAGTACGCCCTCCATCCACGGCTCCGAGGCATGCCAGGCTGCATTCTGCATGCCGCGGATGCACTCCGTCAGGTTCTCGGGCAGGAGGTTGCGCGGCACGCTCGGCATGGGCGGCAAGTAGAAGAGCTTGAGGCGGAGGGTGCCGCGCGGCGGCGACGGGCGGCCCGAGGCATCGCGCGTGCCCAGTACGGGCAGCTCAAGGACGTGGCAGCGGCCGACGCACTGCTGCGCCACGCTCTCGAACACGACGTTGCTGCGGCCAAAGGCGCCGTCGCGGTCGAGGAAGGAGAGGATCGGCTCGCGCACCTGCACGGCGACGGGCGAGTGCATCGAGACGGGCCTTGCCTTCTTGGGGCTGCTGAAGAAGCCTCGCACGCCCTTGGCCAGACTCGGGCTTGACTTCTTGCTCTCCGTCACGCTCGGTGCCGGTGCGACAGGCTCGAGCAGGTGCGGCGCGCCTTCGCGCTGCACCATGAGCGTGAGGCTGAATGCCAGGTTCTTGTGCTGGATGAGCTCGAACTCCTGCCCAATCTTGGCTGGCGCGCCGGCGCGCAGCGTGGCCGACCCTGTCTTGACGACGTGCAGGCCGTTGTCGAGCACGCAGAAGAACTTGGTCGGCCGCGTGGGCACGGGCAGCGCTGCCGGCGTGAACGAGTCGATGAAGACGAACACCTTGCCGGCGGCCTTGCGCGGGTTCTCGCTCGCGCGGTACTCGCGCATCTCCTTGGCGTACTCGTGCATGTCCGACGGCCGGCGCAGGCGGCGCCACGCCTTGCCGCTGTCGACGTCACCCGCACGCTGTGAGTGCGAGACCTTGTCGCCCGCCACGCCCGTGAAGGCGCCGCGATCGCTGACGTGATACTTTTGCTTTGGTGTGAGGGGTCAGCCACAGCTCCTCGATCCTCGCCTGCGCGCCACTCACCTCTGCCTTGTAGATGCGGCTGATCTCCCGCTCAATGCCATTGCCGAAGCCGTACTCCATGGCCTTCGCCACGCTGGCATTGAGCAGCCTCTGGCTTTCCTGCAGGTCGTTGGTCACCGTCTCGCGGCTCTGCTCTGCCTCCGCAGGCTCGTCGTCTGCCGGCGAGATGACGCCGTCATCCTCGTGCGACAGATGCGACGAGTTGACGCTCGCCGGCGGCGACACGGCGGCCATGGCATCGCCCGTGCTGAGGCTGCGTCGCGGAGCCGGCTTGCCGTTCTTGCTGCGCCGGCGCGCGATGATGTTCTCGGCGTGCTGTGCCGGGCTCACGGGCGTCGGCGGTGCTCCAAGGAGGGACGGGGAGAGGCGCCCAGAGCTCGTGTCGATGGGTGCCGGTGCAGGTGCGCGCAAGCTGGCGTCCTTTGCGGGCACCGCCGGCTGCGCGCTCTCGGGCTCCACGCTGTCCTCGCGATCGAACCAGGTGGCCGCAGCAGCGGGAGCGGGCGGTGTGCGCTCGCCCACCGATGCAGCGTGCTGAGCCTGCTCAGCTGCGACCTCGGCACCAAGACGCTCGAGCGGGCTTGCAGCGTCGAGTTGCCGCACTGGGCTCGGAAGCGGTGCCTGGGCCGAGACGGACGCCGTAGCTGCTGCCTGCGCTTGCGAGGGCGCGGGCATGCTCGGGCGCGAGAGCGTGCTTGCAGAGAGCACGCGGTGCGTGCCAGGCTCAGAGCCGCGCGGCCGAGTCGGCAGCATCTGACTCTGCGCATGCGAGATGCCGCGCTCGTCGCCCGTCTCATTGGCCTCGGCAGTCGCCGCCAGCAGCGCCTGCGCTTGAGCCTGCTTCTCCCGCGCCACGCGCGAGAGCACGGCATCGCGCGAGATGTGCGGGCGCCCGCGCACTGAGGTCTTGCGGCGAGGTGTCGGCACCTCCGGCGACGAGTGCACAGAGTGCTCAGGCGAGCGGTTCAGTGACGAATGTGCGAGCGTCTGCGTGATGGCCTCAACAGCGTCGTCGTCCTCGTTCGGCAGGGCCTTGCTGTCCATCAGCGGGCTCCAGTTCGGGAGCGTCGGGAGGCCTGCGACTGCCAGGCGTGCTGGCGGAGCGGCAGCCACCGGAAGGACGGGCAGCGGCTTGCGGCCGGCCTGTGCCGCCTCTGTCCGTGCAGGCGAAGCGAGTGAGTGAGCGACCTCGAGCGCGCTGTCGTCGCTGTCTTGCCGCTCGTGGATGGAAGCCTCGAAGCTGTGCGCAGGTGCGAGAGCATGCACGTCGCGGAGGTTGTCGACGGGCGACTTCGGCGTGGCGGGAGGCTCGGCAAGCTGAACGGTCGGCTCGGCGCTGCGCATCTGTGCCAGACCCGACGGCGGCAGCACAGCTCGGCGCGGCGAAGCAGAGTGGATGCTCGGACGCCGCTCCGTCGTGGGGCTGCCCAGGATGGAGCCGTGCAGCAGCTCATCGACCATCGAGTCGACGCGGTGCATGCCGCTGAGGCTGGCAAAGCTCAGATCACGGTCAAAGCTCTCGTCGCCTTCGCCGTTCGCCGTCGCGTAGCTCTTCTCGAAGCTCTGCTCGTCGAGCGGCAGCCGCGCCACGGGGCTCGGCGGGTCCTCCAGCAGGCTCGAGTCGCGCGAGTCCTGGCTGGAGCCGCTGTACAGGTCCTCGACCTGCGTGTCCTCGCCGGACGAGAAGGCCGGGCTGGAGTTGACGGGTGAGGCATTCACGACTTGCAGCGCAGCGGCGCCTGCATTGCCCATGCCTTCGCGCCACATGCCATCCTCTGAGCCGACGTCCGACGCCGTCTCGCCGATGGAGAGCGCCGAGCCTTCGCTGCGCATGCTCTCGACATCAAAGCTGCTCTCGCGGTCGAACTCCTGCACGTCGAGCACCTCGTCGAACGTGACCGTCTTTCGCCGCTCGCGGCGTGCAGAGTCCGAGTCTTCTGCGCCCGAGCCTGGGTTGCTCATCGTGCGCGGGCCATGTAGCCGGTTGGAGGTGAGCAGGCCACGCGACGACGGGCTGTCGCCTGCGGCAGCCGTGCTGTTGGCGCGCGAGCGCGGGCGAGGCGTGGCCTCATCTGCAATAGGCCGGCTCGGAGATGCGTGCTCCGGGCGCGACGATGTGCGCTCGGGCGTGCCAAAGACATCCACGCTGCGCGTCTCTGTCGGCGTCACCGGCTCGGCGGCGGGCGCCCGCTGCGGCGAGCGAGAGGGCGACGCGCCGCCCACACGCGCAGCAGCCGAGGCAGCCCAGGCATTGCGCGGCGTCTCGAGAGGCCGAGTGGGCAAGGCCGGCGCGCCGCCGTTGCGGAAGGGCGAGTTGGATACGCAGCTGGCCTGCTTCAGCGCCTCGAAGCCCTGCGACTTGCGCGGCGGCTGTGCCGACGGCGCCTGCTCGCTGCTGAGCTTGCGCGGCGAGAGGGAGAAGTTGGGCCCGGCAGGTGCCGCACCGACGATGCGCGAGCCCGACGCTGGCAGGCCGCGCGACGGCGAGGCAGGTGCGCCGAAGCGCGACGGCGAGCCGCCCAGCGCACCGCGCTTGCTCGGGCTGGCGAGCGGCGAGTGCTCGTCGTCGGCGGCCTGCTTGAAGATGCTGTTGGAGACGAGGCCGTGGCTGCGGAGCTGGCCGAGCGTGCCGCTACTGCGGCGCAGCGGGCTGCCGGGGTCGGGCACGGAGGAGGCGTCGCTGGTGCCGGTGAGCTGCGGGTCCAGCGCGCCGCCCTCGAAGAAGGGGCGGCGAGCGGCGCGCGAGGGCGACCAGCCGTTGTGCGAGGCGCCGAGGATGGCCGACGTCGTGGCCTCGGGCGAGGCCAGCTGGGCAGCGGCGGCGGCGCTCATGGCGGCAGCGCCTGTGGGAATAGAGGGAATGAGGGCCTAGGAGGGGAGGTGGTGGCAGCGGCGATGGCGGAGTGGCGCGGCGTGCGGGCGGGTAGCAAGCGTGTGCCGGCTGGCTGCGGCCTGGGAGTAGAGCGATGAGGGAGATGCGAATGCGGCAGGTGCGGCGGTGGTGGTGGAGACGAGGAAGGGCGGCAGCGCGGAACATGTCAGATGGCCAGGCAGCGGCAGCAGCAGGCCGCCGGCGCACTGGCAGCAGACGCAGAGAGAGAGCGCGCGCGCGCCGCGAGAGCAACAGAGCAACACAAACACGCACGCCGCACCGCCGCGCTGCCGCCATCCGCGCCGCACCGACCGCGGCCCCGACGCCGCCCCAGATGCTGGGGCGAGCGCATGCACACGGCTGCCGTCTGTGGAGCATCACACCTCCCGCCGAGACACCCTCGTTGCCGTCACATGCGCATGACGCGAGCGCGCGCCCAGACGCGCGTGGCCCGGTGATGCCGCCGCAGCGCCGCCGCACGGCAAGAGATGAGAGTCTCATGTCTGCTGATGCTGCAGCGCTGCTGCCGTGCTTCTCAACGCTCCTCGACGCACTCCGGCCTGTCGTCGCTTGCCGAGCAAGAAGGCGTGGCAACGTGAGGCGGGCAGATGCCGAGGCCCGCCAAGGGTGTAGATGTTGACCGCGCGGCTTTGCCCCTCGCGAAGGCGCGTCTGGTCACGTGTGGTCGCCATGCGGCGGCCTGCTCCCACGCGGCCTCGATGTGGAGAGCCGGTCCTTCTCGCCGCCGTCCTCCGCACCGCCGCCATCTCGGGTGCCCAACGCCTCCCATGCCCGCCGCCGAGCCGCCGCCGTCGCTGCCGGGCCAGGCGAGCGTCACGCTGCGAGCGCACGCCGGCGCCGTGTCGGCGGCGCTGTTCAACGCGCGCGGCGCCTACGTCGTCACCGCGGGCGCCGACCGTGCCGTGCGTCTCTTCTCGGCGCGTGCGGCGCTCGACGCCGATGCCGCCGGCGCGGCCCCGACGCAGCTCACCACGCCGATCAAGTCGTATGCCGCGCCAGCATCGCACGCACCACTGGCGCTCGCGCTCGCCGCCAGCGACGCGCAGCTGGCACACGGCGGCGGCGACCGCAATGTGTCGCTCGTCGACGTCGCTTCGGGCGCCGTGCTGCGCCGCTTCAACGCCCACTCTGGCGCCGTGCATGCACTGGCATTCGCGGGACCTGGCGATGCACTGCTGCTGGCCGCCGGCTTCGACGTGCGCGTGCGGGCATACGACCTGCGGGCACAGAATGCCTGGAAGCCCGTCATGGAGATGCGTGAGGGGCGAGACACCATCCTCGCCCTCGCCGTGCGCGGCGCAGCATTGTGGGCGGCTGGCAAGGAGGGCGTAGTGCGCGGCTACGACGTGCGCATGGGGGAGCTCACGGAGGACGTCATTGGCGGTGAGTGCAGCTAGGCTGGCCTGCGTGAGGCGCCCCTGACTCATATTCCTTGCAGAGCCCGTCATCTCGCTGCAGGCCAGCGCCACCTCGCTGCTCGTCTCCAGCTCGTCGCGCGCGGCCGCATCACATCGGCTCCTCTCGCGCGCCGACGGCACACTGCAGCAGCGTCTGCTGGGCCACTCGCTCACTGCTGGCGCCGCGTCCCGCGCATGCTTTGCCGCCGGCGAGGCGGCCGTCGTGTCGGGCGACGACGAGGTCGGCATGTGTGCCTGGGACGCCCGCAGCGGCGACGTGCTGCGCCGCTACGCCGGCGGCACCTGTACCTTTGTCGATGCGCGTCAGGACGCGTTGCTCAGCGCACACAAGGACGGCGTGGTGCGCATCTGGCGCGATGCCTGAGCCCAGCGCCTTGTCGAGCAGCTCTCCGCTACACATCTCCGCTTCAGTCCCACCACACACACACTGTATTCTACATCAAGCCTGCATTCATCTCTTGCGCACTCGCTAGCGCGTCGCGCACTATGGCTGCGGCTCGGCTCCTGCGCCCAGCAGCTGCGTCGGCTCAAAGTCCAGCACCTCCTGCTGCCCCGCCTCGCCTAGCCGTGCTGCGTCCTGCGCGCTGGCAGCGAGGTTGACCTTGGTGAAGAGGCGCTCGCGCGGCGCGCCAATGGGCGACGGCAGCACGCTGTCCTGCGACAGGCCGATGCCGACGTAGCGGCGGCCGAGCTTGCGGCGCGCGCTCGACGGGTGGCTCTTGATCGGCTCGACCTTGGGCAGCGCCGAGAGGAAGGGCAGCGGCTGCACAAGCAGGCCCGTGTCGTGTGCACGCGGCGGCGCCGGCATTGGCGGCGGCTGCGGGCGGTAGAAGCGCACCCAGCCCGGCGCCGTGGCGTAGAGTGTGTGGTCCAGGCCCATCTTGACGTTCTCGCCCGCGTGCCACTCGGTGCCGCGCTGGCGCACGATGATCTCGCCAGCCTGCACGTATTGGCCTAAGGAAGAGGTCTGAGCCACCGTCGAAACCTGCAACGCGCGACAGTGGCAGCGCGGTGGCTTCGGACAGCTTCGAGCTCGCCAGCGCACCACTCTGTCTCATCTCGCATGCGCTTGACCCCATCTCTCAGGCGCGCAGCTGCACTCACCGCCGTAGCGCTTGACACCCAGGCGCTTGCCGGCGCTGTTGCGGTTGTTCTTCGTGCTACCTCCTCCGCGCTTCGTCGAGTTACGCAGCTGGATCGCGGCGCCGAAGGCAAACGGCGGCAGCACGCTGCCGCTGCTGCCCGACGGCCCGGCGGCGCAGACGCTCGGCACGTGCGATGCCGACGCCAGCGACGGCAGTGCGCCGCGCAGCGCGCTGAGCGACGCGAGCCCGGTCGGGCGGGTGCGGGCGAGGAAGGCCATGTGGACGGTGAGTGTGGAGCGGCAGGGTGCGGCGGGAGATGGCCGCCGTGGCTGAGGCTGCCTCTGCCTCTGCAGCGCTGCTCCCAGGCGCGCCGCACGTGATCCGCCGCGCGCCAGGCTTTTTGCGCTCGGCCGGCCCTGCGCGAGAGAGGCAACGCCGCCGCTTCTTCGCCCCGCCTCTTGCCTCTCGCCCGCATACACCCATCATGGACCCGCCGCTCGACCCGCCGCTGCGCCTTAGCGTCGCCTCGTCGCACGCCCAGACGCTCGACGAGGCGTCCGACATGCTGCAGACGTTTCTCGACGACTTTGAGGCACGCACCGCCGCGCCCGGCACCGGCGACGGCGTCGGCGCACGCGGCGCCAGCAACCTCACCACCGGCGCACTGGGCCGCCTCGTGGCCAACCTCGCCCGCGAGGCACAGCAGACGTGCAATGCATCCGGCGCTGCCTAGGCGGCTTCGTCTCTGCGCTTCTCCGGTGAGTTGCTCTCGGCCTCGGAGCAGCAGGACATGTCCCGGCACACGGCAACGGATGATCATTCCACTTGGCTCAGCACGGCCACATAGGGGCCTTACCTCCCCGGCCGCTGCGAGGAGAGCGACTTATGTCATAGTTACACTGATGCGTTGTGTGCCGCGGACATGCTACGCTGCGCTGCCCTGCCTCTGGCTCTTCGTGCGCGGGATCGGGCCAGCTGACACGCTCGTGCTCCCTACAGAAAGCGAAGCTTCTCACTCAAGTCTGCTCGAGAGCAGCAGCACAAGCTGCCTAGCATCGTACTAGCATCCGTCGTACGGTGGACGACCTCCGTCGCAGGACGCGCGTGACTGCCGTCCTCATCAGAGCTAGCAAGCCTACGCCACGCTCGGACTCGACGACATGCTCAATGCATGCGAGGCAGCCCGCTTGCGGCACTTCCAGCCCAGAATCTGGCACCCGTCGAGCCTGCAGCTTTCGCGGCCTCGCCGTGCTGTCCTCGTTGCGCCGGACGTCGCTCGCGCGCCGTTCAGATCGCCGAGGCCTCATATGGTCGCTTTGTACGCCCGAGCACATTACACGGCTACCTAGCACCCCTGCGCCCCGTCCATAGCGACGTCGTGGCAGCAAGTCATAGCCCCTGTGGTCTGTGCTCCATGTGTTGCGCCGCCGATACGCTGCGAGCGCCCCCTGCAATCTAGCCCTACCTTCTGCGGCACAGCCTCTCCACTCAGGAGACTCGGCACGCGTGACTTGTGGCCGTGCATGAGTTGTGAGCATGTCAAGCAGAGACATCTGGCAGACGCTGCAGGCTGGTGCTGCATCCTGCCTCGTCTCTCGAGGTCCGCCGCCGACCTCGGGAGCGGCGAGAAGGACGCCGAGGAGACGAGGCCGGCCTTGCAAAAGTTGAGGCGCCGCGATGACGCACCGCGCAATACAGAAATGTCTCGAGTCAACACGCGTTGCTTGTGGTCGCGAATAGGAGAATGGGCGTCGCGCATTACAGCTGACGCCGTCAGGCACGGCGCGCGGAGAGAGCCCGCTGCGCCGCTGCCTGCTGCTCGAGGAGGCTCGGGGGTCGGGGCGCGCTGCTACTCTTGGCGTGGAGCCGCCGCTTGCTGCGAGCTCCTTGGCCCGTTGCGCCCGCCTTTGCTTCGTGCTTGCTCCTCTCTCTCCCACATCTCTGCCCCGCACCGCACGCCGCCCGCCGCTCCCCGCGGCCTCAGCCGCAGCCCCAGGCATCCACGGCGAGCATCGCATCCAGCGCGGCCTGCGTTCTCGCGCCTGCCCCTCCGGCCACCACACCCTCTGCCGCGCACGCGCCCCCGCACAGCCACGCCATGTCTGCGCCGTCCACGCCGCCGATGCAGCGCGAGGGCAGCAGCAGCACCGTGCAGCCGCAGCAGCGCCCGCCCAGCAGCATCCTCGCCACGCCCTCGGGCGGCGCGCGCGGCGCCGACCTCGCCCAGGGCGCCAGCAGCCAGGGCACGGCGGGCGCCAGCGGCAGCGCCAACGTCCACTACGGCCGCGACGCCCTCTTTGCCTCGCCCAGCAAGGGCAGCGCCGCCGCGGCGCGCTCGCGCCACGAGAGCACGGGCAGCAATGCCGACGGCGGCCTGGCCGCACCGCCGCGCGCGGCGGGTCTGGGTGACAAGGCCGGCCGCGCCAGCAACCTGAGTCTCGGCGGCAGCACGAGCTACGCCAGCAGCGCCGCCGGCGAGAGCGCCCATGCGCGCAGCCTGCGCAACAGCACCGCACGGCGCAGCCGCGTGCAGACACGGCCGGGTGAGTGTGCTGTGCACGCACACTGTGCGCCGCCATGCTGACGCCGCCGCTCCAGCTTGGGCGCGCGACGAGCCCGTGTCGCCGCCAGCTACGCCGCACTCGCGGCCTTCGCACGCCATTGAGCGCGAGCCATCGGACCTCGGCCTGCCGCAGGCGTCCGGTGCGCAGGGCCAGAGCTGGTCGGGCTCCAAGGCGCTCGGCACGCACGGGCCCTCGCGCTCGACAGCTGACTCGGACGACGACTCGGACGCCAACGACGAGCGCGGGCCCACACGCTTCTGGACCTTCACACTGCCGGCCAAGTACCGCGCGCGGCTGCACGAGCACCACATGCGCATGGTGCACACGTCGCAGAGCGAGCCGCAGCGCGACGAAGACGCCTCTAGCGACACGTCCAGCACGCTCGACCAGGGCGAGCACGATCCGGCGGCGCGCCAGCGCGCACGGCGCCGCGGCACAGAGACAGGCAAGGGAAGTGCGCCTGATCCACCCAGCGGAGGCCTGATGGGCTGGCGACGCCTGTCGCACCGCCCAAAGGACCACAGTGCCGATGTCGAGGCGGCAGCCGGCGCCGAGGATGATGACGTGCGAGACGTCTCGCCGGACGCCCGGCGCAGCGAGGCGCCGCAAACACCAGAGAATCGGCGCGAGCCCGGGCGAGAGCAAAGCTCGCGCTCGCAGCAGCAGGTGGCACGGGCGTCGCACGAGTCGTCGGCGTCGCGCGACTCCTCGTCGCTGCCGGCGGCGCACATGCACGCGGAGATGCCGACGCCGCACCACATTGCCAGCTTCACGCGGCACCAGCCGCACACGCCCGGCTGGGAGTCGCCGTGGCGGCCCGAGTCGCGCGACGGCGGCAGCATCGAGGTGGGCGGCTACCGCTTCGGCGCCCACGGCGGCTTCTTCCCTGCCAGCAAGGAGGGCAAGGAGGGCGGCCGCAAGAAGGAGCCGCCGTTCAGCTGGTGGCGCAACTTTCTGCTGCACAATCCCTTTGTGCCGCTGCTCTTCCGCCTGCTCAACATCGCATTCACAACGGCAACGATGGCCGTCGCCATCTGCCTGCACAACGTGCTCAACCGCGAGTCGGCTGCCGACAGTGTCGGCTCGTCGCCGCTCGTGGCCATCATCTATGCGCCGCCGACGCTCATGCACGTTGGCTTCCAGATCTACCTCGAGTACTTTGGCAAGCCAATCGGGCTGTGGAGCGTCAAGAGCAAGCTGTACTACACGCTCGTCGACCTCATCTTCATCTGCATGTGGAGCAGCGAGCTGAGCCTGACGTTTGACAACTACCTCACCTCGAGCCTCGTGTGCGACGCCGCCATCAATCCGTTTGCGAGCAACGCGAATGCGCCCGACTACCAGGTGCGTGCGGTGCTGCGGCAACTGAACCTCTGCGGCATGCTGACTTTTCCGCTGCAGAGTCCGCTGCAGAACCCCACCACGAAGCCGAACATCTGCCGCCTGCAGGGCGCGCTCATCGGGCTCGTCTTTGTCTCGCTGCTCGCATACCTCGTCGTCCTGACGGTGCGTTCTGCCGGCGGCATGCTCGCGACCGCGCCGCTGACCCCCTCGCCCATGCCCAGGTATCGCTGTTCCGCATCTTCGTGCGCGTCTCGCGGCACGCCTGATCTCGCTCTCCGGCTGCGTTCTCCGCTGAGCTTCCTTTCTCGCCCCACGTGTCTCCCTCATTTCTCACCGTCCGACCGCGCACATACATCTCACCCCCTCCGTCTCGCTCATCGCTTTGTACACTCTGGACTGCTGCAGTATATGGTCAAACGGCATATCTTTTGCACGCGATGCGGGACTGGTTCGCTATGTGTCGGTGACGTGGGGGACTGAATGTGGGGAGGCCAGATAATACAGGATGCGGGGCAGCGGAAGCGGAAGCACGGAACGGAGGCAACGGAGACGATAGCGGCGGTGATGAGCGCGGCGTGGAGAAGAGCGTGCACCGTCGAGGCGCTTTGGAGCGAGACTTGAGGCTCAGAGAGCGAAGCGAGAAGACGCTAGAGAGATGCGGGTGGGTGCTGCGCTGCAGACGAACGAGTCAGCTGGTGACCGAGCAGCAATCTCTGGCCTCGTGACTCACGTTGACCACAGTCACGCCTAGCTGCGCTCTCGCCGACGGCCGCGGCCGACGGTGAGGGAGCGGAAGATGCCGATGACGGCGGGGCTGCCCTCCTCGGCGGCATCGCTGCGGCCGCGAGTGTGCCGAGCCTGGCGTGGTGTGGCAGCGGGCGACGTGGGCGAGACGGGCGAGGCGGCGCCGCGCGCTGCGCTGCCGTCGAGGCGGGCGCGCTCGATGCTGCTGCGCTCGGCGGCCCACATGGCGCGCGTGTGTGCGAACACGGAAGCGGCATAGGCGCGGGCCTGGGCGTCGGCGCCGGCGGTGCTGAAGCTGGAGGCGGCGTCGCTCAGCGACGAGGAGCTGGAGGTTGACGAGCCCGTGGGCGAGCTAGGCGCACACGACGCGGCCGGCAGCGCCGGGTGCACGAACTGCGGGCCGCCGATGGGTACCGTATGGTGGAGCATGGTGTGGTGCTGAGTTGAGACAGGATGAGATCGGTGCTTGCAGAGTTGTGGTGGGGTAGCGTGCGGCGGCAGCGGGCTGCTGCCTTATATGGCCCAGCCGATAGAAGAGATGAGTGGAGCGCATCGGTGGAGGCGAGCCGGGCCGGGCGACTCAGACTTTCTTGCAGGCACGCCGCGAGTCATCGACGCGCCGTGCCGGCGCGTCACAGCCGCACTAGACTGCGCGCCACCTGAGAGCTGCGGCCGTGAGAAGAGAGAGCGCGCGCGCCGGTGCCGAGCCGCCGCGGCACCCGGGCCCTCGGCGCCGAGCGAGCGGCTCGGCCGCAAGAGGCCGGCACCAGCAGCGCGAGCGTGAGCTCGGCTGACGTGTGCCGCCTCGCCTCACCCTCACCTCAGCCGCGCCAACAGACGATTGGATGCTGCGGATGGCCCACGCAAGGAGGCGGCGGCAGCATCACATCATCAGCAGACCTCGTCGAGGGATGCACCGTCCTCGTCGTCCCGCCTGCGATGCTGCATGCTGGGCGGCTGCGCCGCCAAACGCTGCCGCCGCGCGCGTGCCAAGGCCGGCGGAGCTCGGCGCCTGCGAGCAAAGACACCGCCCTGCTGCCAAGCAGCGATGCCTCACTATGGCAACGCAGCAGCAGAGGCCCGTGGGCGTGATCTCGAGGCGCTCACAGCAAGGCGCAGCATGCGACGAGATCGCACGGCTGCGGGGTACGTTCTGCCCTCCGCCCGCTGGTGCTCCCACGCCTGCTCCCACGCGCATGCCCGGCCGTAGCACAGCGGTACGGCCCCTGGCCCAGGCCCGCTGCGGCTCCGCGCACAATGATGAGCTTCCTCTCATCTTCGTCGCCGCCCTAGACATTCGCCGTCGGCTCTCTCTTCCGCATCAGCCTCGCGCGTGGCCCACGGCTGCGCTCCACCGGCGCATCGTGGTGGAGGCCGGCTATTCGGCATGACGCGCCGCGAACGCCGCTTCGGCGGCGCGCTGCCGCACCGCGGGCCCGGATCTGCTCGCTGGCGCGGGCACGCGACATCTCTCCTCGTGCCGCGGCCGTAAGCACAAGCGCAAGCATGAGCAGCCCGATGGCATCTCGTCTAGCGTGCGACGTCTAGCGCGCGGCGTTGCTCGGCCGACGGGCGGATGCTCGGGAGGTGGAGAGAAGCCAAGCGCCGGCACCTTTTCTTGGAAGCGCAGGCGTCGCAACTGACTCGCATGGGACGCCGTCGCCGCCGCAGCAGCCAGGTGCGTGCGACTGAGCGTCGATATCCGGAGCAAGCGCTGCAGGGAAGTGAGCCGCACACGACTCGGTCCTCGGCAGCAGAGTGGCAGAGCAAGCGAGGCGCAGCGCAGGACGCAGCCGCGGCTGTGAGAGCGCTCCGAGCTGGCTCCGGCGGAGGAGGCGTGCGAAGGCGCGGGACTCGGGCCGCCGCGGCCGCCGCCGCTTGCTGCCGGCCGCTCTCCGCATCCGCTCGCTTCCCCCGCACGACGACGGCTCGCCGCCCTTCTCCATCTCACCATCCACATCCACCCGTCCACATCGTCACAGCCATGGGCGGCATCGTCTCGCCCACGCCGCGCGAGCGCACCGGCAGCTGGCTGCAGTTCGGCCCCGTGCGCGCCGTGTTCCTCACGCTCGTGTACGGCAATGCGCTCCTCGTGCGCCTGCCGTACCTGGCGCTCAAGTTCAGCGTGCCTGCGCTGCGCCCCGTCAAGGGCTGGTCGTGGGTGAGTGATTTGGGCGGCACGTGCGGGCGGTGAAGCGGTGAGGCTTGGTAGACGGTGCGAGACGAGGATGTTGGGCATGCGCCTTTGGCTGCTGCGTACTGCCTTCTCGACGCAGGGTCTGCCGGCGCCGAGCCAGCCAGCGCGGCTTGTCTCCGTCTTGCCTCGTAGATTGCTCAGCTTAGAAGCTCGGCATGGCTCTCCGCAGCACTTGCGCGTTTGTTGCTCTGCTGACGCACCGCGCCGCAGTCGCGCTCGCTCATCCTCGGCATGCTCTCCTCGCTCTCTGTGCGCCGCTTCGCCAGCGCGCACTCGGACCGCGTCGATGCCAAGATCCTGCCCAAGCTCGGCGGCGACGGCACGCCGGTGCGCATTCCGCGCCTGCCGCAGCCGCTAACGGGCACCATGGGCGAGCTGGCGCAGCGCGCCGGTGTTGAGAGCGTCGACGTGCATGCGTGGTGGTACGGCGAGAGCCACGAGGGCGACCACAAGGCGGCGCAGGATGAGAAGGTCGTCCTCTTCTTCCACGGGTGAGTGCGCGCTGGTCTATACCTGCAGTTCAGCCCGCTGACATGCTCGCAGCGGCGGCTACATGGAGTTCTGCGCCGCGCCCGCCTGCCCCATCAGCGGCATCCCGCGCAAGTACCTCGCCGCCGCGCGCGGCAAGCCGGGCATCCCGCACAAGGTCCTCTCGCTTGAGTACCGCCAGTCGTTCGAGTGCGACTTCCCCGGCTTCGTGCAGGATGCTGTGGCGGCGTGGCGCTATCTGGTGGAGGACTGCGGCTACAAGCCGGAGAACATCGTCATCTCGGGCGACTCCGCTGGCGGTGAGCTCTGCAACGGCGCTGCGGTTTGTGCCTGGCTCACACACCCCTCAGGCAATCTGACGCTCGCACTTGCACGCTACCTGCGCGACGAGAAGCCCTTTGGTGGCGCCTCTGCCAAGGGCCTGATCCTGCACTCGGTGAGCCAGCCGTGCGCCCGTATCTGTCGTAAGCTGACACCCTCTGCAGCCGTGGATGAGCCTGTCGGGCTCCTACGCGCGCGCCGGCCCCGAGGGCTCGTTTGCGCAGAACAAGCACGTCGACATGCTCAACGCCGCGCTGCTGCAGCGCGCCGCCGAGGCAACGGTGCGCAACCTCTCGCTCAAGGAGCTCTCGTCGCACTACTGGTCCGCCGTCGACCTCGAGCGCGAGGAGAAGGCCGACCTCAAGGACTTCCCGCCGGCGCTCGTGCTCGGCGGCGCCTTCGACCTGCTGCGCGACGAGGGGCGCGACCTCGTCAAGCTGTACGAGGCGCCCGTCACGTACTACGAGGAGCCGCTGGCGATGCACGACTGCTGCGCCGTGCCCATCGGCTTTGAGGAGGAGCACGCGCGCGTCGCCAAGCGCACCGTCGAGTGGCTCACGCAGCTCTGGGCCTGAGCTCCTCTGCCATCAGTCCATGTCGTGTTCCCCACTTGCTCATCCCCACGCTCGCCTCGCAATGCAACTCTACACGTCGCTTGTGTGCAAGGCTCGTGTGCATTGCATTGTGGCGCTCCTGCCACGTCCCGCCCATCGACAGCCATCTCCCATCCCTTCTCTATGCCTTGCCTGCCCGCTTGCCGCTGTAGACCGCGTGTCAGCTCTGACTTGCCCGACGTGCCACGCTTGCCACTCACTTCATGCGTGGCCGCTCGCGCACCACCATCATGTTGCCGCCCTTGGTGCCGGGCTTGCGCGTGCGCGGGCCCTTCGTCTTGTGGCCGTAGATCGAGCGCGGGTGCTGGAGAGGATAGCTGTCAGCCGCTGGTGCAAGGCTGGCGCCCGCGGCAGCGACTCACCATGTTCGACTTCGACTTGCCACGGCCACCACCGTGCGGGTGGTCGCAGGCGCTAGAGACGACCGGATCAGCTGCGCTCGACTTGGCCCACGGCGCTATACTCACTTCATAGCCACACCGCGCACCTTCGGCTTGATGCCGAGCCAGCGCGCGCGACCGGCCTTGCCTAGCCGCACGTGCTCGTGGTCGATGTTGCTGACCCGCCCGATGGCAGCCGCACAGCTCATCGGCAGCAGGCGCACCTCGCCGCTCGTGAGCTTGACCTGCGCGTGCGTGGGCACGACGGCACCGCTGCTGACGTCCAGCTCCGACAGCTCCTCGTCGGACTCCGACGGCTCGATGAAGCCGACCGAGCCGGGCAGCGCAGCCTTGGCACGCTTCACAAAGGCGATCAGCTGGCCCTCTGCACCGGCCGAGCGGATGAGCTTGGCCGGGCCGTTAGGCACGAGCGTTGCTGCGTGGATCTTGGTGCCGATGGGGATCAGACTGAGCGGCAGCACGTTTCCGGGCCGGATGGCGCGCGTGCGGAAGATACCAATGTCGAGCGAGCTGGCCTCGCCGTCGCCGGCGGGCGTGTTCTCGCCGGAGCGGTACGACTCGACGGTGTCGCCGGCACGCAGGCCCTCGGGCGCGAGGATGTAGGACTTGAGGCCCGACACCTTGTGCTGGATGAGCGCAATGTGTGCGCTGCGGCCCGGGTCGTACTCGATGCGCAGCACCTCCTGCTCGCCCGACTCGCGGCGGTAGAAGTCGATGAGCCGCAGACGGCGGCGGTGTCCGCCGCCACGGCCGCGCACCGTGACGCGGCCGGTGGAGTTGCGGCCGCCGGTGCCGCGCTTGGCGATGGTGAGGGCGCGCTCGGGCTTGCCGCGGTGCAGGTGCGGCGTGAGCACGTAGCGCGTCCAGCGCAGCGAGCGCGTGATGGGCTTGAACGTCTTGAACTGGCGGTCGCGGCGCACGTACGGCGCATACTTCTGCGCCGCAACGCCGGCCTTGGCGAAGATGGAGCTCTCGGCCTTGCGCTTCACCTCGGCCTTGCGCTGCGCCTTCTGCGCCGTGCGCCGCTCGCGCCGCGTCGGCTCGCCGCCATGTGTGGCCAGCGCGACGGCCGCCGGCGACAGGCGAGAGCGCCGCATGAATGGCGGCAGAGTCGGCGGTGACACGTCGTAGTTGGGCACCTGTGCGACGGACGAGAGGGCGCGGACGCCGCGCAGCGAGGCGGCGCTGCTGCTGCTGCACGAGGCGGCCGCAGAGGCGAGGCGCTGCACCGACATGGCCGCGCCGGCCGACGACGACGAAGAGGCCGCAGCGGCCGCAGCCCGCTGCGACGAGGCGACTGCGCAGCGGAGCATGGTGCCGGAGAGAGCGGCAAAGGGAGTGGTGCGACAGGAAGGTTGGAGGCGCGCCGCGATGCGCTTCGCAGCTGAGAAAGCGGCGCAAGTCGCGCGGCACGTGATCGAGCTCGCGACGCTCCTCCTCCAGAGTGCGCCAGCCACGCCAGCGGCCGGCAGGTGCAGCGAGTGTGGTTCTCATTCGATTACCGCCAGAGGCATCAGTAAGCTCAGTGTATCTCGTCTTATCGCTGAAGATTCGATGCTGGGGAGGCGCTGTGTATACCAAGCTCGGCAGTGCGCCTGGCGGTGCGGCACGGGGCGGGACGCGGCTGCTCCCACGCTGCCAGGGGTGTGCTGCGCCCAGGCGTCCGTGCGGCCGCGGCGCTGACAAGGCGCCGTTGGCTGCGCAGCGGGTGGAGGGCTGGCTACCTTTAGCTCCACCACGCGCAAGACTCTCGAGCATCATCTTGTGCCAACACAGCCAGCAGCCCGCGCAGACGCTCGGCAAGCATGGACGAGGCGGCACGGCGAGCGCTGCTCGACGCCGGCGAGGCAGAGGCGGTGACCGTCAATCAGCGTGTGCGTGACGCGTCAGGGGTTCGCTGCTCTCGTCGTCGCTGACGCCCTGCTCCCATCAACAGGCCCTGATCGACAAGGCGAGCTGCGCGCTGTTCGCTTTGTAGACTCTGAGCTCTTACACGTGTCTCTTGCGCAGATCCTGGCCCGCTACTCGGCCGAGTTCACCTGCTGGCGCGAGCTGATCCAGAACGCCGACGATGCCGGCGCCACGACGTGCGAGCTGCGCTTCGAGAGCGAGGCCCACGTTGCACGACGCAATGCAGCAGGTGCCTCTCAGGCGGGCCCGTCCGCTGAGCCAGCACAGCCGCAAGCGCCGGCGTTCGGCGCCGTGCTGAAGAACTGGGTGTTCCGCAATGACGGCGCACCCTTCAGCGGCGACGACTGGAGCCGCCTGCGGGTGAGGCGCTGCGCATTGCTCAGGTACACAGCACGGCGTTGACATCGTCTCTGCAGCGCATCGCCGAGGGCAACCCTGACGAGTCGAAGATTGGCGCATTCGGCGTCGGCTTCTACTCGCTCTTCTCAGGTGCGCCGGCTGGGCGGGTGTGTGGCTGACGTCGCTGACCAGTCTCGTAGTGGCTGAGGAGCCGCTTGTCGCCTCGGGCCCTGAGCTCATGGGCTTCTTCTGGGTAAGTCTCTGCGCGGGCTTGCGATCTGAGTGATGCTCACACGCGGATTCCTCGCAGCGAGGCGACTCGCTCTTCACGAAGCGCGCCAAGAGCCCCTCGGTCGAGCTTGCGCCCTCGGGAGTGCCGTACACGACCTTCTACCTGCCGCTGCGCGAGCCGGCGCCCTTCTCCGATTCGCCACTGGATCTCTGCCGCTTCCTCGCCACCTCACTGACCTTCACCACGCGCGTCAAGAGTCTCTCGCTGTACTGGGACGACCAGCAGCTGTGTCGTCTGGACAAGCGCCTCGGCACGCCGCTCACGATGACGATGCCGTCACACCTCAACGCCACCAGTCCGCAGAAGCTCATGAAGGCACGCGCCCTGGAGAGCCAGGGCATTCAGATTGACGTCGAAGTGTCGCGCGCCATCCTCGATCTCGCAAAGCCATCCACGAGTGTCGCAGATGTCAAAGCGAGCCTTGCCTCGGCGTTCAACAAGACGACGGGCAGCTCTGGCCTTGCTGGCATGCTTAGCCTGTTCGGTCGGAACAAGGCTGCGAAGGAGAAGCCGCAAGCGCCCCCGCAGCCTAGCCCAGAAGAGCTCCGCGCCGAGGCAGAGCGCAAGAAGGCGCTGGAGGCAGACCGCTCGAAGCCCGTGCGAGCCAGCGTCTCAGTCAGCGTGGCGACGGCCAACATCGCCGTCAGCGTGGACAAGGCGTTCAGCCGCGAGATCGAGCGCAGCACGAAGAAGCCGCCGCCGAAAGAGACGAAAGTCCAGATCATCACGCAGTCCAAGGACGAGTACGATGCCAGCTTTGCGGGCAGCCGCACGGCCAGCGGCGAGTCGAAGGACGCCGCGGGCGATGCATCGCGAGCGCAGATTGCCGCCATCTTCCAGGGCGTCAGCCCCTCGCTTGACACACAAGGTCATGTCTTCATCGGCTTCAAGACCTCGCAGTCGTCGAGCTTCGCTGGCCATCTGGCAGCACGGTGCGTCTGTCTGGCAGTAGCTGCTGGCGCTGAGCTTACACCTCCACGCTTCCAGCTTCATTCCTACTGTTGAGCGAGAAGCAGTAGACTTTGTGGAGTGAGTCGCTCGCCCCCCCCCCCAGCGCACTCGCATCAGCTCACGCTCTCAACAGCCGCTACTGTGCGATCTGGAACAACGAGCTGCTGGCGATGGCGGGCTACCTCATGCGCGCCGCGTACGAGGCCGAGCTGGCAGCCATCGGCAAGCAGTGGGAAGAGCAGATCGGCAAAGGCACACCCAAGCCTGGCGACGAGACCGCACAGCGCCTCCTCGACCGCGCCTTGCACACCATGCGCTACCTCACCTGCCACGCCTCTACTCCTTCTCCGCGCATCGGCACAGCGCTCGAGGCTGCCTTCTTCAACGCGGCGCGGCAGAACACACTGACGCTCGCCTCGACGCGCGGCGTGCGGCACTCGGCCGCCGTTCGCTTTCCGAACGCCTCGTTGGCCGACTTCGTGCGCGACCTGGCGGTGCTGCCGCCACAGCACGTCGAGCAGGCGTCGCACTTCATCGCGAATGTCCGCAGTCGAAATCTCGTGAAGGACGTCACGCTCGACGACGTCTTTGATGAGCTGGCCGGGCGCGCGCTGAGCGTGATCGAGATGGTTGCTGCGCTCAAGTGGTGGATCAGCGTGGCGGCCCATCCGTCCTTCGAGCCATCCCTACAGCCGCGTTTCCTCGGCACCGCGGTCGTCAACCTGCCCGCGACAGACGAAGCAGAGGAGCGGAACCAGGCGCTGAGCAACGTCAATTCACTGCTCAATCCGCAGCGGGTGCCGCCGGAGCTGCCCTTGCCGGCGTCTACGCTTTTCTACGAGGTGTCCAAGAGCCTCTTTGCATCCGACCTCTCCCGTACATTCGGATGGGGCGAGCTGTCGATCGCCGCCTGGGTCAGCGAGCTTGCGAGGTCGAGTGCTCAGGGCGCCGACGCCACGGTCAACATCCAGCTCTCGCCCGCCTTCAGTGAGAAGGTGCTGGGCGTCGTTGCCCGCGGCTGGGGCTCGATGCCTGCACAAGGCCACGCGCAGGTGGCTGAGGCGCTGAAGAACATGGCGTGCATTCCGACGGCGCGCGGCATGTCCAAGCCTGCGGAATCGTACATGCCGCAAGTGGCACTGTTTCCCGACTTGGCCACGGTGGCCATGCCCACGCTGCCGGTCAAGGGCAACTTGGAGAAGGTGCTGCTCGCCCTCGGGGTGCGGCGGCATGTCGAGCTGCAGCTCGTCTTCGACCGGCTGGTCGCGCCTGCCGGAGGCTGGGACGTCACGCAGCTCCTGTCCTACCTCGCGACGAACAAGGACTCGCTTTCGAAGCTCGAGATCGACCGTCTGGCAAAGACACCGATCTTCCGCCCTCGCACAAAAGAAGGCGCGCCAGTGGCGCCCCGCAAGCCCGCATCGCAGCTGTATGAGCCGCGAGACGATGTGGTGGCACTGGGCCTGCCGGTGCTGGACTGGGCCGGCAAGCCCTGGAGGGCCACATCCGACGAGGCGCGCTTCGCTTTCGACGTGCTCGGCCTCAAGCGCCACCCGCCGCTGCCCGAGCTGCTCTCCCTTGCCTCGACGGACAATGCAGACGCCGAGATCCGGGAGAAGGCGCTCGAGTACTTCTTCGAGAAGCACGCTCTGTTCTACCGCGGCGACTACTCGCTGCGGGTGGGCGCTCCCTTCGCCTTTGTGCCGTGCCAGGTCGGCGAGGCAAAGACACCAGCACTCCTCAAACCGGACGAGGTGTACACCAACGCGGCAGCGAGCGTGATGGGCTTTGCCATCGTGGATCAGAACATCGTCTCTGCCGTCGACGTGCACAAGCTTGAGCTGCGCGAGAACCCGACAGGACCGCGCCTCGTAACGGCTCTCGTCAGCAAGGGCATGACGTCCGAGATTGATCGCGCACGACGCATCTTCGAGTACCTTGCGAGCACGCGCGAGCTCACTTCCGCGCACTTCACCTCGCTCAAGTCGACGGCGTTCATTCCCGTCATCAGTGCCGGCAGCACGCACGAGGGCAAGGAGACGGGCCCATCGATCACGCTACACGCTCCGCGCGACTGCTACTTCAAGGGCGGTGCCGACAGCGAGCCCGCGCTGCGCGAGATCTTCAACTTCATCGATTTTGGTTCAGAGGCAGCAGCGTTCCTGCGGTCGGCGGGCGTGGCGAAGGAACCCACGACGCAGGAGCTCACCGGGCAGCTCGTGCGATCGCCGAGCCGCTTCTTGGAGCTGCTTGGCGACGAGGGCTACAGCAAGGTGCTGCGGAGGATTGCCGCCGCCAACTGGCAGTCCAGCTTTCCCTCGGCCCTGCGGCGCGAGATGCAGCGCGCTCCGTTCCTGCTCGGCAGCAAGCGCGTGGCAAGCTCAAGCACGAAGGCTGCGCCAGAGAAAGGGGCAGCCGAGGACCAGGAGGACATCGACGACGGCGCCACTGTCACCTCCTTGAAGGCAGCGCCCGACCTTGTCCTCGTCGACGATCCCACGGCGTACCTCCTGTTCTCTTCTCACATCTACTGCGCGCCCATGGACGACGGGTGAGTGCCGCCGGGATTTGTCGCGCCGCTTACTGCTGAAACATGATGCCTCCAGACTGTCACAGTTCTACGCGCAGCTCGGCTCACCATGTCTCTCGACCCTCGTGACCGAACAGTCACGCACCGATGGACAAGTGCGCTCGGGCACGAGCGTGTGCGTGGAGACGCGCCGCCTCATCGTGGAGCGCACGCCCCTGTTCTTCTTTGAGCAGCAGCTGCCGCGCAGCGACATCCGGCGCGATGCCGAGTGGCTCAAGAAGGAGGCAAACTTTGTCGTGCTCGAGGTCGACGGACGAGGCCTGAGCATCACGCGCACGCTCCGCTTCGGCGCGACGGTCGCCTCGAACGTGCAGCGGTGCAGCGCCATTGCGCACTCCGACCGCAAGCTGACGCTGTACGTCACGGCGGATCCGGACCTCTATGAGGTCTCGGATGCGATCACGCGAGCGATCTTGAGCACGCGGCGAGCGCATCTCGTGCCGCTATACCACATTCTGCTTTCTACCTCTTTGCGGACGCTGAAGAAGCGTGAGTCGCCACGCGGAAGTCGCCAAACCTTTGCTCACCCTCCTTCCGCAGGCGGCTTCCACGTCGACAAGATCATTGCGCAGCGCAAGGCCGCCGAGACGGAGGCAGCCGAGCAGCTCGCGCGCGAGGAACGTCGGCGCGCCGAGCTCGAGGCTCTCCAGCCGCGCGTGACGGAGAGTGACTTCAAGGAGATGGAGCGGCAGCTCGGCGCCGTCTTCCCGGACGCAGACCCGGCGTACATCGCGCAGCTGCTGCGCAACCAGAAGCCGAACCATCTCGAGCACGCCACCACGGCGATGGTGCAGCAGCCGTACCCGAGGCGTCCTAGCGGAGCCAAGCCGACTGCGCCCACCTCGGAGAAGAGCCTCGTGCCGACCGACCATGGCAACCCCAACCCTGCGACCGGCAGCGGCATGTTCTCGAACTGGCGCGACCGCCTGCTCCAAGGCCGCCGCAACGAAGGGCCGTCCTCCCTGGCAGCTGGCTTGTCCTCGATCGACCGCACACCCAAGGTGCCAGGCGGCTTTGAGACGCCAACACCAGTGGCTGCGGCTGCTCGTGCAGGCCCTCAGTCGTCTTCCGAGGCAGGTCCAGGCCCGGGCGCCATGCAGTCGACGCGCCGCAAGGCGCAGGCCGGCAGCGAGGTCACGCCGCTGTCGTCTATCCGCAACAATGTCTTGCAAGGTAAGTCGAGTCCGTCGCAGTGCCGGACTAGCTGCTGACCTGTGCCTCAGCTATCCATGCATCACGCGCGGACAACTCGCAGCGCATCATCTCGCCAGAGCAGGTGAGTTGCACCCAGTGTCAGCACACGAACATGACTGAACTTCCCTCTGCGTGCAGCTGACGGACGTGACGGAAGCCTCCTCGACCTACTGCGACACGAGCGGCGTCGCGACGGACCTACGCCTTGCTGGAAAGGTGGCCGGGATGCGTGAGTGCCTCGCGGAGTGTGATGCGCTCAGCTGCTCATCTCTCTCTGCAGAGGTCTACCTCTCTCCGTCGTTGTCGCCTGATGAAACGCTCGAGCGCAACGGCGCGGCACTGCTGCGCTTCATCCAGCTTGTGCTGCGCCCCGTGGCGGTCGACGTCTTCGGCGTCGACCCGAACGCGCTGTCCGTGTTCTGCGACGTCGAGGGCCCCTCGGTGGCCTTCAACCGCGGCGGCTCGCTCTTCTTCAACCTGCGCTACTACCTCGGCTGGCACGACGCCGACGTCGAGCAGGGCAACCGCGTCGGCGCGCTCATCTCGATGGCCTCGTCGGTGGCGCACGAGGTCGCCCACAATGTGAGTCAAGCCCGCGCGCGTGTCCACCTCGATGCTGACCCTGCGCTCGCAGCTCGTCTCGCAGCACGACTCGCAGCACGAGTTTTACATGCAGTCCATTGCCGAGGAGGTGAGCTGCTGCGGGATGCCACACAGGAGCGGCAAGCTGACCCCTGGCCTGCAGTTCTTCCTGCCGCTCGCTGCCCTTGTGGCGCAGGCGCAGCGCGAGTGGGCGGCGCTGAGCGCCGGCGCCGCGCGCGCCAGCGGGCAGACGGACCGGGCGACGCTGGTGGACCTCTCCTAGACCCTAGACGACGCTCCGGATGCTCTTTTCATGACACAGTTACCCCTCTGGCCAGCTCAGCGCGCGCGTGATGGGCATCTCCGGCCTGGGAGCGTCTCGGAGATGTGTGCGCCACGCCTCGACGCGGGATCGCCGCTCGCGTGCGCCGCAGCGCGCTCCGGCATACTCCGCGCCTGTGCTTTGTCGAGACGTGGCAGATGCCAGCTGACAGCGCCCAGCAGGGTGCCGCATATGGGCGGAGTCTGGCGCTGGGCGATGGCAGGCCCAGGTACACGGCGGAGCTCAAAGGCGCACGGGTCCGGCGGCGTTCTTGCGCCTTTCGCGTTGCACGCTGCTGCGTGCGCTGCGGCGCCCAGCAGCGCTCACAGCGCTCCTGCAGAGAACAGGAAGGCGACGCGCCCTCTCGGGTACGACCCAGGCCCGGAGTGCTCTGCACGAACCATGCAGGCACTCGAGCGGGCAAACCTCGCGCTGGCCAGCCCTGCTGTGCTGATTGCTGCCCTGCCGTGTGCGACGCTGCAACTGCTGCTGCTCGCCGCGCCTACACGCGTCGCGCAGCTGCTGCACGCTGCAGGCCGCAAGAGAATGGCGGATGCCCGGCCATCGCCCATCTTCGACTCAGACGCAGAGGACCGTACAGGGAGGTGCAGCGTTGTGGCTAATGCAGCGCTGGCGCCCGGGTGTCGGCGCGGATGGCGAGTAGAGGGGGCTTGATAGCACGCTTGAAATGAGCGCAGCGTGGCCGGCTGGCTGGCTGCTGCGGCTGCGGCCGCGGCGCGGCGGCGGAGCCGAGGATGCACGGCGTGCCCCGCACCTTCGCTTGCGGCCGCGCGCGCTTCTTGGCCCGTCTCGTCGTCGCTCGTGCGTCGTGCTCCACTCCCACCACCTCGTCTCCGTCGCCGCCGCAGTCGCCAGCCGCCGCTGCCAACGCCGCAGTCCGGCCTCCTCTTCCAGCTCGTCGCGCGACGGCGAAGCGGCAGAGCCGCGCCGCTGCTGTCCTCTCGCGGCCCCGGCGCTCTCGCCCCTACCCCGCACTCTGCGCAGGCGCGCCTCGTCTCCTTGTGGCGCACCAGAGGTGTAGACCCTTGCCCCTCAGCTGCGCAGGCGCACCTCTACTGCACACCACACCAGCTGCTGAGCTGTCCACGACGCGCTCGCTCCCGCTGCGACGCCGCTCAGCTGCTCCGCGCACGCAGCCACTCGTCGCACGCCGCAGCCTGGGGCACACCCGCCATGGCCGGCCCGTCAGCCGCGGCAGATGCGGATGGACAGAAGAAGCGCAAGCGCGTCAGCAGGGCGTGCGACCAGTGCTTCTTGTGAGTGGCACACCGCAGTCTGGCAGGGACAGGACTTGCTGCGGGCGAGCCGCGAAGCTGGGCGGATGTTCCGGCGGCGCGACGCCGGCTTCCAAGTTCAGGGCTCTGCGGCGAAGCGGCAACGTTGGCCATGCGCTGCCGTGAGAGACCGCTTGACTGACACTCGCCGCCCTGTGCCTCCACAGCAAGAAGGACAAGTGTGACGGCACGCACCCAGTCTGCCTGATCTGCCAGCGCGCCGACCGTCAGTGCACCTACGAGCGCCCGGAGAAGAAGCGCGGCCCGTCGCAGGGCGTGCGGCAACGGCTGGAGGAGCAGATCGAGATGCTCGAGAGTGTCCTTGGCTACGTTTTGACTTCCACGCCGGGCATCACTGCCGAGGTGCTTCGGCGCCTTCCGCTCGAGGAGCGGCAGGCAGTCGTCGCCGCGAAGGCCTCGGCCTCTCCGGGCGGCGACGCTCTGTCGAACGGCTCGCCAGCTGCTATGCTCTCGATCTATCCCGGCCGCACGCGCGACGAGGCGCGAGACGAGTGGCGGCGCAGCGACCTGGCGATGGTCATCGGGCCCTTTCTTGGTCTCAAGACGGGCGAAGACGCAGCCACGGCCACGGAGGAGCCAGACGAGTTCACCGTTCGCGACCGCGTGCAAAAGGCGTTGCACAGGCGTGACAAGGTCTTGCGCTTCGCCGGCAGCCAGGCCGGTCAGCATGCCTCGGGCTCGCAGAGCGGACACGAGGCGTTCGCAAGCCCGGGCCTCGATGCCTCGCATGCGGCGATGCCCACTCGTGAGGGCAGCTCTCACCTGTGGTCGCCTCGCAACGCAGGAGCTCCGCAGGCTTCGTCGCCCTCGATGAGCTCCTTTGCCGCGATCACGAGCGCGGCGCAGTCATCGGCAGGCTTCAACGTGCCGGCGCCCTTCTCTCCGTTCGACAGCAGCTCTCCCGGGTCCATGACCAGCTACTCCTTCAGCGATGCGCGCGGGCAGGCGAATGCGGGACCACCACCCTTTGCGGCGCAGAGCCCGCGGCGCATTTGGGAGCACGGCGGCGATGCGCCGAACAACAATCGCCTGCGCGATCTCTCGGTGGCGTCCGAAAGGCGCAGCGTGCCGCTCTCGGACAGCGCCGCCTCCATGCATATGCCGCCGCCTTCTCGCATCGCCGGCTCGTCGGTGTACACGAGCCGCCAGCCGGATATGCAGCAGCGAGGTGCCCACGGCTCGACAATGGACGCCCCAGGCCCGTCAGCCGAACCCGCGCTGCTGCCGCTCGAGCTGGAGGAAGAGATGGACAACCTTCTGCACTGCTACTTCAACAGCTTCGTGAGTCTTTGTTCTGGCAGCTGCGTTTGTATTTGCTGAGCGTCGCTCTTGCAGCATCCGCTCTATCCCTTCGTCGATCGCACTGCGCTGTTGAGCTGGAACAGCGCCGTGGTCATGCGCGGAGGGCAGCACCTCTCTGCGAGCGGCACCGGCCTCAAGGGCGCTGCTGAGGGCGAGAGCGTGCCGCACGGACGCACAGCACTCGTGCTGTCCATCTGTGCGCTCGCCGCCGCCGGGTATGCAGACACGCTTGGCACATCGTCGGCTGCTGAGTCGGCAGACCGGCTGCTGGCGCTGTCCGACGTGTGCCACACGCGTGCGCGCGGCCTCTTCTTCACTACGACTGCCGACAGTGTCATGGACCGCGGCCCCAGCCACCTGTCGCCTGGCGGACGCGCAGATGGCGCAGGCGACATCGAGTCGGTGCAGGCGATGATCGTCCTTGCGTTCGCGTAAGTGCCTGAGGTCTTTGCGCATTTGATCTTGACTCACCTGCCATCCTAAGTGACATCCAGCGCGACAACCTGCTGCGCGCGTGGATCGGAGTTGGCATGGCAGTCAGGCTGGCGCAGGAGCTTGGCATCGACAGGTGCGACTCGAGCGGCAAGTCGCTTGCGCTACGCGAGCAAAGCAGCACCAGCCGCATGGGGAGTGCTGCCAGCACGCCGGCAGCGCAGTATGCCAGCGCGAGCGGCGACACGGAGATGAAGGCCGCGTCGCCGGCGGGCGGACGCGCGGCACAGCCTGCGATGTCAGCCCGTCGCCTGAGCGAGCTAGAGCAGATGCGCCGCCTGACGTTCTACACGCTCTTCTGCCTCGACACATTCCTGAGCGCCTCGCTCGGCCGTCCGTCGGCGCTCCGCCGCGCCGACTTCACTGCGCTGCTGCCAAAGGTGGAGGACGACGACATGACGGAATGCGAGATCGTCGAGGCGCACGTGCCGCCTCCAGTGCGCGGCGGACGCAAGCCTGCGCCACGACGTGTGCGGGCACGCGTCATCTCGACGTTTGTCGCGCAGATCGACCTGGCGCTGATTGTCAACGACATGGTGGCGGGCATCTCGCTGCCTGGAGGCCTCGTCGGCGAAGCTGCTGCGTCCGTTGCGGCGGGCAAGATCAACGATATCGCTGCTCGCCTGCACAAGTGGCGCACTTCGCTGCCGCCGCATTTGGTCGGCGTTGTCGCCAGTATGCCAAGCCCTGCGTCTCTCGCGGCCCCCCAGGCGCCCACCCAAGCGTGAGTCGCCCGTGTGCCCAGAAGGAGCCTTGCTGATCGATGAACTTCGTAGCCAACCGTGCCACGCCTATCACCTGGCGCTGCTCACGCACTTTGCATTCATTCTCGTGGACCGCGCGGCGCAGTGCGTCGTCCGGCACGACTGGACGCCGCCATCGGCAGTCTCGCGGCCTCCACCCGTGCATCTGCCGGTCAGCGGCCTTGACAGCCTATGGAGTGCCTTTCCGTCGCGGCCGGGCGATGGCTCAGGTCCACGCGTGCCGGGCCGCTCCGACTGGAAGCGCGTCACCATCGCCAGCCCTACGTCGGACGGTGCGCTGCCGCGTCTGCTCGACCGCTTCTGCGAGTGCTTCGGCCCGTCGCGTCTGCCGCCGTTTGCCGCCTACTTTGCGCTCGCCGCCGCCCACTCGCTGCCGTCGCCCACGGCGGACAACGAGCAGGAGTCGTGGGAGCTGCTGCACCAGGTGGCGCACGGCTCGGCCGCCAAGTGGAACACGGGCATCGCTCGAGTCTCGCGCGTGTTGCCTGCGCTTCGCCGCGATGCCTCTCGCGGGAGCGTGCGCGCACAAGACTCGCCCAGTCGCCCGCAGCTGCCCGCGCAGCAGCCGGCACCGACGCCTGCCTCGTCTTCGCGCGAGCCGGTCTCGCCGCACACTCGCCACGACACGTCGCTGCAGCCGTTCGACGGCTCGTGGGCCAACTTCGACCAGGGCACGTTCGACCTCACCGCGTCATTCGACCATCTGCAGGACGCGCATGCGCTTGCCTACGCGCTCGGCATCTCGCAAGGCTCTGCAGAGCCGGCCAGCAACGGGCAGGAGCTGTCTGCGGCGCATGTTGCCGACCTGGACATGCGCGACTGGGGCACGCAGGACACGACGCTGGCCAGCCAGACGCCGATCAGCGACTCGGCGAGCATCTCGGAGTGGTTCGAGACGGGCCTGTCTACGTGAGTAGGGTGTGTCTCCGTGTGATCGCCCTATGCTAATCTCTATGCGCTGCAGGAACGAGGACCAGTCTGGACTGCTCTTCCACCTCGGCCTGCGGCAGCCGCAGTCTGTCTCCGCTGCCTCGGGCGACGTCTTCTCCGACTTCTCGCTGGGCGAGCCGGCCGGCGGGATGCTGGCGCACGCCAACACGTTCGGCCGCGCACCGTCGATTTCGACGCAGCACAACATGCTCACCCATCCCATCCAAGGCTACGACGCGAACGGCGCCGCGCTGCAGCTGCCGCCGCCACCCGCGGCCATCGACCAGAGCGGCGCAGACGCGATGCAGATGCACCCGCACCCGCCGCCCCACGGCGACCTGATTGATCGTGAGTCTGCCGGTGAGGCCCTCAGCTACATGGACTGACATGCTCGGCTCGACACAGACTACGTCTCGCGCGGACAAGCATAGCCGCAGCCTCAAGACAATTTCCCTCCTCACCCTCACGCTCTGCCCCGGTCACGCTGTAACAATACCTCATGTGCTTCCTTTGGTCGCCGCACTATATCCTGAACGCTGCGGCAGCGTAGCTGTTCGGCTCGCAATGCGCATGACTGCTCGAGCTTGCAGCGCGTGAGGGACGACGCATGAACAGCAGAGCAGGTCAGGGCTAGGAGGAAGCGAGCGCGAGAACGAGGCAAGACGGCTGAGCGAAGCAGAGAAGGGCAGGCAGGCAGGCAAGAATGGCGTTAAGTCTCTTTTGCGAGGGCACGTAACGAGATGACAAGGCGGCGTGAGCAAGAGCGCGTGACGGAGCAAGTCGGGGCAGGGGTGAGGGGCGTGTAGGAGCACAGTCGTAAAAGGTGGGGTAAGGGCGTGAGGCGGGGTCAGAGAGGTGACGAGAAAGGGCGTGATACGAGAGGAGAGGGCCGAGGCGAGCGGCTATGAGCGCGCGGCCTTCTCGGCCTTCTCCTTGGCGAGCGACTCGGACGTGGCGCCCTGCTTGGCGGCCGTCTCGCACACGTAGCCCTTCCAGCGCCAGGCGGGGATCTTCTTCTCGTACAGCTCGTCGATCTCGGGGAACGACCGGCCGGCCGTCTCGGGCAGGAGGAAGATCGACATGACGAAGACGCAGAGCACGCAGCCGGCGAAGATGAGGTACGTCTTGGCGCCGAGGTTGGCGCCGTCGGCGCTCGTGAGCTGCGGCACGGCGAACGTGGTGATCACAGCCGTCGTCTGCCCCCAGCCCACCGCATACGAGAGCGTCGGGTTGCGAAGACGCTGCGTCGGGATCTCCGAGGGGAGCAGGAGCGAGATCGAGTAGAAGCTGGCGGTCCAGACGAAGTTGAAGATGAACGAGAAGGCGGCGACGGCCTTGACGGGGCCCATGCCCTTGTCGGTGAAGAAGGCGCTCGTGCCGGCGGCGACGTCGAGGAGGAAGAGGACGACGAAGCCGCAGAGGGCGACGGAGCGGCGGCCCCAGAGGTCGAGGGCGAAGGGCGCGACGAGCGCGCCTGCCAGCTGGCACACGGCGGCGACGACCGACAGCACGAATGGGTCTCCGGCGCCGAGCTGCGTGAGGAAGACGGTGGCGTACGTCGTCGAGAGGATGATGCCAGAGATCTGGTTGAGCGAGAAGAAGGAGCCGGCGACGAGGGTGCGCTTAAGGTTGGTCCCCTTGAAGATGTCCATGAACGACGTCTCGGCGGCGGTCGCGCGGCGGTTCTCCTCGCCGACGATCATCATGTCGAGCTCGCCGTTGATCTCCTCCTGCGAGTAGGAGCGGATCTTGGAGAGGCAGGCGCGCGCATCCTCGATGCGGTCGCGCGTCACGAGCGAGAGCGGCGACTCGGACGCGAAGATCGTGAGGCAGATGAGCGTGAAGGGCAGCGCGCACTGCACGATGAGCGGAATGTCGTAGCACCAGCGCGTGTTGCGGAACTGGCTCTCGGACGCCCAGCAGATGATGACGGAGATGACCGAGGCGGTGATGGTGAACAGGTTGTTGAGCGCCACGGAGCGGCCGCGGAGCGAGGGCACGACGAGGTCGCCAAGGTAGCCGGGCGCCACGGCCGTGGCGACGCCGTACGAGAGCGCGTTCCAGAAGCGGCCGCCGACGAAGGCGCCAAAGTTGGGCGCAAAGAGCTGCAGGAACACGGCGGGCAGGCTGAAGACGTAGGCGCCAAGCAGCGTGCGCTTGCGGCCGAAGCGCGTCTGCAGCGGCGTCGAGAACAGAGCGCCGAAGATTGTTGCGGTTAGGGGCACGGAGAAGAGAATGCTCTGGTTCGAGGCCGTGAAAACGAATTCGCCCGTCTTGGGATTAGGGCCCTGCATCTTGTCGACGAAGGAGTGCATCGAGGCGATGGGTCCGATGATCGAATTCTCGATGCCAAACATGCAGCCAGACAGGCCGATGACGACGCACGAGTAGACCATCCATGCGTTCCAGCCAGTGACGGCCGACGCCGTCTCGACGCGTGCGCCGCTCTGCTGCTCGTGCATCGAGGCGTCGGAGCTGTGCAGGTCGAGGCCGTGCTTCTCGTCGATGCTGTCGGCCTTGTGCGACATGGCGGACGAGTGGCGGGTGGCGGGGTGAGAAGAGGAGTGCCGCGAGCGGTGCTTGAGGTGGGCTGCGGTGAGGCAGAGGCGGGTGCGGTGAGGCAGAGGCGGGTGCGGTGAGGCAGAGGCGGGTGCGGTGAGGCAGAGGCGGGTGGGGTGAGGCAGGATGAGGTGTGGTGGTGAGCGGGACGACTGGCAGACGGAGCGGCCGCTTCTTATAGACGACGAGGCGCGACGAGCCGACCCCGTGGGGAGCACGCGGGGAAGGCCAGGCAATGCGGAGGGAGATGGGAATAGAGACGCTGGGCCGCCGTGCCTGGCTGCTGCTGCCGCTCTGGGTGCTGCTGCGTCGTGTGATGCGCTGTGCGACGACGGCGTCGGTGGGCCCTCGGTCTGGGCAGCGAGCGGCCAGGCGGAGATGTGCTGCGTGGTGCTTGCGAGAGGGTTGAGCGCGGGGCGCAGGAGACGCTCCTGAGCCTCCTCTGCGGGGGTGCCTGAGTGCGGTGCCGCAGTGCCGGCGCTGCGCCCGTCTGGGCTCTGGAGCTGGGCCTTGGTGCTCCTGTCTTGCGTCGCCCGCCGAGGAGAAGGCCTGCTGCTGCTTGCTTGCTTTCTGCTTGCTGCGCCCGAGGAAGGCGCGCGGCGAGAATGGGGAGCGCAGGCAGGCTGGCGCACCCGCCGCGAGGCCGAAGCGAGTGGCGCGCGCCTGGCGTGACAGCCGAGGTCTGGGCACCTCGCCAGTGTCCGGCACGCGCGAAAATCTCGCCGAAGGGCCCGCACCCGGCGCCGCATCTCGCTGCGCTCGCCCGCTGTCAGCCGCCGCGCGATGCGGGGCAGCGCGCGTGGCGCCGCTCTTCCCGCGCCCGCAGCCAGCAGTCACCGCGGCGCGTGCCGTGCCGCCGCGCCTGCTTGGCAGCACCGCACCTCTTCCTCCCACTCTCACTCCCGCCTCGCCCCCTCACGTGCTGGCATGCAGCGCCGAGCCTGCACCGAGCGCGCCCCGGTACCGCTCGCCCGCTCCCGCCGCTCGGCCGTGTGCCGTCATGCGGAGCCCCGCGAATGAGCGCTCGGACACGCTGCGCTGTGTGTTCCTGCGTCGCTCGTCTTACCGCGCAGTTGGAAGATGCGCCTCGTCTTCGCGGTCGTGTGGCCCAGACGCCATCGCGGGGAACGGCTAGGGCTGGGCGCAGGGTTCACTTGCGCTACGCCCCTGATGGCCGCGCCCGACTGAGCACTTGGCGTCACGCTGCATACATTGCGCCTCGCTGCCTCTGGGCCCGACTCCTATGTCCAAAAGCAGGCCTCGGCTACACGAAAAAGTCGAAGGGGACTCGAGGCTCTCGCTGAGGGCGCTGACTGACCGGACCTCGCGAGCCGAGCGTGGAGAGCGCTCCTGAGGGCCGAGGGCGGAGTCAATCCGCCCGTCGCAACCGATGGCTCCAAGGTGCAGAAGCCAGGCTCGATCGGCGGCAAAGCAAAGGCAGCGCCGTGGAGCGGCCAAGAGTAGGCAGCAGCAGCTCAGCGCGAGGCAGAGCGGCGATCGCGGGCCTTGGCCGCTTCTCGGCAAGACTTGCCGCGCCTCCAAGGCAGCTGCTTGCCGCGGCTTCACGCCTGGCTGGGAGCCACGCTGCGCGAGGGAGAGGAGAGGCAGATGCCGGACGCGCTCGGTTTGCGCTCGGCGCGTGCCTTGCGCTGCGCCGAGGCATGCCCGTGGCGCCGATCTCGGAGCTGCGCTGCGGGCCAACAAGCTCAAGGTGAAGGCTCTTCGGCGGCCGCTGCCTCTCTCTCTGGAGGCTGAGCGGCCGGAGAAGCGCTGCTGCTTGTGCTCGCTGCAGCGCTGATGCCGCTGCCTGATGCTTCCAGCTTCGCGCATGTCCGAGGCTCCTCCTGGCCCCTCACCCCGCGGGCCCCCGCATCGGCGTCGCTCGGCGCAGGCAAATGAGGCCGAGGCGCAGGCCAGGCGCGGTGCTCCCCTGTGCGGCACTTCGACTCGCAGCGCCCAAGCAGCATTCAGCTGGCCGAGCTGCGCCGAGACAGAGTGCTGCTCCTGCTCCTGTGGCAACGCCCCTGCCACGTCTTCGCTGCTGGCCGGAAGAGAGCGTAGAGGAGGCGAGACGACACGGCACCGAGACGGAGCCGGGCGCGGCGGGCGCACTCCTCTTGGCTGCGGGAAGGCGGGCGTGAGGCGCCGCGGCCGCGCGCGCTGAGACGCCGGGCGCGCTCCGACGCGGCGGCGCGCCTTGGCCTTGCGTCCCGTCTGCTCCTCGCCGGCAATCTGCTGCCCGCTGCCTGCGCCGCCCTCTCACTCCCCATGGGCAGCGCACCTCGTCCGCCGCCGCAGCCGCCGCCCGGAGCAGCAGAAACCGCGGCAGCCGCAGCTATAAGGCCTGCCATGGCCTCGCTCCGCCCACGCTCCCTCTCCCGCTCCGACGCTCCAGCCGCACACCCATCCGCCGCCATGCTCGTCGCCTCACGCCCCAATGCCACGCCCGCGTCGCCGACGCTCAAGGCGCCGCGCACCCGTCTCTCCATCCCGCCGCTCGATGCCGCAGCCAGCGGTAGCAGCAGCCAGACCGCGCCGCAGCCCCTCGCCGCTCCTGCGCCTGCATCCGCCGCTGCTGCTGCCACTGCCGCACCTGACGCCGCCGCCTCTGCCGCTGCGTTCGCGCGCTTCCGGCCCACCAGCCACTTCCTCGCGCCGCGCGGCTGGATGAACGACCCCTCGGGGCCCTCGTGGGACCCCGTGGCACAGCGCCACCAGCTCTTCTACGAGTGGAACCCGCGCGGCTCGACGTGGGGCCACATGAGCTGGGGCCGCGCACATGCGCCGAGCCTCGCCGGCCCCTGGACGCACGACAACCTGCACGACGAGCAGGGCAAGGACCAGCCGGTGCTCGAGCCTAAGGCGCCGTGGGACTGCGAGGGCATCTGTGAGTGTGCTGGAGTGTGCCGATAGTGGAGAGAGAGCGCAAGGAGAGGACGGCGGCAGCAGCAGCGGCGGCGGGAGAGATCAGGCTGGCACAGCGGAGAGCGCAGCAGAGGCAGCGAGGGAGTACGGGATGCCGCAGAGACCCTCCACGACTGCAGCTGTGCATCGGCTGACACAACCCAGTCACCGGCTGCGTCGTCACGCACGGCCCCGCCGGCGAGGCACACCTGCAGACGGCCATCTACACGGCCGTGTCGGCGCTGCCCATTCACTTCTCGCGCGCATACAACCGCGGCTGCGAGAAGCTGGCGCTGGCGACGTCGGCCGACGGCGGCAAGACGTGGGAGCGCAGCAGCACGCTCGTGCTGCCCGGCCCGCCCGACGGCATCGACGTGCTCTCGTGGCGCGACCCGTACGTGGCGCCGTGGCCTGAGATGGACGCGCTCTTCGGCACCGCGCCCGACACGCACTACCACGGCATGATTGCCGGCAGCGTGCCCGGCGTCGGGCCGCGCCTCTTCCTCTACCGCATCCCGCGCACGCAGCTCGGCAGCTGGACGTTCCTCGGCACGCTCGGCGAGTTCGGCTTCAACGAGTCGCTGCCCGGCGCGCCGTGGAGCGGCGAGCTGGGCCGCAACTGGGAGGTGGGCATGTTCTTCACGCTGCGCGCCGCGTCGGGCCGCAGCACGCAGTACGTGCTGCTCAACGTCGAGGGCTGCCTGCTCGACGAGCCGGCGCGCCACCCCATGTGGCTCGCGTGCAGCTTCGACGCCGACGCCGCGGGCAAGGCGCGCATGCTGCCGCAGGCCAGCGCGCTCCTCGACGACGGCTGCGGCTACGCCAGCTCCAGCTTCCTGGATCCTACGACGGGACGGCGCATGATGTGGACGTGGGTCACCGAGGACGACCTGCCCGAGGCGCACTACGAGCCGCAGGGCTGGAGCGGCTGCATGTCGCTGCCGCGCGAGCTCTTCCAGCTCGATATCCCGCACGTCACCGGCGCGCTGCACACGCCGCTCAAGGACATCGGCAGCTTCTCGCTCGAGACGCAGAGCGACGGCACGGCGCTCGTGTCGACGCTCGGCATCCGCCTCGGCGACGAGGTCGTGCGCCTGCGCGAGGGCGCTGCGCGCCGCTGCAACGCCGAGACGCATGTGCTTAGCGACGCCTCGCTGCGCCTGCCCGTCGCCTCGCGCTCGTGGGAGCTGTGCGCCACGGTCAAGGTCGACGACGCCACCAAGAGCGTCGGCATCGTCTTTGCACACAACGACTGTGAGTAGCGGTCGCTGCGACCGTGCAGCATCTGCTAACCTGTTTGGACAGCCCTGTCGCAGCGCTCCAGCATCGCCTTCCACCCGGCGCAGGAGCGCCTCATCGTCGACCGCACGCACTCGACCAAGTTCGACGCCGGCATCAAGACGACGCCCATCTCCAGCCCGCTGACGCTGCTGCGCACGCGTGCGGCCGCCGGCGCGCCCGAGGAGCAGGAGTTGCTGCGTCTGCGCGTCGTCTGCGACAACTCCGTCGTCGAGGTCTTTGCCAACGACCGCCTGGCGCTCGCCACGCGCATCTACCCCGACGACGCCGCGTCCGTCGGCCTCTCGCTCTTCGCCGAGGGCAAGGCCGCCTTTGAGACGCTCGACGTCTGGGAGGGCCTGGCGGGCGCCTTTGAGGCGCCCCGGCCCGCCAACCCGGCCGCCAAGGCCGCGCGTCACCACCTCTAGACTTGCTCCTCTGCCCTGCTCCCGAGCCCCGCCGCTTTTACACACGCCATCACCCACGACCTCACACGACCCACACGCCCCTCATCTGCTCATGTCACACGACGCGTTCACAATGCTAGAGTTACAGTTCGTCAGCGTTACAGAGGTGTGGATCGGAGGGTGAGGCTGGACGGCGGCGGCAGCATGGACAGAAGGGCGGATGAGGCGGCACGTCATGTCTACGCGTGAAGCGGACCCCGGGAGAGGCACTGTCTTGATGCTCGCTCATTGGCCCGCGACGCCGAGCTCGTTGAGCAGCGCCTGCAGGGCCTGCGAGCCCCACGCTTGCGGCGTGTCCTGGAGCTCGGCGATGTTCGCGCGGATGCGCTCGAGGTAGGGATGCTTGCCGTCGAGGAATTTGCGCAGCTGGTGAGGACGGTCAGCATAGGCTGCAGCAGATGTCAGCTGCACGCGACAACGCACCAGCACCACAAAGTCCTGCAGGATCTCCGCTGTGTCGCAGAGCAGCGTCGCCGCACCCGGCGGCCGCAGCGCCGGCGGAGATGCCTGGTTCGGCGAGTGGGCGACGCCGCTGCCGTGTGTGCCGCGCGTGGCGCGTGAGGCCGCGCTTTCGCTGATGGCGCGCGCAATCGCCTCGTCCTTGCAGAGCAGCACCAGTGTGCTCGCCAAGTCGTACTGAAGAGAGAGCTGTCAGTCGATGCTCTGCCAATGCGCGATACCGGAGCACGCACCAGTTTGAGAGCAAAGCCCACGCCGTGCGCCTCCATCGACGCGAGCGACAGGCTGTTGCAGATCTCGAGCGTGCTGCGCGCCAGGGAGAGCGCGTGGTCCACTCTGAGCGGCTCCTCGGCGTCGTCGATGCTCAGCAGCCCGTGGCTGAGCGAGATAAGCCACGCGCGGTTCGCCAGCCAGGCGCGAGTGATCTCGTAGTCGGCCTTTTGCACCTGGCTGCGCGCGAATGGCAAGGTCGCGCCGCCGAGTGTCGAGCTGCGTGGCCGCGCAGACGTGTAGACTTCGTCGCTGCGGCTCGGCCCGGCACTGTCGCTGCTTCCGGCGCGCTGCGATCCGTAGCCTTGGTCCTCTGCACCCTTCATGAATGCTCCATGCAGCTCGAGGGCCTTCTCGCGCGTGAAGTTGCGACATGCCTTGCCCGCGCACTTGCCCAAGACTGCACAAAGCGCTCGTCAGCAGCGCGTAACGCGGCACAGAGCGCATGCACTCACAGCAGTCGACGAATGCCTCGTCCACCGTGTCGAAGAGGCAAAGCTGCAGGTCTGGGAAGTCGGCGAGCTCTTTGAGGCCGAGCTTGGCGCGCAGCGAGGCCGTGCGCGCGCGCGGGTTGCCCGTGAGAGTGATAGGATGGCCGTACTGCAGTGCATAGGCACTGCAAGCGCAAAGTCAGCCAGCGAAGGACAGTCCGTTCTCTGCACCTTACCGCTCGGTGATAGCAAGTAGCCAGTAAGTTCGGAGTCTTCTCTCTTGGTCGTCACGAGAGAGTGTTTCGTAGCTGGAAGGCTCATGGAGCTTCGCCAGATGGCCGAGCGTCACGGCCTCTCGGAGGCGATACCATGCCGCGCCGTGGATGCCTGCGGGTGCGTGCGTGTCAGTCAATGCCCAAACTGTGCAATTCGCAGCAAGAAACACTGACCCAGGGCGAAGCACGAGGCGAAGAAGAAGAACGACGTGCATGTGGACTCCAGAGTTGGCTCCTCGCCCAGGAAGAGGCCGCCGCGCAGTCTGTTGGCTTCTTCGAGCAAGCTGATAGCCTTGCGTCTTCGCCGCCGCGCCGAGGTCCGGTCCGTTGTGTCCTGCCCTTGAATCGCAACCAACGCACTCATCGCCAGCAGCATCGCGCCGAATTGCGGGTTCGTGTGATGGTGATCTTTGTCCAATCGGCCGAAGAGGTAGGCCCGTGAAAAGACGGGCATGACTGCAAGAAGAGAGCATCAGGCAAGGTGAAGGCGAAGCGCAGACGAGATGCACGCACTGCCTGAAAGCCGCTCGTAGAACAAGCTGAGCACCGGTATCAGCACGGAGTCCGAGAGCGCGTGCGGCTCATCGGGACCGGCAGAGGACGAGCTCGTGTCTTCGAACTGCGAGCCGCTCGGCGCCTGGCTGCCTGCTCTGAGCGCATCGAAAGAGACGGGCTGGCCGCCTGGGTTGAGACTGCCGAGCGCATCGAGCATCGTGGCCGAGCCGTCGCCGGCGACGAGCGGGAAGCTGCCGGCGCCGTGCGGGCCCCACATGAGCGCGTCGAGGTCCAGCGAGTCGGGTGCGCCCAGCAGCGAGTCGGCCAGCGACGTTGTTAGGCCTGGCAGGCGATAGGTGGCGCCCATGCTCGGGTCGAAGTTGTACATGCCCATCGGCTGCTGGCCCGCGTCCATGCCACCGGCATTCGGCGGCGCGCCGTAGTACTGGCCCTGCTGCTGGTGCTGCTGGTGCTGTGATGGCTGCCGTCCCATGAACTGATCTACAAACGAGGCGCCAGGCGATGGCGGCATGCCAGAGAAGCCCGGCGGACTGCCTGCGTACGCGGCTGCACCCTGTGCATGCGGGTAGTGGCCCGGCTGCAGAGGCTGCGAGGGCGACGCCGGCTGGTGCTGCTGCGAGTGCGACGACGGCGTGCGGTACGGGTGGTGCCGCTCCGAGTGCGACGAGTGCGTCGAGCGCGGGCTCAGGATCGACTGTGGGCCGGGCGAGCCGGGCAAGCCATGGCCTCCACCGCTGCTGCTGCTGCCGTTCGACGGGCCTGCGCCGGAGCCGCGCATGGCATACGGCGGGAAGCTCGTCTGGTGGTGCGGCGCCGAGGCCGGGATGCCACGGAAGCGGCTGTGCGAGTCGGAGGGCGTCGAGCCCGACGGCGACGGGGCGCCGCCGCCGTGGTGCATCGCCAGCGAGCGCGGCGAGTCGGGCGGCGGCATCATCATGTGCCCGTTGCCCGGCCGCGGCGAGAAGCCGTCGCCCGGATGGCGGCCGCCAGAGCGTGGCGGCGGGCCATCGAACGGGAATGGGCCCTGCGGCTCGTGCTCCAGTCGCGCTGGCGCACCAGCCCGTGACGGCCCAGCGCCCGATGCGCCGCCGCCGTTGCTGCCACTCGCCGGGATGCCTGCGCCGGCGGTCGCAGCAGCAAACGCAGCCACCGCAGGGTCGCTACTCTCCTCCACCTTGCTCCCGCTCCCGCTGCCGCTTGCGCTGGCACTGGCGCCGGCGCCTGACTCGCGCAGCATCTCGATGCGCTTGCCCGTGCTCTTGCGTGCCTGGCCTGCCTTGTGGTATGTGCAGTTGAGACCGAGGCGTGCGCAGTCTGGAGCGTAGCTGTCTCAGCATCGCGCAGCCTCGCGCTCTCGCTGCGCCGCCTCTACTCACGAGCACACGGATTCTCGTGCGAGCACTTGACCCGGCGGATGTGGCCTGTCGCAGCGTGTCAGCCACCCGGGCAAGCTCAACACACCGCTGCGCCTACGCACAAGCATCGCACGCCGGCTGCGTCGGCTTGCGTGTGGGCGCCATGGCCGGCTGCTGCTTCGACGAGGTGGGCCTGCCCGATCTCGTGCGGCTGCTGCTGCGGTGGCTGCGGCCCTTTTAGCTGCTGCCAGCGCTGACGCTTCCGCCCAGATACGGCCGCCGGCGATGCGATGGCACAGCGGTGGTGGATGGAGTGCGTCGCGAGGAAGGTGCGGCGAGAGAGGCGAGGGCGCAGGCACGCCAAGACGCGGCGGTGCGGTGGTGTCGCAGCTGCGCGCTGTGTGAGGTGGGTGTGAGGAGACGAGGCTGCGGCAGAGGCGTGCTGGACGTGGAGAAGGAGGCGCCGGCGAGAGCAACGGCTGGCCAAGCAAGCCCTCGCGCGACGGAGTCAGGCACACCGCGCTCCCGGAGCCGCAACCGGAGCTGGCCGTGTGCCTGGGCTCAGAACGCGCGCGCCGAGCCTCGCACGCGCCCGCGAGGCACGCCTCGAGTCTCGCCTCCGCCCCGCGCCGGCGCTGATCCTCGACGTCGAAGCTGCGGCTTTTTTTGCCGCGGCAGCGGGTGCTGCTGTGCCTCTCGGCGGCCCCTCTCTGCAGCACGCCCAGGCAGCTCGCAGCGGTGCGAGAATGCCGAGGTCAGCAAGGGTGCAGCGAGCGCCATCTCAACCGCGCGCCGCGAGGCGGCCGTGCGCCCGCGCCGATGTGGTGCGGGGCATCTCGAGCTCCTGGGCCGCATGACAAGCGCTCTCCCACGCTGCTTCCCGCAGCCGCCGCGCCCACTCCAGCGTCGATCGGGAATTGGAGGCTGCCCCTGAGGGCGGGCTTCTCCGTCTGACGGCCTGAAGGATGCAAGGCCGCCGGAGCTCTCGGCGAGCTCGTGTTAGCTTTCCGGGCCAGAGCTGCCATGCTCGCTGCAACTGGGCCGCTCGGTCGACAGCGAAGACGACAGCGAGCGCCAGAGGCACCCGACGCGCGCGCGCGTGCATCGGGGCGCTCGCCCGTCTCCTTCATCTCAATGTCCTGCGCAGCTGCTGTTCTGCTAGGAGGCCTGCGCACAGGTTTAGCGCAGTATCTGGGATCTTGCTGGGAGAGCAATGCTGGGTCGTCATTCCGCTCGCTGTGTCACGGGCAACGCTCATGGTCAGGCTGCAGCCACCAGGCTCGAGTCATTGACGCGGTTAAAGCACCACAGCTGGTCAGCTCGCTGATCGCACCGGCCGACCTTCATCGTCGACATCGCCAGGCATATACGCACACACACGGCTTCGTTCCTGAGTAGCTGACACTGCTCAGCAGAGGAACGAGCAAGCGCCGCGAGCCCGGGATGGAGGGCGGTGCGGGTCGGCCAGATGCTGGCGGATTTCGATTCCGCTGCTCTCCGCGCGCCGCCTTCGCCGCGTCGCGCCGCGCGCGTGAGCGGCTCGTCGCAGATCGGCCGCGACGCGCCGAAGCGCTGCTCCCAGCCTCCACCGCCCGCCGCGCTCCGCACCCTCCGCCGCCATGTCCGGCAGCCCGCACAAGTACTCGGCCTACGTCGACGTCGACGACGGCGCCGGCGAGGCGGCCGCCGCCGACGCGTACCTCGCGCATCCCAGCGCGCCGGCCGCGTACGGCGAGGCCGACGACGGCGAGGTGCCGCAGCACGAGCAGCACGATGCCGAGCAGCACGAGCTGGGCGATGCCGAGCAGCAGCAGCACGACGAGCCCGACGAGGGCGACGAGCAGCAGACGCACGCGCAGCAGCTCGAGGACGAGGAGCTGTACCGCCAGCACCAGGTGCAGGCGCAGGCCGCGCAGCAGCAGCATGCCAGCCCGTACACCAACGAGGAGATGGCGCACGTCGCTGCGGCTGCCCAGGCCGCCGCCGCCTCGCACCACGGCTCGGCCAGCGCGCAGAATGCGGCGGCGCAGGCGGCCATGAACGCCGCCTTTGCGCACGCGCCGGCCGTGGCAGCAGCGGCAGCGGCCGCTGGCGAGGTGGCTGGGCCCAGCTCTGCCGGCGGCTCGATCGCTGGCGGCGACGACTACGACCAACAGCAGCAGCACGACGGCTCGCCGCGCAAGGGCACCGGCGGCAGCGCCAAGGGCTCGAAGCGCTCGCGCGTGCACTTCTCCTGCACCGAGTGCCACCGCCGCAAGCAGAAGTGCGACCGCAAGGTGAGTCTGCTGAAGCGTGTCCCGCATGGCCGGTGCTGACCGCGTCACAGACGCCATGCAACCACTGCGTGGCGCGCAAGGTGCCGGACCGCTGCAAGATGTTTCAGCCGGGCGAGGACGCCGACGACGTGGCGAACCGGCTGCAGCGCCTCGAGCGCGACGTGCAGGACGGCTTCGGCCGGCTGGCGCAGATGCTCGAGCTCGTGCAGCAGGGCCAGGGCTACGTGCAGCAGCCGGCAGTGCAGCAGCAGCAGGCGCAGCAGGCCGTGCCGCAATACGTGGCTGCGCAGTATCTGCAGCAGCAGCAGAGCCTGCTGCCGCCGCCGGCCCACGTGCCCGCCGCACGCTACGCGGCCATCCAGACGCAGCCGGGCCCGTCGAGCGATGTGGCCGGCGACGAGACGAACGACGGCGGTCGACTGAGCCCCAAGACGGGCACCTTCGCCGCCAACGGCTCGATGCGCATCGACACGATCATCGACAACGTGAGTGTGCGCGCCGCGATGGCCTCATCGTCGCAGCTCACATCCCGATGCAGCTCTCTGGACAGACCATTGGCGCGTACAAGGACCCGTACCGCTCCCTAGACGGCCAGATCTTCTCTGGTGTCACCGTCGACGAGGCGATGAGCGACATGGGCGCGATGCTCAGCGTCTCCTACTCGCTCTGCGCTGCGCTACCGCCGCGCCATCTGGCCGAGGCGCTGCTGGACCACTGGTACGAGGACCTCAATTGGCTGCGTCTGCCCATCGCCCAGGCTTCGACGCGCCGCGAGTTCGACGAGCTCTGGGCCAGCGGGCCGACGTTGACGCCGGCCAACATCAGCACGTACGCCGTGCTCGTGCTCTTGCTGGCCCTCGCAACGCTCAGCTTCCCGCGCTCCGAGCTGTTCCCCGAGGACCCGCGCAACGTGCGTCTCTCGGCGCGGCGCCTGCACTTTGCCGGCCGGCGTGCGCTGCTCGTCTCGTCGATGCTGCCGCCTGCGCAGAATCTCAACCACGTCCTTGCGTGGACGCTAGCGGGCCGCTTCTGTCTCGTCGACGGCCGCATTGCCGAGTCCTGGACGGCAGCCGTCAATGCCGTCTCGGCCTCGTGGGCGCTCGGACTGCACCGCGACGGCTCGCAGCACGGCCTGTCGCCCGAGGTCTCCGAGGCTCGCCGTCTCGTGTGGGGTGGCACCGTCTGGCTCGAGCGCGTGCTGGCCATGAACCTGGGCCGCCCCACGATGATCGACGACAGCGTCTGCGATGCCAAGGCGCCGTCGGTGGAGCAGGTGTCGGAAGACCTATACCCGCGCTCCATGGCGCCGTCCGTCATTGGCTACCCGCAGGTGCCGCCGGGCGTCAAGACGCCGACTATTCTGGACTACAGCATCTACCGCCACGAGTTGAACCGCATCGTCGGACGCGTCATCAACGTGTCAGTAACCGCGCGGTGGCCCTCCATGCCTCACGCTGACTTCTCCACTCACAGCTATCAGTACATCCCGACGAAGCACTACAGCGACGTGCTCGCCATCGAGGCCGAGCTCGAGGCCTTCACGCGCAGCCTGCCGTACTACTTCCAGAGCCCGCTGGACGAGGCCGCCAACATCTTCGGCGAGCGCAAGGCGGATGCCTCATGGCCGCTCTGGCTCTTCACGCATCTGTTCATGATCCACTCCGACGTGGCCTTCGTGCGCGGCGCGCTCCACCGGCCGTACCTGATTCGCTCGGGCGCAGGCAAGTCGGGCGCGCGCTTCATGCCCAGCCGGCGCGCCGCCATCCGCACCGCCTTCGAGCACATCGCGCTGCGGCGCGACTTCCGTGAGACCATTCGGTCGCGCTTCAGCGAGAAGTCGCTCGAGCGCTTCCGCACGCAGCTCTCGTCGCAGAAGTACTTCTCGTCGTGCCTCACGCTCGGCATCGCGTGTCTGATGGAGCCCTTCGCGGACGAGGCGCTGGCCTGGCGCGCCCACCTCGAGGACTACGTGCAGACGCAGCGCGAGAGCCGTGACGGCCTGCGCGACCGCGAGATGCACATCATCGAGCTCTTCATTGCGCGCTTCGACGACGTGCGCTCGGGCAAGCACCAGAGCCGCGCCAAGCGTGCGCGCGAGGACGGCGCCGGCGACGCCGAGCAGGGCGCCGGCAAGGTGCCGCGCCGCCACACCGACGAGGAGGGCGATGCTCACGCCACCGCTGGCCTGCTCCTTGGCCTTGGACGCGGCGCAGACGGCTCGACACAGCCCGCTGCGGGACAGCAGCCGGCATACAACGAGATGCTCTCGAGCCTGGCTGCCTCCGGCTCGCCCGCCACGACGGCGACGCCCGGCACTGCGACACGCGCCGAGGAGGCCGAGTCGGCGCAGGCGCTGCTGGAGAACTGGTGGCGCGCCGAGTTCGAGAAGGGCGGCAGTGTGCTCCACGACGAAGTCAACGGCGACGGCCTGGCCGGCTTCGATCGGCACATCTCGACGGCCGCGCCGCCTCTCAACGTCTTCCAGCAGCAGCAGCAATTGCAGCTCCAGCAACAGCAGCTGCAGCAGCAGGCCGCGGCGCTCCAAAATGCAGAGGCTGCGCGTGCAGCCGGGGTCGAGCAGACCGCGCCGCTTCGCGCTGCGCCGCCAGCGCCACAGGTGGTCAACGGCGTGCAGCTCAGCACGCTGCCTGCGCCCGCCTGGGGCTCGCAGCCGGGCGGCATCGAGGCTGGCGCAGCGGCGCCCTCGTTCGACCAGTCGTTCTGGAACATCTTCATGGACAAGATCAAGCCCGCCGCGGGCTGATGCTGCTGCCGTCCGTCCGCTCCGTCGCGCCTCGCTCCCTGTACCACCTCTTCTGTATCAGTCACTCCCGCGCAACCTGGCATATCGCATCCCGTCTCATTTCGCCAGCTCGCCCTGCTAGTTCTGCAGGTCAGGCTGCGGCTTGCCCGCATGCCAGCGGAACTTGGAGCCGTAGTGGTCGGCGGGCAGCCGGCGCTCGCCGGCGCCGTACAGCTTCTCGCGCAGCGTCAGGCCGAGCTGCTCCTCCTCGCCGAAGCCCTTGGGGCCCGTCGTGTGCTTGGCCGAGGGCCAGTTGGTGGGCGCGGCGCCCTGCTGCGGGTAGTCGCCCCAGACGTGGCCGCGCTTCTGCAGCTCGGGCACCAGCAGCTCGATCACATCCACAAATGTGCCGGGCGACGTGGCGCTGATGAGGCTGTCAGCGGTGTCTCTCGCCTTGCCCTTCCAGGCCACTCACTAGGCAAAGTTGAAGCCATCGACGCCCGCCTCGTTCACCCAGGCCTCCAGCTTGTCTGCCACCGTCTGCGCGCTGCCGACAATGTTGGGGCCCAGACCGCCAATCTTGAGCTGCTTCGCGACCTCGCTCTTCGTCCACTTGCCAACCGTCGGGTCCGCGCGCGCAAAGCCCTCGACGGCAGACTTGATTGCATTGCCCTCGGGCAGGTTGCGCAGCTCCTCGTCGGGTGCGTAGCCGCTCAGGTCAATGCCGGTCCAGCCTCCGAAGAGCGCCAGCGCGCCCTCCTCGGACATCGTGGACAGGTACTCCTTGTGCTTGGCCTCCGCCTCCTCGTCCGTCTTGGCGACCTGTGTGCCTCCACTTCAGTCGCGGCACTCGTCTACGCCCGCAACTCGCACTCACGATCGGCAGCAGGAGCGCCAGCACGCGCAGGTTGGCCGGGTCACGGCCCGCCTCGGCCGCCGCCTTGCGCGCGCCGTCCACGCGCGACTTGGCCACCTGCGGTGCGTGTGCGGCAATGAAGATGACCTCGGCGTGCTTGCCAGCAAAGGCAAGGCCTGGACCAGACGAGCCCTGGGAGAGACGAAGCGTCAGCATGAGAAGACTGAGGCCTCAAGAAGCGCACTCACAGCCTGGAAGATGACGGGCGTGCGCTGCAGGCTCGGCTCGCAGATGTGCGGCCCGGGCACCTCGTAGTACTGCAAGTCAGGCGGAGGCGTCAGCACTGCGTACGCTGTCAGTCTGCCAGCCACGTACCTCGCCCTTGTGGTTGATCTCCTTGACGCGCTCAGGGTCGGTGTAGAGCGGCTTGGAGATGTCGTGCTTGACAGCGTCGTCCGCCCAGGAGCTTTCCCACAGCTTGTACACGACGTCCATGTACTCGTGCGCGATTTCGCTTGACAAGAGATCAGCTCGCGCGCAAGACAAGTTTGGCAGACAAACACGACTCACTAGCGCTTAGCGTGCTTCTCCTGGTTCTTTGCGCCGAACTGGCGCGCGGCCGAGTCGAGATAGCCCGTGACGACGTTCCAGCCGACACGGCCGTTCGTCAGGTGGTCGAGCGTGGAGAAGCGGCGGGCCAGCGCGTACGGGTGCTCATACGACGTCGTGGCCGTGATGCCGAAGGAAAGGTGCTTGGTGACTGCCGCCATGGCCGAGATCGTCATCAGAGGGTCGATCACTCTGAGCGCAGAGGTCAGTACTGGGCGCTCGAGGCTGGCTCAACCGCACGCACGGGAACTGCGAGCCGGTGGCCAGAGCGGGCGCCAGGCTCTTCGTGTACACGTCGTAGCCGCCCCACACCTGTGCAGGAGGGTCAGCGAGCTGCCGGCAGGAGCGCACGCAGAGCTGCACGCACGTCGGCGAGGAAGATGCCGTCAAACTTGCCGGCCTCCAGCAGCTTGGCGGTGTCGGTCCAGTACGAGAGCTTGTTGTGGAAGATGCTCTTGTCCGCCGGATGCGCGTAGCAGCCGGGCGTCTGGTGGCCCGAGCAGCCCATCGAGAAGGCATAGCTGCAGTGCGAGCGGTCAGTGAGCCCGCCAGCTGCCTCTCAGACACAGACACGCACAGGATCCAGCGCTTCTGCTGGCGGTCAGTCGAGGTCATGGCGGGCAAGGGCTGGGCAGGGAGGCGAGAGCTGCGGCGCCGTGATGGTGGTCGGGACGAGAGACAGAGGCACTTGAGACCTGTGCGCAATCAGCTGTAGGAAGGAGATGAACATCGGCGCACGGACACGGCAGCGGCATCGGTCATGCGAGCGGAACGCCTGCCCGAGAGAAGAAGCGGACCTGCTGCTGGCAGCCGGCCAGCGAGAGCAACAGCATGGCGCAGTCGGGCGCCGCACCACAGCAGATGTACGGCCAACAACACAACCACAAGTCCGGCGCGCCTGCCTGCTGCACCTGCTCAGTGGTGCGAGTCGCGAGTGCATCGCAGTTCTTAGTGCGCCGGACGAAGTGGAGCAGCACGGACGCAGCGTGAGAGCCTGCGCTGCCGCCGCCGTGCAGGCTCGCTCACGGCCGGCCAGCAGCAGTAATAAAGCGCCCGGACTAGTCGGATTGAGTGCTAGCGCAGCAGGGGCAGCGCCGGCGGCATCGTTGCCCATGTGAGGCGCAGGTGGTGGTGGTGTGCGGCGGCACGCACCATGTGCCGGCACGACGGCGTGATCGCGGCGCACGCCATCGTTGCGTGTCACGTGGCGCTCCCCTGGCACTGCTCCCACGCTACTCATCCGCACTGCCTCCGCCGCCGCGCTACCTACACCACCCACAAGCTGTGCACAGCATCGCATTGATATGGTTACACTGCGCAGCGCACTGCACCCTCTACAGCTACCCTCCCACATCTACAGCTCCTCGTGCTTCGGCGGCGCGTCCGATGCCGCCGGCGAGGCCGTGGCGCTCTCGCTCGTCGCCGAGCTGCTCGATTTTGCCTCCTTGCTCTTCTTCGGCGGCCGCGTCTTGGGGATGCGGCGCGACGCGAGGCGCTTGACCGTGTCGCGCAGCTTCTTGACGCGCTTGTCCAGCTCGTCGACCTTGAACACCGGGTCCTCGTCGGCCTTCTTGCGCGCCTGCTTCGCCTCGCCCTCGCGGTACCACTTGTCGTCGCGCTCCACGTTGCCGTTGAGCGTGTCGAGCTCGGCCGTGCTGTACTTGCTTCCCGTGCCGGCGGCCAGCGCCTCGGAGAGGTTGGCGCGCGCCTGCACGACGAATGCGCGCGTCTCCTCCAGTGCCTTGGTGAAGCGGCGCACTGCTGCACCCCGGCCGCTCTGCTCGGCCATGCGCTTCTCGACGGGCGACACGAGCGCCTGCAGGCTGGCCAGCTTCGACTTCAGCTTGTCCGTCGGCGCCAGCTCGGCCTCGCGCTCGTTGAGCCACTCGCTGAGCTCCTCGGCCTTGGCGGCAATGTCGTCGCGCTCCTTGCGCTTGCTCGCGGCGCCGAAGTTCTCATCGTGCACAATGTCGCGCGCGCGGTAGATGTAGGCCTCGAGCACGTTGCGCGCCTCCTCCTTGGCCGCACGCCGGCGCATCTCGACGTTGGCGACGTACAGGCGGTCCTTGGCCGTCTTCAGCTCCGAGCCCGACATCGGCCGGTTGCTGCCCACCGACACGGCGCGGCCGACAATGCGGATGGAGCGGTCCGTCGGCGTCGGCTTCTTGGCCTTCTTGGGCTTCGCGGCGGCCGTCGCGTTCTTGTCGTCCGTGGCGTTCACCACGACGGTGGGCTCGCTGGCGTTGGCGGCCTCGCTCTCCGTCGCGTCGGGAATCACCTCCACTGCATCGTCATCCTCATCGTCGTCAACGCGCTGGGCGCCGACGTTGAAGAAGGAGCGCAGAGCACCAGCGATGCTCGTCGGCTTCTGCTTGACGTTGAGCCAGGCGCTCTCGACGCTGTAGATGCCCAGCGGCTGCGTAACGAGCGTTACGTTGAGGTCGATGTCGACCTGCTCGATCTCGCCGCGCTCCTTGAGGCCAGCGAGGTGGTTGTGGATCTCCACAAGCTCGATGCGGTACAGCTCCGGCGCGAACGTGTCGAGCTTCGACTTGGACGAGGGCGCGTAGGCGACCTCGAAGGAGAAGTCCTCGTGCACGTCCTTGTACTTGCGCTCGTGGCGCTCCTGTAGGAAGGGGCCCTGCGGGAAGATGACCTCGTCCTTGCCGCCCTTCTCGCGCAGCACGACCGGGTACGCGTTGCCGTCGTGGGCGCGGATAGACTTCATGCGGAACTGCGGGTTGAACTCGGCGCCGTAGAAGGCCGCACCCATCACGGCCGCCTCGTCGGCATTGACGTTCTGCGCAACCTTCGAGTCCGGCACGCCTGCAGCGCGCAGCGCAGCCTGCACGAGCGGCACGCGCGACATGCCACCAACGAGCACGACGGACGTCAGGTCGCCAATCTTCATCTTGGCGTTGCGCAGCGCCTCGGCCACTGGCTCGCCGAACGCGGACGTGAGGCCGGCCTTCTCGACGAGCGCCTCGAAGTCCTCACGCGAGAGCCGCGAGCGGAAGTCGATGTCGTCTGCCAGGCCCTCGATGTTGACGCTGGCCTCGGCGTTTGCGCTGAGGATGTGCTTGACGCGGTTGGCCTCCTTGAGCAGGCGCGCCATGGCACGCGGCTGCTCGCGCACTGGCTTCGAGAGCTTGGCGGCGTGGCCCTCCGTGAACTTGTCGGCCAGGACGTCGCGGATGAGTAGGTCCAGTGCCAGGCCGCTGGCCTCGCGGTTCCAGCCCGCGCTGAGCACGTCCACCACAACTGCCTCCTTCTGCATCGAGCCGATGGAGATGACGCTCTCTGCCTGCACGGTCTTGGTGCTGAACTCGACGATGGTTGCGCGCGTGGAGCCCGCGCCGGCGTCGTAGAAGAGATGGCGCTCCGGCGTGGCGAACGTTCTTGACTGTGCATAGTTGACGCCGACTGCACGGAGCTCTCGTCTCAGTTCTGTGCTTCTACGCGCCCGCAGCTTGTTCGCTCCTTTTCGCACTCACCTGCTGCGCCATCGCTCACGAGCCTTGGCTTAAAGCCAGCAATCTCTGCCGCATCCATCATCGACTGGCGCTCAGCGGCAGTCCAGAAGACGGGCACCGTGATGACCACGTCGAGGCCGCCGAAGTTGCCAACGCTGCCCGGGTAGCTGCGGCGGAACTCCTCGCCGGCCGTCTCCTCTGCCAGCGTGCGGGCGTGGCTGAGCTGCGCGCCGACGAGCTCCTCGACGGTGTACGTGTCTGCGCCCGACTTGTCGGTCGTGTAGTCGGTGGCGCGGCGAGCCTCACAAGTGCCGCGCTGCGAGGCGAAGAGCTCGGTGTTGAGCAGGCCTGCGACGCGCTCGCGCGCCGGCGCGTTGGCATCGTCGAAGCTGCGGCCCATGAGCAGCTTGGCGGCGACGAACGTGTCGCCGGGAAAGCGCGTGGCCAGGCTCGTGGCGTCGGAGCCGTGCAGGCGCTCCTGCATCTTCCACGCCACGGCCGACGGCACCTTGCGCTTCGAGTCGCGCGAGAGGACGACGTCGAAGGGCATGCCCGGCTTGACGAGCGAGATCTTCGTCGACTCGGTGCCGTAGTCGATGCCGACGACGCCCATCGCGGCCGCCGTGTGCACGGCAGCGAGTGCGAGGAGTGCGACGAGTAGCATCGCCAGGCCGCCCGACGGCCCGCGCCGACGAGGGCGAGACGCGCCCGCGACGCGCTGCATGGCGGGGCGGAGAGGCAGGGCCAATGCGCGGTGGTGCGAGATGCGATGCGAGAGAGATGAGCGAGCGTCCGTGGTGCGTGGCAGGTGTGCAGGCGGTGGCTGATGGTGCAGAGGGGTGTGGTGGGGCGGCGAGAAGAACACGTGTCGGTGTGTGCTGCCAGGAGGCTCGCCAGCGCGCTACATACGTGGCATGGCTTGGGCGCAGCAGCAGCGCCATCGGCCGACGAGCGCCGCGCCGCCGCGTGGGAACAACTCAACGCGTCCAAGGCGCCGGCCAACACGCACGCGCAACGCGCCGGCGAGAAGCACCGCGGCAGCTCAGCCTCGCACCACCAGCACCCGCTCCACCGGCACCATCACCTCGCTCTGCGCCTCTCCACCCACACTCATGCGCACACGCGCGCCGCATCTAGCCGTCTAGAACCTCCCGCCTCGTCTCTCGCCGTGGTGCTGGCCGCGCTACTCTACGCCTGTGCCCCTGGCGGCGAGCGGCGCAGCCTGCGGTAGTGAGCGCCGATGGAGCCGTCTTACGGCGCCAGTGGCTCGCGTCGCAGCCGCGGCGACGCCAGTCCAAGCCCGAGCTTCCGTGCCGCAGCCACGGCAGCCGGCAGCAGCAGCGGCGGTGGCGGCGGCGGCGGCGGCGGCGGCGGCGGCAGCAGCAGCAGCGGCTCGTCATTGCTGCCGCCGCAGCGCCGCCGCTTCTTTCCGACGCCGTTCCGGATCGATGGTGCCACGCCAGCACCCGGCGCAGTGAGTGGCAGTAGAGGCAGGCCAGATACAGGTGCTTCTGGCAGGCACGCGCCTCGCCAGAGCTACGAGCCCTGGCTTCTGTTGCCTCGTCCCGCTGCACACACCACTGACACGTCTGCTGCGTAGTCACCATACGAGCCGACCCCTCAGCCAGAGCCGAGACGGCGGCTGCTCTTCACGTCGGAGCTCGGCCCGCCGCCTGCGGTGAACCCAGACGGCACGCCGAATGTGGAGCACCTGCGCTATGCCTCCACGCTGCGCCTCAAGGCGCGCTGGGACGACATCTTTGAGCGCTTCCGCGATGCGCACCTCATCGACCAGGACGAGATCGACCTCGGCCGCCCGGGACCTGAGGACAAGGGTCCGCGCCTGGTGCGCGACCGAGGTCTGCTGCGCGCCCTGCCCCAGAAGCGCCTCGACTTTGGCTGCTTCATCAAGGAGGAGGACCTCGTCTTCGAGGGCGAGACGCTGGGCGACCCCTCGGCCCTCGCGATGGGCGCTGAGGAAGCTGAGGCGGCACGTTCGGATGAGGAGGAGAGCGATGATGAGGAAGGCGGTGGTCGGGCCGTCGACAAGCAGCTGCTGTCTCAGTACCCCGAGTTCCAGCGCGGTCCCTCGGCGCCGTGGCAGAGCGTGCCGCTGTACGAGCCAGCGCAGCTCGGCAACAACGACGACGACCTGCGCGACTTTCTCGACGCCGAGGCGCGGCGCCGCACCCTCCGCGGCGACGACTCGGCAGATGAGGGAGACGTTGTCGACTTCGACGATCCGCAGTGGCAGCGCGATGGCGCCCCGCCGCGACGTCCGCGCGCGGGGTCGCAAGATGGCGACGCAGCAGAGGGCGCCCTCGGCTACTCTTCGTCCGAGGAGATGTGCGAGGTCATCATGACGCCGGCCGAGCTCGACGAGTTCTACCGCGAGGAACTGATCGCGCGGCGAGAGAACGTCGAGGATGACTTCTTCCTCACGCGCATCAACACCATCCTGCCGTACGACGACGTGCCCGGCCTGGCCGAGCTGCTCGACCTGCCGCCACCGCGCCGCAAGCGCGGCCGGCCGCGCAAGCACGCGCTGCTGCCCGACGACTTCAGCTCAGCGGCCAAGCGCGGCAAGAAGTCGGTGTGCGGCGGGCCCGTCATGATCCGCGTGGACTCGCTCACCGGCCTGCCCACGCCGCCGCGCTCTGGCCCGGAGGAGTCTTGCGGCGACACGAGCACGTCGCCCGCGCACCCTGCTGTCGCCGCCGACACGAGTGGTAGCGTGAGTGTCAGCGGACAGGAACAGCCCGCGCCTGTCCTGCAGCCGAAGGCGCGGCCGCGCAAGTCCGTCGCCAAGCCGAGAGTGGCGGGCCCGGACGACACGCTCGACGAGGGGGCCGTGGCAGATCTGGACTTGCAGCGCGAGCTCCTGGGCGCCTCGCCGCGTAAAGCTCCCAAAGCAAAGCGTGTTCGCAAGCCCGGCAGTTCGTCGAAGCGCAAGGCAACGGGCGCAGCACAAGAGGGCGCAGGCGGCGAAGGCGACGCCGCCGCCTCTACATCGCTCGACGGCGCCGAGCCGGCAGCGCTGCGGCCGAAGAAGCGCTCACGTCCGCGGCGCTCTGATGCAGAGTTCGACCCCAATGCGCCGCCCAAGCGCCGTCCGGGCCGGCCGAAGGGCAGCAAGGACAAGAAGCCGCGACGCCTGGCACCACCGCGCCCTAAAAAGCGCGCTGAAGGCGAGACGGCACCGCCAGCAGGCGAAGAGGCTCCAGCAACAGGCGATGCGGCTCCATCAGCAGGCGATGCGGCACCAGCCGCAGACGAGACAGCTCCACCAGCGGGCGAGGACGCGGCTCCCCCAGCACGCAAGAAGAAGGGCGCCGTCAAGGCCGCGAAGCTCTCCTCTCGCAAGTCTGCCACTCCTGCTGTTGATGCTGCCTCGAGTGCGCCCGCAGCGCCCACTACGACGCCACGCAACGCTAGCCCATGCGGCGGCGAAGGAGGATGCAATAAGACCTTCTGCCTCAAGTGCGGCAACACCTTTTCGTCGCCCCTCGCCGCCATGCCATGAGGCGCGCCCGCCTCGCGTCTCTCTTCACGACCCACTCACGACCACCTCTGCCACTCTGTATAGCACCTCTCTCGCCCACTCGATACTCTTGGCCCATGCGGCCGCAGGCTCTGCCGCCTTCACGTCATCTCCAGATACACCAATGCATGATTAGCTGTGACTTGGAGGGGTGGGGGTGACTCGTGCCGGGAAAGGTGACGGGATGGCCGGCGTGACGTGGGCGCATGAGGATGAGTAGCGCGATGGGCGGGTCAGAGCTTGGTGAGGTGTTGCAGTGCGAGATGCGCAGCGGCTTCCTTGGCGTTCTGGTGCGCGGCACGTCATCAGATGAGCTGCGCATCCGACCGCGGGCAGAGGAGACCAGACGCACCTGCTTGCGCAGAAGTCCCTCGCGTCCTTCGAAGCGCTGGCCGGCAACCTCGCACGCGGCATAGTGGAAGAGCCTGTGCAGAGCGAATGATGAGCGCTCGGCGTTTTGCTTGCGCAGCTGCGTTGCGCACCCATTGGGACCAGGCCTGTGCTCGAGAGGCAGTCAGCAGCTGGACACGCACACACGGTGAGCGTCACAACACTCACGAGAGCTGCTTCGACGTGGCGGAGTAGACTGGCTGCGCCACGCGCCGCTTCTGTGCGTACTCGTTGAGCATGCTGACGGACGAGCGACCTGGCGGCGTGCCGCCCGCCGCGAGCACGGCTGCCGAAGCAAAGGCGCTGACGGCCGGCAGCGGCGGCGTGCGCGCTGCGGCGGCCGGGCTTGCGCGCGCCGAGGCAGACAGGCTGGGCACGACGGGCAGCGCAGTGGTTGAGACGGCAGGCGACGGCATGAAGGGCTCGCCGAACTGCACGGGGCTCGCCGTCGACGCCGGCGAGCCGTCGAGCTCGGGCACAAAGTCGCGCAGCGGGCGCGCACCCAGCTCGGCCAGCGCCGCGTCGAGCGCGGCCAGGGCGACCCTCGTCTCGGCTGCCGCGGCGGTAGCGCCGGGCTGCGAGGTATTCATCGCGGTGGAGTGGAAGCGCCAGTTGCGAGGTGTGATGGGGGCTGAAGGAAGACAAGCGGCCGCCGCTCAGTCTGCCTTTGTCCGAGGCGGCAGGCCAAGGGGCGCGCCCGTGCACGGACCGCACCGCCGCCGCCTTGCCTTCCTTCCTCCAAGGGCGCCTTGCCGCAGCAGCTCGCAGCCCATGACAAACGCTCGGCTGAACCGACCTGCTCCTAGCGGCCGTCGTGCTGCAACGGCCCTGCGGCTGGCGTCATGGCACAGGCTGACTCGGCCGTTGGCGGTGCGCCGAGCGGTCGCCGCGCACGCGCGCCGCCTGGAAGAAGTGAGGAGCGCCGCACCTCGGCGTTCTGCGCTTCAGCAGCCAGGTGATATGGCTCGCAGCCGTCTGCTGTGCATCCTCGTGGTCGCTTTGCAGCTTCTGATGCGCAAAGCTTAGGCACCTCCAGCGAACTGAGGAGGGTTGGAGGTGTCGCGTGACTGGAGGCGACTCCTCCGCCCGCACTGGCGATCCAGGGCCGCCGATCCCGAGCCTCGCACCCGAGAGATTCGAGTGGCGCTCCGAGTCGGCGTCTGGCCTGAAGTGTGGTCTCGTCAGACCTGCCTCCAGCTCCGAGGGTGCGGGCCAACATGCAGCGCCCTGAGACTCTGGCAGCCTCTGCCTGCGAATCTGAATATCGAGGCTCAAGGCTCAGCAGAGCCGCGGCCGCACCGAGGAGGACGTGTGGCTGCCGCGCGGGCCGCGGGGGCGTCTCTCGTGAGAGCGCCGGGCCGCATACCGCTCTCGAAGCAGCTCTGCTGCGCTGCTGAGGCGAAGCATCGTGCATGGATGCGGCTGCGAGAGCGGCGTCGCAGCGGAGACGTCGCACGGCGGCGTCGGCGAGGCTGCTGGGCCGCCCACCGCCAAGCTGCGGTGCGCTGCAGCTGCGCCAGCACCGGCGCAGCGGCGGCGGCGAGAGAGCCACACGGCGAGGCGGCCATGCGGGCGCACCGCAGCAGCGGGCACGCCGCCGCGGCGCCGGCTCAGCGCTCCCGCCGGGCGGCGGCGCAAGTGCCGCCTCGCCTCCTCTCGGGCGTCAGGGCTCGCTCGCCGTGTGCTGCTGCTGCTGCTGCTGGCGCTGCTCTCCTCTGCTGCCGCTGCCGCACCCTCGCTGCTGTGCTGCCTGCCGCCGAGCCTCGCCCGCTCCCCGTCCCAGTCCCTCGCTCCACGCTCACACTCGACTCACACACAAGCACGCCGCCATCCCGCGCTGCCTCTGCACCACACTCACCCTCGCCATCGGCAGCTGGCCGTCTGCGCACGCTTGACGTTCGTTCCATCGAGACGCTCGCAGCGCTGCCCTGCGCCGCCGTCGCGCGCCGCCTGTGCCGCCTGCTCCTCCATCCGCATCGCACCCACGCTCTTTCACCGTCCACTCTCACTCGCAGCGACACCGCCAGCACCGCCGCCGCTGCCTTGCGCCCGGCGCACAGCCGTCCGTGCCTGGCCTGTGGTGCTGAGCTGGGCCCAACGTCGCACGCCGGCCCGAGTGCTGCTGCCGAGCGGCTGCGTGCCGCAGCTGCTGCTCGTTGCCGCTGCCGCCGCCGCTGCTGCTGCCACCGCCTCGCCTGCCCGCCATGGAGATGCTCAACATCACCGACTCCGAGTTCGAGCGCGAGGTCGAGGCGCTCAAGTCGCACCGCCGCATCAGCGTCAATCGCCCGCTGATGGACCCGGACCTGCCGGACCTCGCGGCCGCGCACGGCGGCGGCCGCGAGATCATGGGCTCCGAGGCGGCGGGCACGCCGGGCGGCGCAGGCGCAGAGCGCGGCGGCATCGACCTCACCGACGAGGGCCCGCTGCTGGCCTCGTCGCCGTCGGGCCGTGCCGCTCGCAGCACGGGCGCCCGGCAGGCCTTCACGGCGCGCCGCAGGGGTGCCGGTGCGGCCAGCGCGAGCGGCGGCGCTGATGACGGCGCCTCATCGAGCGAGTCGTCGGGCAGCCGCGCCACACGCAGCACCGGCGCGCCGGTGCATGATGAGGACACGCCGCTCTCGCGCCCGACGGACCCGGCGCACCTCTTCTGGGTGCCGGCGTCGATGCACCCCGAGATCTCGCCGTCCGACTTCCGCAAGTTCCTGCAGGAGCATGCCAGCCGCGCCGCCAAGGACCACACGCCGCCCGAGTCCGGCAGCGGCTCGCCGGTGATCCCGACGGCTGCTACCTTCGCCGGCGCTGCGAGCGGCCCGCAGTCGAGCTATCCCTTCGCCGCGCGCTCGGGCGCCGCGGGGCCGACGCCGCCGCAGTCGCCCATCGACCTCGTGAGCCGCAGCACATCCATTGCGCGGCGCGGCAGCACGCTGCGTCGCCAGTACCGGCCCGAGAACGATAATGACGACTCAGACGGCGGCCGCGCAGGCGCCTCGTCGGCATCTGTTGTGCGCGGCGGAAGCGCGCGCCGAGGCGGGCCGCCTCCGCTGTCGCTCGAGGACTTGCACAAGCTGGAGCAGCTGGCGGAGGAGGCCAGCAAGAGCCAGGACCCAACACAGCTGCGCAGTGTTCTGCGTCGCACTTTGAGCCTGAGTACGACGCCGTCAGGTGAGTGGACAGGGCGACACTGTGCTGCAGGACCTGAGACTCACTGCGTTCCTCTTGCAGCGCTCGACCAGGTCGATGCTGTGCCCGCTGCCGAGGCAGAAGACGCACCGCTCATCGTGCCGCGACCCGGTCAGATCCTGCGGCGCGCTGCGCGGACGAAGATCCGCAAGGCGTCGCTGTCGGGCGAGAACGGCGGCGTGCGGCCACCGGGCCGGAGACGAGGCGCCGGCAGCACGGGGCCAGAGGAGATCGCCGCCGCTGCGGCTGGGGCACAGCAGCAGCCACTCACGGACATGGCAGCCGTCGCACGGGCATTGATGGAGCGCCGCTCGAGCAAAGAGTCGGAGCAGTCCTCGGGCGACGACGACGGCACCAGCGGCAGCTCTTCAAGGCCCATCTCGGACGAGGCGACTGAGTCCATCGTCGACGCCTACTCGCGCGACTCGTTCATCTCCGAGGCGAGCCAGCGCACGAGCGTCACGAGCCTCGCCGACAGCCTGCAAGACGGCAGTGGCAGCGGTAGCGGCAGCGGCGACAGTGCCACCAGCCCGCACACTGCCAAGCGCGTCGAGGGCCGCACTGACAGCCGCAGCCCGTCGCCGCCCGTCACGCCGACGCAGGCGTCGCTGAAGAGCAGCCGCTCGGGCACCGACTACTTCGACGAGCAGCGTGAGGCAGCTCTGAAGCAGGCTCAGCTGCAGCAGCAAGAGCAGGCATCGCAGCGCGAGGCGCGACCCGCTCCGGCACTGCAGCCGCTCGACGAATCGCTGCGTCTCTCGCTGAGCGGCGCGCCTGTCACCGAGTCACCGGCGCACTCGCCGGACGACGAGCCGTCGCCGTCGGAGCGCGAGCGCGCCTACCCTGCCATCCGCCCAGTCGCAGTCTCGCACGTGCCTCCTGTGCCTTCCTTTGAGAAGGCGCGGACTGCGCCTCAGCCGCCACCGGCCGCGGCACCAGCTCTCCCGGCGCCCGTGTACGCGCCGCCGGCGCAGCAGAGCACGAAGCGCGAGCAGCCGCTGCAGCAGCCGCCGGCCGCCGTCAAGCCGACTGCCTCGCGCGAAAGTCTGCCACAGGCGGCCTCGCGTCCTGGCAAGGAGAAGAAGAGCGGCTTTGCCTCCTGGTTTGGCATCGGCAAGGAGGATGACGAGGCGGAGAAGCAGGCCAAGGCGCGCAAGCGCGAGCGCAAGGAGCGCGAGGCTATGGAGCAGGAGCAGCGCGAGCAGCGGGAGCGCGAGAAGGAGAAGGAGCGCGAGAAGGAGCGCGAGCGGGAAAAGGAGAAGGACTCGTCGAGCTTCCTTGGCGCGCTCTTTGGCAGCAAGAAGAAGGGCGGCGACGATGCGGCGCTGAACCAGCAGCAGATGGGCATGCGCCCCGCCGACAGCCACATCACTGCCGGCAGCCTGCTTGACCGCAGCAGCGGCGGCCGCGGCCCGAATGCCAACTACTACCGCTACCCGATCCACATCGAGCGCGCCGTGTATCGCCTCAGCCACATCAAGCTGGCAAACCCGCGCCGCCCGCTGTACGAGCAGGTGCTCATCTCCAACCTCATGTGAGTGTATGCGTCAAGTCTAGATGCTGGCGCCTCCTGATGCTGTCTGCGCTCCGCAGGTTCTGGTACCTTTCCATCATCAACCGCTCGCAGCAGCAGCAACAGCAGCAGCTTCTGCAGCAGCAGCAACAGCAACAGCAGCAGCAACAGCAGCTGCTCTTGCAACAGCAGCAGCAGGCTCAGCAGGCGCAGCCGCAGCAGCCGCAGCAGAACGCTGCGCCATCGCTGCAGATGCTGCAGCCGTCGCCGCAGCTGATGCCTCAGGTGCCCCAGTCGCACGCCGGCGACGACCATGGCCGCCATGCTGGTGCCATGTCTGACTCGTCGGGACACGCGGAGGCGCCGACGCACGTGGAGCACGAGCGCCCGCAGTCGAAGACGAAGCGCGCGGGCCTGGTGAAGCCCAACCGCGCTCCGCCAGGAAGCCGCTCCGCCGAGATGGCCATTCCTGCCGCGGCGTACGGTGCCCAGCACCGCCAGATCAACAACGACTTGGCGATGCAGCAGCACCAGGCCAACCACCACAGCAGCTCCCCGCCGCCGGCCTCGCACGTGGCGCAGATGGCACCCGTCACGCCGCCGCCGACGTTTGCTGTGGGCCAGGTCGTCGACCCTCGTGCGCTTGGCGTGCACACCGGCTACCAAGGCCCGCAGTCGAGCGCGGGCGCCAACGGCAGGCTGCCGCCCGGGGCCATGTCGCCCTGCGGCTCGTCGCGGTCAACGTCGCCGGGCTACGATTCATCCGGCGTCTCGCCGGTCTCGGGCGGCCAGCGCTCGTACTCTCCCTCGGGTGCGCCAGCATCGCACGAGTCGCGCTCGACCAGCTCAGGCGCGTGGCTGGGCAGCAACAGCGCTGGCGGCGGCGCTGGCAGCGGCGGCCGCACTTCGCCTGGCGACGGACGCAGCTCGCGGCGGTCGCCCAGCGGCAGCCAGAGCGGCGCTGATGAGCACTCGTGGCTCGGAGCAAGCGGCACTCGCTCGGGCTCGCGCTCTCCGCACGGCGAGCGCAGCAGCGACCCCATGTCGCAGGCGTGGCGCGTCGAGGGTGAGCCGTGGCTTGGCAGCGAGGAGATGGGCGCCCGTCGTGCGACCCGCTCCAGCGACCCTACCGGCAACGATGGCTTCTACACCCCGAGCCCTGCTGCCAGCTACCGCCCAGACGCGGCACCGAACGGCTACGGCCACCGCCACGACTCGCGCAGTCTCGACGCGGGCGACGGACGCGAGCGCAAGGGCAGCGGCGACGAGGGCTCGCGGCCCTCTACTGCCGGCGAGACGAGTAGCTACACGACGTCGTCGCAAGAGCCTGCGTCTGCCGCGGCGCGGCCGCGCATCAAGACGGCGACGAGCCGCAGCGGATCGTCGGGGCCCGGCCACTCGCCGAGCGCGCCGGCTCGCACGTCCAGCCCGCCGGCCATCTCCCTTGCCGGCAGCAGTGCCATGCTTGAGGCTGCGCGCTCCAGCCAGTCGCGCCGCCGCTGAGCCGTTGCGATGCCCTGGGCTGCGCACAGCACAGCTGTGCTTCTTGACACACCTTTGTCCCATCATCCCTCATCCCATCTGCGACCATCTCCACTCCCATCCCTTCCTCGACCCCTCTGGCATCTCTCAGCTCATCAATCGGCACGTCTCTCTATCACCACCACAATGAACGCTTTGCTACTCAGGCGTCACCAGGTCTGCAGTGCATGAGGATGCATTTGCAAGCGCGCAGGATGTCAGCTGGCGCCGAGCGGATCGCTGCCTGGCAAAGACCCGCTCCGCAGGCTCGTAGTGGGCGCTGCACCGTGCTGCTCATGGCGTGGGCTCACGAATTGGCTCAGAGGGTCCAGCGGCGAGTGCACGACAGATACGCGCGTCGGCGGTGGCTGCGCTGGTGCGGTCGCCTGCCTCGGCGGCTGCGGTGCCGGTGCGCTGCGCTCTACGGGCGCCTCGGAGAACGTGTTGCAGCTCAGACCAGGACGGCTGAGGCGCCGCGAGTCGAATGTGGCGCTGCGAAGCGGCGGACTGAGCGGATCGCTGGGCGAGACCGAGCGCTGCGACGACGGCTGCAGGTTTGACGGACGTATTGGTGGAGCAGACGGGAGCTCAGCCACGTGTGCACTCGCAGACGAGGCAGGAAGCTGCGGAGGCATCGTGGAGTCTGGCGAGCGAGCAAAGGCGCGCGCATTGTGCGTCGTGCTCGTGACTGGCGAGGTCTTCGCTGAAGGCGCAGACGAAGAATCGACAGCTGCCGGTGCGCTGCCGCTGAGCTGCGTTCGTGGCGGCGGTGACGGCCGCGCATGTGAGAACGAGCCAGGCGATGCCTGAGCTAGGGGATCGGCAGCGGCCGGGCCACGAGCGACGCGAGGCTGATACGGCGGCTGAGCTTGCCGCGCGCCGCCATGTGCCGGCGCGGAGGCGGGCTGCACTGCTTCTGGCGACCGAGGCTGCACTTGAGCTGGGACAATTCTCGAAGCTGGAGGCGATGGGAGTGCCTGAGGAATCGCCTCGCGGAGCTGCGGCACGTGGACCGTGGCCGAGTCGAACTCGGGCGCGATGCCGAGGAGCACGTCCCGGGTGTGCTTGAGCGCCGTGAGGCTCATCAGCACGCCGACCTGTGCGCCGGTTAGCTGCTCTTCGGCCTGTGGAGCAGCGCCGCCGCTTGGTGTGCCCATCGTGACCCATTGCCGCTCAAAGACATCCACGCAGGCGGCGACGGCGGCACCCATCGCCGCATTGCTGGCCTTGAGCGCGGCCAGCTCGCGTGCAGGATCTTGGGGCGCCACTGACGGGCGAGCTACACCGTTGAGCGAGGCTGAGGCCCTCGGCACGCGCTCTAGCGCAGGCGGAAACCCATCGTTCGCCGTTGCAGAGCGGCCAGGCCCGGCGAAGCCGGCTGCAGCATACGCGCCGACTGTGCGCTGCACATTGCCCATGGCGTTGACGAGCGCGCGATTGACGCCGAAGGCATCGGCGCGAGAGTAGATGCCTCGCGCGAGGTCGGTGATGCCCTCGGGCAGGTACGACGACTGCGGCTCGCCCGCGATGTCCGGAGAACTGCTGCCAGGCGGTCCAAGACCTGCGGAAGCGAGTCCACTGCGCTGCCCAGATGGCCGTCCAGTCGCGATCGTACGAGGTGTCTGCTGGCGCTTTGGCCGGCTCGATGACGGCGCGTTTGAGGCGATGAGCGCTGGTGAGACTTTGACAGCAAGGCCCAGAATGGCCTCGTTCTCTTGAGCCAATCGAGCCGCGGCTCCTGTGGGCTCGTCGCGCAGTGCACAAGCTTGCTGCACGAGCAGAGCAGGCGCCAGGCCCTTTGTCGATTCTTCCTGCGCAGCCGGCTCCCGTGCCGCTTCGCAAGCCGACGGGAAGCGAAGTAGGTGAGAGAAGCAGCCCGCGTAGTCGGAGAGCAGGAGTGGCGCACGGATGCGCAGCAGCATCGCGACGCAGACGTAGGGCACTAGGTCGAGCTTGGCATCGGCGCCGAAGAGCGTGTCCCACATCACCAGCGAGTCCTCCAGAGGCAGCTACAGAGCAAGAGTCAGCCTGACAGCGCCTTCGGTGCGAGCAGAACGGACGCACCTCGCGTGTGAACAGCAACCGGATCCAGCGCAGGACGTACAGCTGCGGCTCGATGCCCAGCGCATCGAGGTGCGCCGCAAGGGTCGGGTCATGGGCGCGGAGGATGTCGCGCACCTGCGCACAGGCTGCCATGATTGGCGTCTGTGATGTCGGCGTTGGCGCTGTCGCACGCTGTTCGAGTTGTGTCAGGCACGTAGCGAGTGCGAACGCTCGTCCGACTCACATCTGACTCCTCCCGCCACTCGTACCACTTGCCTGCTCGCCGCATGACTGCGTCGAACAGCGCATACGCATCGTCCTCCACCGTGTCCTCGCCGAGCTCGTTCTCCAGGCCCGCCGGCATGCCTGCTCTGCTGCCGCCGACCGCGTCGCGATGCCGCACCAGCCAGCACAGCCCGGCAAGCTCGTGCATGCCCTGCCGGTAGCCGCTCGCAGCGCCTGGCCCCGAGGCACAGCAGTAGACGAAGAGCAGGCGCGCCAGGCCGGACTGGACGGCGGGCACACGGAAGAGCGGCTCGTCGGGGAAGGTGCGCGAGACATCCGCCTCGATCTGCGTCAGCGTCGAGAGCGAGGCAAAGTGCGTCTGCCAAGGGTTCTGCGTGTCGCTGTCAGCACACGCTTGCGACTGCGGTGCAGCCCATCGCTCACATCGTTGTCGAGCCCGAGCGGGTTGTTGCGCCCCAAGTCCACATCCCGCCTCACGCCGCCCTCCTCGTCCAGCTCTGGCGGCAGGCTGCCATCTGGAGCGCGCAGGGCATTCCGACGGCTGGCGCGATACTTCTGGCGCAGCGCTCGCCGTGCAGCTGGCCACTGGGCAAAGTCAAGCGGGAGCAGCTGCAGCCGCGTGGCCCACAGCAGGGAGCGCAGCGGCAGCGGGCGCAGTATCGGCGGCGACGGTAGGTCGAAGTGCGCCTGCAGCCGACTGTAAAGCTGCAATGATCAGCCGCTGACAGAGGCCGGCGTGACAACACTACATGCCACGCACGCTATCGGACCTCCCTGCTGCGTGTGCTTTGCGTCAGGCGAGGAGGACATGGCGCTCTGGCTGGCTCTGTGCGCAGATGCCGCCGCGCCAGAGCGACAGCAGCGATCCGGGGTCGATGCAGAGTGCGGAGAAACAGAAAGTGTGATGGAGGCGTGCGAGAGATGCAGAGCCGAAACGAGATTGCGAGCGTGCAGACAGGCCGAGTGGTGGAGAATGGTGAGGAGCAGCGGCAAGGAGCAGGACGCGCATCGGTCCGTGCGGCGCAGGACAGCAATTTCAGCTGCGCACTTCAACATTGAGCTTCAACCGAGCCGGCCGCTGAATACAACGCGTCACGCGTCAATTAACACGACACGCGCCCGCTCCACTTGCGAGGCCGGCGGCGGCGCTTCTCTCACGACGTCCACCATCCCACCCCTCACTCTGCATCACCATGGACCAGGCCGATCCCGCACGCAACTTCTTCGACGAGGGCGAGGAGGTCGACCTGTACGGCGTGCTCGGCGTCGAGGCCGCGGCGCCCGAGGCCGAGATCAAGCGCGCCTACAAGCGGTGAGCCTCGTCCGACGTCCGTTACAGCTCTCTCGTCGTGCTCATCCCGCTCTGCGCCCAGCCTCGCGCTCCAATTTCATCCCGACAAGGTCTCGCGCTCCGGCCTCTCGGCCGAGGCGGCGTCGCGCAAGTTCCAGCAGGTCAGCTTCGCCTTTGGCGTACTCTCCAACGAGGGCCGCCGCCGCCGCTTCGATGCCACGGGCCGCACCGACGAGCTCGTCTTCGGCGACGACGGCAACGTCGACTGGGACGAGTACTTTGCCACGCTGTGGCAGGGAGAGGTCAGCGGGCAGAGCCTGAAGGAGTACAAGAAGAAGTACCAGCGTGAGTGTCTGCGCAGGGTGGTGACGACGGCGCGGGCATGGCCGCTCTGCAGTCCAGTGTGCTGACGACGCTGCTTGCAGACTCTGACGAGGAGCGCCAAGACATCCTCGCCGCCTACGAAGAGACGTCGGGCTCGCTGGAGGACATCCTCAACGCCGTGCCGTGTCTCGAGATTCTCGAGGACGAGGAGCGCGTCGTGGCCTTGATCGACGCCGCGATCGCAGCCAAGGACATCAAGAAGCTGCCGCTCTGGACCAAATCGCTGAAGGACGACAAGGGCCGCAAGCAGATGCGCGCCCGCGCCAAGGCCGAGACCAGCGAAGCCGAGCAGGCGGCGCGAGAGCTCGGCGTGTGGGACGAGCTGTTCGGCGACGGCAAGAAGGGCACGCGCGGCAAGGGCAAGACCATGCGCGGGGAGGCGCAGGGCACGGGAGAGGGACACGATGCTGAGAGTGAGCCGGAGGAGGATGAGGATGAGGACGAGGAAGACGAGGAGGACGAGCAGCCGACGCGCGGCAAGAAGACGAAGAAAGCGCCTGCGCCGAAGGCCAAGGCACCTGCCAAGAGCAAGCCGGCGGCGAAGGGCAAGGGCAAGCGGAAGGCAGAGGCAGAGGATGACGAGGAGGAGGGCGACACGGCCGGCCTGGAGCGTCTCATCGCCGCGCGGCAGCAGCAGCGCAAGGCCGGCATGTCGACTATGATCGAGCAGATGGAGGCGCGCGCCAAGGAAGAAGAGGCCGAGCGGCTGAAGGGCAAGGGCAAGAAGGCCAAGGGCGGCGCCGCTGCGGCATCTGGCAGCGGTGGCAGCAAGGGCAAGGCGAAGGCGGCCGCCAAGCCCGCGAAGCGGGCGCCCGGCCCGCCCCTGCGCAACGGTACCGGCGCCACGCTGCCGCCCGACCCGCTGGACGACGACGAGTTCGAGCGCATCCAGCAAAAGATGCTCCAGAAGCGCGACGCTGCTGCTGCGGAGCCCGCCGAGGCCAAGCCGAAGGCCAAGCGCGCGAAGAAGGCTTGAGCTTGCTCGCCTCTCTGATCGCCTCGCCTCGACCTCATCATCACGCCGCGACACTGTACAGTAATACTACATCCATTCCTCGTGCCGAGGCCGTCATGAGGCATGAGACGGCACTGGCGGCACGTAAGCGACGCGCGGCAGGATGTCGATCATGTGCGGGCCCAACTCGTCGAGGCTGGTGATGCCCAGCAGGCGCATGCCGCGCTCGATCTCGTCCTTGAGAATGTCGATGGCGCGCAGGGCGCCTTCCTCGCCGTAGCCCGACTGCGCGTACAGGAAGGGGCGCCCGAGGCCGACGCCTCTTGCGCCGAGAGCCAGGGCCTTGAGCACGTCCGTGCCGCGTCTGACGCCGCCGTCGATGTACACGTGCATGGACTCGAGCAGGTCCGGGCGCCGCTCTCGCAGCTCAATGAGCACGTCGAGCGGCGGCGGGCTGTAGTCGAGGCTGCGACCGCCGTGGTTGGAGAGCACAATGCCCTGCACGCCGTGCTCTGAGGCCAAGATGGCATCCTCCACCGTCTGGATGCCCTTGAGGAAGAGCGGCAGCTTGCAGACGGAATGGTACCAGTCGATGATGTCCCATGACTGGCGACAGGCGCGTCAGCGAGGCAACACAGAGCTCGGCGCACTACTCACAAGGTCTGCGTCAATGTACTGGCTGATCGCTTGCGCCACGCCCTTGGCCTCTGAGCTCGTCCCAGTGCCGCCGCCCACGCTGACGACCTCGCCCTTGCAGCGCATGTCGCGCTCGCGCTTGCCCATCACCGGCGCATCGACCGTCAGCATAACGGCATTCACCCCGCTCGCCTCGACGTGCCGCAGAATCTTCTCTGATGCCGCACGATCGCGGTTGACGTAGAGCTGGTACATCAGAGCTAGATGGGAGGTGAGCAGGCTGATGGCGGCGAGAGAAAGCAAGTCGCTCACGCTGGCCCGCTATCCGCGCTGTGAGCATCTCGTCAAGGCTGACACTGGCATTGGCAGAGATCTGAAGCAAAGGATGAGTGTCTGGACGAGGAGCCATGCCACGGCGAACTCACTCCCTGCACGACACCAGCCTGTCCAGCGGCCCTGGTCAGGTTGAGCTCTCCGTCCGGGTGGCCCAGCTTCGCCATGGCAGCGGGCGAGATGTAGAACGGCAGCGTGCGCTCGCCGTTCTCCGCACCGAGCAGCGGCACTGTAGGGTCGACCTCGCCCACGCGGCGCAGGATGCGTGGCCGGAAGTAGACGCGGCCATAAGCAGCGCGGTTTGCCGCTTTGGCTGTTGGGCAGATCAGTCGCGAGTCGATGCAACGGAACCCATTCAGCACTCACTGATCTCGTCGTCGCCCGCTGAAGAGTAGTACGCCCAGGCCTGATCACTCAGATGTTCTTGCGCGATGAGCTGAAGGGCAGCGCGCGTCAGCAAGGCAGCGTCGATCTCGCTCGCTGCTGCAGACACACCTCAAACTCGTCGAGATTGAGGACAGCGCCAATCTCCGGCCTCTCGCCCGCAGCGACCTTCTTGCTGCCCATGGGAGCGGCCATGGGTGCTGCGACACCGTCGGCCAGGCTGCCGATGTGGGCCGATGGAGGCAGTGTGTCCAGTGCGTTGGACGGGTGCAGCGGCTGAAAGACCTCACTGTTCCAGTCCATGTCAGAGGGCGGACCACTGCGTTGGTGTAGGAGACTCTGCTCACGTGCAGTCCGTGCCCGCTCGCTGGCTGATGACGCCTGCGCCGCCGGGATGCTTCGTGAGGAAGTCTGTCACGCTAGAGAGGCGGCTCGCATCAGTCATTCCACTGCGAGCTTGAGGCTTCGACTCACTCGTACACCTCGCCGTCGAGCACGATCCACGAGCCCTGCTTGCCGCCGGCATGCGCTGCGAGCTCCTCTAGCCCGACAGCACGTGCCCCTTTCTTCCGAGTGACGCCGCTGTCCAGGTGCGCCACTGTCGAACGGCCTTCGCCCAAGGTGCTGAAGCCGGCCGTCAGAAGCAGCGACAGGAGCACGCCCTGGACCGCCACCCGGTACGGCCGTTGCTGTGCGCCGGCTGTCGGAGCGCTACGCGGCGCGTGGGCTTCTTGCGAGGCGAAGCGGACGCCGCTCGGGCGCCATGCCGCGCGGGCTCTGAGCAGCGACGGCCGGAACATGCTCTCAAGATGCTTGATGTGCTTGTGGTGGCGAGGGAGGAGCCAGGACAGGGTCCGCGCACGTCAAGCGGGGTAAGGGCAGGCTAGCCTCGGGAGTCGGGACACGCCGGTGCCCTTGAGGAGGAGGAGGAGCGGCGCGAGCACCTCTCGACGCTGCCTTGCCCTTCCTCCACCATCATCCCGCAGTTCTCCCGACGCCTTGCAGCTGCTCGCGCGCGCAAGCCGCCTATCTGCAGCACCCCGCTCGTATCGCCGTTGCGACTCGCTGGCACGCAACAGCCGTGAAGATGCTGGCGCCGCAGCCGGCACTGGTGCTGGCGCCGGAGCCGTCGGCGCCTGCGCCTCAGTCTGCCGCACGCCGCAGCCATCTCATTGTTCTCTGCGGAGTCAGTAGCACTCCACGTCACCGCCCTATTCGTCGCCGCTGATGCGTACGTGAACAGCTCGTAGGCTCGGGAAAGTCGACACGTGAGCGCCGCTCGGCTGTACGTCCAAGCTGAGCGGTGCTGACTCGCGCTTGCCACAGTGGCCGATGCGCTGCAGCTTCACTGCAACGTGCGTCTCTCTGCGGATCGCTGCACACAGCGTAGAGGCTGAGCGCTGCCTGTGCAGTATATGCGCGCTTGTCAGGACCAGCTGCAGGACCGGCGCAGCACGATCGACTTCGTGCGCCGCGCCCTGCAGCAGCAGCGCGATGTCGTTGTGGACCGGACTAACGTGGACGCGGCGTGAGTCAGGTCGCTGACTGCAAAGGCTCTTGTACTGATCCGCAGCATCAGACAAAGGGCACACTGGGTCAGGCTAGGACGGAGCATGGGAGCACAGGTGGACTGCATCGAGTTTGACACGCCCAGAGAGGTGAGTCGGTGGTGTGAGAGAGGAGCTGGCTGTTGGCCATAAGAGCTGTCGTAAGACGCTTGTGCCCTGTCACGGCTTGCTGATCGCTCGTGCTTCAGGTGTGCGCTGAGCGTCTGCGCCTCCGGACAACACATGAGACGCTGCACAGCGTGGATCAGGCTCTGTTGTGCGTCGTCTCTCCCGCAGCGCCTCGTCCATCTCTGACAGCGCTGCAGCGTCCTCAACACCTTCTCGCGCGACTATCGGACACCGCGGCCGTCCGAGGGTTTTGAGCATCTCCTGCCGCTCAAGCCGGCCGGTCAGGCGCATCCTTGGACGCGCGACGCGTGCGAGGCCGTGCTCGCCAGTCTTGCGCAGGCCGCATGTCCGCCGCTCACCGCGGCAGAGCAGCAGGCGCTCGATGCGCCGCCGCCGGCGACAGGTGCTCGTGGCAGGGGTCGGGGCTCTGCGCCTGGCTATCGAGGGCGGGGCCGTGGCGCCGGACCGCCGCCCCCGAGACCAGCAGGGCCGATAGGCGGACCGATGCCGTGGCGAGAGCCCAGGGCCTTCGAGGCGGGCCCAGGCTACCACATGGACGGCACCGCGGCAGCACGGCCAGCGCCTCGCGGACCAGTGCAGCCACAACGAGTGCTCGGTGCGCCGCCCGGCCAGCCTCCACCAGTGCCGCTTGAGCTGCTGCACGCCGCAGCACAGCCGCCACACCAGCCGCAGACGTGAATGCAGGATATATACGACGCGCGGCGAGTACAAGTACACTGTCAGACCCAGAAGAGACGGCGAGGAGACTGGCAGAGGGCGAAGCGCGCTGCTCAGACGGGCATGCGGAAGCGCTGCTCGATCTGCTGCATGTAGCTCTCTGCGAGTGGGCAATTCGGTTAGAGCTGCGTCGCTTCGTCGTGTGCGGCACGACTCACCGGCGCGGGCGACCATCACGTCGCGCTCCTTGCGTGCGGAGTGGACGTGTGCGTCAAAGGCGCGCATCAAGTCGGTGTACTGCGAGGCCAGAGTCAGCGCACATCTCGAGGCCACGTCAGCACTTTGCTGCTCACCTGGCTCTCAACCTCGTTGGCCTGCATTTCCAGCTTGCTCGCCTGTTCCATGCGTTGCCGTTTGCCCTCGCTGGTGGACTGCAGCAGCTCCACGAGCTCGGCCCTGCGCTTGGCGTGCTCCTCGCGCCGGTCTTCGATCGTCTTGCGCAGGCGCTCGATGCGCGTCGCCAGCGCAGACGAGGTGCGGTGGTACTGCTCGCGGCGGTGCTCGAGACCCTCGACCTCGTGCCGCGCCTCGGCAATGGCAGAGCGCATGCGCTCCATGGCGTCCATCTCTGCATCGCACTTGGCCAGCTGCTCCACGACGGCCTCGACGCCGCGCTGCGCCTCGTCCATGTCGGCCTCGAGCACCTTGAGCACCTGCAGCTTGGCCTGCAGGTCCTTGTGCTTGCGCTCCGTCTCGTGCAGTGTGATGCGGTCGCCCTTGAGCTGCGCCTCGATCTCCATGACGCTGTTCTTGAGCTGCACGGGCGACAGCCGGATGCGGCTCTGCAGCTTCCGCACGTCGGCCGTGACGAGTTGCAGCTGCAGCTGCAGCTCCATCTGAACGCGGTGTCAGCCCGCGTGCGAGCGCTGGAGCAGCGCACAACTCACTTGCCGCTCTGCAAGGTCGCCCTTCTCCGTCTTCAGCAGGTCGTGCTCTTGCATCAGCGTGCCCTGCTCCTTCTTGAGCTCCATCAACCGGTCGCTCAGCACCACGTTCTCCTCCACCAGGCCCTGCATCTTCGGCTTCTCCTCCTCTCGTTGCGCCCTGCGCACAGCGTCAGCGCTTGCACATTCCGGCAGGAACAGCTCTACTCACTTCTCCTCTGCCAGCCGTGTCCGCAGCGTCTCCACGCTCGCCAGCAGCTCCTCGCGCTGCTGCACCAGCTGCTCTCCCTCAGCGGCCGCATCATCGAACTCTTCGATGCGGTCCTGGCGGAAGCGGTAGAAGTTGACCAGCGCGCTGAGCTGGCGCTTCAGCCGCTTCGACACCGGCTTCGTCAGGTCGGCCATGACGAAGTCGGTGATGGTGGCGTGCTGCATCATCGCGCGGCTGTGCTCAGACGTCAGCGGTGCGGCAGACGTGTGGTGTTCGGTGATGCTCCACTCACATCTCGCGGAACAGCAGCATGTGGTGCACGCCCTCCTCGTAGATTTCCTGTGGGATTGCATCAGCTCCTATACTAGGTGGAAGAGCATGCCAGCTGCTCCACACCAGCCCTGCGCCCTGCCCTGTCGTGCTCCCCGCTGCGCGCACTCACGCGGTACTCGAGCTGTCCGCAGATGGCATCGCGCTGACGGTCGATCCACTCGAGCGACACGCCGTTGAGCGTCTCGAGGAACACGCCAAACACCTTTGCGACGAACTGCGGCGTGGGGTGCGCAATGTCCTCGGCGCTCGTGGGCACGCCGAGGTCGCTGATCAGCGCGGCCGCCTCGTGCGGCGCGACGGCGGGAAAGGACTGGAAGTTGTCGGCGGCGGCGGCGCCGGGGCCCGTGCTGCTGCCGGCGCCGTTCATGCCGGCGCCGGGCCCGATGGAGGAGGAGGGTGCCATGGCGGGTGGAGGAGATGGTGGCAGTGCGGCAGGCGGCGGCGGCGGCGAGAGACGCGTGCATCAACACGCGGCCGACCGCGTCGCGCGCTGCCGCGAGACCAACACACGTGATGGCTCCATCTCGGGCTGCGTGAGCGACTCTGCCCTTCTTGCCCGCATTCCCAGCTTGTGTGTTGCGCGCTTCCTGACTGGCGCGCCCGAGCGGCGCCTTATCGCTATCTGCCTCCTCGGAGGTGCTGCTTCGCGCTTCGGATGCCGCCTTCGTCTTGCGGCAGCGGCAGGGGGCTGGAAGGTCAGCCGTGCAGATGCACGGTGCACATCGGCTGCACCCTGGGTGCGTCGCTGCGACGAGGCCTCGAGGAAGCCACATCGAGGAGCACCCGGCTCGGCGGCGCCTCCACCGGCGCTTCCCCTCTCGCAGCCACCATCCCCGCCGCCGCAACACCTCTAGCAGCATGTCGGCGCCCGAGCCCGTGTTCCTCTCGCACTTCCTGCGGCTCGCGCTGCCGCCGCTCAAGGCGCACCCCTTTCCGCCCGAGTTCCAGCAGAAGCTCGAGCCGGCGCCGCCGCTGGCCGCCGACGTGGCGCTGGCGCCGTGGAGCGAGGGCAGCGGCGCCGAGGCGCTCTCCTTCCGCGCCGCCGTGGCGCGCGACCTCGAGGCGCTGCCCGACGTCGAGGCGTACCAGCACCTGCTGCCGCCGCCGGCGTTCCGCGACGGTGACTTGCCCGAGGCGACGATGCTGCCCACCGTGCACTTCTGGGCCATCATCAATGCCTGGCAGCCGATGATGCGCGTCGTGAGTGCCAGCGCGAGGGGCCAGAGAACGCTAGCCGGCTGACGCGCTCGCAGTACAACCTCGAGGAGGAGATCGGCTTCGGCGGCCACGATGCGTCCGGCAGTGTGCGGGGCCCGCTGCACGTCGGTGACCACCTGCCGCTGCACGAGGCACAGCGCGTGCCGCGCCAGCTCGTCTTCCGGCGTTCGGCGCCTGAGAAGATCCTGGCGCCCGTCGTCGTCGCTGCGCCCTGGACGCTCTCGCTGGCGGCGCTGCCGGAGCTGGTGACCAAGCACGCCTCAGCCAAGCAGCTGGAGGCCGCCGCCGCGCAGGAGCCGGCAGCGCGCGCCCTCGCCGACACGCTGGCGTACATGCAGTCGACGGGCGCATCCTTTGCGCTGCTCACGACGTACGAGCACTTTGTCTTTCTGCGCAGCGGCGCGCAGGGCGAGGTGCAGGTCAGCGAGCCCATCGCCGCAGGCGACAAGGACGTCACGGTGTACGCAGCCATGTGGATGTGGGGGCGTGACGTGGCCAAGGCGGCCTGAGGTGGCCAGGGAGGTGGCCAGGGAGGCCCGAGGTGCACCTGGCCGAATGTCACGCTTGCAGCAGCACTCCATACTGCGTGGCCGCGCGCACATAAGACTCTAGTGGCTTACATTCGACTCTAGAGGTTGCCCCGGCCCTCCTCCTGCAGCGCCTTGCCCACGGCGCGGATCACCTCGGCGTGCACGTCCTTCGGCGCGGCAATGACGCCGCGGTTGTTCCTGAGCGTGCGGCCCTGGCCAAAGTCAAGGTCACGGCCGCGGCAGTCCGAGACGATGCCGCCGGCCTCGTGCACGAGCAGGTAGCCCGAGGCGTGGTCCTAGCGTGCTCAGTCAGCGAGCTGAGTGGGCATTGCCTGGCCTCGCGGCGTCTCACCCAGATCTTCTCCTGGTAGCTGCCATCGCCGACCGGCAGGCGCAGGTACACGTCACCGTCGCCGCGTGCGACGCTGGCGTACTTGGCCTGCGAGTCCATGCGCACCGACGGCGCGCTGATGTTGAGCAGCTCGGCGATGCGCTTGTTGGTGCCGTGCGACGAGTGGCCCGCCTCGACGCTCTCGCAGAAGGACGCCGTGTTCAGCGAGTCCGCGTTCAGCGCGCGCATCTGGATCGGCTCCTCCTTGTCCGAGGACATGGGCCGCTGCGAGAGATAGGCGTCAGCGAAGGTATGCCCGCACAGGGCCTTTCGCGCACTCACCTGCCGCGCGCCCTGGCCCTTGACAGCCACAAAGATGGCGCCGAGGTCCTTGCGGTCCATCGACTGCGCGTCGCCCTCCTTCGGCAGGCCGTCCTTGGGGTCGAGCGGCAGGTTGGGGCAGCCCATGGCGCCGACCTGCACCTTGCCGTCGACGAGCAGCGCCAGGCACACGGCGTACTGGCCGCCGCGCAGGAAGCCCTTGGTGCCGTCGATGGGGTCGAGGGCCCACATGCCTGAGGGGCAGTCAGCAGAGCGCAGGTGACGTCTTCTGTGCCTCACTCACGGCCCGTCGCGCCGCCCTCGTGGTTGCCGCGGTCGATGGCAGCAAGGATCTTCTCCTCGGACAGCGGCTCGGCGCCCCACTTGTTGGCGCTGTCCTGCGCGGGGCACTCCTGCTCGCTGCCGCTGAGCGCCTCGTTGGCGAGCTGCACGACCTGCTCGCGCAGTGCGGCGCTCTCGGGCTTGCGCAGCTCTGCGGCATCCTCCTCGCCGACGATCTTGTCGTCGGGAAAGTGTGCGCCGAGGACGATGTTGACGACGGCCTGCGCCGCGTAGTCGCCGACGGTGACGGGCGAGGCGTCGCTCTTGGTTACCGTGGCGCCGGCAGCCGATGACTTGGTGACGAGCAGGCGGAAGACGCGTGCGGTGACGGACGAGGCGCGCGCCACCGCCGAGATGGCGACGGCACGCTCGAGGGCGTAGGGAGCGGAGGACATGCTGCGGGCGGCGAGCGGGCGGCGGAGATGTGCGAGAGCGGAGCGGGCAGCCAGGAGCATGCAAGGGTTGAGTGAGATACAGTCGTAGCAGAAAGATGCAGGAGCAGTCGGGTGTGCTAGGGCTGAGCAAGGGAGGCAAGATGGAGGACGGGAAGGAAGGAGCAGCGAGGTCGAGTGCTCCGTGCGGCCCGCCTGCAGAATAGCCGCGGGCCAACTCGCGCGAGCCGCGGCGTGGGCATGGCGTGCTCGCCGCGCTGCTCCTTGCCTCCTCTCCACATCCATCCGGCCAGCATGTCGGCACCTACTTCACCACACGACTCGCGCAGCGGCGACGCACAAGCTGCTGCCTCTTCGAGCCATCGCGACGAGCGCCGCAGCGACCGGCGCGACGACGGCGAGCGCCGCGACAGAGACGAGCGCGGCCACAGCTCGCGGCACCGCGCCGACCGCCAGCGCTCCGAGCGGCGCCGTGATGACCGCGACCGCGAGCGCTCAGACAGACATCGAGACGACCGCCAGCGCTCGGACCGGCGGCACGACGAGCCTGACCGCCGCTCGGACCGCGACCGCAGAGACAGAGACCGCGGTAGCGAGCGGGAGGAGCGATCGTCGCGGCGCGAGCGCAGCCGTAGCCGCAGCCCGCAGCGCTCGCGGCGGCGCAGTCGCAGTCGATCGGCGAGCAGCGACAGCGGCAGCAGCAGTAGCGACAGCGAGGACGAGGAGGCGCGCAGACGTCGGCGGCGCAAGGAGAAGGAGCGCCGTCGGGAGAAGGAGGGCAGCAGCAGGCATCGCGAGAGTCGCGAGGAGCGCAAGCGGCGCAAGAAGGAGAAGGTGAGTACTGCAGGCTAGGTGAAAGCCAGGCAGAGGTAGCGACGAGCACCTGTCATGAAAGCACGCATCTGACGCCTCGCACGCAGAGACTCGCTAAAGCGTCCAAGGGCGCCATCCTCGAGTACGGCAAGCACGGCATCATCTCCGAGTCCGAGTGAGCCGGAGGTGTGCTGTTGCAGGAATTCAAGCTCGGACTGACGTTGTTTGTCCCTCTCTCAGCGTCACATCGCGCTTGACGGCCGAGTTCCGCCAGTGGCTCGTAGAGGAGAGGCACATCAATCCGTGCGTGTCTGTGTGCTGCCGCGCAGAGATCGAGCTTGAGCTCACTCTGTCATTGCAGCGAGACGATCCCGAAGCAGGCCGAGCGCAAGGAGATGAGCCGCTTCATCGAGGACTACAATACGGCGACGCTGCCGCTGGACAAGTACTACGACCTCGAGGTGCGCGTGCAGCGCCTCGTACATCGCGTGGCAAGCTGACGTCCTCCTCTCTGCAAGGCGCACGAGCGACGCATGGCCATGATTCGCGCCGGCGAGACGCTGCCCGTCGAGGGTGCGTACGATCCAGCTGCCGACGAGGCGGCCGCGACGGCGGCATATCGTGCGCGGCGTCGCGACGCGGAGTCGAAGCTGGCGGGCAATGAGACATGGCAGAGCCGCGAGCAGCTCGAGGAGGTGAGTGAAGACTGCGCTTGGCTCTGAGATACGGCACTGATGCTCTCTCCGCTTCGCAGCTGCGCCGCATCCAGGCAGAGCGCATCGAGGTCGGCAAGATGAAGCAGCTGTGCGTGAAGCGCGGCGCAGCATGCGAGCCTGTGCTGACTCCACCCTCTTGCAGTGGCATGCAGACGTCGTCCAAGATGGGCGTGCGCATGGACTCGAAGTTCCAGTAGCACCGCGAGCTCTGACGATCCCGGCACTAGCAATGTAACTGCTCTCGACGCCCCGTGCGAGGAGCAGGACTGCATCTGCGCATGCTGAAGAAGAGGGTGCCGCACCTCATGCGCCCCGATCAGCGCCCGGCACCGCAGATCCGCCGGCGGCCCCAGCGCCCATCAGCCGCCCTTCGGTCGATGATGGGCGCCGGCAAGCCGCGAGATGAAGCCGCGGCTGCGTCTTGTGCTCCATCTCTACCTTTTGCGCTCTGATGCGGCTGCCTGTCAGTGTGTGCCGCGCCCTTCGCTGATCTCGGTGCCGACACGAGCTCTTTTTGGCCGCGCAGCATGATCGACGATCTGCAGCATGCAGCCTGCGCGCCCGACGCACGCCGCCCGGCAACGGTCCGCTCGGCTCATGGCTCGGAGGCTGCGGACACACCATGTGCTGCTGCCAGATGCCCATCACGGACGCAGCTTGTTGAGCACGTGGGAGACAGCAGGAACCCCTTCGTTTGAGTGAGCGGCAGAGTGCGGCAATTTGGGACGATCTGCGGAGGCCGAGAGGAGGCGTGCCGGGCGAGGCAGCCGCCGACTCTCGGCGTGCGGCAGGCGGGCGGACGTCATGCGGCGTGATGCTTGTCTCGCGCTCCGGGCACGGCGCCTCTCGCTGCTCCACCCACGCCGCCGGCGCCAAGGCCGCATGCGCACCTTCGCTCCACACCTCTCGCTCTCCCAAACTCCATCCGCATCCACGCCGCGCGAGAATCATCCTCGCCTCTGGTCCAGCGATCTTGTTCCTGCACGCCTGTGCTGGCTCCACCGAGGCGCCTCCCGCCGCGCGCAGCTGGGCAACTCGCACCTCGCGCTCCCGACTTCCCGCCGCAGCGCCTCGCCTCGTCCGCTCGCCGCCCATGTCCGTCTAGACAATCCGCACTCCTGCTGCCGCCATGTCTGCGCCGCCGCCGGCTGCGCCCGCTCCCGCCGTGCGTGCCAGCTCGCACTCGGCGCGCGATGAGGCATCCACGCCTTCGGCCTCGTCGCCGCCGCAGCGCCGGCGCATGCGCGACTTCTTCCGCCGCTCCGTCAGCGGCCGCCCGGGCATGACGAGCAGCATGTCGCGCGACACGCTGCACTCGCCGCACGACGCCGCTGCGCTGCCCGAGGCACCGTCGACGCAGCCGCAGGACATGGCCGCCGCCGGCCTGGCGTACCAGCCGCGCATCAAGCCGGCGCCGGCCGCAGTCGCCGCAGCCGAGGCGGCCGCCGCGTCTGCGCCAGTGCAGGACGCTGCCTCGCCGCCGCCATCCGAACAGCCGGTCGCCACAGTGGGCCTGCACGCGCGGCGCGCCTCTGCGGCTGGCTTGCAGGTGCAGACGGCTCTGCGGCCCGATATTCAGCCACTCGAGCTCTCCCGCGACGAGACGCCCACGCCGCTGCCTCTCGAGCAGCGCCAGGCTCGCGCCGAACCCTCGCACTCGTCGCGGCTGGGGCATCGCGGCATGCGTCAGCGCCTGGCCGACTCGCTTGGCGAGCCGTCGTCGCGGCCGCCGCGCACGCCGCACCCGAAGGCGGCGTCGGACAAGAGCATCGCGCTTGCAGCAGCTGCTGCGGCGCTTCCCGGCGCACAGCCCGTCGTCCCCTCCTTCCACCCTGCCGCACCAGCCTCCGTGCGCGCGCCGCTCGAGGCGCAGCCGCTCACCTCGCCTCTGGCCGAGATTGTGCCGGGCAGCGAGCAGACGGCGCCCGGCGGCGCCACAGCAACGACGATCAAGCTGCAGCGCCCGCAGATCAAGGTGCGCTGCATCACTTGGAATCATGGCGCCAGCCTGCCGAAGGGCGATCTGGAGGTGCTCCTCGGACGCGTCGGCGAGTACGTGCCGCCACAGGCGGGCTGGGACGTGAGTGACGACGAGGAGGAGGACGCAGAGTCGCCGGCCGAGGGCTCCGAGGCGCAGAAGGCACGCCGGTCAAAGGGCAAGGGCGTGGCAGGCCAGGAGCGCACGCCGCGCCGCGACCGTATCCCGCCGCTTGTCGCCGACGACGCGCATCCGTACCACGTCATCGTCATCGCCGGGCAGGAGTGTCCGTGGGGCGACGGTAAGCGTCTGGCCACGGGCGTGGCGCTTGCGGGCGAGCTGGGCGATCTGGCGCGCACCAAGACGCGCAAGGAGGCCGAGGCTGCTAAGAAAGAGGGCGGCAAGGACAAGGAGAAGGACGACAAGAAGGAGAAGAAGGAAGAGGGCAAGGCCGGTGACAGCCAGTCGGCGCCCGTGTCGAATATCGAGGTGCGCGCGCGCGACCACGCAGCCGCCGAGATGGGCGTCAAGTCTCCCGGCGCCGCAATCGCCGCCGCCAACGAGTTCCCCTTCTCGCCGGTTGAGGCGATACGGGGCGGCGGCGTGCCGCAGACGCCGGGCGGCGGAGCGGCGGGCTTCCCGCTGATCGGCGCGCTGGGCATGGGCAAGGAGGGCTGGAGCGCCATGTGCGATGCGTGGCTCTGCAAGGGCCCCATCGCGCAGCTCTCCGCTGTCAAGGACGCGCGCGGGCCTGTGGCCACGCCGCTGCTTAGCGAGGCGCCGTCGCCCGCTGCGACGCCTGAGCTGGGCACTACGCCCGACGCTTCACGCGCGGCCAGCCCGACGCCTGGCGCGCTGCGTCTCGACGTGCCGAAGCTCAAGCTGCGGACGGACGCGCTGCTGTCGCCCACCAAGAAGGCCGACACGGCACCGCACACGCCGACCTCGGCGCAGGCCATCGGCCCCGCTGATATGTCGCCGAGCAAGCGAGCGGCGATGGCGGCTCGCCGGGATGCTCTGGCCGTGCCGAAGGCAGCGCCAGCGCTGCGGCGCAGCGTCAGCGCCACACGCGTCGACCAGGCGGCCGGGAGCGATCCCTCGGTGCAGGCGCCCGGCGAGTTCGGCCAGATACGCAAGGCAGCGCCGCCCAGCAGCGATGCGGAAGACGAGTCGCCCGAGATCCCGAACCAGCACCGCCATCGACACCTGCTGCCCTACCTCGGCCACCACCACGACGGCACGCCGCGCGAGCTGGGTCCGTACGAGCTCGTGATGAAGGAGCGCTGCATGGGCATCTACCAGGCGATATATGTCTTTAGGGGTGCCCTCGACCGGGTGCGCGGCGCGTCGCGCGGGCACGTCAAGAGCGGCCTGCTCGGCGGCCGTGTCGGCAACAAGGGCGCTGTTGGCATCAGCCTGAAGCTCGGCATGACGCGCCTGCTCTTCGTCAATGCGCACCTGGCTGCGCACGAAGGCCGTGTCGCTGAACGCATCGCCAATGTCGAGAAGATCAAGAAGGAGCTGCAGGTCGACACGTTCCTGCCCGAGGGCGATCCGCGGCGCAACTACCAGGACGTGACGGCCGCCTTCGACCACTGCTTCTGGATGGGCGACCTGAACTGTGAGTGCAGACGTGTGGTGGGTGTCCAGCAGGCCTTGACGTCTCTTGTGCAGTCCGCGTCGACATCACGCGCCGCCACGCCGACTGGCTGCTCATGCAGAAGCGCTACGACCAGGCGCTCGAGTTCGACCAGCTGCGCAAGGTCATGCGCGAGACCGACACGTTCAAGGGGTTTGCTGAAGCGCCGATCACCTTCCTGCCAACTTTCAAGTACGACGTGCTCAAGACGCTCAAGTCCAAAAGCGGCGAGCCGCGCCGGCGACTGACGGTGCGGCAGCGCGTGCTGCATCGCCGAGAGAGCAGCGCCAAGGCGGCTGACGTGGTAATTGACGAGCCCATCGCGCTCGGCATCACGAGCGAGGCAGTAGAGGATACGGAACGACGCAACTCGACCATCAGCGGCGGCAGCAGTTCGCAGGCACATCTGCAAGTGCAGGTCAGGCGCGACGGAGCACCTGCGCTGCTGCAGCATGAGTCCGACGTGAGCTCGGCGTCTTCCATCTGCGAGTCTTCACACTTTAGCCAGCTGCCGGACTCGGGCGGCAGCGCGCTCAGTCTCGCAGCCCTGCGCCGGCAGTCTGTCGCGACGGATGCGGAGCTGGATGAGCTCCTCACCAACACGACTGCCGCAGAAGGGCAGCTGCTCTCGCACGGCACGGCCATCAAAGCCAAGAAGCGGCTCAAGGATATCGTGCACGCAGTCACCGGACACCGCGACGAGAGCAGCAGTAAGACGCCGCCTGAGCCGCGCCGCAATGACTCCAAGGGCAGCTCCGTCAGCAGCGCAGGTCCAGCCACGCCACTCGACATGCCTGCAGAGTCGCGCGAGCTGGGCGCGGGCATGCGGCCGAGCTCCTCCGCTGGCTCTGTGCGCACCGCTGCGCAGCTCTACGAGGGAGACATGACGGACTCGCGCCTCTCTTCGTCCTCGCTAGACGAGGATGTCTATCCGGAGCGCTTCGTCAAATCGGCCGAGACTGCATCATTGGCCGGCTCGATCATTGTCTCGCCCACGTCGACCTCGGGCTCGACCTCTGACCACACGCGCAAGCACTCGCTGCGTCGCCGGCGAAAGCTGGGCCGCCGTCGCTCGCCCGACGCAGCCGCTGCCACGGCGGGCACGACGAACGGCGCCGAGGATGCGCCAGTGGAAGAGCAGCAGTACGACACGTCTGCCAAGCAGCGCGTGCCGTCGTGGTGCGACCGTGTGCTGTGGCGCAGCAACGTGAAGCCCGAGGAGACGAAGAACCGCATGGAGCCGAAGCCCTCGCGCGTCGGCACTGTGCTCTCGAACGTGACACAGCAGCTGCGTTCGTCGACTTTCCGCCGAGACGAGCCAACGAGCTCAGCGGCAGGTCCGACCGTCACCTTCGCGCCCACGCCGCGCGTCCCGATGCGCCAGCCCTCGTACACGACGGGCCAGCCTCTGCAGAGCTCGCCACTGGGATCGCCATCCAGCGAGACCAAGGCCATCGACGTCACGCCGACGGCCACATCCGCCACTGCGTCGCGCCCGCACCGGCTGCGTTGGTTCGTTGGACGCCACAGCAAGATGCCGCGCACGCGCACCTTCGACGGCAGCGAAAGCAAGACGGGCATGACGACGGTGCGCGACATCGGCATGCTCCACCGTGCCAGCAGCGCCGTGGACCTGCCGTCGCACATGCGCGGGCCAGACAGCGGCGGCGCCAGCATCGATGGCATCAGCCGGCGCCCATCGCTGCCGCGGCGCAGATCGTCGCTCTCGCGGCGCTTGTCAGGGGCGTCTCGCAGCGGCGAGCGCACTGGCTCGCCGCGCTCTGCCTCGGCATCGATGGTGCCGGGCATTGCCAGTGCTCGCGCACAGAGCTCTCGCTCCTCTAGCCCTGCCGCTGCTGGGACTGCGAGTCCGCCGCGCATGTCCTTCCATCGCAGCTCGTCGGGCGACGGGCCAAGAGAGGTCGCTGCCGCTGCAGCTGCGCCTGCTCCCGCCGGCGGCGTCTCGTCTTTGCTCGCGAATGTAGGCTCAGGACGCCGAACGTCGTGGTGGGCCGATCGGCTGGTCGCGCACCTGCCCGCGTTCCTGGCGCCTTCGAGCTTCTCGCCCTTCTCGCTCTCGCCGCGGCCGCAAGAGCCGGCCGAGCCTGTGCCGGAGCTGGTGGGACCCAAGCGCGGCGAGATCCAGTGCCTGCTGTACAAGACGCTCGACGACCGGTGCGTGCTCGCTCTCGACCCATGTCTGGCGCGTTGCTGACCACGACCGAACACAGGGAGATGCGCCTGCTAGAGGGCCGCTCTGATCATCGACCTGTGAGTCGATTCGCGGTTGAGCAAGCTACTCTTCCGCTGACACAGTCTCCTAGGTCATCTGGGTCGGCACCGTCGGCATCTAGACCCGCGACCAGCAGCACGACCTAGACTCTTGCCTCTCTTCTGCTTCCGCCTTGCTTCTTGCCCGTCGGCCCTGTACGTTGCCTTGCCGCACGCCGCTCACGAATACCCCTGTCCGGTGCCCTGCTCTATCTACCCCGCTGAGCACGCATTGGTCTGCTTCCAATACCATTCTGCCCGTCTCGCTGCGGCTGTGCTTCAAGCGTGAGCAGGTTGCTATGGTCCTGTCTCGAGCGGGAGCTTGATACGCCACTCGGCTGGAGCGAGAACATGTAGAGAGGGCGATTTCTGCGGAGAGATGATGGTTGCCATGCGCTTGACGCGACCCCAGCCGCACATCATCACTGGGCAGGGGTCCTCTGCTGCTCGACCGAGCGCCGAGCTTTTACGACCAATCGATCTCTCCACCTCAAAGGCCTATTTTGAGCTGCAAAGAACAAATCTTGCTGTGTTGCGGAAGGCCACGCCGGCGCACCTTGATTGAGGGGGAGGCCACCGCAGCACGCTCCCGTCCGAGAGGGATCGGCAGCGCATGATTTTTGCTCGGCCGAGCACCGGGGCGCAGCGGCGCCGAGGCACAGGAGCAGTCTCCGCTTGGGCGCGGCGGCGTGAGTGCGGCAGCAGCGTGCGTGCGCCTGTGCTGGCGCGGCCGCGGGAACAAGGCGGGCGGGCAGGCAATCAGCGAGAGCACTCGCCGCGGCGCAGCCAGCGGCGGCCGCGCCAGGAGCATCTTCCAGCCAGCGCCGCCGTCGTGGGGCAGCCTTCTCCAGACATCCTCCAGCTCATCAGCCCCTCCCGCTCGCCGCACCCCTCTGCCGCACAAGCTTGTGCCACACTCCAGCATCTCACCGCACTCGGCCGCACACAGCGCGCGCAACACCGCCTCGTGCTCGCTCGCCGTCGCAGCGCCAGCCGCTCTCGCACCTCTCCGCAGCCCGCTGCGCACGCGCCCCGTCCAGCCCCGCCCGCCTGGCCCCGGCCGCGCGCTCCTCGCTCCCGAGCAGCGCCCCTGCTCGCCTCGTCGCCATGGCCGCGACGTGGGCGCCGCAGCCCGAGGGCCTGGCTGAGCTGCTCGGCCTGTTCCGCGACTCGCAGAGCCCCGAGCAGGCGACGCAGATCCGCATCGCCCATGTGAGAGACCATTGCGGCAGCTGCGGCTGAGGGCTGCGCAGCGGCGACCGCCTGCTGACACCGCCGTTCGCAGCGCCTCGAGGAGCTCGCTCGCGTGCCCGACTATGCCAACTACCTGGTGCACGCCTTGACGCAGATGCCGCAGGAGGACACGAACACGCGCTCCATTGCCGGTCTGATCCTCAAGAACTACCTCATGCTGCATGCACGGAACATGCACCCCGAGAGCCTGGCGTACGTCAAGTCGGCCATCCTGCCGGCCATCTCGTACTCGGAGGACATGCTGCGCCGCACCTCGACGCAGGTCGTGTCGATGATCTTTGCCATCCAGGGGCCGGCCTCGTGGCCCGAGGGGCTTGAGCACCTCATTGGCCTGATGACGTCGCCGCAGCCCGAGGCATGCGAGGTGAGTAGCGGTGCGATGCGGGCCTGCACAGCGCTTCTGACGCCTGGAGACTCCACAGGGCGCCTTCAGCACCTTTGCCAAGCTCTGCGAGGACATCCCGCAGGAGATGGAGGACTGCGAGATCAATGGCATGCGGCCGCTGCAGATCCTCGTGCCCAAGTTCCTCGAGGCCACGCAGCACCCGGATCCGCGCATCCGCTGCCACGCGCTCAACTGTCTGAACCAGTTTGTGCAGACGAGCTCGGCGGCGCTGCACGACCACATGGACACGTTCATCCAGGCGCTCTTCAAGCGCGCCAGCGACGAGAACGAGCAGGTGCGGCGCTTCGTGTGCCAGGCCCTCGTGCTCATCCTCGGTGCACGGCCAGATAAGCTGCTGCCCGAGCTGCCGAGCGTCGTCGAGTACATGCTGTACTGCACGCAGGACAAGGACGACGAGGTCGCGCTTGAGGCCTGCGAGTTCTGGCTGCAGTTCTCCGAGGACGCCTCGCTGGCGGACCACCTGCGGCCCTTCCTGCCCAAGGTCGCGCCCGTGCTGCTCAAGGGCATGGTGTACAACGAGATCGACCTGCTGATGCTCGGCGGCGACGAGGACGACGAGGCGGTGCCGGACCGCCCGGAGGACATCAAGCCGAAGCACTTTGGCGGCTCGGCGCGCACCGTGGAGGACAGCAACGCCAACGGCGCGGGCGGCCCGACAAAACAGTCGCGTGCCGCGCGCGAGGCCGAGCTGGCCGACGACGACGACGATGACGACGACGACTACGACGACGACGACTCGGACGACGATGACGACGGCGTCGGCGACTGGAACCTGCGCAAGTGCTCCGCGGCGGCGCTCGACGTCATGGCGGTCAACTTCAGCAACGAGATCCTCGAGATCCTGCTGCCGTACCTCAAGGAGCGCCTCTTCTCGCCCGAGTGGCTGCAGCGCGAGTCGGGCATCCTGGCGCTCGGTGCGATTGCCGAGGGCTGCATCGAGGGCGTGCAGCCGCACCTGCCGACGCTTGTGCCGTTCCTGATCAACTGCCTCAAGGACCCGAAGCCGCTCGTGCGCTCCATCGCGTGCTGGACGCTCGGCCGCTACTCGGCGTGGTGCGTGGCGACCAAGACGCCCGAGCACCAGCAGCAGTACTTCCTGCCGGCCATGGAGGGCCTGCTGTCGATGGTGCTCGACGGCAACAAGCGCGTGCAGGAGGCCGGCTGCAGCGCCTTTGCGACGCTCGAGGAGGAGGCCGGCGCCGACCTGCAGCCGTACCTGCAGCCGGTGCTCAAGACGCTCGTATTTGCGTTCGACAAGTACCAGCAGAAGAACCTGCTGATCCTCTACGACGCCATCGGCACGCTGGCCGACTCTGTCGGTGCCGCGCTGAATCAGCCCGAGTTCGTCGAGATCATCATGCCGCCGCTGATTGCCAAGTGGCAGACGCTGGAGGATAACGACGCGGACCTGATCCCGCTGCTCGAGTGTCTCTCTTCGGTCACGATCGCCGTCGGCCCGGGTTTCCTGGCCTACTCGCCGCCCGTGTTCTCGCGGTGTATTGGCATCGTGCACAGCTGCCTCATGGCCATCCAGGCCGAGTCGCAGAAGCCCGTCGACGACCAGGACATGCCCAACGCCACGTTCATCATCGTCTCGCTCGACCTGCTCAGCGGCCTGACGCAGGGTCTGGGCGAGAACGTGCGGCCGCTCATCGAGCAGTCGCAACCGTCGCTGCTGCCGCTGCTCGGCGCCTGCATCACGAACAGCGAGCCGCCGGTGCGGCAATCGGCCTACGCGCTGCTCGGCGACCTGGCCATCTCGGCCTTTCCCGTGCTGCGGCCGACGCTGCCGTCGCTCATGCCCGAGCTCATTGCGCAGATCGAGGTCGACCCCAAGGTCGAGAACGTCAGCGTGTGCAACAATGCCGCGTGGGCGGCGGGCGAGATTGCGCTGCAGTTCCAGGGCATGGACACGAGCGAGCTGCAGCAGTGGGTGGCGCCGCTCGTCGAGCGCCTCGTGCCCGTGCTGCTGAGCCCCAAGAGCGTCAAGAGCCTCAGCGAGAATGCGGCCGTGACGATCGGGCGCCTCGGCCTCGTGTGCCCGCAGCTCGTGGCGCCGCACCTCGGCGTCTTCATCGAGGCGTGGTGCCAGGCGCTGTGGGACATCAAGGACAACGACGAGAAGGACTCGGCCTTCCGCGGCCTGTGCGAGATGATCCAGTGCGTGGCAGCATCCTGGTGTGGGAGGCGTTGCTGACATGCCTGCCACAGGGTCAACCCGAACGGCGCGTCGAAGAGCTTCGTGTACTTCTGCAACGCCGTCATCCGGTGGAGCACGCCGAGCTCGGCCCTGTGCGTGGCTGCGACGGCGTCGTGCATCACACACATACTGACCCCCTGCGCACAGCAACGAGGCGTTTGCGTCGATCCTGCGCGCCTTCAAGGAGGTGGCGGGTCCCGAGAAGTGGGCGCAGCAGCTGGAGAGCATGCCGCCATTGATCTCGCAGCGGTGCGTCGAGACATCGCCCCGCAATGCGTGCTGCATGCTGACAGCTCGCTCCGCGCAGACTGTCGCAGCGGTATAACTTGTAGCGCCGTGCGAGTGCAGGACACAGGGCAGCCCCATCGTCACTCTACATACACACCCCTTTACACGGCCCTGCTGCTGCGTGTGTGAGCTGTCTGCGTGCCCGGCGGCAGGGGTGGGGAGAAGGAGGTGGTGCCCGGGAATGTTCTCGCCTGACCCCCATGGCCGATCGGCGGACAGCGCGCGGCCGCCGCGCCCAACACAACGCGCGAGCGCTGCGCCACGTGTTGGGGAAACGCTCGGGCCACCCGGTGCCTGACATTTTTTGCGCCAGGCGCGCACTCGGCGCCAAGGCCGTTGGGGCACCTGAGCAGCACTCGCGGCCGGCCTCGCGGTTCTTCTCGGCGAGCAAGTGGAGCTGCGCTGCTTGAGGGCATTCTTCATGCGATGCTTGTCGCTCACTCGCTCCACTCTCTGAGCGTCTGGCTCGTAGCCGGTGATGCTGGGCGAGGTGGAACGCAGCCCTCTGTGGAGGCGGCGTGGGCGGCAGAAGCAAGCGTGCAGCTGGGCCCAGCTTGCGGTCAGAGTTGAGGACCCCTCGCAGACGTCACGCGGCGCGAGGGCGCGGACACAAGGCAGCCTTGCGGCCCGCTGTCGGCCCGCGAGGCTCCGGCTTGCGCACCGCTGCAGGTGCTGCTTGTTGCAGATTTGCTGCTGCATGCTGCTCGATGAACGAGCTTCAAGGCTGCCGTTGCTCGAGGGACGGGGACGAAGGCGGCGGCGGCGTCAGGGCGCGGCAGCGAACCCCGCGGCAGGCGGCGCAAGTCGAGTGGCTGCGCCGCGCGCCGCGCCCGCACAGGCACGCCGCCTGCGGGCGCGCTTTCTTGGGGCAGGCGAGAAGCACACCCACCCGCGGCATCCGGCCGCCTGCGCCCGCCGCCGCCGCCTGCCGCAAACCGAACCATGATCGGGACGAGGCTGAGGACAAGGCACGCACACAGCGCTGCGGCCAACGTCTGCGGCGGCGGCGGCGGCTCGGCGCATCGCGGACAGGCGCAAGAGACAGGCGGCCGGCGTCGGCAGCGGTGCACGGCGCAGCGGCAGGCACGCCGCGGGTGCGGCCGAGCGGGGCCTGCGCCGGCTGCTGCACCTTCGCGGCCCTCTCTCGGCGTGCCTCTTGCCTCGTTCGAACTGGGTGTGGAGCTGCTCGCCGCTCGCCGCTCTGCGCTGGCACCGCTCCTTCTCGTCCTCGCCGCTCGCTGCGCCTCTCTCCCACCCACCACCACCACCACCCGTCCTCACCTCTCCGCACCACCCCCCGCCCCGCGCGCCGACACTCCACATCCACGTCGCCGCCGGCCCTAGACGTTCTCTCTGCGCTCCCTGTCACCTCGGTCTTCCGTCACCTGCTCCTCGTCACGAACCCCTGCTCCGTCTGTGCCAGCACACTAGCCCGTGCCGGCTCTCTGCTGCCCCCCGCGCGACCCCGCCTGGCACTGCGGCCGCTGCACCCTCTACTGCGCCTGCGCAACCCACACCTTGCCCAGCATGACGCTCAGCGCTGAGCACTATGCGGTGAAGCACTTCATCGGTGCGTCCTGCGCGCAGTGTAGCCGCCGCGCACTCACTCACTCACCCTCCACACAGGCGGCCACTCGCTCGAGACGGCGCCGAGCAGCGCGGTCTCCGAGTTCGTGCGCAAGCAGGGCGGCCACACGGTCATCACCAAGGTGCTCATCTGCAACAACGGCATTGCCGCCGTCAAGGAGATTCGCTCGATCCGCAAGTGGGCGTACGAGACGTTTGGTGATGAGCGCGCCGTCGAGTTTGTCGTCATGGCGACGCCCGAGGACCTCAAGATCAACGCCGACTACATCCGCATGGCCGACCAGTACGTCGAGGTGCCCGGCGGCTCCAACAACAACAACTATGCCAACGTCGACCTCATCGTCGACATTGCGGAGCGCATGAACGTGCACGCCGTGTGGGCCGGCTGGTGAGTGCAGCGCGGCGCGTGCTGCAGAGTGGCAGCGCCGCACAGCGCGCTAACGCCTCTCTCCCCAGGGGCCACGCGTCCGAGAACCCGCGGCTGCCCGAGTCGCTCGCCGCCTCGGCGCAGAAGATCATCTTCATCGGCCCGCCGGGCTCGGCCATGCGCTCGCTCGGCGACAAGATCTCGTCGACGATCGTCGCGCAGCACGCCGACGTGCCGTGCATGCCCTGGTCCGGCACGGGCGTCAAGGACACGATCATGAGCGAGCAGGGCTTCCTGACCGTCTCGGACGAGGTGTACCAGCGCGCCTGCATCCACTCGGCCGAGGAGGGCCTCGAAAAGGCCGAGACCATCGGCTACCCCGTCATGATCAAGGCGTCCGAGGGCGGCGGCGGCAAGGGTGAGTGCTAGCTGAGCGGCGGCAGCCGCGCAGAGCTCACACGCGCGCTGTTCTCAGGCATTCGCATGTGCGCCAGCGCCGACAACTTCCGGCAATTTTACAACGCCGTGCTCGGCGAGGTGCCCGGCTCGCCCGTCTTCGTGATGAAGCTGGCCGGCAAGGCGCGCCACCTCGAGGTGCAGCTGCTCGCCGACCAGTACGGCAACGCGATCAGCATCTTCGGCCGCGACTGCTCGGTGCAGCGCCGCCACCAGAAGATCATCGAGGAGGCGCCCGTGACGATTGCGCCCGAGGAGGCGCGCGACGCCATGGAGAAGGCCGCCGTGCGCCTCGCCAAGCTTGTCGGCTACGTGTCGGCTGGCACCGTCGAGTGGCTCTACTCGCCCGACACGGGCGAGTTCAGCTTCCTGGAGCTCAACCCGCGTCTACAGGTCGAGCATCCGACGACGGAGATGGTCTCGGGCGTCAACATCCCCGCCGCGCAGCTGCAGGTGGCCATGGGCATCCCGCTGTACCGCATCCGCGACATCCGCACGCTCTACGGCATGGACCCGCGCGGCGCCGAGAGCATCGACTTTGAGTTCGCGGACCCCGAGTCGTTCAAGAAGCAGCGCAAGCCGCAGCCGCGCGGTCACGTCGTCGCCTGCCGCATCACGGCCGAGGACGCCGCCGAGGGCTTCCGCCCGAGCATGGGCACGGTCAGCGAGATCAACTTCAAGGGCTCGGGCAACTGCTGGGGCTACTTCTCCATCGGCGGCACCGGCGGCCTGCACGAGTTTGCCGACTCGCAGTTCGGCCACATCTTCGCCTTCGGCACGGACCGCAGCGACGCGCGCAACCAGATGATCCTCGCGCTCAAGGACCTCAACATCCGCGGCGAGTTCAAGAACACCAACGAGTTCCTGCTGCGCCTGCTCGAGACGAGCGAGTTTACGCAGAACAACTTCACCACGGGCTGGCTCGACTCGCTCATCACGCAGCGCTTCACCGCCGAGCGCCCGCCGCAGGCCGTGGCCGTGATCGCCGCGGCGGCGGTCAAGTGCTACCTCGCCAGCTGCGACTGCGAGGCGGCGTACAGCGCCATTCTGTCCAAGGGCCAGGTGCCGCCCAAGGACACGATCAAGACGTTCTTCCAGCTCGAGTTCGTCTACATGGGCGAGAAGTACGCGTGGGCGGGCAATCGCGCGAGCAAGAACTCGTACGCGCTCTTCCTCAAGGGCCAGCGCGTGCTCGTCGACCTGCAGCCGCTGTCCGACGGCGGCGTGCTGATGAAGCTCGGCGGCAAGAGCCACACGGTGTACTGGCAGCAGGACGCCGCGGCGCTGCGCGTCATGATCAACCAGAAGACGGCGCTCATCGAGAACGAGGTGGACCCGAGCCAGCTCAAGAGCCCGTCGCCCGGCAAGCTCGTCTCGCTGCTCGCCGCCTCGGGCTCCAAGGTCAAGGCCGGCCAGCCGCTGTGCGAGCTGGAGATCATGAAGATGCTCCTGCCCATCACCGCCGCCGAGGACGGCACCATCACCTGGCTGCGCGCGCCCGGCGTCACCGTCGCCTCGGGCGAGCTGCTCGGCATCCTCACGCTCGACGACCCGTCGCGCGTCGTGCAGGCGACGCCCTTCACCGGCCGCCTGCCCGAGATGGGCCTGCCCGTCGTTGTCGGTGCCAAGCCGCACCAGCGCTACGACTACGCGCTCTCGGTGCTGCAGGACGTGCTCGCCGGCTTCGACCGCCTCTGGCAGCCGAGCCTCGATGAGCTCTTCGACGTTATGGCGCAGAACGAGACGCCCTACGGCCAAGCGCTGCAGATCCTCTCGACGCTCTCGGGCCGCATTCCCGCCAAGCTCGAGGAGGTCGTGCGCTCCACGATCGACGCCGCCTCGGCCAAGGGCGCCGAGTTCCCGGCTGCGCGCCTGCGCAAGCTGAGCGAGAACTTCGTGCGCGACAACGTCAACTCGGCCGTTGCTCAGCAGGTCACGACGGCGCTCTCGCCGCTCATGACCGTGTTCGAGGCCTACTCGCACGGCACCAAGTCGTACGCCTCCTCCATCCTCGCCGGCCTGCTGCAGCAGTACTACGACATCGAGTCGCGCTTCACCGGCGAGGCCGACGTCGTGCTCACGCTGCGCCAGGAGGCTGACGGCGACCTCGACAAGGTGCTCGCCATGCAGATCTCGCACAACGGCATTGCCGCCAAGAACGCGCTGCTGCTGGCCGTGCTCGACAAGTACGTCAAGAGCAACCTGTCGCACGGCGCCAACGGCGGCGGCGACCAGATGCACAAGGTGCTGCAGAGCCTCGCCTCGCTGCAGGGCAAGAGCACCGCGCCCGTGGCGCTCAAGGCGCGCGAGGTGTCCATGTCGCGCGACCTGCCCAGCCTGGCCGAGCGCCAGGCGCAGATGGAGAGCATCCTGCGCACCTCCGTGCAGTCGGCTACGTACGGCGGCGCCGGCGAGTTCCACGAGCCGCACCTCGCCGTGCTGCGCGAGCTCACCGACAGCCAGTACACCGTGTACGACGTGCTGCACTCGTTCTTCGGCGCCAAGGCCGTGCACCTGGCCTTTGCGTCGCTCGTGACGTACATCATGCGCGCGTACCGTGCCTACGACGTGCTCGGCTTCAAGTATGCCGTCGAGGACTTCGACGCCGACGAGCGCGCCGTGCTCAGCTGGAACTTCCAGCTGCCCGTGCACGGCCGCCCGAAGGCCGAGCGCCAGACGTCGGTCGGTGACCTCGTCGCTGCCGGTGGCGAGAGCAACAGCACGTCGCGCGGCGGCGCTGCGCTGCGCCAGGGTGTGATGACGTCCTGCACGACGATTGAGGACCTGCGCGACGTGCTTCCGCGCGCGCTCAAGTACTTCAAGCCCCACAGCGAGTCGCCCATCAACGTGCTCAACATCGCCGTCACGGACGACCCGGACGTCGGAGACGAGCAGGCGCGCGCGGCGTTCGCCAGCTGGACGAACCGCTTCACCAAGGAGATTGCCGCCGCCGGTGTGCGCCGCATCACCTTCATGCACTGCTCGCCCGGCGCATACCCGTGGTACACGACGCTGCGCCCCGCCGACGGTGCCTGGGCAGAGGAGAAGGCGATCCGCAACATCGAGCCGGCGCTGGCCTTCCAGCTCGAGCTCGACCGTCTGACGCAGAACTTCGAGATCACGCCCGTGCCGGTGACGTCGTCGACGATCCACCTGTACTTTGCGCGCGGCAAGGCGAACCCGACGGACACGCGCTTCTTCGTGCGCAGCCTCGTGCGCCCCGGCCGCCTCATCACGGGCAGCGTCGCCGACTACCTCGTGTCCGCCTCGGACCGCATCGTCAGCGACATTCTCAACGTGCTCGAGGTCGCGCTCGGCAAGCCCGAGTACCGCACCGCCGACGCGTCGCAGATCTTCATGTCGTTCATCTACACGCTCGATATCACGCTTGCCGACATCCAGAAGGCGCTCGCCGGCTTCATCGACCGCCACGGCGCGCGCTTCTTCCGCCTGCGCATCACGGGCGCCGAGCTGCGCTTCGTCATGCAGGGCAAGTCGGGCTCGACGCCCACGGCCATCCGCGCGTTCGTCACCAACGAGACGGGCTTCGTCGTGCGCTACGAGGCGTACGAGGAGGTCGTGACCGACGACGGCCACACGCTGCTCAAGAACATCGCCGGCCCGGCGACGCCGGCGACGCTGCACATGCAGGACGCGCACCAGCCGTACACGACCAAGGTCGCGCTGCAGTCGCGCCGCTCGCGCGCCCACGCGCTGCAGACGACGTTCGCCTACGACTTCGTCGATGTGCTGCGCCAGTCGCTGCGCGCCGCGTGGAAGCAGCACGCGTCCAAGTACCCCAGCGAGCCGATCCGCTCGCTCGCCGAGCTCGTGCTCGACGAGAAGACGGGCGAGCTGCGCCAGGTCAAGCGCGCGCCCGGCACGAACAACATCGGCATGGTCGCCTGGCTCATGGAGCTGCTCACGCCCGAGTACCCGCAGGGCCGCCAGGTCGTCATGATCGCCAATGACGTGACGTTCCAGGCCGGCTCCTTCGGCCCGGCCGAGGACCGCTTCTTCGCCGCCGCGTCGCGCCTTGCGCGCCAGATGGGTGTGCCGCGCCTGTACATCTCCGCCAACTCGGGAGCTCGCATTGGCCTCGCCAGCGAGCCGCTCGACCTCTTCCTCGCCAAGTTCGTCGACGATGACCCGGACAAGGGCTTCGAGTACCTCTACCTCGACGACGCGGGCCTGGCCACGCTCGCCGAGCGCAAGGCGTCCGACAGTGTCATCACCGAGCGCCGCGAGCGCGACGGCGTCGTGCACCACGTCATCACCGACATCATCGGCATGCAGGAGGGCCTCGGTGTCGAGTGCCTCTCCGGCTCCGGCCTCATTGCCGGCGAGACGTCGCGCGCCCGCGACGAGATCTTCACCGCGACGATCATCACGGGCCGCTCGGTCGGCATCGGTGCCTACCTCGCGCGTCTCGGCGAGCGTGTCATCCAGGTCGAGGGCTCGCCCATGATCCTGACGGGCTACCAGGCACTCAACAAGCTGCTCGGCCGCGAGGTGTACACCTCCAACCTGCAGCTCGGTGGCCCGCAGATCATGTACCGCAACGGCATCACGCATCTCAGCGTGCCGGACGACCTGGCCGCCGTGCGTGCCGCCGTGCGCTGGCTCTCGTACGTGCCGGCCACGAGCTCGTCGCCGCTGCCGCGCATGCCCAGCGCCGACAGCTGGGACCGTGACGTCGCCTACTACCCGCCGGCCGCGCCGTACGACCCGCGCCTGCTGCTCACGGGCACGTCGGGTCCCGAGGCCGCCGCTGGTCTGCTCGACGCCGGCTCGTGGACCGAGACGCTCGCTGGCTGGGCGGCCTCCGTCGTCGTGGGCCGCGGCCGCATCGGCGGCATCCCGATCGGCATCGTCTGCTTCGAGACGCGCACCACCGAGCACGTCATCCCTGCCGACCCGGCCTTCGAGGACAGCCGCGAGCAGCGCGTCGTGGCACCCGGCCAGGTCTGGGGCTCTGACTCGTCGGCCAAGACGGCGTCGTTCATCGAGGACCTCAACCGCGAGCGCCTGCCGCTGCTCATGCTCGCCAACGTCCGTGGCTTCTCCGGCGGTGCCGCCGAGATGTTCGCGGCCGTGCTCAAGCGCGGCTCGGACATCGTGCACGCCCTCTCGGCCTTCAAGCAGCCGGCCTTCATCCACATTCCGCCGCGCGGCGAGCTGCGTGGTGGTGCCTTCGTCGTCGTCGACGCGTCCATCAACGCCGACGGCGCCATGGAGCTCACGGCCGACACCGACTCGCGCGCCGGTGTGCTCGAGCCCGCCGGTATCGTCGACGTCAAGTTCCGCCCCGAGGCGCAGCGCAAGATGCTCCACCGCGTCGACCCGCGTGCCGCCGAGCTGGTGCGCAGCGGCGACCGCGCGGCACTCGCCGAGCACGAGAAGAAGATGTCGGGCGTGACCAACTCGATCGCCTCGGCCTTTGCCGACCTGCACGACCGCTCGGGCCGCATGCTGGCCGTCGGCTCGATCCGCAGCGCCTTCGCCTGGAACGACGCGCGCCGCTACTTCTACCGCCGCCTCAGCCTGCGCATCGCCGAGTTCGACGCCATCGCCGTGCTGCGCGCCGCCAAGCCCTCGCTCGAGGTCACGGCCGCCCGGGCGCTGCTCGAGGAGACCCTCCAGACCGGCCTCGGCGACGCCGACGAGCAGCAGCTCATCGACCTCATCGCCAGCAAGCAGACTGCCATCGCGGCCAAGGCCGACGAGCTGCGCAGCGACGCTGTGCGCGCATCCTTCGCCGCCCTCTCGCCCGAGGCCCGCCAGGCGCTGCTGGCCTCCCTCTCTTCCTAGACTCGTGCTTCGTTCATGTCCTTCCCGCAACCCGTCCATAGAACTGCCATGATTTCTGCCTCTTCCTCGAGTGAAGCGCCTGTCACACACGTGGGCTCCGGTGACTGCCATGGCATTGCTCGAGCCACGTCCGTCACTCGTCGTCCTCATCGTCGTCGTCGTCGTCTGCCTCGTCGTCGCTGACCTCCAGATTGGCTGCGCGCATCTTGGCCTTGTCAGCGACGCGCTTCTGCGTGAGGTCGTCGAGGAGGACCAGCAGGTCCTCGAGCTCTTTCTCGAGCTCGGAGCGTGACCGCGCGCCGTCCTCCTCCGGCTCTGCGGCGGCAGCGGCCGGAGCTGCGACTGGCGCTGGCCGTGCTGCAGCCTCCGCCTGTGCGGCCGCCGCGCGCGCCTCAGCCTCCGCTGCGCGAGCCTCGGCTGCTTGGGCGAGGCTCTGAGCCTCTGTTGCACGGGCCTCGACCTCTGCTGTCCGGCTCGTGGCTGCGCCGAGGGCTGCCTCCGCTGCAGCAGCTGCCTGGCGAGCTTGCTCCTCGGCCTCTCGCGCGGCAGCAGCGTCTTGCTGGGCATCAGCCTTTGCTCGTTGTGCGTCGGCCAGGGCGGCCTCGAGATCGGCTTGCGGCGTCGCGTTGCTTGCGTTGCTCGCAGCGGCCGCCTCGCGCTCCGCGGTCAGGGCAGCGAGCTGCGTCGTGAGAGCATTGCGCTGCGCAGAGAGGGTCAGCAACTGACCGGCTCGTCCTGTCTGACTTCGACTCGGCTCACCTCCTCTTCGGCCACCCGCGTGAGCTCAGCTAGCCGTGCCTCGAGCGCCTCCAGCTCGCGAGCTTGCCGCGAGGCGGTATCGCGGAGCTGCTCAGCTTGCCGCTGTGCATCCAGCAGCTCTGCCGGCGCAGCAGCCAGCGTCTCTGAGGAGGATGCCGGGTCGATGGTGATCGACTTTTGCACGCGAACTGTGGGCGAGCGGATCAGCCAGGAGGCCACGCAGCGCTCGTTCTTCGCCACATACCGAAGTTGTTCTTGAGCCACTCGACGAACGGCCAGTCGAACCAGATGCCCTCCTCGCCCACCTCGCCGGCCAGAGCAGCTGCCACAGTCTCAAAGGTATCCGGCGAGGTCTCCTTGATGCGCACATCATCGCGGAGGCGCGCCAGGCGCGCGGCGAACTGGTCGGTGCCAATGCGCGAGACGAGCAAGGGGTGCATCGTGGCGCGTGTGACGCACTCGGCATTGTCGTGCGGCGCGAACTCGTACGCCACGCCCAGCACGAGTGCACAGAGCGAAGCCACGAGCGCATCGACACCGCCGCCGCTCTGAGCCGCGGGCTGCACGAGCGTCTGCACGTTTGAGCTCTCCGAGAGTAGATCTGCGACGCTTGCCGGAGAGTCCCAGAGCCACTGTGCAAGCAGCGAGAGGTAGCCGACGGCAATGCGCGTCCAGTCCGTGCTGCTCGGCAGGCCGCCGAGATCGGCTGGAGGAGCTCCTGCGCCAGCAGTGGCGTTGCGCTCGCGTCGAATGGCCTCGCCGCGCTCGCGCTCCGAGAGCATGAGGTTGCCGACGAGCACGTGCAGCAGGCTGACCTCGTCGTCGTCGGCATCAGGCTGGGCGTTGCGGCCCACAACCTTGCCCTCGGCGCCGAAGCGGATCTCGCGCGCCAAGCCCTTTGCAGTCTCGCTGCCGCGCACGAGCGAGGAGAAGAGCAGCGCTGAGAAGAGCGAGCGGTAGGCGTCGAAGCGACCCGAAGGCGGCGCGGAAGGGAACTGCGCCAGGTTGTTGAGCAGCAGCACGCCGGCGCTAGGTGCCTGCTCCTCGGCATCAGGCACCATGCCCGCGATGATGCTGTGGCGCGCGTCCAGGTTGTCGGCGACGAAGGCGTCGAAGGCGCCGAGAGCGGCGGTGCGGAATGCCAGCGCAGCGGGAGCGCTCGACTGGCGCAGCACAGCTGGCGGCGCGCCAGAGATGGCCGCATCGATGAGCACGAGCACGGCAGGCCGAGCTGGCAGGCGAGTGTAGGAGACCAGCGGCGCCGGAGGAGCGCCCTCCTCTGCTGGGGGAGCGTCGACAGCGAGCAGTGGGCAGATGAGAAGCGAAGAGAGAAGGTCCTGGTTCGCCCGCGACGAGTGCAGCAGCGACGTCAGGACGCTCAGCGCCTGCGCCTTGAGTCCTAGCGGCGCGGTCGACGCAAGCGCCAGCTCGAGCAGGCAGCGGGTGAAGCCTGCGTTCAGAAGCGCGTTCTGTGAAGCGAGGTCAGTCCAGCCCTTCATGCTTGTGTCGCTGCGAAAGGCTCACCTGGTTCGCCCGACGTCCCTCGCCCTGACCCTCGACCAGCAGCCGCGCAATGCCAAGCACGAGCGCGGCGTTGCGCGCCTTCTGCCCGTCATCAGCGCGCAGCGCCTTTGGCGGCTCTACGCCATCAGCCCCGTCAGGCATGACCTCCTCATCGTCCCACGACTGGAAGGCAAAGGCCTCGAGCTGGCGGGCGTGCTCCTGCTCGGCGGCGCGCGACGAGAAGCCGGTGGCCGGCGGCGGGGCTGGAAAGTAGAGCAGCGGCGCCAGCAGCGGCACGGAGAGCGTCTCGCGGAAGTAGTTCTGGTTCGAGACGTTCCATCGCAGCAGACTCTCGAGGCCCTCGAGCGCGTCCTGCACGAGCAGGCCGCCTTCGATGCGCCCCTCGGCTGCAACGACATCGATCAGCTTCTCAAAGGCGCCTTCGAAGGCGACGAGCTTCTGGATGTCGGCGTTGCTGTCCACGAGGCGGGGCAGCAGGAGCAACGCCTCGTTGCGCACGATTTCAGACGACGAGCCGCTGCCCTCTGCGAGGCACTGCAGCACGGCGCCGCAGCCGCCGGGAGCGGTGAGGAGGTGCTCCTGCACGCTGGGAGCGCGCCAGCGCGTCAGCGTTGCGAGCAGCTGCAGCGCGGCGAAGCGGGTATAGAAGGAGCGCGCCGGCGAGAGCAGGGGCAGCAGGGCGTGCAGCGGCGCCGGACGGGCAAGGATGGCGTCGATGTGGGTGAGCGCGTGCGGCGGCAGCGACGCCGGCCGCGATGGCTCGGCGTTGGGTGCGTCGACGATGGCCAGCAGTGCCTCGAGCACGGCACGCGCGATCTCGTCCTCGACGCCGCGCTCCGAGAGCGTGTCGCGCTGCAGCGTCTCGAGCAGCGCCGGCAGCGCCCGCGTGCCGACCTCCTGCGGGTGGTCGCGCGCCAGGCCCTTGAGCGCAAGGACACTGTGGACATGGTGTCAGCCTGAAGTCACGCATGGCAGTGAGAAGGGCTCAGACAGTGCTGCGCAGAGCAGCAGCAGCAGCAGCGGCAGAGCGCGTGTGGGCTCCGCACCGCGCACCGGGCCGCGAAGCTGCTGTGCTCCCTCTATGGCCCAGCTCGGCCATGCGTCCGGCCCACTCACGCAGCCTTGCGATCCTGCACATCGGGCAGCTCGGCGTCGGGGCGGCGCACGAGGCGTGCGGCGAGCGTGTCGAGGGTGTTGGCGAGGCCCTGCTTCTGTGCGCCGCCGGCCGACGCCAGCGACGCGTACTTCTTGCCGAGCCACTCGGCGCCGTGCAGCATGACGCGCGGCGGGCTGGAGAGTGCAAAGGAGGGTGTGCGAGCCGAGGGAGGAGGCGATGGCTGGGCTGCAGGTGCGTGTGGGAGAAGGAGAGGAGGTCGTGGTGGTGCGAGGCGAAGCGTGCCAGCAGCCGCGCGAGCGGAGGGCACGTACGTCCGTGCGGTGCTGGCAAGGGGTCCCGCACGTGACGCCTGGAAGCCAGCCAGGCGGGGCAGCGTGGGAGCGGCGCGTCGCGGCGCGTCCTGGCCCCAGCAGCGCCAGCGCGCGCCCAGCAGGTCCAACACCCGCCCCATCCCCGCTTTCGCCTGCCCGCGCGACATACCTTCCAGCGGCGGCACAGCACAGCAGCGCCTGCGACTCTACTCAGCTACACATTCATAGCTCGCGCGTCCGCGCTGCACCGCGCCATGCCCAGCAGCTCGCTGCCCCAGTGGGGCCGAGGTGAGTGAGCGCGTGGCCCAGCAGCGCACACGACATTCGCGGCGAGCGCCTGTGCGGTGCTCGCCGCGGCATCACCCAGAGACCCTCGGGGAGCACGCTGCTGACTCTGTGGCTTGTCGCAGTGCTCATCGCCGGCGGCACCGACTGGCCGAACCTAGGCCGCAAGCCGACGGGCCCCAAGGTGGTCAACGAGGCTGCGTGAGTGACGCATGGCGAAGCAGGGGGTGCGAGCGAGGCCACAGAGGAGTTGCGGTCGAGGAACAGCATGTCTGGTGGTCCAGAAGCGAATCAGCGCTCTGCTTGGACTCGAAGGCAAGGATCAGCCAACGGCTTCGTCGCCGCGCCAAGTGCTGCCATTTTGGGCTCGCGGTGTCCGGGCCTCCACTCACCCGCCCCGCCGCACAGGCCCGACCTGCACTCGCCGCACATCCTCCGCGCGCTCTCCAACATCCGCATCACGCGCGTCTTTACCTCTCACTCCTCGTCGCACTCCGTCTTCCTCGCCGTCGATGGCCGTGCCTGGATGCTGGGCCGCAACGAGCGCGGCCAGTGCGGCGTCGACGCGGCGGCGCGCCCCGCGCTGCACGTGCCGCACATGCTGGCGCCCGGCGACTTTGAGCCGCCGCTGCCGGAGGGCGAGGACGGCCACATCGTGTATGCGGCCACGGGACGCACCCACACGCTGCTCGTCACGGCTGCCGGCGCGGTGTACTCGGCGGGCGACAACAAGCTGGGACAGGTGAGTGGCTGGGATCAGGTTGCGCGTTGGGGCACAGATGGGGCGGTGACGCGGAGGAGACGCGAGAAGTTCGGCTCTGCAGGCATTCTATGGCCAAACGTCGAGTTCAGTCGGGGCACGGCTGTCATCGAGGAGACGCAAGCGATCGTCTTCTCTGTCGCGCTTTGCTGACACGTTAGCACGCTTGCGCGATCTGGAACGCTCCTCAGTGCGGACAGGACAAGCTGGGAGACATCCTGCGCTTCAAGCGCATCGATGGGGCTGCTTACACGAAGGAGAAGGACGGCGCCGTGGCCGTGTCGTGCGGTCTGGGCTTCAGCCTGATCTTGACGCGCTCGGGCAAGGGTGAGTGCGGCAGGGTACGCTGCATCGCGCCTGCACGCTCAACGCTCTGCCGATAGTGTACGCCATGGGCTCGTCCGAGAAGGGCCAGCTGGGCAACGGCAAGACGGGCGAGCACTTCGTCAGCGCCAACAAGCTGGCCTTCGCCACGTACTCTGAGCCGAGTGAGCACATCTGCAGCGCTCCAGCCCGTTGCAACGCTGACATGCAGGCACAAAGCCCTGGTCCGTGCGCTGGCGGACAAGAAGATTGTGCAGATCGCTTGCGGCCAGCAGCACTCGATTGCGTGAGTGCAGGCGCAGCTGAGACGCAGCTGCCCAGGCTGACGCTGCGCTCGACAGCCTGGAGGACAACGGCTACGTGTACGTCTGGGGCTTTGGCGGCTACGGACGGCTAGGCACGGGCACGCAGCACGACGTGCTTGTTCCGCAGCTGGTCACGCAGTTCGCGCGGTGAGTGTGCCGTGTCGGAGTCTCTGTTCCACGCAGCTCATCCGTCGACGCGCCCAGTGACAACACGATGACGCGCGCCACGGCTGTCTTCGCTGGCCCGACGTGCAGCGCAGTGATTGACGGACAGGCTATGTACTACGTCGCGGGCAAGTGGAAGACGTCCGGCGACGGCGGTGCTGGCCAGGGCTACATGACGTTCAAGTATCTGCAGGAGCTGTGAGTCTGGCTTTGCGCTCTGACAATGTGCATGGGCGCTGACTCCGCACCCACAGCATGGGCGTGCACTGCCTCAATGCCGCGCTCGGCGGCGTGACGCTGCTGGTGACGGCACGCGAGCTCGAGACGGCCAACACGGGCCCGCAGGAGGCGACGATGAACGTCTGCTGGGGCCAGGGCGCCAACAACGGCGAGCTGGGCGTGGGCCTCGGCAAGCCCAAGAGCGCGACGAAGCCGCAACGATGCGAGACGCTCGACCGCATTGCTGTGCTGGACGTCGGCGCTGCGCAGAACACGACTTTCTGTGAGCACGATGGCGCGTGGGCGGGCTCTGCTCCGACTGACGCGCCTGAGCAGACGTCGTGCGCAACATGGGCGACGCATACTCGGACCTGCCGCGCTTCCCTGAACTCGTTGACAGCTCTGACCTGTGCAAGCGCTGCGGCCGCGAGGAGTCTGCGCGCGGGCCAGAAGATGCGCTGCTCGAGTGCGAGAAGTGCGAGAACCCGCGGCACCTGGCGTGCCTCGAGCCGCCGCTCAGCGAGGTGCCCGAGGGCGAGTGGCACTGCCCCGACTGCATCGCCGACGCTGGCGCCGCGGGCTACCTGGAGCCTGGCGGCAAGCTCGCCGACGGCGGCTCAAAGCGCAAGGTGGAGGACGACGAGGATGATGATGCGTCCAGCAAGCGCGCCAAGGGCCGGACGCCCGCAAAGAAGCGCAAGTGAAGAGCTCAACAGCGCGACAAAGTTGCGCCCGGCCTCGCAGGCCGTCCGCACCCCATGCTTCCCGTCCGAACCTCTGCACTGCGCTGCCTCCCTGTACTCTAGCACCCTCCGTTCCTTCACCTGCAAAGCAGCCGGCAAATCTAGGACATCTGCAACGTCGAGTGTCGCGGATGCGCAGGTGTGTCATTCGCTGCGCTCTATGCGTGCCGCCGGCTGCTCTCGCCGCGGTCGTCGCGCTCGTAGCGGCTGCCAGACTCTCGTTCCCTACGCTCGCCGTTATCGCGCGAGCTGCCTTCCCGGCGATAGCGCTCGTCGCGATCGCGGCGCGAGTAGTCGTCCTCGTGCCGGCGCCGCTTTGAGTCGCCGTCGCGATCCGAGCGCGGCGAGCGCTCGCGGACACGGTCGCGCTCCGAGCGCCCAGAACGGCCGTCGTCGCGCTCGCGCTCTCGATGGCGCTCGCGTTCGCCGTCCCGTCGTCTGTCCCTGCCATCGTCTTCTGCCCGCCGCCGGTCCCGCTCCTTCTCCCTGTCCCTCCCGTCGTCTCTGTCGCGATACCGGTCCGACTCGCGGTCCTTGTCGCGGTAGCGGTCGCGCTCGCCGTTGCGCTCATCGCGCCGGCGCGACGAGCCAGGGCTGGAGCTGCGCGAGTCGACGATCTAGGAGCAGGCCTGGTCAGCGAAGCGGTCACACGCAGGCACCTGGTCTGAACTCACTGCACGCTCTTGCGGTGTTGAGCTACCGCTTGCGCTGGGTCCGCCGCGCTGCACAACTGGCACGTATCTGCGATCGGGACGCGGCGGCGGCTTACCCTTGCCTCGTGCAGGCGCAGCATCGTCGACCTTGCGCTCCTTGGCGCCGAGACCGAGCAGCGCGGCACGCTTCTTGACCTCGGGCGCATGAATGGGTCCTTGGTGGTTGCGGCCGCCGCCCTGACCCTCGCGCCAGCCCATGCCACGCAGCATTGCAGCGCCGATCTCAGACACGGGCATCGCCTTGTAGTCGTCGAGCGTCGGCACGTCGGGCCGCGTGGCGACGTCTGCGCGCGTCGCAGCAGCCTCATCTAGGGCAATGACTCGCTCCGGGCCGCTCTCGGCGAACTCGATGCCGGCGCCCGAGAGAAGCGCAGCACGCGCCTCGGCATCGAGGTCTGGAGGCGGCGTGAGGCCTGAGCGAGAGGCAGGCGGTGTAGCGTCGCCAGGACCGGCGGCGGCAGCGGCAGCCGCCTGAAGCGCCTCGATCTCGCGCTCCTCCTCTTCCTCGCGAGTTCGTGGTGGACTGCGCGGCGCCCGCTTTACCAGGCCGACGCGCTGCGGCTCGTCGCCAATGCGGGTGCTACCGGCGCTGCTGGCTGCGCCTTCGCGCGGCGGTGCCGGGCCGAGCTGGCCCGGGCGGCGCATGGAGGTGAGGCTGCCAAGCTCGGCCGCATGGCGCTCGAGGTTGAGGCGGCGCTTGCGGGCCGCGACCCAGTCCGAGTCGCCCTGCAGCGGCACCGTCTTAGGTCCGGCGCGCGGCGGCGACGGGCGGCCCGAGAGGGCGCCGCGCGACGAGAAGCCAACGACGGCCTCGGTGCGCGCATGCGACGAGCGGCGCCCGCCGTCCGAGTCCGAGCCCGATTCGGAGTCGCCGCCGAAGGCACGGCGAGGCGGCGGCATGATGGTGGTGGTGAGGAAGGAAGTGCAGGCGCGGCGCGAGGCGAAGTGACGCGGCGCGGCGCGGCGGCGGCCGCGTGAAGCAGAGGCGCGACGTGCCGCCGCTGCATCTTTGTGCATCGCGTGCCTCCACTCCTGCCTTCCGTCCACGTCTTCCTCCCACACGCTGCAGCCATGGCGAACCAGACGCTCAAGGGCGCACTCAACGTGCGCGGCACCAACCCGCAGCACCTCGTTGAGAAGGTCGTGCGCGCCCGCATCTACGACTCGCCCTACTGGAAGGAGCACTGCTTCGCCCTCACCGCTGCCAGCATCGTGCCCGTCGCCGCGCGCCTGCCGTACATCGGCGGCTCGTACGGCGCGCAGCGGCCCAGCCCGTTTCTCTGCCTGCTGCTCAAGCTGCTGCAGCTGCAGCCGGCGCGTGCCATCATTCTCGAGTACATAGCAGCGCCCGAGTTCAAGTGAGTGCCGCGAGCTGGCTGTGCGAGGAGTGAGATGCGGCGCGGGACACAGCAAGGGCGCGAGAGGCAGCGAGAGGTTATGTCGCCGCGCTAGGAAGGGCCTATTACTGCAGATCGGGCCCTGCGGGACCGGTGCAGAGATCATGCGGCCTAGATGACCTATTGCGGTAGGGCGAGCGTAACGAGAAGCGGGCCACGCTTGGCTGGCTTCACACGACTGAGCAACCGGCCTCTGAAGCCTCACGCTTGGCGTACGAGAAGCAACGAGGCCTCTCGAGCTCTGAATGCATCACTCTGGCGCCCGTCGCCTGACGTGCTTGCCGACCTCACGTCTGACATTTGTGCGCTTCTCTCAGATACCTACGAGCGCTGGCTGCGATGTACGTGCGCATGACATTCCCATCGCTCGAGGTATACGAGGTGCTCGAGCCCATGCTCAACGACTATCGCAAGCTGCGATGGCGAGACATGAGTGAGTCTCATGCCCGACGCGACCAGCATCAGCGGCGAGCAAGAACGCCCTGATCGTCCGCTCGTGCGCTTGATCGCCCCTGGTGCGGCCGCTGATTGAGCCCTCTTCCCGCAGGCGGATCATATCGGATAACACACATGGACGAGTTCGTCGACTCGCTGTTGACGGAGGAGCGCGTAGCCGACCTGATCCTGCCGCGTCTGACGCGGCGAGACGTGCTGGAAGAGGGCGAAGGCCTCGCACCGCGCGCCTCGCGGCTAGAGGATGCCCTGCTGGCGCGAGCTGAAGGCTCGGGCGGCGAGGAGTCGGACGACTCGGTGCGGGAGGCACGAGAAGACAAGGCGCGGAGAGCAGAGCGGGCACGGAAGATCCGCGACACGAAGAGCGGGCCGAGGGGTGTGGAAGATGTCGAGGAGGAGGAGTACGTCTCGCAAGAAGAGTCGGACCAGGAGCGCTTCGTCAGTCGCTCGCCAACGCCCAGCGGCAGCGAGAAGGGCGGCTATGTCAGTCGCAGCCCCTCCAAGAGTCCGGCGCCGGGCTATGTGAGCCGCAGCCCTTCAAGGAGTCCGCAGCCTGGTTTCGTCAGTCGAAGCCCGACGCGCTCGCCGGAACGGTCTTGAGCAATGTCACCTCTTTGCGGCAATGTGCGCTTGAAGCGAGCCGTGACAAGATCGAGAGCCGGCTACAGGGCGACTGCTGCTGTCCGCCTCCATCGCTCGCGGCGCGGATGAGCTGGCTGAGGTGTCATGGTACTTTCGTCGTGCCGAGACAGGACCAGACGCCTGTATGCTGGGTCGAGCGTTGGATGCCTGCACCACATCCAGTGGCTGAGCAAAAGCATCAGCGCAGGCCCGCACATCTCCTGTGCAACTTCACTCACCGCACAGGCAGCTTGCCAGCGTCCTCAGGGGGCAGTCTCGCGAAGAACTGCCGGTCGGCGTGCTCCCAGAGATAGTCTTGCCGCTCAAGCAGGTCGTGATCGCGGTGGTCGCGTTTGAAGCGCTCGATGACCCGCTCTGTGCAGGGCTGAGAGAAAGAGCCTGTGCTCGCGATCTGCGAGTGTGTACAGCGTCAAATTAGTCTCATTTCGACGCCCACAGGGAGCTTGCTCACCTCCCTGTCGAGGCAGCTCTGGCACAGCAGCGTATACTGAAAGTCCGACGGCGGAATTCTGCGCCAGCGCCCAGTCTCGCGCGAGATCGTGTAGCGAGTGTAGCAGGTAGTGGCAGCGATGAACAGCTCTCGCTCGTCGGTCAGGCATTTGTGGCATCGGGCATGACGATGCAAGTCGATCTCGATGCGCTGTCCGGGATGCCTGTCCATCAGGTCTTCCCAGCGCGCTACGTTGCGGATCAGGCCCCATGATCGGCAAGTGCGGCAAGCGTGTTCATGTCTCCGTGGACTTGCTACGCTGTCAAGCTGCTTGCGCTCGAGCTCGATGAAGTACTGCTCTGGCTGATGGAAGGTGATGGCTCAGCCTCGCGCGAGCCGTCTCGCGATGGTGCCACGGACCATCGACTTAAGAGCGGCCCTGAGCTGCTGGCAGGCGGCTGCAAGACTCAGTGCATCTGATGTAGTGCCGATTTGTGCGAATATTTGCTGCCAGAGCTCTACTGGTACAGCCGCGGCGGCGCCCGTGCGAGTCTGCCGTCGAGAGGCATCAGCAGTAGGTCGAAGGCACAAGCACCAACGTACTTGGCAGCGTCCTTCCTCATCGCCAGATCCCCTGCTGCTCGCTTTCCGCTGCCTTCCAGGCGCTGAGACGGGCTGAGACTCTTGCTGCGACTTCCTCAGCATCAGCAGAGCCAGCAATGTGGTGTGCAGGAGCAGCAGGCTCGACCTGAGCAACCCGAGAACGAGACACCCTGCTGCGCGCACATACGGGTGCCCGTTGCACGGGCGGCGGGCCGGCGTGGGAACACGTCGCGCGAGCTCGTCCAACCGGATTGCGCTCTTCGCCGTCCTCTTCGGGCCTCTATCTATCTTTGCACATCGAGTGTGTGTCTGTGATTCTGGAGCAAAGAGCCTCTCAATGACCTGGCCTCGGTGAACCCGCTTAATCGGAACGGGGAGGCATCGTTACTTATGCGCAGCCTGCCGAGCATGCTCGCGCGCCTCGTCCGCGCAAGCGTCCGCGTCATCAGACAACGAGCGCTTCTCGTCCTGGAGTCAGAACGAGGTGACGTCCGTTGGCCAGTGACGCTTGGCCTTTCTGAGCTCAATCTGGCAGATGAGGCGATTCGCTTGTTGCACCACGTGCCGCATTGTCAAGCTGAGAGCGGTGTACGGCATCACATGACGTCTGCTAAAGGCAGAAGACTAATTTCCGCTCGTGCCCCCTTGAGGAGCAAAGCGTTGGGGCGTGAGCGTCATGGACAGCACGCAATTGTTTAAGCCTGGGCTTCGCGCGGTCGGACCGGAGTCGCGAGCTTCCTCGCCGTGCGCTCCAGACTCCGCCTCCAGCGCGAACGCCAGCGTGGCAGGGTCCCTAGGGTGCGCGCATCCCGAGCCCCCAGGGTCCCTTCACACACCGCTCGCCACACGGCGTCCGGCGGTCGTGCTGACGAAGCAAGTGCCGCCAAGGCAGCGGGTCGGAGGCGCTGTTATCAGCCCTCGCTGGCGGAGAGTGCGAGCGCGGAAGGCGGACCGAAGCGTGTGTGCGCCGCTCCGTGCGTTCGGCCGCCTTGCAGCTGGCTGCAGAGCACGCTGCAGCGAGCTGGCCCCCATGGAATGCTGCAGGGTGCGCCAAGGGTCGCGCACCCGAGAAGCCAAGAAGCACTGCCGACGGGCGAAATGCAATGGCCCGTCCTTGCCACGCAGCAGCAGGGTGCACGAGGGGTTCCATGTGGCGGTGGCGAGCAGTGAGCCGCACGGGTGAGCCTTCCTCCCGGCCGGCTGGCTGCTGCGGCCCCCGCACTGGTGTGTGATAGCTTGGCGCCTCACCCCCGCACGGCTGAACAGGCTGCTCATGCGCAGGTGGCAGTGCGTTGCCCCTTGGCAGAACCCTGCTTGCGGTGCAATGTCTGGCCGAGCTTCTCGGGCCATTTGCCGCAGTCGCGGCGTCGTTGCCACCACCTCGTGGGCCGAGCAGCGCATTGGCGCGCCTCGGACCGGCTCCCCGGTGCGGAGAGCGAAGCTGCTGCAGTAGCGCGGACGCGCCGCTGCGAGCACAGCAGCAGCGTGAGAGAAGCCGCAGCCCCATGCACGCAGCGTGCCTAGCGCCGACGCATCTGCAGCGCAGGAGAGCAGCCGCCGAAGCTGCGGCTCGGCGTGGAAGGCGCCCGCAGAGCAGTCGCGGCCCGAGGGGTGGGTAAACACGACGGTCCGTCGACGAGGAGGTGCAAAATGGAAAAAGCTGCCCACTGCGCTGGATGCGGGGAAGTCACTTCATGCTCGCACCCACCCGCAGCGGGCAGGTCTGGATCTCCCGTGCCGAAGCCAAGCCGAGTCGAGTCAGCCTCTCGCACGACGAGCCGGGCTGCCCGCATGTGTCGTCGGACGGGCCTTCCATCCGCATGCCTGCCTGCGCTTGCTCTTGCCCCGCAGGCAAGAGTCGCCTCGGGCAGAAGCAGCAGCCGCAGCCCGGAGTGTGTCTTGCTCGGCAGCACGCCTGCCGAGACCGGCTCACGGCGAGCCGTGTTGTCCGGGCGAGCCGGCGCTCGTCGTCGCTGCCTTTCTCGCTTCGCCATCGCATGTTGGGTAGACGCCGTCTCGAGCATCGGGGAGACGCGGACCAGGCAGAGTGCGGGGGAAGGTGCAGCCGCTGGCGCCCGAGAGCGACGCAGACACGCGTGCTTAGCGCCCCTCGCCGCGATCGAGCGACGTCAATGGGCGCGAGTCGGCGAGGAACGCTTCGCTGCTTGCAGCATCTCGGTCGGGCAGCGTCCGGCGCTCGCATGGCAGCAGCATGGCCGAGTCAGAGTGTGGGGCAGCGCGAGCACGCGGCTGACGCGCTGTGCCGTGTCAACCGGGCGGGGGCAGGTGCTGCACACATGCAGTGCCTGCATTCCGAGCGTCGCCGGCCTCTTGCTCCAGCAGAAGGCCAGATGTTCCATACAGTATTCGGAGGCCAGCACAGCAACTCAAGCGCAATGCATGCGGCTGCGGGGTCTTCTGCCGCCCGAGCTTGGCCACGCCGGCCCCGCACACGTCGGCGGGGTTGGCGGCACTGGCGGGCTCGGGAATCTTTAGGCGTGTCGTGCCGAAGAGGTGGCTTGCACGGCTTGCCTCGGCCACGGCAGCTCGCTGGCACTCCCCACGCGGCAGCAGCGTGCCTTGGACCGTGGCCGAATGTCTATTGGGCAAGCCGGAATGCTGCGCCCCGGAAGAGAGGCCGGCGAGGGCACATGTCGGAGGCTGCAAGATGGACGCTCGGCGTACTCGCCGGAGGCCTCCGCTGCACCTCGTCGCGACGAGCCGGGACGCCCGCTGGCACCACGTCGCTCGTTCTCGAAGAGCCCGGGAGCGAACGAGGCTGCGTGGGCGCCGTCGGGAAGCGCGAGCTGCCCCACGCTGCGTCTCCGTCCGTTGCGGCAGCAACACCCAAGCGTCCCCGCCAGGGCGCGGGACGGGCTTCAGAGGCCCGCCCGTGCCTGCGAGCGCAACGGACGAAAAAGATGTTGAAGCACCCCGGGGTGCAATGCAAGAGATGGCGATTGACAGGCTTGAGCGGCCGCAAAGCGTTGCGGGGCCCGTTGGATCCAGGTGTTTGGACGCGCCCCAACGCCATCCCCTGGCGCCCGGCGCCGGACCGGTACTGTACCGCATTCTACTGCATGGTGACTTGCGCTTCAGCGTCCGACCTGAGCTGCGGGAAAGGCCGCTGTGCCAATCAGATCAACCGCCATGCCCCGCCAGCAAGCCCAGCCAGCCATGGGCCGCCACGGCCGCACGCGGCTGCGGGGTCAGGCGGTACCTCGGAGCGCCGCGAGGCAGAGGCCGGTGCCGCCGTCTGAGTATCCCGAGGTGCGGTGCCGTGCCTTCGACGGACGCACCGCCCGCGTGGAAGGCATCGGGAATGCGCCCGTCGAGAGGCTGGGCCAGCACGCCAGCTCCGCCTGCGCTGCTCGCCGGTGCCGACGAGCGCCTCTGAGCTGGCGACGGAGATTTTGGCGGCGAGAGCGCCGGCGTGAGCGTGAGCGCTGCTGTGCTGCGTGCCGCGTCTCTCGTGTGGCGCTCCAGCTCGGCGACGCAGGCGGCGGACGCAGCACGCAGCGGCGCTCCGCCATGCCGCGGCAGCGCGCCCTCGGCAGCGTGCAGCGGGTGTCTGCTGTGCGCTGTGCCGCACCTGCGCCTGCATGCTGCGGCTGACCTTGCTGGGGTGTGGGCCACCCTCGGGCGAATGCAGAGCGACGGACCCGCGTGGCGTGGCGTGCTGCTCAGCCCACACAGCGCCCTTGGGGGAATGAGCAGGCGCAAGGCCTCGGCGAGAGGATGAGGAAGGTGGAGGACGCAGCGCGGCGGAAGCGCCGACGCGCGAGGCGGAGAGGAGGGTAAACGTTCCTCGCCGGGCGGCCCGGCAGTCGACGACGGTACAGATGCTCTCCTGCGCCTCCTCACTCCTCAGGTGAGGCTGCATCTGGGCGGCTGCTCAGGCGCAGCGTGCTATCTTGGGCACCCCTCGGCGCAGAAGCACTTGGCGCCGCACTCAGCCTCGCGCTGGCAAAGAGGGGGCGGCAAGTGAGGAGGCAGCCCGCAGCGGCAGGGAGCTGCTGCCCTCCTCTTGCTGAGCTTGCTTGCTGGCGGTGCTGAGCTCGAACGGGTCCCTGCTTCTGCTGCTGTCGTCGGAGGCGGCAGCGTGAGGTTGCTGCGCGGGCCAGCTCGACGGCACCCTATGTGCAGCTGCAAGCCGACGGAGGGACGCCGGACCCGGCTGACGCGTGAGGAGCGCTGGGGCACGGCGGAGCAGCGTGCCTCAGCCGGCCTGCCTGCCCTCTCGCCCTCCTTGGGCCGCGTCGTCATGAGCCGCACCCGAGACTCGTCTTGGGCCGCGCTTCGACTCGTCTCATCTGGATTCGATTTACTCGCTTGCGCCCAGCGTCGCCCATCAAGCCCCTCTCTCGCGCGCCCAGGGCACATTCAGGAGGTGGCTCGTCTTGCTTCATCAGGCGCACTTGCGCGCACGTGCCTTGGGCGTGTGAGAGGGGGGTGTGCTTTCAGGCGGACGAGGTGTGCGTGTGCCCATCCATCGCATGTGCGCTGCGCTGCACGGCGGACGGGAGGAGCTGCGGGCGGCGCAGCTCGCCGCACAGCCGGCTGCGGGAGCGGCAGGAGAGCGCCCGGCGTGCGGCGCGGGCGGGGCTTCAGCGTGCAGCGCTGCCTCGGCATGTGGCCGCACATCTTGCCCACGCCGCTCCCGTGCCGGCGCGCGGCGCTCGACCGACGGAGCGCCGTCGGGGTGAGGTGCGCCCGCGCAGATGCAGCGCCGGCACGGCGCGGTGCGGCGTACCGCCACGGCGCGCGCGCAGAGGCGGCACGCCGCGAGAGTGCCGGGTCAGCAGCACACGCAGCGCAGCCGCGGCACGCCCGCCGAGGGCGCGCGGCGGCGCCTCGCTCTGCCACGGCCGCACCGCCCGCCGCGCGCGCACACATCCCCGAATCACGAGCACCGCCAGAGCGCCTCGCCGCGCGCGTGGACGACGGCCGCCGTTGGGTGGAAGCCAGCCCGCCCGGCTCCAGCTCGAGTCGAGCCCGAGCTTCAACCACCAGCCTCGCCCATCTCATCTCTCCACCCCACCACCGCACGCCCGTTCCTCATCACCCCCGTCCCATCAGCCGCGCTCTCGCTGCGCCCCGCCTCGAGCCAACACGCGCGCGTGTCAGCAGGCGCGTCATTTCCACGCCCGCCGCGTCTGCCGCTGCCCGCCTGCCGGCTGCGCTGCGCCCCACCGCTCCACGCTCCGGGCCCGCCCAGGCACCGCCGAGGGGCCGCGCCGCCCAACCCCACAGCCTCGCCCTCGCTCCTCCTTCAGCCCTCTCCACCACCTCTCCACCTCTCCGGCGCCTGCTGCCTGCTGCGCGCCGCGGCATCGCATCCTCGCCTGCGTGCTGCATACACGCAGCGCCGGCAGCCGCTGCGGCGTCTCTCTTTCTCTCGCCTCTCTCGCCTCTCTTGCGCCGTCCTCTCTCTCCTCGCACTCTCCTGCGCCCGCGCGATCGGTCTGGTCGCCCTCCGCATCGTCTTTCGACGCCACGCCGTCGCACGAGTGCGGCCCTGTACCTCTCGTCGTCAGCGCAAGATTAGCGCTCGTCACGCGTGCACGCTGCTCGCCTGCCTCTCCGCCCAACTGCACCCCTTTTAGGCCTATAGTGGCGCCCAAGTCGGCCACGTCGCGCACCACCCCGGACGCTCCTCTCTCCCGGCCTGCTCCTGCTCGGCTCCGAGCGGCTCCGCACCGTCGGCGAGCCCTGAACGTTCCGGTGTCCTGACGCCTGCTCGCCTGCTGCGCGACCGCATTTAGGCCATCCCTTACCTCTTCGGCCAGCGGCGTCAAACACGCACAGGGGCGACTCAGCGTTCTCTTTGCTCCTGTCTCGAAGCCACACTGTGACGCACGACTCGTCGCGCTGCATCAGCTGTGATCTCGACGAGGACAAGTGCTCGCCGGAGCCGCGCGCCATCCCTATATCAGCCGACACCACCACCCCAATGCCGTCGGTGCAACCCACCCGGCGATCTCCGCCGCCTCCCGTCGCCTCCTCGTCCAGAATGACTCCTCCGCCGCCCGCGTCGCCGACGACGCACCAGGTCGGCGCCCGCCAGGCGACGCGCTCGCGCACGCGCACGCGTGGCGGCCCCGGCGGCCCGTCGCAGTCGTCGTCGCGCCAGCGCTACAGCTCCGAGGACCACCCGCTGAGCCCGCACAAGCTCTCGGCGCGCGGGTACCACTCGTTCAAGTGCCTCGAGGTGCCGTTCCACGTGCACAAGCGCTACACGTTCCTGCGCGAGCTCGGCATCGGCGCGTACGGCTGCGTGGCGCTGGCGAGGGACAGCGTGCTGGACTGCAATGTTGCGTGAGTAACAGCCGGGAGCGCATCGTGCCACCGCGCATACATCCACTGACAGCAGCCACCGCAGCATCAAGAAGATCACCCGCGTGTTTGAGCGCGACGTGCTCGCCCGCCGAGCGCTGCGCGAGGTCGCCGTGCTGCGGCATATCGGCATGTGCGGCAACGTGACGGCGCTACTCGACTTCGACGCCAGCTTCATCGAGTTCAACGAGATCTACCTCGTCATGGAGGCCAGCGAGGCCGATCTCTCGTGAGTCGCACCACGGTGCTGCTCTGATGCCATCCACTGACACGATGTGCAGCCAAATCATCCGCTCCGGCCAGTCGCTGTCCGACTCGCACCTGCAGTACTTCCTTGCGCAGATTCTGCGCGGCGTGCGCTACATGCACGCTGCCAACGTCATCCACCGTGACCTCAAGCCGGGCAACCTGCTCGTCAACGCCGACTGCCAGCTCAAGCTGTGCGACTTCGGCCTCGCTCGCGCCCACGCCTCGTCGAGTGAGCTCGCGCCGCCACACGCGGCCGGCAGCGACTCGTCGCATCATTCCGAGCCGGAGCAAGATCACGCCACGCCGGGCCAGCCGGCCCCGCCGACGTCGGACGACGGGCGGTTACAGTCGCCCGAGGTGGAGCCCGTCGCCGACACGGTTGCATCCGTCGAGGTGCGCCACAGCTCCATGTCGCAGACCGTCGGGCGTGCGGCCAAGGCGACGCCCGACGCCGCGGCCGTGCCGAGCCGGCTGCGCACGTCGCGTCTTGCCTGGCCCGGCGGCCCGCTGACGGAGTACGTCGCCACGCGATGGTACCGCGCGCCCGAGGTGATGCTGTGCTTCAAGGGCGGCTACGGCGCCGAGCTGGACATGTGGAGCGTCGGCTGCATCCTCGCCGAGCTCATCGCCGGCAAGCCCATCTTTGCCGGCAAGGACTACGTCGATCAGATCGCCCGCATCAACAACGTGCTTGGCAGCCCGTCGCAGGCCACCATCGACAAGATCGGCAGCGAGCGCGCCAAGACCTACGTCAAGAGCCTGCCGACGATGCCTGCGGTGCCGTTCAGCAAGCTGTACCCCAAGGCCTCGCCGCTCGCCATCGACCTGCTCTCCAAGCTGCTCACCTGGGACCCGGATGAGCGCATCTCTGCGCAGGAGGCGCTCGAGCACCCGTGGCTGGCCGCCTACCACAAGAGCAACGCCAGCTGGACGCGGCCAGAGGGCTTCTCGCGCTTTGCCGAGGTCGAGCTCATCGAGTCGATCAGCGACTTCAAGCGCGCCCTCGAGCGCGAGTCCAACGAGCTCAAGGACGAGCTCGCCGCCATGGAGGCCGAGGAGGCAGAGGAGCGCCGCCTGGAGGAGGAGTGCGCACAGGCCGAGGCCGCTGCGCACGCCGACGGCGATGGCGATGCCGACGACAGCGAGTCAGAACTGCGCGAGACAGCAGCACCGCGCAGTGCTGCTGGGTCCGCCACGACCAGCGGGCCAGCCGGCTCGAGCTCGTCGTGCAGCGTCTCGTCGCAATCGCGCACGCGGCCCGTCAGCGCCTCGTCGCCAGACGCCTCGCCGCTGCCGACGCCGTCTTCACCGGCTACCAGCGCCGACGCCTACGAGACAGATCCCACGTCTGCGAGCGCTCCGCACAGCCTCTCGAACAGTTTCTCCAAGCACCGTCGCGGCCGCGAGGTCTCGTCGGAGTCGTACGCGTTGCACACTGCCGACGACGACACGACGCTGCGTGCACGGGCTCTCGACGACTCGCTCATCGCGCACGGCCTGCTCCGCCCGCAATCGGACGAGTCGCAACTCGAGCGCCCCGCGTACCGGCGCCGAGCGCTGTCCAACGCCATCTGCCTCAGCGGCAAGAGCGCCGCGGCGCAGCGTCGCGCAGCCGACAGCGACTTGACCCTCAGTGTGCGCAGCCTCATGCCGTTCGGCGTGCGACGCATCACCGAGGTGCCTCCGTCGCCGGCGCACCGCACCGACATCATCGCGCGGCCGAAACAGGGCTTCGAGAGCGTGAGCCGCCGGCCACACGAGAGCAAGCTGCTGAGCCACTCGACCGACACTCGCTGGCGCGACCACCTGCGCCGCCTCGGCCTCAGCGAGGAGCAGGCCTCGCAGCTCTCGCACATGCACATGCCGGCGCTCAACAGCGCGAGCCCGCAGGCATTCGACATCCACACGCGCGACGAGAGCCACGAGGGCAGCGACTCGACGGTCGGCCGACGCGGCGGCAGTCCCGAGTGCGCCTCGCGCTCCTCTCCCATCGCAGCGTAGTCCTCCCCTCATCCCTCCTCTTCGCCCCTACTTCATCATCGCGCACCTCTAATACCCGCCGCCCTTCGCCTTCGTCCGGGACCGCTCCTCTCTCTCCCTGCTTGTGCCGCCGCTCGTTCTTCCCACGCGTTCTCTGCCGTCACCTCACTCAGCCCCCTCACGTCGCGCACCTCACTCTCTTCACTCCCGCCCTCTCTCGGTCTACGGATTCTCATTATTAGCCAAGCAGCCACAACACAAGCTCGACTCCCGCCTTACCCTAGGCGCAGGTTGCGCAGGACCCACCTCCGTCCCGCGCGCTGTCGACGCTTGCTTCGTTGCCCGAGCTTCGCTCTATCGCGGATTCTAGTCTAGCTCAACTCATTACACCTCACTCTGCAATTCACACTCGTGTCCCACATTCATCTGCTGCCGTGTTGACGTGCTCGATGCTGGACGTGCTCGATGATGGGGCGTCCGACGGCGGAGCCCGCCCCAGCATTACTCCGAGACTGACGCTCGCCGTCGTCGCCATCGCTCCGGCACTGTGTCTGCCCGCGCTCAATCGTCGCCGTGCCAAGCTTGCTGGCATGCGTGTGCGGCAGACACGGCGGCGGGACGTCGTGCTCATGACTCTTCAGCATGCAGCCGCAGCGTGAGCCGGCGGGACCTGCCCGTCAGCAGCAGGCGCAGGAGCGGAAATTTTGTTAGCGTGCCTCGGAGAGCGCTCTCGATCGTCGCGACCCTGCACGTCGCGCAGCGAGCCGTCAACTCCGCGCGCTCCGCCGAGCTCGGGCACGCACAAAGGCCGGGGCCGATGCGGAGCCCCAGAGATCGCAGACGCACGCTCTCTGACATCTGCATGCTGCAGCCGCCGCGCCAGAACTGAGCTCCTGCACGCATGACAGGCGGCCGGCCAGCACTCGAACGGCCGGACTCCGGCGAGAGCTGCCAACCGTTCTGCCAGCCGCGCCGCCAAGGCACGTCGAAGGCTGCGGCTGGTGAGGCCGTGTGGCTAGCCTAAGCTCGTTAGCGCCTCGATGAGGGCATGGCCGAAGCCGGTTTGCCCGCCATGCACGCTCCTCCTCCTCATCGCTGCGATCTGTGGTGCACCGACGAGGCTCCGGCTGCTCGATGCGCTCGCTGTCGGGGCGCACGCTTCATCTCGGGATTCTGCGGCGCCGCAGCCTGCTCGATCGTGTGGGGCTCGAGCGTCACAGTCATCGTGTCGGGAGTACAGCTACAGGTACAGCTCGCGGGACCAAGCCTCGGACGTCGTCGACGGGTCGTGAAGGTTCATGCGCTCGTAAGTGGCTCCTGATGAGCGCGGGGACGCGCTGGCTTGGCGAGCGACGTGCCGAAGGCGAAGCGAGCCTCATAAGGCCGGCTCGCAGCGTAGGGCACTGTCAAACGCGCACGCCAGTCTGGGGACAGAGCGACGGCCCGTGCGTCAGCATCGTCGAGAGGTGGATGCGCCGAGAGCACCCACATGCAGGACCAGCTCCTGGTACAGCGCATCCGGCAGGTCGCGCACGAGCGTGACGGTGATGCCGATGATCTTCTGCGCCTGCAGCGGCGGGAAGCTGCGCAGAAGCTTCATGGGGCTGCAAAGCGAGGCGAAACGTCTGAATCAGCCTTGAGCCTGTGTCGTAGATCACATACGGCGTTGCGCACCTCGTGCTGGTCATGAGCGCATCGCGCATCAGCAGCAGCTGTGCCACCACGCAGAGAATGTTGAGGTGTGCGCCAAAGGCGAGGAGGAAGTCCCACAGCTGCAGCACCTCGTCCAGCGGCGGCGTACAAGCGCAAAGCGTGAGAACAGCTGCGGTGCCTGGGATCAGACTAAGCAACGTCACTGCCATGCGAGAGACTTACAAGGGAAGGCGTAGAGCTCTGCTGTGAGGTTCTTGGAGCGCAGGTGGGTGTAGAGGGCGGCATCCGCGAGTAGCAGGCACCTGTCAAGCAGCTGCGTGACGGCAGAGTCTGAGCTTGGCGTTCTCATGCAGCGCTGCCGCTACTCACATCAAGCCCAGAGTGCACGCCTGCCAGCGTCGGCTGCACGTACAGCGGACAGCACTCCTCGATGAAGCTGGTGAAGCACCAGAAGGCCTCGAGCTCGCTGCGCATGGCGTAGAGGAACGGCGCGGCCAGCACGTTCATGCCTTGCACGTAGGAGAAGCTCATCGTGCCATCCGTCGGCTCATCTTCGCCATCTGCCGTAGCGAAAGTCAGGCCACGCCTAGGCCGCGAGTTGCACGCGGGCCGACTCACCATCATTGCGCCAGACGAAGGCTTCGAGCAGGCGCACCAGCATGCCCTCGTCTACACGGCGCTTGAAGCCTTGATCCGTCGCTAGCGTGCGGAAGGTGTCGTTGCGGATCTTGGCGTGCGCCGTCGAGGGCCCTTTGGCTACCAGCGTGAGATACGGACCCGCGGGGCATGAGACGCGTAGCAGCAGCTTCCACAGCAGAGGGCGTGTTGGGCCATATGGCGTCACGAACTGCGAAGCAAGGAGCACGACATGAGCCTGTGCATCGATTGACACGCTGAGCCAGACGGGCAGCCTGCACCCGGCGCGGCTCATCTTCACAGATTCGCGAGCTGCTCCAGGGGCCCCCAGCGCGGTACTCACCTCATCGCTCGGCACACCGCTGAGCACGAGCCTGCGCAACCGGCGCATCGACTCGAGGTACTCCGTCTCGCTGCGCATGCGACTGCGACGCAGAGCCTGCGGGGCCGAGGCGCGCTGTGCCGCCGGCGCCGGCAGCGGCTTGTGCCGCTCGAAGAAGCGCGTCCAGGCCACCTCCACCGACGTGGGCGTCGCGGCAGGGCTGCTGGGCAGCGAGAGCGACGACGAGTCGTTGGAGCCCGTCGCGCGAGGCGAGGCTGTGGTGTGCCGCGAAGCCATCACGCCTCGAGGCTGCGAAGGCAGAAAGCGCGCTCTCAGTCCAGGTTGGTGCTACGCGCGCGCGGCAGCGTGTGGAGGCGCGCCGAGTGAGCCGGCAGGCGCTTGACGTTGCGGGGTCGTGCGGGTCGTAAGGATGGCGTGGGTGGGGCTGGACGCTTCGTCGACGCTTGCGGCAGTGCGGCCGTGCGGCCAGTGTTGCAGCGTGGCCGCTTGCGCTGCGCTGTTGCTGAGGACGACGGGTGATGACGGTCAGGTCGACAGGGCCCACGACGACCCGCGCGGTATCGGCTGGGGCTCGAGGCGCGTACGTCTTGGGTCGCACGGCGCCGTGGCACGTGAGCCGTCCACGCGCGAGACGTCTGTGCATCTGGCGCTACTCGCGCGCGCCTCGAGGGCTTCTGGGCTGCGCCCATTCCCTGGCTTCCCGCCTCGATCTCCTCTCCTCTGCCGCCTCTGCTGCACCACCTCTTCCTCTCTCTCTCCGCACGGTGCCACGCTCAGAGCAGTGCGGCTTGGCCACGCCAGGCGCGCTTGCTGCGGACTTTGCTGCTCCGGCGGAAGCATATTGCCGGGCTGCGGCCAAGCCAGCCACCTAGGCGACTGGAGCTCAGCACGAAGTCATCGTCCTCGACATGGCCGCTCCTCGCGCCTCCTCGTCGGCGCAGGCGGGCAGCAGTATGGCAGCGCCCGGCGGCGGCGTAGCTCAGGCCGGCCCGCCGCCGCCCGACGCTCTGTCGCTGCTCTCGGCCGCTCTCTCGGCGCCGTCGCCGGCCGCCGAGGATGCGGCGCTCGAGCAGCTGTACGAGGTGCTGCATGCGGCACCGGGCAACATCCCGCCGCTGTTCTCCTCGCTCATCGGCCTCATTCCGCGTGCTGGGCCGAGCATGACCACCTGGGTGCTGCGCGTCTGCAGCCTCGTCTTCTGCCGGCCGAGCTTGAATACGCAGACGAAGCTTCAACGTGAGTGCAGAGGGCAGCGAGCACAGGCGGGACAGAGGCTGTGCATTGCAGGCATGGACATGGAAAGAGAGTCGTGGCGCAGCAACCTCTGCGCTGCGAGCCAGGTTGGGCCAGTGTCGGGCTGCACGTTACTGCGGCTGGACAGCCCAGTCGTCGTCGCCATACCAAGGTTTCGAGCTCACTGCTGATGCACGAACACCTCCAGTGGCACCTCAGGTCCCAGAGACGCTGCTGCACTACCTCTCTTCCGGGCCTTCACCGCCAAGCAACACGACCAAGGTAGCGATTGAGGTCTTCACCTCGCTCTACCCTCTGCTCTTCCGTCTGTGCTGCGAGGCGCCGCAGAACCCGGCGCTGGCGCGCGCATGGAGCGCCATCGAGCAGCTCAAGGCGCGCACTGCGGCTGCCTACGACTCAATCGCACCGGCGGGAAAGGCGGGCACTGGTGTGCGCATCGCGGTGTTCAAATTCTGGCAGCGGGCTGTTCTGGTGGGCACACGGGCGGCGAATGACCCACGAGTGAGTGACGTGCTACAGCTGGACGGGTACTGCTGCGCAAGCATGGTGGGAGAGGGTGCGTGCACAGGTCTAGTCACACGAGGCGCGAGACACATCTTGCTTGCAGCGCCAGCTTGCGGCGACTACTTCATGCTGGCGCAGTCATGACCTTTTGTCGGCCATCAGCTGACAGCCTACCTCAGAACATGACGCCGAAGCACCACGATGCGAACCTGCTCATGATCCCGCCGAACCACCCCTTCCTGAATGTGGCCAACCTCGAGCAAGAGGCGAACAAGTATCTCACGCAGCTCATCACTGTCGTCTTCACCTCAGCGTGAGTGGAACGTGATTGGCTCGGGCGGCTGTGGCTGACCTCTCCCTGCAGCAACTGCACGCTTATCACTGCCGCGCTGAACACGCTGGCTCTGCTGGCCAAGGCGCGGCCCACGCTCTCGCCGATCGTGCTCGAGGCACTTACGTCCTGGACGCCCGTGGCCCTCGCTGGACGTCCGCACCACGAGATCCGCAATGCCGAGAAGACGCTGCGCGTGCTTTTCTTCCACTTCCACCCGGAGCGCAACAGCTACGCAGGCGCACACGCGCAGCAGCTCGTCGATGCCATTGCGCGACAGCGAGCCAGGATGGAGGTGGCTGCGCGGGAGGACGCGCAGCGGCGACTGGCTGCCAAGACAAAGGCCGACGGGAAGCGGAAGGCAGAGGAGGGCAAGCCGAAGCGCAAGAAGGTCAGGTGGTCCGACTTCGACGACGCTGGCGAGGGGAGCGATGCACCGACGCCGCCTGCTGCTGCGCCACCAGCGGCAGCTGCGCCTGCGCCAGCTCCTGCCGCCGTGCCCAAGGTCGAGCCCGTTGCAGCACCTGGGCCAGCGCCTGTGATCCCTGCCGGTCCGAGCCATCCTGCACTGGACGTGTCGATTGGCGCTCAGGCGTTCGCAGCAGCAGCGGCGCAGCCCGGACGCGCAAATCCGCTGTCAATGTTCAACGCAGCCAGCCTCGAGGCGCACCTCGTCATTGAGCTCACGCTCGCGAGTCTGAGCGAGCTGAACCCGGCGATCTTGGCTGAGGCGATCGAGGTGAGCATTGCGGTGTACATGCCTGCATGAACACGCTGACGCCTTCCGTTCCTAGCGTACGCGATCAGGCATCATCCGCGCCGCTTCTGGCGCTCCGCCGCCTCTCATGGGCTTTGGTGCGGCTCCAGGTCCGCCACCGGGGCCGCCGCCGGGGGCACCTCCATCGATGCCGCCAGCCTTTGCTGCTGCCGAGCAGTCGCAGACAAACGGCGCAGGGGGCAGCGCGCTCAACCCTCTGCAGATTGACGTCGACGAGGACGAGCTGGCTCTGACAGGCGCGCCTGAGCCCGCCAACGACGGGCCGGCAGAGGGCAGCAAGTCCGGCGCAGGCTCCTCATCCGAGTTTGCTGCGCTGGAAGGCTTCGTCCTGCCGCCGCCAGAGCGTTTGAGTGAGGCCGAGACACGTGGTCTCATCCACGACACCGTCTCGAACATGTGCGAGATGGGCGTGGCGGGCATGGCACCGCGCTTCATCACCGTGGAGGAGGAGGCTGCGCAGGCACAGGCCGGGCCGAGCGTCACAGGCGATGCCGACCGCGCGCTTTGGGCTACGCTGGTGACTCGACTGGCCACGCGCGCTTTCGCCGATACATCTGCGTATCTCGGTGAAGATGGCGCCGAGGGCAAAGGCAAAGGGCGCGAGGTTGCCGAGGCCGAGGGCACCGTCGGCGCGCACGCAGACGCCGTGCGCGCCTTGATGCTCGGCTTCGTGCGGGCCGACTTCCAGAACCGCATCGCCTTTGCGGCGCAGTGGATGGCCGAGGAATGGCACTGCGATGCCATGGCACGCCGGCGACACGCAAAGCAGCGCGACACCTCGGCGGCAGCTGACGAAGCGCCCAGCTCCAACTACGAACGCTGGCTGAGCCGGCTCGTGCAGGAGGTGCTGCCTGTGATTGAGGGCGACGACAAGGCCCTGCAGCGCCTGCTCGCCGATGTGCCGTCGATCCCCTCATCCGTCATCGAAGTCCTGCGAGAGCTGTGCGTCGACCGAACACGCATGCGCGTCGGCTTCACGATTCTGCGCGAGGTCGCGCTCGTGCGGCCGCCGTCTCGCCAGGCCGCCAGCAGCATCCTGCTCGACCTCACACGCAGCGCCGACAAGCCCACGCGCAACGCCGCCATCATCACTGTGCGCGGCTGGGTGGGCCAGTCGCCGGCACTCGAGGGCTACGTGCTGGAGCAGGCTCGCGAAGGACTGCGCATCATCTCGGGGCCTGCACCGGAGAAGCCTGTGGACGCGGCCGCCGAGGGCGAAGACGAACAGATGGAAGCCAAGGAAGAGGCTGCGGAGCAGCCCGTCAAGTCCGAGGCGTCGGCTTCTTCTCCGCCGCAAGCGAACGGCGCATCCTCTGCGCCTGCATCCGACGACACAGCGGCGGCAGCAGCAGACGCCAAGGCGGAGCCTGCTGCGCCAGTGTGGGACGAGGCCGACGTGCTGCGGCATGTGCAGCTCCTGTTCGCGCTCTGCATCAAGGTGCCGAGTCTGCTCGACGAGATCTTCGCGGCCTATCCGAGCATGCTGCCATCGGCGCAGTCCGCCGTCGAGCTGCACATCGCCGACCTCATCAAGTCGCTCGGCCCCAAGCACGAGGGCCTGCTGAACTGCCTGCGCAACTTCCCCGAGGGCGCCGACGGTCTGGCTCTGTGCGCCTTCACGGTGCTCACGGAGAAGGGCCGGCCAGGCAAGCTGGTCAATCTCGTCAAGAAGCTTGTCGAGGAGCGCAACGTCGACCCGCGCTTCCTGGTGCCAATCATGCCTGATCTGAGCAAGGTGAGAGTGACTGATCCCTGCAGCGGCGCCTGGCATTCGCTGACACGCTGCGACAGGATGAGATCAAGAAGTCGCTGCCACGCGTCGTGACGATGCTCAAGTCAGGCAAGCCCGAGGACCGCGCGTTGATCAAGTCGCTCTTTGCCTCCGTCGTCGTGGCGCCAGCTGCAGGCTTCGGCAGCGTGTCGACGAACCTGCCGCGCGTCCGTGCCGGCTCGCTGCTCACGGCCGTCGAGCTCATGGTGCTGCTGGCGCACTCCGAGACGGAGATCGGCATCAAGGCCACCGTCGACGCGGTGCGCATCTGCTTCGGCATGCCCGACATCTTCCGCAGCGAGGTCATTGGCGCCGTGCTCAACCAGATCGTCGAGGAGCCAGTGCTGCCAAGCATCTTCATGCGCCTCGTGAGTCGCCTTGCGCCGCTTCCCTCGCGCTCCATCGCTGACACCCGCACCACAGGCCATGACGGCAGTCTCGACCTACAAGTCGCTCTCGAACTACGTCTCGGCCAATCTGCTCACGCGGCTCATCACCAAGAAGGTCTGGACGACGCCGCTGCTCTGGGACGGCTTTGTGCTCTGCGCACGGCAGACGGCGCCCGGCTCGTTTGGCGCGCTGATCCAGCTGCCCAAGGAGCAGCTGAGCGACGTGCTGCGCCGGCAGCCCGTGCTGCGCGACGGCCTGCGCGAGTATCTCGAGAAAAAGGCGGGCGGCAACAAGGCACGCCTGGCCGAGTTCCTCAAGATCCTCGGCGACGAGCCGGAGAAGTCTGACGAGGCGGCCGCGCAGGGCAATCTGCCCGGCAGCGGAGCCTCGACGCCGATGGCCGCGGTCGGCACGCCTAGCGCCGAGCCGTGACAGCCGACAGTAACGCAAATGCAATGTTTGGCAGCACCCTCTGCGCCGCAGCACTCCTCCCTTGTGATGATCTGTTTTTGCTAGAGGTCGAGATCGAAGCCTGTGTCCTCCTCCACTGCCGTGCCCAGATTCCAACCCTCGCTGCGCTGCACAGCTGTCTCCTCCTGCTCTTCCCGCCTCTCCTTTTTGCTGCCAAAGTCGCGCCAGCTGGGCGGCTTGGCGCCGAGTGCGCCAGAGCGCAGCTGCGCCTCCGTCGGGAACGGCAGCGAGGCGCCGGGCCCGCCTGCTCCCAACAGCGGGCCGCCGGGCGGCGGCGGAGACGAGGAGTTGAGCTGTGCGACGACGTGCGGCGGCGCAGACGTGGTGCCACCCAGCAGCGTGGCGTGCGAGAGGAGCCGATCGGCAGGCAATGGGGCTGGGTGCGAAGAGTGAGGGTGAGACTTCCGGCGGCTCCAACAGGCGCAACTCACCGTCCATGGCGCGCCGTGCAGCCTTGAGCCTGCTCTGCGCCTCGTTCACCAGCCCCTCCATCTCACTGCTGAGCGCCGCCAGCCTCTTGATGGCCTGCTCTTTCTGCTCTTCGCGCTCGCGCACGCGCTGCATGGCCGTCACGACGCGGGCGTGTGTGGCCTGATGCTCGCGCGCAAGGTCCAGCACGCCGGCGAGGAAGGCATCGAGCTGCTCGAGGGCCTGCAGCGGCGGCAGGCCGGCCAGGTGTGCACATGCAGATGGCGGCTCCGGCACGGGCGAGGCGAGCGTGAGCACGCAGGCCGCCAGCTCGCGGTGGTAGGCGAGCAGCGAGAGCAGCAGCGGCTGCAGCGGCGTCGCGGCCAGCTCGGCGAGCAGCGTCGGCGGCGGCAGTGGCGGCACGGAGAACGGCGCCGCCTCGGCCACGCTGCGCTGCGTCATGGCCGGCGGCGGGACGAGCGCGCTGAGGTGCTGCGGGGCCGAGCTTGACGGACGAAGAGAAGGGCAGTGATGGAGCGGACGAGAGAGGCGCAGTCGCGCAGCGCGGCAGGTCCCTCCCGGGCGCGTGGCTTGTGCGCAGGCGCAAGGCGGTGCAACAGCGCGCCGCAACCTCTCCTTCCCTCCCTCACCCCAGCCCACACCTGTCTCCTGCTCTTGCGTCCCTTCTCTTCGCACACACGCTCCCGATCTAGCGCCAGACCCTATCGTGCACACAGCATCAGCGCTCTCCGTGGTTGACTGGCGAGCAGGCGCGATGATCCGCTTCATCCTCGTGCAGAACCGGCAGGGCAAGTCGGTGCGTCGTCTGCTCGCTCCCGACGGGCCTCGCGGTTGCTGACACACCGTCGTAGCGGCTGTCGAAGTTCTACGTGCCATACGACGACGATGAGCAGTCGCGCCTCAAGGGCGAGGTGCACCGGCTGATTGCGCCGCGCGACCAGAAGTACCAGGTGCGCGCTCACGGTCCTCGCTTGCCTCGTGCTCTCTGACGCCCTCGTGCACAGTCCAACTTCGTCGAATTCAGGAATCACAAAGTCGTCTACCGGAGGTACGCCGGCCTCTTCTTCTGCGTCTGCGTCGATGTGAACGACAACGAGCTGGCGTACCTGGAGGCCATCCACCTCTTTGTGGAGGTGCTCGGTAAGTGCGACGAGACGGGCGCGGCGTTAGGCTCTGAGCAGGGAGGAACGAGTACTGCGTGTGCAGGCACACTGATGGAGCTGTGACGGCTGCGGCTGTGGTACTTGAGACAGCGGCGGGACAGAGCGTGCGCTTCCTCGTTCGGGCAGCCCTACCGGCAAAGGTCTGAGGGGCAGCCTTGTCTGACCGTCTTGCCGATCAGACTCGTTCTTCGGCAACGTCTGCGAGCTCGACCTCGTCTTCAACTTCTACAAGGTGTACGCTATCCTCGACGAGATCTTTCTGGCGGGCGAGATCGAGGAGACCAGCAAGCACGTGGTGCTGGCGCGGCTCGATCAGCGTGAGTGGCGCGACTGGCCCGCTCGTCTAGGACGGTGCTGATGACGGCCTCGCACAGTGGAACGGCTAGAGTAGCACGCCCTGGCTCGGCTCGAGACATGATTACATTGTACACTAGCTCCCGACATTCGACGATTCTATCCGCAACACTCTGAGCGCTGCGGCCTGGAGGCCGAGAGACGGCCACAGCGCGGCCACCTCGGGCAGATGGTCCATGTCGAGCTGCGGCTGCGAGACGTACAGAACGTCTGTGCGGGACTCGCGTCGCTGCAGCTCTGCCTCGAGCGGCGGCAGCGCCCATGCTGGCGCGATGAGCAGACGCAAGAGCTCGCTGGACGGCGGCTCGAGTGTCCTGGGCATCGACGGCACCTCGATGCTGCGCGGCGCGAGCAGCAGCCCCGCGAGCTGCTCTACGTCGAGTGAGCCATGGTCCTGCACGCTCGCTCGTGCCCATACGTCGGCGTTGCGCGGCGGCAGCACGAGATGCCGAGGCGGCATGAAGGTGCGCCAGACGTGCAGCTCGGTGCGCAGGGGAAAGGAGTGCGGCGACAGCTCCAGCGCTGGTGGTGGTGTCGATGTGCGAAGCAGAGCATTGAGGTGGAAGAGCGTCGGCAGGAGCGCGCAGTGGTGCAGCGAGTAGAAGCACAGCAACGACAGATGCTGCGCGACGTGCATCCCAACCTGGACCTGCTGCGTGAGCTTCGGCTGTGAGGTTGATTGTATGCTGCACTCACGAGGATGCGACGTGTGCGCCTGCCAACTCTTGGAGCAGAGAGCGCAGAGGCGAAGAGCAGCGATGCGGGCAGCAGCAGCGGCAGCAGGAAGCGCGGCTCCTGATGTGGCTGCAGCGACAGCAACGAGAGTGCCACTGCGATGCAAGAGACATGCACTGTGGACGCAGACTCAGCACCTCAGCTTGCCACGTGCGGCGGCGTCCACTCACCGCGCCTCATCGTGTGCTGCACTTCTTCCTCATCGCTCTTCTGGCGCGCCTTGCCCTTTGAGCGCCTTCTTCGCTCCCGCGGCCTGTTCTTGATCCACTGAAAGCTGCGCACGCCTGCGAATAGCCACGGGGCGAGACCCAGCACCATCGGCGCATTGGCGAGGAGGTGCAGATAGCGCGGATGCTCGCCGTGCTGGGCCAGGTTGGACGTGCGCAGATTGTACAGCAGCGCATTGAGCGGCGCGAGCACGGGGACGCCGGTGAAGGCGATGCCGTGGTAGAGGTACGAGTCGAGGGCCATGTGAAGAAGAGAGAGCAGCACGAAGGGGCTCAGGACGTCGAAGCCCAGCCCGAGGAACGTCATCAGTCGAGCGCGCCCGGCCCGTTGTCTGGCCAGTGGCAGGCTCAGCAATGTGCGGCGCGCTTGCGGAGATGCGGACTCACCGAGCCGCAAGCTGCCAGGCTTTCTGCACCAACACTGCGCTAGGCGCCAGCAGGAAGATCGGAAAGGTAAAGCGCGAGAAGATGCCGAGCGCAGACAGCAAGCCGAAGACTGTAGCGTGCCTTGTCCATTTAGGCCGCGCCTCGACTGACGATGACACCTGTCGCTGCTGAACGGCCATGAGCGTCAGAGCAGCGCTGCGCTCCGGCGATGCTTACCCAAGTTTTGGCTGCTTGCACGAGGCTCTGAGTCACGACAAGGATGAGCCCGAGCGCTGCGGCCTCGACTGTGTTCGAGAAGGGCCGGTTCGCGAGTCCCAGGACGGCGCTCGACGTTGCGAAGAGGCAGAGCGTCTTGTACGTCTGACTGCGCTGACGGGCGCTTGTCGGCACGAGCTTCGCGACGGAATAGTCTAGAGAGCGAATGCTTCAGATCTGGAGCGGGTGTAAGTTGGATTGCGACGCTCACCGAGGATCAGCGTGAGGGTGAAGGAGGTCAAGCGCTGCACGGCGAACAGCCAGCGAGCTGACGGCGCTGCGGACCATGCTTAGCTATGGCCTGCCGGCAATGCAAGCGATGCAGCTCACAATAACTGATTGCTCGACACGCCATCGCAAATAGCCGCAGTGGGGCCGCGAAGAGATAGATACTCGCCAGCGACCGAGCCGGGCTCGCGGGGTCGAACTCCCACGTGCGCAGCGCATCGACGTTCAGCCATGGGCCTGCCAGTGCGCTGTCAGCTTGTGGCAGAATGAGAGAATGGGACATGAAACTCTCACCTGCCACGGCCTCGCCGCTCTGGAACCACTCGTCGGGATGCACGTAGCCCGTGGACCCAAGCGCCAAGAGCAGACGCAACACCAGCAGCGCATGGTAGACGCCGCGCCACGAGAGTGTGCCGCCGGCCATATCGAAGCGATGCAGAAGCGTGCTTGCGTCCTTGGTAGCGGCGCACTCTGACTCTCTTGTCGTTTTGCTGGTGCTGTGGTGGTCAGAGAGGAAGAGGGCCGGGCGAGAAGAATGCATCCTCGCCAGCGAGAGCTCCACAAGACGTGAGCGGCGCCAGCGCCCGAGTTCCGGACGTGTGTGTGCACGGGCCAGGCCAGCTTTCTTCTCGCGCCTCCTCGTCCACCACATCTGCTCCGCGCCTACGAGGCTAAAGAAAGCCGGTCTCAGACACTGCAGGTGTCAAGCTGTGTGGCCACCAAGCCGAACGACCAGACGAGCAGGAGGAGGCATTCATGGCAGATCATAGCATTCGCAGCCCTCCCGTTCAAGCGGGGCCCGCACTTCCCCCAGCCTGCTGTTGTTGCTGCTGAGCCGCACGATGGTACGCCTCGGCCTCGGCTCTGGCGCGTTCGAACAGCTTGCGCTTCTCGTCGTCATGCGGCGCATCTGCGCCCTGCAGCTGCGGGTTGCCCGGCGCTGGCGCCGATGCCTGGGCCTGTGGCGGCTGCTGCGCATACGGCTGCTGTGCACCTGCGGCTGCAGGCGGCGCCTGAGAGGCTTGGGCGTACGGGTACGCGGCGTGCTGAGCGGCGCCAGGCTGGGAGGCGACGGCTTGCTCCACGTGCTGTGCGTGCTGCGCTTGGTGCTGCTGCTGAGCCTGTGCAGCCTGTGCGGCCTGGACGCTCTGGAGGAGGCGACGAGTGAGCAAGCGCAGTCGACAATCATGCCGAGGGCGCAACGTACCGGCTGGGCATAGTACCACTCGGCGTAGCCCGGATCGTTGGGATTCGGGTGCGCCTGCTGTGCCTGCTGCTGCGGTTGCTGCTGCGGCTGCTGCTGCGGCTGCGCCTGCTGAGGCTGCTGAGCGTGCTGCTGCTGCTGCTGCTGCTGCGGATGTCCACCCTGCGGTGCCTGTCCTGCGGGGTAGCCGTTGGCAGCATACCACTGCGCCCACTGCGCCGCGTATTCCTGCTGTTGCTGTTGCTGCTGCGCCGCGTACTCGGGGCGTTGCTGCGTGTAGTCGGCAGCAGCGGCGCTCGGGTTGTACTTTGCCAGACTCTGCTCCATTGCTTGGTCGAAGCTCGAGCGCGCTCGCACAAACTTGTCGTTCATGGCGCGCAGCTCGGAGACCTTGACGCTGTAGCGATCGATGAGTCGCACGATCTTGGGCCGCATGGAGAGAGAGGACTGGTAGAGCTCCTGTAGCGCGCAAGAATCTGCGTCAGTGACGCCATGAGAGCGCAAGTGCGGAGCGCCTCACCTGCAGCTCCTCATCCTCGGCTAGATTGTCGCGGCTCGGGTCGAGTTCGCGAAGCTTGCTCAGCAGGCGGTCGATGTTGCCGGCCTGCGCAAAGATGCGCGCTTCGAGCTCGGCCTCGCGCTGCAGGTCGGCGGGCGTCGGGTCGGGCAGCACTTCCTGCGCGACCGACAGAGTTGGTGAGCTACAGCCCGCGAGTCTCCGAGCGTCCTGCTAGCACGCACCACGTAGTTGACGGGAAAGATGCCCGCCTCGCCACGCAGCTCACCGCGCCACCAGTGCTCGTACACCGAGTCCAGCACGCGCACGATGTCGCCCTTGGAGAAGGCCAGTTCGCCAGCCTCGGTCGGCGCAAAGTCGTACAGCGCACGCACGCGCGAGGGAGCCGCGGGCACCGCTGCAGCAGGTGCGGCAGCCGTAGGGGCAGCGGCCGCGGTCTGCGACGAGGAGGCGCCGCGCGAGGACGACGACGAGCCATTGGCAGTCGGTGCAGAGGCGAAGGACGCGGCGGGCTGCGCAGCCGCAGGCGAAGCGACGTAGCCGCTGGCGTTGGGCGCAGAGGCGCCCTGGGCACGAGAGCTGCTGCCACTTCCGGCTGCTGCAGCGCTGCTTGCGCCTGCGCCAGGAGTCTCGCGACTGTACTGCGAGTCGCCGGTCCATGCTGAGCGGCCGCCAGTGTCTAGCTTGGACAGCTCGAGCACGCGGCGCAGCTCTTCATCCTCGGCACGAAGCTGCTCGGAGGACTGAGAGGGGATGAGCGGCGGCAGGACAGAGGTGCCGTTGGGGCACTCACCGGCTCAGGCGGGCCGGCTTCGGGCTCAGGCTCGTAGGAGATGTCTGGCAGCGCCACATTAGCGCTGCATCCGCTCTCGTGCGCGGGCCCACTCACTCTGGCTCTTGAGGCTCTCGATAGTTTCCACGAGCATGCCTCCCTCCTCGCTCTCGCCCCACTCGCGTCCCCACTCGCGCAGCAGCGCCCAGGCCTTGCGCTTGACGGTGACGTGCACGTTGCGGTCGCCAAAGAGGCGGCGCAGCGTCTCGGTGAAGGCGCGCGACGCCAGCTCGCGGTGGGCTGCGGCACCGGCGTTCTTGGAGAGGGCATCGCAGAGCGTCAGGGCGTAGAGCTGCACGTTGGCGCTGCGGTGCGAGAGGCGTCGGATGATGGCGGCGAGACAGTTGCGTGCGCTGCGGAGGAGCGTGAGTGACGAGATGCGAGAGGGACAGCGCGCGGCGCAGCACTCACCCCGCCTCGCCGTCGCCCGAGACCTTGTCGCAGACATCGAGGTTCAGCTCCCAGTTCTCGGCGGTGAGGTTCTCGTCGGTGGCCTTGTTGACGATGTCGTCGTATGGGTTCGCGGCCTTGAACATGGTGAAGGCAGCGCGAGGGGTGTGCGGATGGGTGGTGATGGCGAGAGGGAGAGAGGGCGAGTGGCGCGCGGCGGGCGTGGCTGATGGCCGGCCTGCGCCGTGACGACAGCTGCGCGCGCGGTGCCTGAATCGCCGCGCGTGGCTGTGAGCCTGCGCTGGCCGAGCGGGAGGCGGTGCTGCTCCGGCCGTGCACCGCTCGTCCGACCCAACCACACCTCGCAGCGCCATAGCTGATGCTGGAGCTGGGACTGCTGTGCTTTTGCCTCTCATTCCATCGACAACCCAGGCAGGCAAAGCGCAAGGAGAAGCAGTGGCCGACAGCGAGGAGGTCGCCTCGGCGGCGGCGCACGGACGCACGCGGCGCGCTGGGGCCGCGCCGCTGCGCGCCGCCGCGGGAAGCTCGCTGGCCTCGCCTTGGGCTGGGCCGCCTTTCTCTGCACCTGGCAACAGTTTCGTAGGCGCAGTAGCTGTCTGCTCTCTTGCATTGTCTGCACGTCTGCCGCACCAGCTGGGCTGTCGAGACTCGAGAGAGCGGCAGCAGCCCGATGGGCGACGGGCGCGCAGCGTGTGGCTTGGCTGGCGGCGCCGCGGAATGCACCCGCGCGCCCCCTCGGCTCGCGCTGGCGCTTCGCGTGTCGACGCGTCAAAGGAGCGAGAGCATCACGCCCGATGTCCTCGCAGCCCCAGCCCCGCTCTCCACCACCACCTCTTCCACTTGCGCACACACACACGTCCGCTGCGTTGCCTGCGCCCTCGCTCCGCCATGCAGCGCAGTCCGTCGGCGCTCATCGAGAGCATCTCGGCACTGCGCATCTCCGATCCCGACGACAGCGACAACGAGACGGCATCGGCGACGCGAGGCAAGCCGCACAATGGCGTGCCGCTCCTCGAGGCGCCGCCCGTGCGGGCATTGCTCGCCGAGACGGCCGCCAACATCGACGAGATCCGACGCGCCATCTTCGTCGCCGAGGAGCAGCGCCACACGGGCCGCTTCCTGCCGCCGCCAGTGGCAGATGCCGCGGACGAGGCAGCGGGCGAGGCGGCGCAGCCCAGCGAGCTGGACCAGGCCCTGATGAGCCTCGACGGGCAGCTGGGCAGCGTCAGCGGCGCGATGAGCTCGCTCGAGGCGTCCATCGAGGCGCTCGAGGCCGCCTGCACGCCCAAGCTCGGCAACGGCAACGGCGTAGACGGCGAGATGGCGGCGTGGGCAGAAGGGCGCTCAAGGCGCGACAGCACCGGCTCGCAGGCCAGTCTGTCCAGCTTTGCCTCCTTCGACGATGCCGTTCGCTCGCGCAACGGCGGTGCCTCAGGCACTGCTGCGCTGCGCAGAGAGTTTGTCGCGCTCTCGGCAGAGTGGGCCAAGGTGCAGCAGGAGGCCGAGACGCTGAAGCGCGAGCTGGGCGAGGACAAGTACGTCAGTGTCTTCCAGAACGTCAGTGGACAGGCGTCGGGCATGATGGACTCGCTCGACAAGGCGCTCGCTGTCTGCGCCGACTTCATCACCTCTGCCACGACGCTGCGTGCCGAAGCTGCAGACTTTGAGGACGAGCGAGAGGAGCGCAACGCCCGATTAGCCGACCTGCGCGCACGGCGACATGTCTTTGAGGTCAAGCGTGGGCACTACGGCCCAGCGTGCGAGCAGGTCTTTGGCGTCCTGGAGCGCGGTCTGCGCGATCGCGCCACGAGCAACGGTAGCGTACTGCGCAGCTTCATGGAGCTCAAGTCGCGCTGGCGTGCGCTGCGCGAGGCTATGAGTCGCATGGAGAAAGAGATGCGCCGCGTCGAGGCACAGCTGCTCTACAGCGGTCATGCCAGCTCTGACAGTCCGGCGAGCAGCAGCGTCATCAGCGTTGCGAGCCCAGGCGCCAGCAGCTCCAACTCAGGCACGCCGACGAGGCCACGCGTGGGCCCCAAGAGCAGCATGCGAACGAGCCCCGGCATGCCGGCGCGTCGCAGCCCCAGTGCAGGCAACTTGGTCGGCATCGCAGCGTCCGGCATTGCTGCCCCGCCGAAGCCGCCAAAGAGCGCTCGCCGGCTCAGCAGCATCGGGCCAGATGGCCCGCACGCCATTCCCGTTCGCACGTCGAGCGCAGCGTACGCGCAGACGCCGGGCTCGTCCAGCCTGACACCACCTGCGAGCCGGCTACGCAAGGCGCCATCATCGAATACGATGCGTACGCAGGAGCCCGCTGGCCGCTTCGGAGCTGTGCCGCCGCCACACCTGGCGGATCGGCCGGCGTGGAAGGGCAGCAGCAAGGTGCAGGACGAGGTGGAGGTCAACGAGCGGTCTGTGCACGTCTCAGCTTCTGGGCGCACCACGCCAGGCAGCAGCTTCAGCCCTTCGCGGCCGCACCGCCTGCGGCCGCAGCAAGATCCGCCCGTGCCGCCGAGCTCCTACCGTCCGCCTGGCCTCTTCGCACCACCTTTCTCGGCGCGATCAAAGACGCCGCAGCCGCAGCCGACGTGGTCTCGCGGCGCCTCTGAGCCGCCACCGGATCTCGACTTCAATTCTCACGCGCGCCGAGCTGCGCCGTCAGTGGGCGACAGCTCGATGGAAGACGTCGGCAACGTCAGTCTCGACTCATTCACGTCGCGTCCCGCACGGCCTTCGAGCGTGGCGGGCATGTACTACCGTCCGCCAAGCGCTGCGGGCACAGTGACGGACGAGCGAGGGAACAAGCGCAACAGCTTAATCCCGCGGCTGGCCATGCAGTCGAGTCAGGGCGCGACCGGCTCGCGGCCCAGCTCTGCCATGTCGCATGCCTCGAATTCGGCATTCGCCTCTTCTCCTCGTGGCCACTACGCTGGTCCGAGCCGCAGCACCATGCAGACGCCTGAGCCTACGATTGCGGCGCGTGTACAGCGGCTCAGCATGTTTGCAAAGCCCTCCCGCGGCACGCCCTCGACCTCTTCTCCCGCGACGAAGCGCTCCAGTCGTCCGCCTCCCTCGCGCTACAACGTCGGCACGGCGCCGAGCGTGACGAGTCCGCTGAACATCAGCAAGACCAGTGGCCGCACGACGCCCCTCAGTGCCGCTGCTCTCGCTGCTGTGCCGCACGCCGGCTTACCGGCCACTCGCTCTGTCTCGGGCGCTTCTTCCGTGAGCAACTTCCGTGCCACGCGCTCCGGTGGACGCGCCACTCCGACCTTCAGCGATGCCGGCAACAGCAGTGTGGGCGGCTACAGCGCGTGGAATGGCGGTGCCAGTCGGGGCGGAGCGCTCGAACAATACCGCCCCAACCCGGCCGATGCGCTCGACGTAGAGGTGGCGTACATCATCAATGCGCTGGGCGTGGGCCTGGAGCGCGTCTCCGAACCGCTTCCGAGAGGCTTTAAGGCGGAGCCGAGACCTGGACAGGAGGTGCAGGCGCAGTACTCCATCGGCGGCGCGAAGCCCGTCATGTGCAAGCTGCTCGAGCTGGTGAGTGTGCACCACCGAAGACTTGTGGCACTCCATGGTCGGAGACTGCCGCTCACACGCCCTCTCGTAGCATCGACCGGCTGGCTCGGCCGGCGCTCGCAGCGGCACCAAGGTGCGCAAGGTGCTGGCGCGCGTAGGAGGCGGCTGGATCGACCTGGAGCAGCACGTCCTCTCGCGTCTGGGAGCCGTGTAGAGCAGCAGATCTGGCGAGGCGCTGCCGGCGTTGCTGCCACCTGTGCCCTGTGCGACACGCACGCATTGCTGCTGCCACCCTGCGCATCCTTCTGGCGCGTGCAGCAGGCCTGCAATCCCACAGAGACGTTGCGTGCGGGCCCTCTCAGTGTGCATTGAGCTAGCGTGCACCGTGCTTCATGCGTTCTCACCTGTGCCTCGCTCCTGCGTGCGGAGTGCGTGCACGTCATGCCGCTGCCGCTGTTCACGCCCACACCTCGAGGACAAGAGACGCGGACAAGGCGTGCCCGATGTGGCAGCGCGCGCGCGGCTGTCCTTGTTCGCGCTTGCGCCGCGCCTTGTCCTCGTGCGACAACAAGACCACCTCGGGTGTGGGCATGACAGCTGCGCACACCCGCCGGAGCCGAAGTGCGCACATGCTCTCCTTGTTTCACTCATCAAGTGCCTGCTGCTGTCGAGATCCGTTCCCTTGCCTCGCGAGCCGCCGGCGCCAGCCTACGGCCTGCTGCGGGCTGCAGGACGGACGGCACGCGGCGTTCATTCGCGTGCGGCGCTGCCGTGCCAAGGGGCCGCCGCACGACCAGCCGCTTGTTTGCCCCGGCCTCTGTCTGCCTTCTCCGCTCTTTCAGCAGGCCGACGATGGCCTGCCGTCGTCGTCCATCATGGCACATTGCGCTAGCGTCGTGCCTTCAAGTGATGCCCCGCTACCACATCTGGACTCAGATAGGAGCTAGGCCGCCCGAGCCCGCGTCCGCGCGCGCTCGCCGGAGCACACCTGAGCACGCCGTGCGACGTAGCCCTGCGCACGTCTGCGTGTGACTTGCCTCCCTCCACCCATCACCCTCTACGATGCAGCTGCAAGTCTCTCTGTCCGACTGGGCGCCGCACTCGACGCTAGGCTACATCTTGTACGGCAGCCTGGCGCTCTGGCTGCTAGTCGTGGGACTCGTGGCATGGCAGTTGCTGCACTACCGCACGCTGCTGAAGGAGGTGCTGGGCCCGCCTCGCTCAGGAGGCTTCTTCATGGGTCACTGGCAGCAGTTCCTGGTGAGTGCGGCGCTGGAGGCGAGTGGAGGAGAAGACTGATGCCAGATGGCGCAGGACAACGACCTGCAAGATGTCTGTGTGAAGCTGACGAGGCTGTATGGAGGCGTCGTGAAGCTGTATGCCTTCTTTGGCGTGAGTGATGCCGCTGCGAGAGCGCAGCTTTGCGACTGACGCTGCGGCGCAGGAGCCACGCCTCGTCATCACAGACCCAGGTGCGCCGTCAGACTGCTCGCCTCGCTGCCCGTGTCCTGACTCGTGCTACCAGTGGCGCTGCAGCACATCTTCGTGACACGCTGCTACGACTATCCGAAGCAGCGCGATGTCATTCGGGTCATCACGGGACTCATGGGTCCCGGTCTGCTCGTCATCGAGGGTCAGTCTACGATGCTTGCGCGCGCTTGCACGCTTCCGCTCATGTTGCCATGCAGGTCACGACCACAAGCGTCAGAAGCGAGCTCTCCAGCCCGGCTTCTCGCCACGAGCGATCAAGTCCCTCGAGCCTGTCTTCCAGTGCGTGTCTTCTTCCCCGACGACGTCGAGTGCGATGCTAACCTGCGGGCCGCAGGTATCACGCTCGTCATCTTCGCCACTGCTTGCTCAATTCGATCGACTCTGCGCCTCCTGCGTACGAGGGTACCGCAGAGGGCGAAAAGGCACGCAACGCTTTGCTCGTTGATGTGCTGCGGCCCGTGTCTCGCTCGTCGCTCGACATGCTCGGCGACGCTGGCTTTGGCTACTCGTTCGGTAAGCGCCCCGCACGCCGGGCTGTGCTGTCTTCGAGCTGACGCGGCGGCCTAGGTGCATTGGACGAGCCGGACCTGATCCAGCCCATCGATGTCTCCTCGGACGACACGCTGCCACTCTCTCGCAATCCGCTCTCGAGGGCGTTCGACGAGGTCGTCAAGATCTCGTCGACCGGCTCGCACACCAAGATCATCCTCGACATTCTCGTCATGTTCTTCCCCGTTCTTCTCAAGGTGCCGTTCCTGACGACCGAGTCTCGAGCCTTCCGCACGGCGCGGGCAGTGCTGCAGGAGAAGGCAGGAGAGGTGGTGGAGCGCGCGCGAGCGGATGTTGCGGTGGGAGAGACGCTCTCGGGACAGCGCACCGACTTGCTCGCTAGCCTGATGCGAGCCAATGCCGTCGCAAAGGAGCGCGAGGAAGCGGACGGACGATTCTTGAGCAAGATGGCGGCGGACAATGCTACGATGGACAAGGCGAGCTTGAGCGATGAGGAGCTCGTGGCGCAGATCTCGACGCTCATGTTTGCCGGTGAGTCGCGCTGCTGGAGCCGCACATTGGCAGCGCTGACGTTTGCGTGCCTGGCGTCAGGCTTCGAGACGACGTCGACGCAGCTCAGCTGGACGCTTCTCCTCCTCTCACAGCACCCGCACGTACAGCGTAAGCTCCGCGCCGCTATTCGAGCCAAGCGAGTGGAGCTCGGTCTCTCCCTTGAGTCGAGCAGCTGGCGAGCTGCCGAGCGACACGATGGCCTCGCGCAGGAAGACGAAGGAAGAGAGCTGACGAGTGAGGAGCTTGAGAGCATCGAGTATCTGGACTGGACCTTCAGGGAGACGCTGAGACTCAAGGGAGCTAGTGAGTCACCCACTTCCATCCTTGCGCTGCATCAAGGCTGACGCCCGGCAACAGTCCACACGAGCTCGCGAGTAGCAACCATGACGGATCGCATCCCCGTCTCGAAAGAGCACTCGCCGAACGTGCGGGGCGGCAGCTTCGTCATTCAGCCGGGCACGCTCATCATGATTCCGATCGAAGCCATCGGGCGCGACCCGAAGAGCTTCGGAGAGGACGCCGACTCGTTCCGACCTGAGCGGTGGGGAGAGGAGACGGCGGGCACCCAGCGCTTCAAGGTCGCTGGTGGGCCGGCCTTTCTGTTTGGGCCGCGCGGCTGCATCGGTGAGCACTCAACCGACACCTTACCACTCCCTCCTTGCTGATGATCTCCTTCCTCTCGCAGGCCAGCGCTTCGCCATCGCAGAGATGAAGGCGATCCTAGCCGTCCTGCTCGGCTCGCTGCAGTTCGAAGCTACGGCTCGCCGCATCGTGCCGAATCGATGGCTCGTTTCGAGACCGTGGGATACGACGGCTGGGCGGGAACAGTGCCCGCTTTGGCTCTCGAGGGCGCCGCTCGACGCGCAGGAGGAAGAGGACGCGCAGACACCGACGGCGACACCGGCAACAACAGCGGCAGCCTCGTAGCGAGGCCGCTCGGACATCTCTCTCTATCTCTTTCTCCCCCTCGCCCTGGACAGCATCCGTCGTTCTCTGTCTCCTCTGCTGTATTCCTTGCCTCCTGCCCCTGGCCAAGCAACACGGCGGACTGCAAACTTGGCGCTGGGCATGGTCGTGTGACCGCGCCATGCGCACGCTGCGCCATGATGCGCGTCTGCAGCGCGCAGCGCCACACCTCGCTGGACCCGCTGGGCCTCTTCCTTTTCTTCACCTGGCCGCAAATTGCTCGGACTGCAGTACTGACTGCGAGTCAGCCATCAGAACGGTCTCTGGAGCAGCTCGGGCGTTGCTGGTGCAGCTGAGAGACGACGACAGATGCAGCAGCAGGCGAGGCGTGAGGAGAGCGGGTCCAGCGGCGCCAATTCGGGCGCTGGCGATCTCGGCGGATGCGCGCGCGAGGCATGCAGGCACGCCGCCGGCCTGCGCGGAGCTCGCGCCGGCGGGTGCGAGCCCGTGCGGGTCCTCCTTCTTGGCGGGTGCGCAGCAGCAAGGCTGCCTTCTCACCACCACACCTCCCGCACACCTCTCTCTTCTCTCCCCCTCCCACTCATCGCCCAAGATGCGCACTGACGCCCGTGAGTGCATCCACCTCTGCGCCGCCGCAGCAGCCGCAGCGCACGTGCCCTCGCCTCCACCTGCGCTGCGTCCCTCATCTGACATGCGCTCTCCTCGCCAGTCGGCCACAAGGCGCTCAACATCGTCTCCTTCCTGCTCTTCACGGGCAGCAACAGCTATGGCAGTGCGTTGCTGGCGTGTCATTTGCATCCTCTGTCCTGTCGCTCACGGCTTGCCGCTCCCGCTCCTCTAGGCATGGCGCCCGGCTCCCGCTGGGGCGCAGGCGCACACCCGAGCTACCTCACGCCCGAGCCGTGGATCTTTGGCACGTGGGGTGTCATCCACTTCCTGCTCGTCGGTGAGTGGGGCAGGCGGATTGTGCCGAGAAGGCGAGGCAGAGGAGCGGCGGGAGGACAGGAAAGGACGCGCTTGCTGCTCCACAGAGCGCGAGCGCAGCAGGCTCAGGAGCCGCAGTGGGGACGCACACTGACACTGCTTCCCCAGGCATGCTCATCTACCAGTTCACCGACGCCGGCCACACGCCCGTCATCTCGGGCCTCGGGTACCGCTTCCCCATCCTCTGCGTGCTCAACGCCGTGTACGCCGGCCTCGCCTCTGCGCACAGCAACGGGCACAGCTCCATCTCCGACTTTGTGTGGAGCCTGCTCGCCTTCATCACGATGATCTTTGTCGCCGGCAGCGTGTCGCACATCTACCGCACCATCAAGGTGCACCACGCCTCCAGCAGCCTGCTCGACACGCTCTTCGTCCACGCGCCCTTTAGCCTGTGGCACGGCTTCTCCGTAATCCTGCTCTTCCTCGCCGGCTTCAGCGCCTTTGGCGTCGATGCGACGCACCACAAGGCCGGCATCCCGACGAAGATCTTCGTCTTCATTGCGCTCCTCCTGCTCGAGGCCACCGCCGCCGGCTACGCACTGCACGCCAACGGCGACCTGGCCGGCGCCCTCGTCATCTCGCTCGGCCTGCTCGCCATCTTCCAGCACCAGACCGTCGAGCACGCCGGCAAGTTCATCCACTTTTCCGCCCTCGTCTTCTTCATAATCTCGCTCGTGGCCGTGCTGCGCGCCTCGATTGCCGCCATCCAGGCTCGGCGCACGGGCGCTACGGCCGAGGAGCGTGCGCCGCTCAACGCCTAGACGCGCGCGCGCTCTCCGTGCTTGTCGCGCAGCAAGCCCTTGCAACTTCATCTTCCCTCCTCCTCGTCTCGACTGTGCCCGCTCTCGCATGCACACATCCCCGCTGCTACTCAGCCAATGAATTGATGCTCTTGACGCTCCCATCTGCGCGGCTGCGGGACAGAGACGTCGCGCGGAGGTGGTGCCGCGGATCAACTTGCCGCGCGCCGGGGTGGAGGCGCCGCGTGCCGGCGGCCGGCCGGCCGGCTCTTCCGCATCCAGAGATCTGCACGGTGCGCGCGTCAGGGGCCCTGAAGCTAGCTCCATCTGAGGGCCGCGCGCAGCTCTGCGTGCTACCACCACCACCACCTCCTTCTCCTCCGCCCTCTTCTTTGTGCAGCGATGTCTGGCGCAGCGCCTCACAGTGCGGCCGACGCCTATGCTCAGGCAAGGAGCAGTGCGGCCGCCGCCAACCTCAGCGCTCCCTCTGCGCCCGCCGACGCCGCTGCGCCTGGGCCCTCGTCGTCGCGCACGCGGCAGCGCACGGCCTCTGCCTCGGCATCGGGCGATGCGGCGTGGTACGACACGATGCGGGATCATCTGGCCACTCCTTCGGCATGGCCAGACGAGAATGAGCGCGTGAGTGGTCATTGCGCCCTCTCTGCTTGGCGCCCCGCAGCAGCCATGGCTGACGCTGGCTACGCTCCGATCAGGTGCTGCTGGAGCCGTACACCTACCTCGCCGCGCACCCGGGCAAGGAGATTCGCTCGCGCCTCATCGACGCCTTCAACGCCTGGCTGGGCCTGGACGAGGGCAAGCTGGATGTGGTGCGCAAGGTCGTGGGCATGCTGCATACCAGCTCGCTGCTGTGAGTATGCCTCGAGGAGGCGATGAAGATAGTTTGACGTGATGCAGGGTGCAATAGCGGAGAACGCAGCGCCCCGATGGACTTGTCTGGCCCTCTCTCTCCCATTCTCACGCCCCCTTGCGCGCAGCATGGATGACGTGGAAGACAACTCCGAGCTGCGGCGAGGCATCCCCGTAGCGCACAAGATCTACGGCGTGCCGCAGACGATCAACACGGCCAACTACGTCTACTTCCAAGTGTTCGATCTCATCTTCACCATGGGAGCTCCGTCACTCTCCCACACCGCCTCGCCGGCTGCCGCTGCTGCCGCCGCACAGCCAAGCGTCGAGAAGCTCCTCGTCGAAGAGCTGATTGCGTTGCATCGGGGACAGGGCATGGACCTCTTCTGGCGCGACGCCCTCGTCTGTCCCACGGAGGCAGAGTACGTCGACATGGTCAACAACAAGACGGGCGGCCTGCTCCGCATTGCCTTGAAGCTCATGCTTGCCCACTCTTCGCGCTACCACGGCGGTGGCGGCGGCAGCAGCGAGCAGCAAGCACAGCAGCGGCCGGACCTGCTGCCGCTCGTGAACCTCATCGGCCTGCTCTTTCAGATCCGCGACGACTACATGAACCTGCAGTCTGCGGCGTATGCGAGCAACAAGGGCTTTGCGGAGGATCTGACAGAGGGCAAGTTTAGCTTCCCGATCATCCACTCGATCCGCTCCAGTGCGCCGAGCGGCGGTCTCGCGTCTTCTCTCGACGCGACGGCTGCTGCCTCTGGCGCGGCGCCTCTCGCCGCAGCGGGTGCTGCTCAGCAACAGCAAGAGCGTGCGGCAGCCTCGGCAAACGTCAGTGCCGGCGCGCCCGGCGGCAACCGGCAGCTCCTGTCGATTCTGCGGCAGCGGCCCACCGACGAGGCGACGAAGCGCTACGCCGTGGCGTACATGCGCAGCGTGACGCGTTCGTTTGCCTACACGCGCAACGTGATGCGCCGCCTGGCCCGACTGGTCGAGAGGGAACTGGCCGAGGTGGAGGAGGTGCTCGGTGAGAACAGAGCGCTGAGAGTCATCGTGAAACGACTGGAAGAGGGATGGGGAGATGAAGATGATGAGGATTGAAATGGGATGACCATTGAGTAGCAAGTGCGCCAAGTGCGGGCACTGCAAAAGCGGCAAAATTCAGTATGTCGTTGACAGGCAAGCAGGCAGAAGCAGGAAAGGGACGGGGTGACGTAGGAAGCGAGGTAGAAGGGGCGGACCGGCCGCGCGCATCTGGAGAGCAGGCTCCTCAGATGCGCGGAGCATCGTCGCTTGTGCGCCGCCCCTTCGTCGGCTCCTCGACGCCCCGCAGCGTCTCATTCGAGTCTTTTCTTCGCACATTGCCCTCCTGCGTCGCCACGTTGCGCGAGCTTCCCGGTCTGGCGCCCGAGAGGCTATCGCGGCTCTCGAACGCAGAGTAGCCGTAGTCGTAGCCGCCATGTCCGGCGGGCGACTTGGAGTCCGGCTCGTACTCGAACGAATCGCGCGGCGCGTAGCCGGGCGGCATGCCAGCCGGCGGCGCGTAGGGACCGCCGGCGGCAGGCGGGTAGCTGTACGGACCGCGACGAGCATCGTAGGGATCTGTGGCTCCCGGTCCAGCGAAGGGATCCTGATGGTTCTCAAACACCTGCGTCCTGCCGCGAGCCACGCGCACGGAGGAAGGATCGAGGAGCTGACGGACGAAGCCGAAGGCGAAGAGGACGAAGAGTGCGCCGAGTGCCAGGGAGAGGATCAGAGCGGCAATGAGCGTCGTCTTGGAGCGCGACCAGGCTTCTTGGCAGGAGGCTCGCGCTTCGTCGGCTGTCAGTTGATGCCCGCCAGAGCTGCTGGAGGACCAGAGCCAGTAGCTGTCGTCGACCGAGTAGGCGCCCGTGTTGCGCGCTGTGCACTGAGGTCACAGAGCACCGTCAGCATGCAGATACACACATACAGCGCACGCCGCGCGTGGGACGGGCCACCACTCACAGCGTTGATGACGTTGGCCTTCATCGTGTAGTGCGTCACGATGGTGTAGAGCTGCGCGGCGGCAATGGCAGCCCAGCCTCCAAGCGAGGCGTACGCATAGGCGCGAGCGAGAACAAGACGTTGCTGGAGCCAGCAGAGATCAGCGTCAGACTGATGAGCGAATGCGCTGGCCAAGTGCGCGAGCACGAAGCGACGCTCTGCGGCCCCTCGTCCAGCGCGCCCTCGCACTGCAGCTCACAGTGATGGCGCCCGCGAAGCCCAGCACCTCAATGGCCGCTGCGACAAGGAAGAGAATGGCCGGCACAATCTCGCGTGTGTAGAGGCCGTTCTCGGTCGTCTGCGTGTCGTCTGCGCGCCGGAAGCTCGAGGCGGCGACGAGGAAGAGATAGATGGCGCTGAAGAGCGAGGAGAAGAGCAGCACGGGACGCAGCGAGACGCGCTGCGCCAGACGTGCGGGCAGCGAGAGACGCGGGCCGGCGGACGCGGCGGGCGCGGAGGAGGAGGAGTAGGGCAGCTCGTGCTGCATGACTGCGACGGCGAGCGGGAGATGGTGGTGGTGGTGTGGAGCAGAGATGCACGCCACGCGCAGCCGCGATAGACAGGGGCTCCACGCGCGCTCGACGTCCGTGTGCTTTGGCCACGCCGGCGCCGCGCCCGTGCGGCTGTGCAGGGCGCGTGAGCGACGCCGGCACGAGCAGAGGCCTCGTCGAGCCACCCTTCGGCTGTCCCTCAGCACACGGCTCAGCAAGCATCGAGCAGCGCCACGAGGGCCAGCCCGTTGCCTACCTCAGAGGCTCGACTATCCAAGCCTTCGCTCGTAGACAGACGCCGGGCGACTGCTTCATAAGGGACGCAGGCGCGGACGCAAGGCGGCGCCGCCGAGGCGAGGGCGGCGCGCCTGTTCCCACGAGCCCTGGGCGCGCGCCGGCAGCGCTTTCCGCATCCGACGTTGGCGCGAGGCTTGGCTTTGCGGCCCCGGCAGCAGTACGAAGCAGAGGCCTCCCCGTGGCATCCTGGAATGCGCTGGCAAGCTGCTGGAGACATTTGCGGTCGCAGAGCCACAGGTACAAGCTGGGGCCGGAAGGTGCCGCAGAGCAAGTCTCGCTCATCGAGGTCGCACCTTGCGGCGAGGCACGCCGCGCCGGGTCCGCTCCCGCCGATGCGCGCAGCGCGCACGCTTGGCGGGCCTAGCGCACCGCAGGAAGGGCACAGCCGCAGCCGCAGCACCGCACGGCGGCCGCCGCCATCGCAATTCACCCGGAGGGAAGCGACGGGAGCTGCTCGGTGCGGCCACACGGCGTCAGGGCAGTGAGACAGAGAGGAAGCGGGAGGGAAAGGAGGGACGCTTGCTCTGGTCACACGCCAGCCGGGCGGGCGCAGCGCCGAAGCGAACCTCGGCAAGCGCTGCTCGCCTGCAACTGGCGCCGCGCGCCTCTTCCCTCTTCTCTTGACTCCACTCCACTCGCCTCTCCGCTCCGCACTTGCGTCTCACCACCACCTTCCTTCTGCTGTCTACACACACGCCTCTTCGCTTCTCACACCCGTAGCGCGCCCTCTCGCGCATCGTTCGCCCACCTGAACCCCAGCATGTCTTTGCGGCCTGCGCTCCCGCCGGAGCCGGCGCAGCTCGAGGCGCTGGCCGCACAGCTGCGCGCCCTCGTCGCCGGCGACGTGCTGGTGCGTCCTGCCGCGCAAGAAGCAGCAGCCGCAGCAGCCGCAGCGCCAGCCTCCGCCTCGGCCCCGCCAGAGGCAGGGCAGCCGCAACAGAAGACAGACGTGGCCGCCGAGCGCTTCGCCTCGCACACGCGCCTCTTCAACTGCGCCGCGCTGCCAAGCTGCTTTCTCGTCGTCTGCCCACGACACACTGCCGATGTCGTCGCGTGAGTTGCCCGATCAGCATGCGCTGTGCGCTCTCCGCAAAGTCTGACCCATCGGGCTGGCAGCGTCGTCAACTTCTGCCGCGAGCACCATCTCTCTCCCTCCATCAAGTCCGGCGGCTTCTCCACAGCCGGCTGGTCCACGTCGGGAGATGTGCTCGTTGACATGAGCGGCCTGTCTCGCATCTCACTGACGCATCCCGACGAGTACGTCTTCGGGCAGCTGTCGTCTGCCACAAGCAGTGCGCCGGCCTTGCGAAGCAGCAAGAACGATGCCAACTCGCGGCGTCGCAAGGCGGAAGAGGCATTCGATTCACCGTCGCCTTCCGCCTCTGCAAGCAAGCGACGCTCCTCTCCTGATCCCTGCGACGTTGCCGAGTCCAGCGCCCGCAGCAATGCTGGCGGCCACGTCTCGCGGAGCGGCAGTAGTGCGGGCAGCAGCAGCTCCGGCGCACTGGCGTCTGCTGTGGAGCAGGCCGAGAACGGCACCCTCTCAAGCGCGAGCGGGAGCACGGGCGCGGGCGCGGGCAGTACAGCTGGTACATCGATCCACTCTCGCGCCAGCGGCAGTCCTTCCGAGGCCAAGACCGACTCGCTGCCCGCGCCTGCACCCGCACTGCGGCCTACGCTGCGCCACGGCGCCAATCCTGCGTACGTCTTCGAGCATGAACGCTGGCAGCGCCATCACAATCCACCCGACTCGCCGTCGAGCTGCGGCAACAATGGCGGCAGCTCTGCACGCGTGCAGCTGCCGACATCGGGAGGCTTTACCTGGCGGGAGGGCCAAGGCATGACGAGCTCGCCATTGCCATGGGACGGCAGCTCCTTGGCTGGCGGCAGCTCGGGCGCCTCATGCGACGCACCAGGCATGCCGCACAGCGGCGCGTCACCTGCGCTGGGCCACCTCTCGCTGGCGCAAGAAGCAGCGATGGGAGGCCAGCGACGGCCGAAGCAGACGTTGGCGCCGGGCATCTACACCAAGCGTGCATTGTACGCATCGTTTGGCCCTGGCGTGGGCATTCGAGAGCTCGACGCCTACACCTCCGAGGCGGGCAAGGCGTTCGGCGCGGCGTCCGACTCGAAGGCCAAGGAGAAGGGGTGGAACAATGGCGATGAAGGCGCGCCGTACTTTGTCCCGGCGAGCGCTTATCCCGTCGGCTCTAGTGAGTGCAGTGTCCTCATTGTCGCCGCTGCGATGCGGCAGCTTGGCTGACGGTGCGATGTTGCGCCGCCACAGCTTCTATGACGACGGGAGGCTTTGGCTTTCTGACGCGTGCCTATGGCCTCTCGTTTGACAACATTGTCGAGCTCGAGCTCGTCACTGCCGATGGAGAAGTGCATGTGATCAACGAGAGCTCTACAGCGCGCGGCGGCGTCGAAGCCGGTGAGTCGCGTGGGTCGAGTGCCTTTGCACGAGGACACTGATACCTCGGTCAGATCTCTGGTGGGCCGCTCGCGGTGCTGCGCCCTGTCTTGGCGTGGTGACGCGCATCACAGCAAAAGCCTATCCCGTCTCTTCAGTCTTCAGCGGCAACCTCATCCTTCCCTTCTCTCCCTCAACTGCACCTTCCTTGATCCAACATTGGCGCGACGTCCTTAAGGGCGACGTTCCCCGCGAGCTCTACGCGAACCTCATCCTCACCTCCGGTCCCGACTCTCGTTCCCACGTCGTCGTCATCCAACTTGCCTGGCTTGGCGCTCGCAACGACGGCGAAACATTCGTGCAAGCCTTGAGCGCATGGAGCGGCGAGCGTGTCCTGCTCAAAGACGTGCAGGAGAAGAGCTTCCTCGATCAGCAACAGACTGTAGCGCAGGTGCTGCGAGGCGGCGAAGGTCGGCGATGGAGTGTCCGCGCCGGCCTCATCGAGGCACTCACCGACGAACTCATCGCATCGACGGTGCACAATTTTGTCGCGCTGCAAACGCATGCGCGCGCCGTGCTCATTCTGGAGCTGGCCGGCGGCGCAGTGCGCGATGGCTCGGCGCCAAACGCGAATGCCGGATGTCTGGGAAACGAGAATCGCGAGGCTCACTTTGCGATTGCGGCGCTGCAGCAGTGGGACAACAAGACGGAGGACTCGAGATGTGCCGCTTCGGCCGATGGATGGACAAACACTCGCCTAGGTCCCTACCCCTCGTTCCTGGAGCGCGAAAGCCGCCAGCGCGTAGCGGCGACGTTTGGACGCGAGAACCTCGAGCGCCTCCTCGAGGTCAAGAGGCGCGTCGATCCGCAGGGCCTGTTCAAGCACAACTTCTTGGGCAGCGCGACCTCGGATGAGCCGCAGCCTCTGCCAAACACGTCCGTGGAACACGCGACGCCCAGTCAACAGGCCGAGGCTGGCCGGAGCTGATGGCGAGGACGGGCTCGCCTCTCTGCGACGCTTGTGCTTCTCCTCTGCCTGACTCTGCCTCGTCGCCTCTCTCCCTCTCTCTTTTCTCCTCTTCTCGCAAGTCTCCTCTCGCAACGCTCTCTGCTACCGCTCTATCTCCCGTCGCTCTCCATCTCTCGTCGCATCATACAGCGCACCCGCTTGCGCCTCTACAGCCCTCGCTCAAACTCATCGTCTTCGTCTCGCTCTCTCTCGCCGCTCGCATCGCCTCTCTACTTCACACACTCACCTCTCAACCCTCACTCCTCTCTCGCTCCGCGCGGCCGCACTCCGCCTCCTCTCTCTGTATTCCACCTCTCACAGCCGGGCCCTCGTATGGGGCCGCGCGACACGTTCTCAAGCACACACACACTCTGTCTCTCTGCTGCCCTCTTCTCGCAAAGTGGCGAAAATCGTATGTCTTAGTATGAAGCGCGCGCGGCGGGTCAGGGGTATGGAACAATGAGGGAGGATGTGTGGAGCGAAGAGAAAGGCGCGACGCGTGCAAAGCCGGCGCGCGGTGAGAAGAGCGAGAAAGGGCCGTCGAGGTGAGAGATGAGGTCGTGAGAGGATCAAGCGAGGTCGTGACGAGGGGCTTCAAGGCGCGATGAGAGCAGCTCCTCCAAGCTGTTGCTGCTGTTGCAGCTGCAGCTCCTGGCGGATAGCTGCATCTCTCGCCTGCTTCTCGCGCTGTCGCCGAACAGGACTGGGCGTGTTCTCATCTACGCCTTGCTCCTCTTCGTCGTCCGCATGCGAGGGAGACGCATTGCTGCCGCCGTCTTCGGCAGAGCGACGACGACGCCGCGGAGGCGTCGACGGCAGAAGCATGCCGCCGCGCGGAGGAGAGGGCAAGATGGAGCTGGCAAAGGAGGAGTCGCCAGCTTCGGTGAGGCCCGGCGTCGTCGGCGCGAAGGAAACGTCGACGTCTTCGTGCGGTGAGGCATGCGTGTTGATGCGACCCATCGAAGGCGTACGAGGAGCGTGTACGAGTGGAGGAGAGGCCACGCGACGGACGCGAGGCGGACTTGGACCGGCGCGGAGAGAGCTTGAGGACTCGCGACGCAGTGCAGCAGCGCTCGAGACCGCAGTGGCGAGACGACGAGGAGACGCGCTAGTGCGCGGACCGGGACGCAAGACGCCAGCAGAGTTGTGGCGCAGGAAAGAGAAGTCTGTCGCTGCGCTGCCCGTGGTAGCTGTGCGAGCAGCAGTGGTAGGCGCGCCGCGATAGTGGCGGAATGCAAGAGGCGAGTCCGTCAGAGCGGCACTGGCGCGTCCGAGACCGTCTGCCTCGAGACGCGCGAGATGGCGAGGTGTGTGAGGCGGAAGCTCGCTGGTGCGTGCGGTGGGAGAGAGGCGCGCTCGTCGGATACGACGAGAAGCTCGCGTGTGCGCCTGGCGCTCGGGCGCACGGACGGGCGTGGAGCCAGCGGGGATGGGCGAGGACTGCAGAGGGCAGATGTCAGCGATGCGGGGCGCACCTCCCCACACGGCATGCAGGCAAGCTGAGGCTGCATGGCCGTTGCAGCTGTTCCGCCTGCCACTCGTCTGAGCCCGACAGCGTCCACTCACCCGCGTGCCCCACTGCGCCGCCTCTGCATCTTCGCGCGCCTGCCACTCCCGTGCGCGCGCCGCCGCATTGGCGTCCGCCAGCCAGAGGGGAATCTCTGCGAGCGGGCTTCGTCCCGCGGCGGTAGTGTTCATGGTCGAGCGCGAAGGGCCTGCACCGTCGCCGCCGCTGCCGGTCGTGAGGGCACTGCGTCGCCGAGTGCTGCCGTTGCTGCCACTGCCACTGCCGGCGCGACGCGAGGGAGTGGAGGTGCCGCCGCCGCGAGTGGCTGTGCACGTGGTCAACGCTGCACGCCCACGCCGAGGCGGCGAAGGTGAGGGAGAAGAGGGTGGTGAGGAGGGCATGTGCCGCGGTGGCAGCTTCGCCGAGGCGAGTCGCAGCAGGTGGTGGTGGTCGGGAGGAGGCGCAGCAGCGCGGGCGTGCGCTTCTCGACGCGTCGAGGTCTTTACGCGTCGCGCGTGCTGGCCCGGCCGGCGCGAGAGCGACGCCCGCGCCGGAAGGGAGTGCACGGGCGACATCACGCCGCGCGAAACAAACGGACGGCCGGCTGTATGCGCGCCTCCTTCATCTCACACCTCCACGAGCGGCGCGTCCCCTCCACCTGCGTCTCGCCTCTCCTCATCACTCTCTCTTTTCCTCACCACTGTCTCTTACGAGCCACAGACATGGCCCGGCTCAGCGAGCTGCCCAGCTCGGCGCCCGCCGACGTCGCCGAGGGCTCGTCTGCCGCCGCGCTGGCGGCCGAGGTGCCGGCAGATGCACCTGCGGATGCAGCTGCCGACGGCGAGGAGGATGAGGAAGACGAGGATGGCGACGGCTATGAAGTCGAGGCGATCCTGAGCCACGAGAAGAACCGCATTATCAAGGTGAGTTGGGCCAGCCACGCAAGCAGCGAGCGCACGCCGGCCTGTCGTTACGGCGCTGCGTGCGAGCAGCATGCTATCGCACAGACACGCTGGCCGATGGGATTGCGCCTCCCGCTATGCTTTTGCTACTGTCCTGCATCTCTGACGCCATGCCTCCTACAGGGCGAGATTGCCTACCTCTGCTCGTGGAAGGGCTACTCGCCCGAGGACAACAGCTGGGTGACGGCGAGCGATGCAGTCGGCATGAAGGAGTTGACCGACATCTACTGGGCCAAGCAAAAGAAGGCCACCGAGATCGTCAAGCACAAGACATCCTTCTCCGGCTCGGCACTCAAGGGCGCCGGCACTCGCGGCCGCACGTCTCCTGCGGCGAAGGAGACGCCCAAGAAGACGCCTGCTCGCGCTGCAGCGGCCGCAGCGACTGCGTCGTCGGCTATCAACTCGGGCAAGAAGCGCGGACGTCCGCCTGGCGGCTCCGCTAAGAATGATGCGGCAATCGATGAGGCTCTCGAGGCGCGTGACTCTCGCAAGCGCTCGCGTACGGCAGCCGCGGCCAACCTCTCGCGCAACGCAGAGGACGACCCGAAGGACTTGGAGGCAGATGAAGATGCGGACGACAGTGATCTGGTGGCGCGCTTTGGGGCGGAGGAGGTGGAGCGTAGGAAGCGCATTCGCCAGGCGCAAAAGTACGAGGCCCTCGCGGACTGGGAGAATGTGGTGCACCACGTCGAGACGGTGGAGAAGCTCGACAACGGAAAGCTCGTCGCCTTCGTCATCTTGTGAGTCAGACTGGAAGCGCAACCTGCGGCATGCGCTGACATGCTGGCCGTGCGACAGCGAGGACGGGGAACGACACTGCTACGAGGCACCAGTGACGAACCACCGCTGCCCGCAGAAGGTGTGTCTGCCTGCCTGCATGCGCGCATTCGTCTGCTCACCTCTTGCGCCAGATGATTGCGTTCTACGAGTCCAAGCTGCGCTTCAAGCCCGAGGCATCCGCGGGTAAGCGCTTTCTCCTCATCAGCATGTCGCTATCATGCTCATTCGGTGTGTGCCTCTTGCAGCTGCCAACCTGCTCAAGATTGAGCGCATGGAGAACGACGCGCGTGCTCGCGCACTCAAAGCAGCAGACGCCGCGCTCGCGGCGCAGAACATCGAGGCAGCACGCGCTGCTTCCTCTCCCTCGGGCACGCAGCAGCCGCAGGAGGACAGCCAAGACGCGGCGGATGCCGCAGCTGAACTTACGGAGGAGGCGGCGCCGGCCGAGCAGGCGGCCGCGACTGAGGCCGCGACGCAGGAAGATGGAGCGGCACCGGCTTCTGGGAGCGTCGCTGCTGCTGCTGCGGAGGAGGAGGAGAACGTGTCGATGAGCGCGCCCAACGGCACGAACGACAGCGACGCCGCGGCGTCGACGGAGGCGCTGCCTTCTGGCTCTCTGCTGCCTGCCGGCGCAGAGGTGGGCGCAGCGGCAGATGGCGATGTCGAGATGGACGAGGCCGCGCCCATTCCTTCCTCGGCTGCGGCGGGCATCAACGGCACGGATGCTGCCTCGGACGCCGCAGTGGCGCCGACTTCTTCATCGGCCGACACTTCCTCCGTCGCGACGCCCGCCGCCGCCGCCGCTGCTGCTGCTCCTGCGGCCATTGGCGCACTGGATGCCCCACAGGCACCGGCTGCTCCTGCCATCTAATTCTCGGCCTTTCGAAAGGGCCTGCATCGTCCACTCCACTACTACTCTGCTTTGCTCGTCACGACTACTTTTCCCATGCCTCGCTCGCTTCTCGCTCTCGCAATACCAAAGCCCATCATCTTCCTTCGCCGTTGCTCTCCTGACTTGCTGTCTCTCTCTTCTCTTCCGCACAGCTGTCATAACTTCTGCACCATGACAGAGAGGACGTCGATGCGGCTCGCATTTTTACTTGCGCAGCGGCATCATCGGCAGCACCTCGTCGAACATCTGCCGATCGACAAAGTACGGCTCCTTGACGTCGAGCGTGCGTTTGCGCGCGCCCATCTTCTCCACTCTCTCCTCCTCCCGCACGCCCTCCCACTCCGTGCTGCTGCGCATGTACCATGCCAGGCGCCTGAAGAGGGCCGCATACGCGCCGTGCGTCTCTGCTCTGGGCGTGCGTCCGCCGGCCGACTCGAGCGTGTAGAAGAGGCGTGCTCGCGCCACAAGAAGGTTGAACGTCTGGCGAGACTCGCCATCCTCGAGCGCGGAGCGAGCAGCTCCTTGTGCGCTGCCGCCGTTGCGAAAGACGCCGGAGAGCGGCACGATGCGATCACGACGGTTGGAGGTCAGGTGAAAGCCTGCCTCTCGAGAGAGGCGACCAAACGGCCCGATTTGCAGGAAGCGAGGAAAGGAACCGACGAGACCGCTGGTGGCAGTGCGGATCTTGAGCTGTCGGGTGCGAGGCAGAAGAGACAGTCGAGTGACGACGCTGATTGTTGTTGTACGAGTGTCAGATCAGATTCTTGCGCGGCCAGCACGGCAAAACGGCGAGAGGCTAATCTCACCGAGCGGGATGCGCTGCGAACATGACGTACTATCGACCGAGAGTCATCGCAATCAGCCAATGGCCCTGCTTTTGCGGGCAACGAGTCAAGACCACTCACACCGCCAATTCCAACAAGCAGCGCGCCAGTGGCAGCCACAGTGCGAATCTCGATGCGCACTAGCTCCGGCATCTTCTCCTTGCTGTGTGTGTGTGCAAAGAGGACACATGCAGGTGGGATTCAGTAATGGCAACTCGTGGGCATGAGCCTCGCCATGGCTCGCAGTCCTCGCAGAGCAAGGAGAGGAGGCAGGCAGGGGGAAAGGAGAAGGGCGGACACACTCACGTAGGGAACAGCGGCCAGACGAGGTGATTGTAGAGCGATTGACAAGTCAAAGCTCTGCGTATGTTGAGACGTCAGCATCTTCCCCCCGCAATTGCACGGCGGGAAGAAGAAGAAGAAGGAAAGCGCGACGTGTGGAACGTACCCAGCCGTAAGCGTCATCAAGCCACACAGCCAGCTCAGCTGCCACTTGGTGCTGCACGGCCCGCGGAAGAGGATGACTTCCTCTGCGCCCGCTGCGTGTGTTGATGCAGTCGGCGCTCCGTAGTTGGCGCTCGCGCCTGCGTGACTGGCGCCCGCGCCTCCGTCGGTGGCGCCTGCGCCTGGTGCGTTGCTCGCTCCCGATGCCGCTGCTGCAGCGGCGCTCGCAGCCGATGCCGCTCCTGCTGCAGCTTGCGCTCCAGTGCCGGCGGCTGCGGTAGAGGAGGCAGCCCTTGCGCCTCTTGCCGTGCCCTTGTATCGTGCCTCGCGGCGCTCCTTCCCCTTCTTTGCCTCGCCCTCCTCCACGATCAACTCTGCCATCCTCTCCATGAACTCGTGCACATCACCTTCGCCCTCCTTCTGTGCTCTTCTCGCACTTGGCCCACCGCCGGCGGCGCGCTTGGCGACGGCTGCCTCTACCGAGTCCTTGGCTAGGCCTTCGAGAGAGGCCATCATCTCCTTGTACGTCTTGCGAGCCACGTCTTGGGGCGTCGAGCCGCTGATGACTCGCTCGGGCCCGCCGAGAAAGCTGGCGCGGATGCTTGGTCGCTCGTCGGAGGACGGCGGCGTCGATGCGCCGCCGGGAGGAGGCGAGGAGGCACCAGCACCAGCAGCAGCGCCAGCACCCGCACCAGCAGTGTGACTCTGACTGTCTGCGTCTGCGTCTGCGCGGGCACTGGCGGTGACGCGGGGAGTGCGGATGCTGGACACTGGCACGGCGGCCTTGACGTGCTTCTTCATCGGCGGCGCCGGCGCGCGCTTGGACACGCCGCGGACGTGCCATGGCGACGCCGCGAGCGGGAGGCGCGCGCAGGGGCGAGCGACGCCGCTGCGGACAAGGGAGAGAGACATGATGGTCGCCGCCGAGGCGCAGAGGAAGGGGAGGATGGAGGCAGGTCAGAGGGCGGCAAGAGTGCAGAAGCGCGCCGAGGTCAGCAGAGCCACTCGACTGGCGCGCCTCGCCCGACTCCCGCCGCGCCGCCTCGCTCGCTCTGCCTGCCGCGCACGTCCCCCACCTGTCCTCGCGCCCACCACCGCGCCATGCCTCTTCGGCCACCATGGCCTCGCTCCTCTCCCACCTGCTCGTCGTCGCGCTGCGCCTCGCGCTCTTCGCCGCATGTCGCACCTTGCTGCTGCCTCTTCTCTTCGGCGAGGCGCGCCATGCCTCGCTCGATCTAGTCGACGACGACGACGACGGCGCCTCTCTCGCGCCCGCCGAGGTGCCGCTGCGCACGCTGCCCTCGCCCGCCACGGCGTCGCGGCGTGCCGGCGCAGCCGCAGCCGCACACACTCGCTCCTCCTCCTCCACCGCACCACAGCTGCTCTTCAACCTCGTCGCGCCACACTCTGCCTCGGCGCTGCTCTTCGCCCTCTCCTTTGAGGAGTCCAGCCTGCTCTTTCTCCTCGTGCTCCTCGAGGCTCTCGGCCTCGACGGCCGCGTGCTGCGCGCACACTGGCGCCTCTCCCTCCTCGCCGTCCTCGCACTCGCCGTGCTCTTGATTCCCCTCGGCATCTGTGCGCTCTTCACTCTGCGCGTCGACAGTGAGTGTGGTGCCGCGAGTCCTCTCATGCCCCCTCTTGCGCCGCGCCCCCCCCCCCCCCCCCCCCCCCCCCCCCCCCCCCCCGAGTGTTACCGCATGTGCGCTGACGACAGTGGGCGCGCCCCCGTGATAATCAGCTGCCTCTCCTCTCTCGCGTCGCATTCTCTGGGCTATGCTGCCCTTTCTCGCCTGGCTGGCTCTGTTCCTGCGCGTGCCCTTGCCCAGCGCCATGGCTTCCGTCTCCTCCCTGCTCGACGCCGCCCTTGCGCGCACCGCCGTGCTGGGCGTCACGCTCATCGCGCTCCTCTCCGGCTCCGCCGCCGCTGCCTCTGCAGTCGACACGTGGGACGCCTTCTTCAACAAGCATCCCCCGCGTCCGCCGACGGCGCAGGACGAACGCACGGCGCACGAGAGCTATGTGCGCGCAAGACAGGATCTCAAAATGAGGAAAGAGGCACTGGCGGCGCTGAGAGCTAGACCGGACGAGGAGCAGCTGGGCTTGTTGGGCAGGATTTGGGGAGGCACTAGCAGAGATAAAGGTGAGTTGAGCGCCGCACACAGGCCACGAGGCAGCAGGTGAGAGAAAAGGGAGGAGGTAGAATGACGGCGGCAGTGTGAGAGAGAGAGGTCACGGGGCGCTTGAAGGAAGGATTCGAGGCTGAGAGGGTGACCACAGAGGGCAACGAGCGTGGGACATGTCCGGGATGAAGGCCGCACGATGGTCGCTGGTCCGCGAGAGATGCTGCTCAGCCCGGCCGGCTCCGCAACAACGGGGGCGTGAAGCCTCTTCGCTCATTGCACGATGTCCCGTGCCATCCACGCCTCGATGGGTGATTGGGGAAGGGGGGGGGGGTAAACCTTTGCTCACGTCTCCTTTTGCCCCTCTCTTTTTCTCGCGCCTGGGCAGAAGCCGCCTCTCTAACGAGCGAAATCACGGGCCTCGAGATGCTAGCGCGCGCCATGCGAGACGACTACGATGTCATTCTTTCCCTGCGTCGCGCTGCCCAATGGTCTCGCACGCTGCACGGACGTTTTCTTCTCTTCCTCGGGCATTGCTTCTCCCTCTACTGCCTCTGGCGCTGCTTCTCCGCGCTGCTCAACCTCATCCTCCTGGGCTACTCGGACGCGGCGCCGCCCGACTTTGTCGCGTGGGGCATTGCCCATCTCTTTGCCCTCTTCAACGCCCACGTCGATCTGCAGATGTGGACGCGCCAGATCAGCCTCCTCTTTGTGGGCGCCCTGATTGCGCTGAGGATGAGAGTGGTGCTGAGTGGCCTGGGAGCGGTGAGTTGGGCAAGAAGCAGACCTGCATATTGAGAGAGGATGGCCGAGCCCGTGGGAGCCCCCGCATAGCTGACGCATAGCACACTCGCCTGCCCCCGTTGGTCAGTTCTTCAGAGCGGCAAGCACAGGCGTCAGCACTGGCTTTCTCATTCTCTTCCTCGCCGAAGTCCTCGTACGTTTTGCCGCCTTTTTCTCCTCTCTCTCCCCCCCCCCCCCCCCCCCCCCCCCCCCCCCCCCCCCCCCCCCCCTCCGCGGCGCTGACTTGCCCCCCTTGCAACAGACGATCTACCTGCTCGCCACGCTGATCCAGCTGCGCACCGCCCTGCCGCCGAGCTTCTCCGTCGGCGACGGCGTCGGCGCTGGCAGTGCACAGCAGCCGCTCCCGCCGCTCCTCTCCACGCTGCCGAGCTTCGCCGTCGTCTTTGGCGCCCTCTTTGACGCCGGCTTCTTGCTCTCGGCCCTGGCGACGGGCCTGCATCGCTACATTACACGCGGCGACTCTGAGCCCGTGTTTGGCCGACGATGAAGGTTGAGGGGGGCGAGGGGGCAACGCAATACACACGTCACAAACAACGAGAGCTGAGAGGAGCAGCATTGGGGAAAGGGGGGGAGGGGGCAGCGCGCGTTCTTGCTCCCACCTGCGTGTGTGCTGCGCGCGGGGGCGCGCCTTGCGTGCGTCTCGGCGCCTCTTGAGGCTGAGCTGCGGCTTGCGCGGGCCAAGCGCGAGGCCAGCCAAGTAAGCTTGTCGGCGTGACTCTGTCTTTCTCTCTCTCTCTCTCTCCTTGCAGTGCGCCTCAGAGTCTGAGCGACGCAAGGATTGGGGGCCATGGCCAAGAAGTTTCGTGCCGCGGCCCGAGTCCGGCCCGGCGCGCCCGAGTTGCGACAGGCGGCTTGAGCGAGCGCGCGTTCATAAGCCGGGCGCGGCGTGAATGCTCCATTGCTGCCCTCCACCTTGCCCCCCCCCCCCCCCATCACCGCCAGTCCTGCCCAGCATGCCTCCCACTTCGCAGCAGCAGCAGCGCGAGTTCCACCTCGTCCTCCTCGGCGCCACGGGCTTCACCGG